CTCGCTGCGCAGGTATAAGTTACACTCATTCCACCAAGTCGACCTTTCAGCGCAATATATCCCATCGACCACAATACATTTTACTATTATGTTAAAGGACGAATTATGCTAATTACGTCGTTTCTATAAAAATATAGCCGCTTTGGGCACCTACGTATGTCTAAGGTAGCACTTACCCCACTCGGTAGAACGCATCGTTTATATATTCGATGATGAAGGGAGGGAAAGGTCTCCCAAGTGAATAATAATAATGTTTGGGACCGACTAAAAGTATCGAAATTTTTTTCGCTTGACATGTATGCCAAAACGGCGATACTTCTTCTCCTTCAGGCGCATTTCAATATTACCAGTCGAGAACATAGAGAGTGTAAGCATATTCAGACACCTATATTCTTACTACCTAGGTTCATTAAGCTTCTAGCTATATACTTATCGCTTACTTGCTAAGGTACTCGACGCTTGCGTTGGATATCTGAGGCATAGTTTCAAAGTTCGCTATTTAAATGCCTTGAAATTCACACGCGCAACGTGGTGGATCTGTGTAAGTTGATTGTATACTTACAGACGCTTCTGGCTTTAGAAGTATGTCACTAAGATGTTTATATTGATTCCGGAAAGTGTCATTGCGACTCAGCGAATAACCCTGCAATTACTCCTGATAGATACGGTGTCTGCTAACATTATAAATACGCCGCCTGCGCCGCGATCATTGTTTAGGCCGAAAGAGACACGTGAGGAAAATAGAGATCAGATATAATGACTTGTCAGGTACCACTGTGGCTGGTTGATATTTTCAATCGTGCTAATAACCCCGCGCCGTGTACTTTTGACACCTCTTACTCTTAATGTGAAGCAGTAGCAGGAAACTTGGATGATATTGAAGCTATGAGGAATCTAAGTTTGGATGAGCCCTGGGGCTCCTAAAGTAGTGTGGGGCCGGGGCTCTACCCTAATCTACGAAGACTTACAACCTGGGTACCTCCGAGTTATGTATTCGTAAGGGCATTTTAACCCCTATGAAGCTTGATGGATTAGTTCACTAGCACTCTTTTTATCTGAATCTTTGTACAGTATCTTCACCAGTTGACTCTGTTGCTCTGAGGAACCGGTAAACTTAGCTAGTGTAGGTTATTACTTTAAAAAAGTTGAACTTTGTAAGAGTATAGTTTACTCCGCTATGGGATGACTTCTGTTATATCATCCGTATTATATTGAGGATTTGTTATCTTATGTTGCCAGGAATAGATGTTTCTTGCTATTTTGTTAGTGGTTTGAGTGACTGCAGGTATTGGGTTCTCAGGACGGAGAGCAAATGACGCTAAGGTGGGTATGGTTATTTTGGATATGTAACAGTACATGATTATACGGTTTAATACTTCCACTCTTGTTACCATGCAGACCTGGAACCAATCTTTAAATACGGACTTACCTATATAAGGTTTAGTTCGTCATGTGATTAGGGTTTCAAACAGCACCTCTGCGTTTCCAGATATGGAAGGCAATATCGGGCGGCACTGTAGGGGAAGTGCAAATGAGGGATTATGTTTCCGTTAGAAAGGGAGCGGTCATTCAGCGTGACTGCCTCACTTAGGCGGGATGACTCTCACTCCCCCTCCGACACCCAGAAAGGTTCCGAGCTTTCTACCTGCTGCGATCTTTTTTATAGTTCAGAATTATCACTCTCTTTGCTATATCTGCTCAATAGCCCTGCCTCTACTTCTCTTTCTAAACCACTAGATATAAGACGGCCAGCCTCTCTATAGCATCTTCACGGGGAATCTGTCTCTTCCCTTTATCAGCAGTCGGGACCATTTAACTCTGAGACGTCGAAACCGTCTTTCATCTAGTCTAAACTTATAATATGGACTAGGCGCTATTTCGAGCCTCGTTTGGATTGCTATACGATTGCGGTTAGTTTGATCAGGAAATATTTACGAGCTAATCACTGATTTATTAAATCTGCTGAGCGCTTGTTCGTAATAAGATTAACTCCATAGTCTCCCGCTCTGATAGGAAAGCATGAACTCGGGTTGCGACTTTGGCTCGGGATACTTCTCAGCGCTGTGCACTCTATATCCCCCGACAAACGTACCTCTGATCTAAACCTGATCCCTATCTCGTCCGGGCACCGCTTTTCCCTTAGAGTCGATTATCTACAAGGAGGAGATGTACCGTGTACAGGGAGTCCCTAAGTATTCCCTATGGTATAGCTAGTGTGTTGAGAAGGATAACGCGGCTATCAATTTCGTCATCGTGGAAACGAAGAAGAGGGAGACTTCTTACGGTGTTCCTTAGGCTCTTGCCTACATATGTGAGTGATTTCTCTTCGCTTCTAGCCTTTTGGAAACGAGACTAACTCTAATAAAAGTATGATTTATAGAAAACGACAGTATAAGAATAGGGTTCAAAATGTTATTTTCGGTCTCTCTACCGATTATAATTAGTTTCATTTTGTTCATATAAGTTGCTAAGGAAAAGTGCGTTTTAAGTTAGGAGATATAGATATCTACTTATGCTAGCCCTCTCTTAGTGATCTCGACTAGATATTAATTATAACATCGCTAGCAAATTATCGAAACACTTGCCTATATCTATAGGCAAGCTTCTCTTCTGTCTGTCTCGGAAGAAAGCGGTAGATCCAAAGAATGTTGTTCACAATCTCGAACGAATCGCAGACTTGTGATCGACGATAATACTAATAGCTCTGCGAGCGATAAAACTTGGTCGAGATTCCAAGTAGACGAGTATTAGACAAAGGATGGAGGAAGATGACAATAAATCTGTTATTAACTATTAGTATTAAATTCCTTAACAAAAGAATCGCTTTTCGGACCACCTCCCTGCTTATCAGACTACACTTTGCTATTCATGCCACTTATATAGTGCTCAATCCAAGATATTTGTAATCGCTATACTTTTATGTCAGCGATAGTCTCTCGATACAACCAACCTAGTCGGCTATTTACCTAGGTGTTTCGCTGGACAAGCACCTTGACTTCAACACAGATTGGCAGAAGCTTGTAACTAAGGAAACGGCAACCTCTAAGCCCTCCAGGGAGTGATAGGTCCTACATAGAGTGCCTCGCTTCTCGCTATGAGGAAATTTACTAGGCAGTGGTCGTGCCCTAAATGTCCTATTAGGTATAGGCGTGGCACTGTCCTCTTGCTAGGTCGATACCAGCCGGTGAACTCACGTGGATCGTGAACGAGTTCGCTAGGATACAACGTCGCGCGGCAATTTTGATTAGCGGGGCATTCAAGTCGATAAGCGCCGCGGTACTAAATATTGAACTGCATCTACTACTAATTACGCTGAATATAGAACATATCATCTAGGAAACAGCCATCAGGATCTAGACAGGCCCGAAAGGCCCGAAGTGGCCGCAACTTGAGTACTTGAGTACCATGAGGGGCCCACGTAGCACTAGATAGAAGAATCCCGAGGGATAGAGCCCACCAGGAGCCTTCCGGTGGAAGAAAGACGGTGTCCTAAATCACTAAGATGGGATATCTCGGAAAGCGTTTGTTCTGGCGCAATGGGAGGCATAGATCCAATACGTCATTGACCAAGATGTAGAGGTGGTACGAACCTCGCATGATAATATTAAGAGTCTCTCTGCCGATATGCTCAATCAGCGTCCGAATAGTCCTCTTCTACACCTAGTAGTGGGTATAAAGGAATGGTTCCTCCGTCGGCCGTGGTCCCACGGGACGGCATCTTCGAACGACGACACCTTAGAACCACCGACGATTCGATAGTGTACGCTGTCGAGCTCAACGACATTGAAATAGCGCTTGCTAAATTCGTCAACCAGCCTGATAACCAGAGACCTACAAAGATAGTTATATTCCCCGACTGCCAGGCCGCTATCCAAGCGGCGGAAAATCCTAAGTGGTCGTCGGACCAGCACTTGCTAAAGAGCACCTATAACCATATACGGGCCCTCCGATCAATACAATAGCAGCAAACGCCCACGTTTTACCAGATTCCCGTCGAGATCCGTTGGATACCCGTATACTTAGGCGTTCCTAGCAATGAAACGGCTGACGTTGAAGCAAAGTTGGCCGCCACGGGGGGAGTCGGAAAGGCGGACCGGATCAACACTCCACTAGTGATTCAATCAAGGTGGTAGAGTGTACGGAGTAAAATCCCACTGCTGTGTGAGTTCCCATTACGCCATGGCCCACCCATACCGCGGGTATGGGTGGGCAATAAGCCACGAGTACCTATTTTTCCGGGTCAGCTAGGCATCCCCGATAAGGGTCAATTTCGGCCTTTGAAAAAAGCCAAGACAGGGGCCAAGTCAGGGGGCAGAAGGATAGTCTTTGAGACGGGGATGGTTTAGCCGAGGGGCAACGCCAGCGCTTCCGGGGTATTCAGGGCGTTCGGATGAAGAATTGAAGGCGGGGGTCCAAGGCTTCAGTTGAAGGGGCCTGAAGGGGCTGAAGAGTACGGAGTAAAGCGGTTAAAATAGAATCTAAAAACAAAAACATACAATAGCCAATACTATGGTGGTGCTCACCTAGCGCCCACCATCTGCTCGTGGGCGGCTCGCCACTTTTACAGACTCGGGCTTTAGAAGGGTGTTCACCCACCTGTGCGCCCCCACCCAGAGAGGTAATTCCCCATTTAAAATATGTCAACACAACTTAGGATTTAGAGGTTGATTTCGCGATGTGAGTATAGAAACCTAATTGTGACTTTCCTACCTGTCACGATCTGGTATATTCTCAATAATTCATGCAAATTATTTGATGTGTGATAAAATTCGGATTCTTGGCCCCCCTTTAGTCCGAATATAGTGCATGGAATCCCAAGGCAGTGTAGGGTGGCTAAGCGCCGAGGCAGAAAGTCCATGCACATCCACCAATGCCCCGGTCATGCATTAAGGTGGAAGATACTGTTACATTATTCTCGTAGTGGCTATGCTTGTCCCTACCTTGGCATCGCTCTAAAAGGGCGAGGTTGCCCCAGCCACCAGGCAACCCCGTCCCCATAACTGGCATAAAATAGGGCGAGTGGCTGCCCAGGATCGCACAAAATTTTTCTCTCAATTGAATAAGAGACCTAAACTTCACGGGACCTGAGACCACCGTCCACCGAATTTTTGAATGCTCAACACCAAAACTTTCCTTTGTCTAGTCCAATTATACAGGCCATGAGGATATCAAATGAGGCTGATGCCGGTTCGGATAACAATACTAGTGACAAAAGGTAAAGTGTCGATACATTCAGAATAGTTCCCTATCTCACAAGGATAATAGCACAATCTTAACTAGAGATAGCGCACAACAAGAAGCTCCCCTAAAAAGCGTCAACCAGACGGAACTTGTGCTTCAGTCACTTGTGAAGAAGCCTGAAACTGGGCCGAGAAATGCCCGGAAGAATAGATGGCGCAAAGTCACGTCTCTAAAGACCACGCTTCAGCAAATTCAATGGCCAGCATACCCAAGAAAGGAAGGGTTTGATGATATAGAATTGCTTATGAACAGGGCACCTGGATCAGCTTGGCTTGCTACTGTCCACCACTTGCTGGCGATAGCATCAGCAATAATCATTGTCGTTCTAAATGCGGCTGGGTTGTGGGTAGGCAAAGAGCTCACCGGGACAAGCGGCCAGGATACGGAGAAGCTACTTGCATTACAATTCGCCGCAAAATTACACGAACTATTGATGCTTTCATCCTTGGGGAAAATATTGTTCTCAGAGACCGTCAAGCAACTGGTCTTCGGCGACGGATTACCGTTTGGTTCTATCGCCGTCGGACTTCAGTTTAACCAAATCTCCTATCTCTGGTCGAAAGAATTCTGGGCTACGTCTCGTGCTACGTTTGAACGGAAAAATCTTATCATCCCAGCAATTATCATATGTACTCTTCTCGGAGTGAGCATCGGGCCATCTTCGGCGACCGCAATGAAACCTACGTTAGGTGACTGGCCAGCAGGCGAAACCTCCTTCTGCCTAAATGCGACCGCCGAGGAGTTGTGGCCTTCGACTCTGTCATTGACAGATAACAAAACTTGTACCCATTCACCGAAGACATGCGGCAGTTTGAGTGTTTGGACCTCTCTTGCCGATAATTTCTTCAAGTACTGGGGACATGAGGCCCTTGGAAGTATCCGCGCAATGCCGGAGAGCGTCCAGATCCCAGGTGAAGTCTCTATCAGAACACTAAATGCGCGGTTCCGAGGTCCTTTTACACTCTATCAACCAGAGATTACGACTGCAACTGTACAACCTGATGCGATTGCCAACGTGGTGAATACGATCCGGCAGATCTGGCTCAGGGCGAATGGCGCTCGATGTTATTCTGCAGGAGGCGGCATCAGGGAACAGAATTTTTGCACATACCAGGACATCACTTGGTCGGTTGATGCGCTCCAACCTGCAGTCTATGTTGCTTGTAATGGTGGAAGTTCTGCAGTTGCACCCAAATTCCCAACGCTTGCGAGCGAGACAGACCAACCTAGTCTGGTTGAGTATGCGGTGAACTTAAATAATGACAGCCTTGGGTCAGCTACATCACCTATCACATGGGTTGATCTATCCGATCTGAACCTGGTACGCGCATCTGTTGGTGCCGTAATCATGCCCATTGATGAGCAGTCCCTAGGCAGAACCACTTATGCCTGCACTATTGATGCGCGATGGGCAAATGTGACTATCAAGTCGTCTTTTCTTGGGCTCCCGTATATTGTTAACGGCGAGCCAATCAACTGGTACCAGCCACAGGATGAATCTCCCAGTCGGTATCGTGGCCGCCACGTGAGCATTAGCCCAGCGTGGGCCTCGCTCGCCAACCCGGCTCTCGTCACAGCACAGAACACATCCTCTAGCCCATTTGACATCCTGTTAGCCGCAACGAGTTTGTCTAATGGAGAAAGCCAGTACATGGCAGAGAAAATCGAAGCCATTCTTGCAGTTCTTCTGGCAGATCGTATGGCTCGTGTTAGTGCCGATAAAACCCTCCAAGGCAATATCACCAATATCAATCAAGTGCTGCAAATAAGTGGCGGACAACTCTTTACAGCATCTCCTTCGGACTTGCAATACCACCGCTTAACGTTTCAAACCGCTGTCACAGGCTTCGCCTACGGCCTTCGCAGAACGACAGGCATCATTCCTTCAACACTGGTTTCAATGATCATCCTCCTATGCTATATCGTGATTGCAGTGACTTATGTTCTCTATACGCTTTGCATCTCAGGTGTATTCATCTCACAGTGGGAGAATGTGCTAGATCTGGTTGCACTTGCTTTCCACTCAAACGTTACACATATACCATCGATGCATGATACAAGCACGGGTATTAAAACAATTAAACCCCTGAAGACTTTAGTTGTACTCAGGCAGGCAGATAGCCATATTGAGATGGTTTTTGATGATGAAGGGAGACTCTCGGGAAAACATGAGGAACGTCGGATAAGTGTTACTAGCATGCCAAACCCACGCTTCAGGGGTGTACGGCACCATTCTGTTTAGATTGAAGCTGGTAAAGTAAGAGTCGTTTTCTTATTATTACGTTACCTACGAGAGATTTTCTCTCTATCGTAGCAACCAGCGCGAGCGTTAAATAATAATACCTATTGCGATTATATTGGTTATATGAAGTCTAGAATAATCAAGCAATTAATAATATTTCTTTATATCTTAAGATTTAATCTTAAGGTATAGGAAGTATGGGAGCTTGGAGCCTTCTTACGATAGATAAGAATAAAGCCAGTCATTTGCTGGCTAGTCTTATCTCCGTTAAACCGAGCAGCTCGAATATCCCCAAAGCGGTAATATTACAATGACAGGAATATTAATTACTCCTAGTTTTAGCCAACTTGAAAGTTAGCATAGTGCCAAAATTACACTCCTCGAATATCCCTTATTCAAATATTCCCTCGTAGCTAAATTTCTCTTATTCTAATTTCCCTCCCTTCTAGTTTTCCTCAACCAATCAATCAATCAATCAACACTCTATTAACCTGTTGCAGCCTAACTAGGTTCTAGTTTTCCTCCCATCCTAAATTCATCCCATCTTGACTTTTTCTCTGTCCTGAAAATTTCCTCCTGTGGAAATGACATTTAAAAAATGGGTTGTGCTTTAAGCATTGCAATCACCGTCGAGAGTATACCGCTGCCATGGGAGTGAGTTCACGCTGGGTCAACCAACTTAAGGCTGGGTTGGCACTCGATGGGAAAATCTCCCGGGGCATTCTTGGCCTAAGGAAGCGAATCCCGGGGAAAACCCGTCGTTTTTGTGGCCAAGGGAGACTCTTTCCAACTGCTCAGTTTTGAAAGAGATGAAGCGAGTCTACGGCAGCGATAGGACAGTTTTTAGTGGTCGTTTCGCCGACAACAGAAAAGCAATCTTCCCGCGCTTAACATAAAGCGGAAAGAGATACTTTCCTATTATGATATTTTCTGTGGGCTACGTCAGCGCTTCAGGGGCCTGAAAGGGCTGAATACTAAAGCGGCCAGGGCAACCATCCATCATCCCAACGATAAGGAAAAAAAGGCGAACAAAAACATACAACAGCCAGGATTCGCATGTGGTCACCCACCATACTACTAACTGGCCGGCGTGTGGCTTAAGTACGGCTGAGCGGACGGGAAGCCCTGTTCTCCACACCCTATGGTCGTATGTGCTTGGATCGTTGGATAAATAAGCTATATCCTGCAAAAAGCTTGATCTTAAATTACGTCTTCGGAACTGCTTTAGCGTTGCGGGGCTAGGAGTAGTCAGTCGCGTAAATGCGCAATAAACAGGATGAGAATCTGAATCACCCCTCGGTCACACGACTACCTGAAACCGTTGTCTCTTGGCACTTGCATATCATCGAATTCCAACCTCTTGTGCTTCCTTTTTACTTCCGGCCTATCGACAGCGCTCTCCCTGTATTGTTCCTTTTCACTTCGTTGATTCCACTGACAAGATAGGAGGCATGGTCAACTGGGCAGACCTTGAATTTGGTGGGCCACAACCGCCGCAAGATAATATCGACAAGTGGGAGAGAGCAGTCAACGAAGGTGATGCTTCCATTCTCACCACCGAAGATCGTCTAAAAATACTACGACGATGGCCCTTGCAAGACGCGAATTTTTTTTGCAATTTCTACGTCGGATTGAGTATCGACGAGCTAATCCAGAAGGCCGCCGGGACGGATGACCTTACTGAGGCGGAAGCAATTATAATTCTCTATACCCCTTTCGGCGATTGTACCCCTGAGGACCAGAGAGAAATGACGAATCAGTCTCGGTGGTCGCAGAACACAAAAAAGAAATTTCACGCTGCTCTTGACTTGATCCTTGCGGAGATGGACACGGAGAGGAGAGCGCGTGCAAACGCTGAGGTCGCCTTTGAACGGGTTAAAGCTATCCGGAGAGCTGAACTGCAAAATTTCTCAAAAGATGATCTTAGAAACATTACGGGATGTAACAAGCTACCATGGGTTAAGGCGCTCGAGAAGCACCTTGAACAGCAACCAGCGTGGGGCTTTGTGTGCATACGGACCTCATTTGGTGATGAATCGGCGTGGCTAAGGTTTAAAGAGTTTTTCATTCATGCGACGGACTCTGCGCTAGTTTTCCCTCGAAATTTCCCATCTATTCGACTGCGATGGAAGATACAGTGGGTAGAGGATTTATCTGTGGACGGGGCCTCAGTAATTGATCTTTGCAGGCAAGTTTTCAATTCATAATACTTCACTCTCAGCACCCGAAGCACTACTAACCAATCTTATTAGTTTCTTTCGAAGTTTTCGTGACGAGAATAAAATTGAACCAGGCCTTCGCTATGATGCCTTCCTGTACGCCAACTCTGAAGCCATAGACTCAGTAACCTCCTCTCCTGTCTTGCCCTCACCAGCATTCATAATGGCTGCAGAGGCAGCGTACGATGGAAGACATATGAACCGTCCCTTGCGAGACCATGGCTACGCTGGCTCCGTTCGAATTGCTATCCCTCATGTTTACACAACTTTCTGGGCGCGGTTGATCTCGGCCGAAGAGGACCAGCAGCAAAGAACTTCGGCATCAAGCATACGGCATACCTGGGGGGATGTCTTTGCAAAGTCACAGATCCCGCATGAGAAAACGTATCCCATAAAACCTTTTTTCATGGGGTTTGCACTGAAATAATGGATCTAAGAGTGCTACAGACTCCTTGAACTTGGAAGTGAGATACATATATTGATTCATACCGTAAATCTTGGAAGCACTCGAGCCCTAGAGGTCATCACATATTCATCTGACACCTTCTTAAGAGTGCCATTTCAATTGCCAGACCGGGGCCAAAGGAAGTAGCAACAACGTGGGCCTTTTTACTCTTGGAACGAAGCCGATCCAAGACAATCAAGACCGATGCGCTAGATGAGTTTCCACGTGTGCGATATATCTCCCGGCTTGTTTGCAGTTGATCCTCAGAAAGCTGCAAGACTTCTGCTACGCCATCTATGATAGCTCTCCCTCCAGGATGCAAGGCCCAGTCGAAATCACAGATCCCAAGAGGGCTTAACAGTTGTCCTTCTGCTGTTGAACGAGACTTGAATTGCTCATCGTATGATGGCAGAAGTCTCTCAAACATCGGTCTGATCGCACTTTTGATGTATTTGGGAATATCTCGATCGAGACTCGCTCGATAACCTACATATGTAGATGAGCCCGTGTTACTTAGAAGAGCGAACGAAGACCAACAAACCATCTATATCAGCATAAAATGTCATATGCTCAGCGGTGTCCGGGACCAAATCACAACACCATTCAAGAAGCTCAAATTGAGGAGTGACTTTCTCATCCTGAGCTGTAGCGTACTCATTACAAAGAACAAAAGCGGCCGCAGCATCCGAGAACAAAGCCGCTGCGATGTTGACCTGATCGGTATCCGTGCTACACTCTGCCATAGACAGATAATGTCGCACATTCGGCGTACACAGCTCACAAGCAAATGCCAAAATACGGGCCGGTTTCCGTCGTAGACTTGCTCCACCGGCTATCTGCGCCGCGGCTCGCAAAATTGATAGCCCACCTGCACATCCAACGCCGTGAAGAAGCATGCGATCGACATGGGGTGGGAGGTTCAATTCACGGGCCACGTGAAAATCGTACCCCGGGTTACCTTGGTTGGTACAGGTTACCGCAATCGTGTGGGTGATTTGCTGGGGAGACACCCGTGCTTCTGTGAGGGCCTTTTGGCATGCTCGGATGGCCAGGTCGACTCCAGCTTGACGGAAAAATTGATCAATCTCGGTGATTGAAGATGGGTCCGTCTGCGTTGCAAATCCTGCCTCGTACGGTTTGACTGCAGATCTGGTCTCAATCCCCGTTGAACGATTGACCCGGAGCAATTTTTGGATTCTAGTACACAAGATTAGACAATTTCCATGTCCAAGCAATCGAGTTCGGAAAATTTACCCTGGACTGCTCACATCGTGTAAGCGCGCTGCGAGTTGATCAAGGTCCTCGGAACGTAGCAAGTATGGCGGATATTGGGATCCTAGTCCTGTGATGTACAAGCCTGGGGCTGGTGAGTTGGGTTGCATAATTATTGAGAGTTATTCACTTACAAAACAGGGGGAAAGCGGATATGAGAGATAGCATGGCCAGACAGAAATTGTGAGCTAGCTTGTGCTTGGCCTTTTGCTAATAAGGGTTTAGCGTCCAGCCAGCCACTGAAATCGCATGTATCAAAGCCCAAACTATCATGGTTATTTCAGATACATATCGTTGAATGTGAAAGGAAAAAGATGTTCAACAATATATTAGTGGAGATAATTTGGAATTCCTTTCGCCATAAGAAGAAAGAGACTCAGGGCCTTATTGCGAACAAGGGATGTCCGAAAATTTCCACGAGGTTGTCAATCGGCATCAATACTCGACGGCATCTTTAGCGGCGCTCCCGTTGCCGTTGTGCTGTAACACCTCAACCGCTTTCACCTCGCTCCCACACCTATCACCCTGATCTAAAGTTCTCACCTATCTCACCCTCGTCCCGCACTGACACCCTCAGCTGAACTAAAGTAAGAACGTTATTCGATCTCCCTAATCCACTTTGAACACTTAGACCTTTTGGGCTTCAGCACACAGTTACCCTATGCAATGGCCCTCTTCCTCTAAATTTGCATACACTCTAGGGTGGCTGATATTCCGAGGGGTCTCTGGTTTAGGCGCTCCGACAGATCCGTCATGTTTGTCCGATTGATCTGCACTCAATCCACCGTAGCGCAGCCACGATCTCTCTCCCGCCATGCAGATGGCAAATAAAACTCTTACACGAGCGCCAGCTGAAAGAAGAATGGGTCCGGGTGGTTCGCTTAAGGCAGACATGCACATCTTTTACCACACCTGTTTATCGACGGGAATATACTTCCACAACAAGCCGAGCTCTGCTTCTCAGTGTCGAGATCCGACTTCCTTTCCGCTGAAATCGAAACAAGGTTTGAAAGTTGGGCATAACATGTTGAAGAAACTTAAGAGCAAGCGTCATAGGCATAAAAATGTCGAGCAAAAGACAGTTGAAGCACCAGTTCGTTGGACAGAACCATCTTCCGGTGATACGTTAACATACTGAGTTGTTTTCCCTCTATCCAAGATTAAAGCCCCTCCCGCATCAACACCAGCACCAGGACATGTGTCCCAGGTCAAAGAGGTGCCTGAAAAAGCACACACCTCCAAGCAGTCTGCTATTGCCCCCTTCGAAAAAGCAGCGAGTTATTCTATAGCTATCGACGAAAAGCCCAAAGCTGAACTCGTCCCAAGAGACCTTTGGCCAGATGCGCTGGCCCAGTTACCTCCACCCAAGCAGGGTATATTGAAGAATCTGGGTCTGGACGAAATTAGATCCGTGTCTGCTGAATTCATAATCAACGATCTGGTGGCTGTGGTGAGCCAGAAGCAAGAAGAATGTGAAATGAAATTTTAGGTCTCTTGTGGTGGTGAGGACATTGTTCTGCGAGACTACACATGCCGAATCGTGGACTGGTTAGAAAAAGCTGGAAACATCGGGAAACGTCGCAATTCAATTTGCACCCATACAGGCTAGCCTGGCCTGGGCTGTTGTGAAATCTTTGATGGAGGTAGGTATCGCGGTTTCGAAAATACGGGTGAATCGTATACGCTAATCGGCTTTTAGATTCCTGTTGCCGAGGTAGCGCAAATGTGTGCACTTCTTGGTACCACCGAAAAGGTTGTACGCATTTTCAGTCGCGGGCAGGTATATGAACAAGTCTACCTCCCGCAGGTCTCTGGTTCACCTTTGGACACCGCGCAGAAGAGTCTCGAGTCTGGTCTGTTGAAAATTTATGCCACTGCACTAAAGCTGCTCGCAGATTCTGGAACGCTTTTCTCGATGAATATGGTTAGACGCACTCTGGAATTTATCGTGAATTGAATCCAGACAAGACGGTTGGAGCTCTTGCAGAAATTACAGAGCAAGAAGACGAACTTATTCGTGATGTTCAAACCTGTGAGAGTAAGCGCAGCTCGGAATCTGACAAACGAATGATTGGAATGTTGGAGACCTTCAACGGTTCGACTTTCCGGATTGACCAAGATGTCAACTATATTCTCGAGAAAATGGAAGAAGCGAAACGTATCAAGGTACTAGAATGGATTTCATCAATTCCATTTGGCAAGAATCGCGATAATATCAGAGAGAGGAGAACCACCCGCACGGGTCAGTGGCTTTTGCAGCATGCTGATTTCCGGTCTTGGGAGAACAAAAAGTCTTCGGCAGTCTTGTGGCTCCAAGGAACTGCTGGAACCTGCAAGACATATCTCACATCGAGTGTTGTGGACCGAATTCGGAGTTCCGCCACTGGCGCTATTAATGACGAAGGATTTGCGTTTTTCTACTGTGATCGCAACGGGTCACGACGTGCCCAACCAGATTCTATCCTCCAAAGCTTTGTCCGACAACTTTCAATTCCTGCGCAAAAACCTCAGCATATCCAGTCTCGAATCACAGAGGCCTTTAAAAAGGCTCGTAAAAATGGCACCGACTTCCGCCCTGACCAGTGCGTGGAGCTTGTCCAGGACTGCTTGGACGGATACAGAACAACGACTCTAATTATTGATGCCATGGATGAATGTGATCCTGACGATCGGTATATCATAACGGATTAAGAACCCGGTGAAAATCTTTATTTCCAGCCAACCAGACTCTGACATCAGGAAGCAGCTCGAGGACAGTCTGAAGATCGCTATCTCCGCAGATACCAATCAAGAGGATATCAGAAGTTACCTTGACGCTGAACTTGATAGGATGGCACAAAAACCGTCCAAGTCCTTCCTGAAATCAGTGAAAGAGATCGTCATTGAAAAGCTGCTCGAACGTTGCCAAGGAATGTTCCAATGGGCATATCTTCAAATTCATCAAATCCTCGAGTGTTAAACAAGACCAAGCCTCATGAAGCGACTTGAGTCCCTTCCGGATGATATTAAAGCGGCGTATGACGAGATTTGGGCGGAGATGGAATGCTTAGATGAGCCTGATAAATCACTTGCCAAGCGGGCTCTGCTATAGAACATGACCACATACAAGCCTTTTTCCAGCACTGAACTCCTTTCCGCCATCCACATTGATTCAGAGGGGAACCTGTTCCATTTGGAGGACCAGGTGACTGAACAAGGCCTGCTTACCCTTTGCAAGAACTTCCTTACCATTCATACACAATCAAACGTCTGGCGGTTCCCTCATCTTTCAGTGATAGAGTACCTGGAAGCCAAGGAAGGATGGTCCCGCTCGAAGGCTCATTACCAAGTGGCCAGAACATGTCTTTCATATCTCATCACAACATACGACCGAGACTTTCCCGAATTGCCTCTTCAAACATTTGACCTCGACACCGACACAGCAGTGCGCGATGAAGATATAGTGGACGCCGACAAAGAGATAGAACCCACCGAATTGGAAGAATCAGATCACTGTTTTGGAAAATATCACCCATTCCATATCTACGTGAGCAATGTTGGATGCACCATACCTGCAAAGCTGAGGATACAGAGGAGAAGACATTGGCGGATCTTCTAAAAGAATTCCTTGGTTCATCCGAGGAAAGCTCCTCACAATCTAGAAAGCGGTTTAATGTGCTCTATAAGGATGGCTGGTATTTCTTCAAGAGTGGTGGGGGCCACTTCTAGGAGTGGAGACATTTTGGAAGTGCAAGCGCAGGAGACATTATCCATGATATCTTCGACGAGAAGTTCGCTATCTTCGGAATTTGTCGCATGGGGTTGGAGGAAATTTTGGCCGACTGGTGGGATGGTGCTGATTTTGGCGTCTGGCGAATCAACGGTCGAGGGCATAGCTTGCGGGGCGCTTGCTCAAGAAGCGCTCTCTTTGGGCCCCTTCAACATATATGTTTTTCTTGGCCGGCTCCTATTTCATTCTCCTATACTACCTTCCAACCTACTTCCAAAGCATTGACAATACCAGCCCTATCGGGTCCAGAGTACGGAATCTGCCTACGGTGGTAACCTTTAGTATCGCAGCGATCGTTGCAGGCGCGTTTGTGGAAAGAACCGGCATTGCAACACCAGTCTTGCTTGTGGGTACTGCTATCGCAACGACTGGAACCGGCTTGATCTACACATGGGACTTGGCACCCCGACTGGAAAATGGATTGGTATCAAATTCTCGCTGCCTTCGGTTTTGTTATTCCATGGCTGATTCCTATGAACATTGTCCAAGTAACTGCGGATTCTCAAGATATGTCAACAGTGAGAGCTTATATTTTTCGTGAGCAAGTCCCATCAGATGTCGCTGAGACTCTTCATTTACTCTACGAATCTGATTCAGTGGCCCAAACACTCGGAGCTTTCAGCGTCTCAGCGGTGCAGTCAAGCCTTCGTGAACACGATGCTCAAAAAGTTAACACCAACGGCTCCAGATGTCGATCCTATGGCTGTAATCGCAACGGCAGCAACACAGATTCGTGCAGCATTTCCCAACGACATAAACGGTGTTCTACTTGCGTACATGGCAGGCCTCAAGGCAACTTTCGCAATTTCAGCCGGAATGGTTGGATTCGCCTGTCTGATAAGATTTTTCACTCCCTGGAATAGACTGCATGGCTCGACTGGGGGAGCAGCCTTTGCTTGAGTGGACATTTGTAGTGTGTCCTAATAAAGGCCCTATCATGGCTAGGCTGTTATGGTCGATGGCGAAGCGAAGTCCTAGCTTTACATTGAAGAGTTTTTGCTGTTTGTTTGTTTTTTAGGCTTGTGTTCATGGTGAAGATGCTTCTGGGGCTATCACCGCTTTATTTCTGCCTCATTTAGATATAATGTCTTCTTTGCGTTCCTTTTATTTCTATGTCTGTGATATCTTGAGACAATATTATGTTTCCCGGGTACCTTTACGCTTCGGATTTCTCATGTGTAGATGGTTTGTATAGTGTGACTACATTTAGAGCAAGTGATAATTTCAATGAATCTATGAATTATGGCACTCCGTTTCCGAACATCCCAGCTTGGGAAGTTGGCCTCTGGGCATGGCTCCTCATTAATAGAGACCTATAGAATTAGTGGATGAAACAGGATCAAACATTCTACAGCTGTCACCTCCGTTACTCTCGTACTTAGATAATTAGTTGTGACTGCTTTATTTCTGGCCTTGACTTGTGTCTTACTCAATGAAGGAATGGAAAAATTCTTCACGCAGATTACGGAATCGAACAAAGAAGTTGCGAGGCCATCAGGGCTATATGACAATTCAAATTGATAGGTAAGTTATTTGAACAGCGAAGCTGAGACGCACTTGTTATGCGTCCGGGTGACGCAAGCACCTAAAATAGAGAACGGCGAAGTTCCCGTGGCAGGAAATCCCTCGACCTTTAGAGAGGTAGCAGGCACTGGGCGTAAAAAGTACTATAAGCAGTGCACACCCCTTGAGCACAGGTCGTGGGCCCGGTCCAGCCATATCCACCGCACTGCCCATAGAGAGGTGCACCCGTTCCAGTGCTTCCCGATGACGTGGTCGTAGATGTAGGCTTGGTGGTCGTAGCCAAGGTGGTAGTGCTAGTGGGGGTGCTACCACCACTGTTACCACTCATGATTTGCGCAACTTGGTTGACGATGGCAACCATTTGGACTCCTAAGAGTTGTTAGAAATGCTTCAAACATCGGCGTGATGAAATTAATTTACCTCCAATCTGATCAGCATTTGTGCCATACCAGCCCACCCAGTCCCAACAGCCATTTGGGTTACTCAACTGAGTACCGCTCCAGACGGTGTGCAGGGTATTGTCAGGGATTGCCTGGGGGTAGAGAATGATGATGTTGTTGGTATCTAGGAGACAGTGTACACAAGTTAGATTTGCGTGGTATTCAAGGAAAGGTTCCACTTACCAGCCCACTGATTATAGCCAGTATTTTGAACAAACTTCATCTGAATACTGCTATAGCTTTGCAGACATCCATGCAGAGCAACATGGAGCTTGCAGACCGTGGTTCCGCTCTGGCAGCTAGCTGGAACATAAAGGTAGCCAGTAGTATCCATGCCAGCAGCGCCGTACGCACCAGTCTGGGCGAAAGACACCACAGTACCAGAGAGTGTTCCGGTATTTCTTGCGTTCAAGGTGCCATACATCCACTTTAGCACTGCCCCAGCACCGTCATAGTTGCAATTGCTAATATATGGCGAAGATGACATACTGCACGAGTTGTCACCGGAGCCATCGAAGTCAGTTGGGAAGGTGTGGACAGCACCGCTTGTTGTTACATATGAAACATCGGCCGAGGTATCGAAATTGCTCAATTGAGAATTCAGCGCATTCATTACGTTTGGTCCAACGGTGGTGTCCCCGGAGCCTCCCCACAGATATATTTTGCGGTTCTGCAAGTTGCTCGTGGGGGCGATTTTATTGCCGCTCCAAGATTTCATATTGGCAATCGGCGTAGTTATAGATGGGTTTTGGTTGTACATGCAGGAAGTGTACTGTATTCAACATGTCAATTAACCCAGCGATTCGGTATCATGGTCCGAATAATGGGGGATTTACCGCTTGGTTGCGGGCGCAATCGAATGGACCACCCGCAAACACACCGAAGCCAGTCTGGAAGACATTCGAATATGCCACACCGAGCTGGGCCGAGAAAAATCCACCACTGGAAAGACCGGATACCGAAACAGAGCTAGGGTCGATATTATATGCCCCTAAAGCTGCTGCAGAAGTGGTTCCGGCTAAGCTAGCCAGCCCTGCCAGGGTTGCCCAGTAAGTCATTTTGGAATAAATCTCAGGTGTAGATGATCCGTGAAGTTGTAATGCCGAAGATCTTGCTCACGGACATACGACGAGTGTTATATAGAGGACGAGTCGCTTATTCTTTGCTCGTATCGTGAAGCTGAATACTAGACAGATTTGGCAACTCACCAAGGTCACATTCGAAACTCTTGATGCGGGACATACTCCGTAGCTCCATGAATGTCGCGAATAACGCGATTTCCCCACGTTTCGGATCCGTGAACAGAGTCGGTTAAAGCTTTTGGTGGACACCAAGTGTCATATAGCCTCCTCTCTGCCTTTCGGGTTAGATTGAAGCCTGTGCGTATCCCAGAGTCGCATGGTGGCGTGCGGGAGTGCGGGGTAAGAACTTGCGGAGTAACCCTGTCGAAGCGATGTGATGAAAACACCGGTTCCGAGATCTTTTTCTTCAGAGATCGGTGAAGTCTAATGTCATACTAATTTCTCATAGTTGATGGACGTCTATATTGGCAATCTCGTGAACTGCCGCGGCATTGCCAACAGTAACCAGGGGCCGTGTTCAGAATCCCATCTGGAGACTTGAAACAATAAATTGGCTGAGATGATAATTTCTGGCCCAGAATTTTCAAACAAATTGATCCTTCAAATTAATCCTGTTGTTACTGTCAATTTGGACTCCTGTCTACTAACGTGGGTGCCGTCTTTCTAGTCATTTCGGAACCGACTCTGTGTTTGAGCTTGAACGACAATCATCAAGCAACAAAGCGACTATATCATCTCTTCTTTAATTCAAAGTCGTCTAACATAAGCCAATAAATTTCTGGTGAGTGGCTGTTCCTTGTTCATCCCTCGGGTCCACTGGTTTTCTCCAAGTATGCCCAATCTAGTGTTTACTCTCATTATTCTCATCTTACGATTTTTGCCTTGATCCGACAAGCCACACAGGGCAGTTCAAGCTTTTCTCATGCAATGCCTCCTGGTGATCGGCTGAAGTACATGTTGCGGATCGGATCCGACCCGAAGCTCATGTGTCTGGCTATTACCATAGGCTCGAGTGGCGCTAATTAGCAGAAATCCCGCTTATCTAGGAGACGCTATTCTGCCGTGGAGGCCAACACTGAACTCAGAAGCTTTCACTATCCTTGCTCATTTCTAGAAATCCCTGTCTACCCCGCGAGTCGGATAGGCCAATTTTGATATCCAACCGGTCCCTTCCTCGAGCAAGGATGACTTTGACATGAAGAGAAAGAGATTCCTGGATTTTCGCCGCATGCTTGGAGTAAAATCATTCGGATCCGGAGACACAGACACATTCTTAGTGGCCTGAGTCGTACAATTTGCGTTTCTCGACATGTTTCTGAAATCGCTGAGCTCTTGAGCCCAAAGGCCTCCGGGACTTTGGAAAGCGAGGTAGTGTTTAGATGCGAATATAAAACGACTGTATCCATTGTTGGCCTTTTCCAACTTTTGCACACCTTGCCTCTCAGATACTGCGTTGGTTACAATATCGACACTCTACTCAATGATCGTCATGGTAACCAAGGGTGCAGAAACGGCGACTGCCACAAAGGATTTCGTCGAGAATGACTACGATCTCTCCCACCGTGAGAAGCAGGTAATGCGGCGAATTGATCTGCGCCTCGTTTTGGGGGCAGCTCTGGGTTACTCGGTTAATTTGAAGGATCGAGGTAATGTCGGAATGGCAGCCATCGCAGGGTGGACCAATCACTGCCATAATGCCCATGGCCAAGAGTAACTTATGCGCGTAGAATGTTGAAAGACCTTGATTTTGTGGGCTATCGATATGTATGTTTCAGTGTTCCCCGAACTGTATGGCGTTAATGGTCTGTGGGAAGTCCCTCGTGGTCCTAATGTTCTTTGTCACCTACGTGACATTCCAACCGCCATCAATGATTTTGATCCGAAAGATTGGACCTCCTGAATTTTTATCGTCTATCATTCTTTCTTGAGGAATATTGATGCTTGTGAGTTTTTTCCGATAATGTTGGGGCATGTTCTTGCTGATCAAGTTCATAGGGACTGGGATTCGCCAAAACCTGGGGTCAGGTACTTGCCATCCGTATACTCCTAGGAGCTTTTGCGGCTGGTTATGTCCCGGGATGCATGTATTTGCTATCCTGCTGGTACCTTCGTTGTGAGTTTTCAGTATATACATACCTCCATGTACAGACTTTTGCTAATCTGCTTTCGCCGATTTCATTAGATGAGTTGCAGAAACGATTCTCCGTATTCTACGGTATAGGCTGTGTAGCATCGGCCTTGGCAGGTATTCTAGCTTTTGGGCTGATTCATATGGATGGTATTCAGGGAATTTCAGGTTGGCGTTGTATTTTCTATTTTCACAATGGAAGGAATGGTCTGTTATGGTTCCATAATTCCGACGCTATTTTTCAGATCCTAACTTTGCCAGATAACTGTTGGTCTTGGTGTTCTCTGTTATATTCTCATTGTTGACTTTCCCGATAAAGCATCGGGACGTTGGAAATGTCTCACCGAGGAAGAATGTGCTTTCGTCATCCGCCGCATTGATCGTGATCGACATGATGCCGAGCCAGAGGCGTTTACAATTCGACGGTTTCTTGAAGCCAACACTTGATATTAAAATCTGGGGATACGCAGTATTGTTCAGGTCGGTCTTTCAAAAGCAGGCCTGGCTGTTTTTCCCACTAATTCCAATTCTTCATAGAGCTGCTTGACTATCAACACATATGCCATAGCATACTTTCTCCCGATAATCCTTTCCGAGGGCATGGGATTCGAGGCTGGGGCATCTCAATGCCTCTCTGCGCCCCCATGAGTATTCGCTGCGTTAGTCATGTTTATGTTGCTGCTTGCATGACATGGCAGGCCAACAACATTCGTGGTCAGTGGACACGTGCATTTTCCAGTGCTACTCTAATTGCGTTTGATGGTATTGGTGGCATCATTACTAGCTTGGTTTTCGAGAAAGATGCACCTCGATACCGACCTGGCGTATATACCGTACTCGGGTAAGTGAACTATTGTGTCGCTTCAGCATTATTGAAAGCCATACAAGCCCCGACTAATTGGACACGCTAGAGTAAACATTGTCTTTCTCCTCGCCGTCTTATCTCTGGCCCTTTGGTACCGGCGTTGTAACAAGAAGGCAGATCGCGACGAACTTATCATTGCTGGTGTGACAGGGTTCCGATACACGGTTTAGTCGGTTTGGAACCCGAAAATTTGCGAGTCCGAGTAACAACCCACCGAGCAACAGTGAAAATCCAGAAAATATCAATAGCGACCATCCATAGTTCTCAACAAGTTGTCTATTTACACGAATAATTGCCATATCACTATGACCTTTTGTCGACGAAAAATCCACATGTAACCCAAATGCAGATTTATGGCAATGGAGCGCCATCTAGGGTTTATTTGTCTCTCTAGAGCTTTGGCTAGAACGATGTGTCAGTTGAAAATTACTTTGAATTTCATGAAACTGTATCCCTCATTGTGCTGAATGTGCAAGTACGAGGACAAAAAAACAAAATGCAACGAGGCTAGGAATCGAGTGGGGGCCGGAGCGTCCGCGGAGTGTCCGAGCTCGTTCTCCAGCTTCTTCCCGCCGTCGTTCTACCGCGGATACGACCTGTTTAGCATCGTGCATGATCAGGTTTGCCCTCTGTAGCAGTAGAGCAGCAAACATTTGGGTATGGTCTTTTGTTGAAAATATCCAAACAGAATGGTCAATCCTCAATCATGAGTCACGCCCTGCTGCCTTCTTTTTCCCTGCCAGTCAATCACTGTTTCCGATCAGCCCTTCTTCCTTCATATTCAACGGCCATCGGCGATCATGAAACGCAAAACAACCCACGAGACTACCGATACCCCGCAAAAGCAGCCTAGACAAGACCCAGTATCTTGCGAGTCTTGTCGGAAGAGAAAGACTAAATGCGACCGGCAATTCCCATGTGGCAGCTGTGTATCTCGTCGGATTGATTGCAGTTATGGCAGCAATGACCCAAAGCCGAGCCCCGGGGTACCCCCTGGTCCTCAGGGGGACGATAGACCTTGCAATATTGTTGCTGCGTCTCGAATGATACAGGCAACAAGAAGCTCTCGGGACATATGTCAGAGCCGAAGAGGAGAGGATCCACTCATGACGGCCGACTGCCTCGAGAAGATTCTCATGGGCCACCGGGTCCCTAGTGCCGTTCCAGCAGCGCTCCGAGAAGAGCTGTCAGGCTATGAGCGCATACCATCATCCCGACAACACGCGGACGCCGCCTCGGGCAGCTTCCATTCTCTACTTCGCACTAGCGGTTCTGTGTCTCTTGCGCATCCGGCCACCATTTGTCTCGCATCATATCTGCCCTCGGAGGCTGATGCACTAAGGCTCTTCGACTATTACAAAAATCACCTCGACTACCAGTATCACCTTGTAGTTCCTGCCAGAACCAAGCGAGACATTCATGCCTTGTACGAAGCAATTGCTCGTGGTGAATCGGGGGACTTGAATCAGATCGCACTATTGTTCAGCATTATTGCCACGGCTTTGTTCTATCAGCTGCTCTCAACCGACTCTCCAGATGTTGCCGAGATCTGCAGCCGCGAGACAGTGTTTCTCGCTGGCGCAGCATTGATTCAAAGCAACTATGTTGCATATCCAACGGTCGAGGGCTTACAGGCCGCGATGATCATTGGGCATCACTTGTCTAGTTTGACCCTGAACCCATCTGTGAGCTCGCTGTTTTCGCAGGGTGGACTTGTGAGCCAGGCCAAAAGTCTTGGTCTCCATTTACTCGATTGCCCTCAAGTTGTAGCCGCGCGTCAAGAAAAGGGATTTGACAAGAGTGAGATCGAGTTGAAGCGGCGATTATGGTGGGATCTGGCATCTTATGACTGGTAAGTTCTCTGCGCATGCTACCAAAGGTCCTCCCACTAATAATCTCGTCTTAGGTTAGTGGGTTTCCTCAGTGGGCCCCAGGAATGGACATACACGATCCAACCTCAACACATGAATGTACGGCGACCATTGAATATTGAAGATGACTCGATCGGGAACGAAACTGAGTTGCCATTGTCGACCCCAACGTGTATGTCCTACAGCCTGCATCGTCTGAGATTGGCCGAGGTATGTCGGGAGATTGTCGATGCAGGAGCGCCCCATCATCTTCAGGGCGAGGAAATCACATACGAAATTATACTCGACTTGGATCGCAAGCTTCAACAAGCGTACTCGGAGCTTCCGACGTTCTTTCGATTTGATACGTCGTCACGTCGCCAGTTTGCCAACATTTACCGTGGGCGACCGGAGATTGCGTGGCAACGTGCCTTGATACAACAAGCCTACCATTCACGTCTTTGCCGTCTACATCGTCAATACTTCATTCGAGGTGCTAAAGATCCGAAATACTCTTATTCGCACGTTGTGTCTCTCCAGTCCGCCCGGAAGGTCTTGGAAATTAAGCGCATAATGGACGAGGAAGAACCTTTGTTCACTCCAAACAGCTCCTTTTTCTGGGCGGTCATGCATCATGTGTTCATGGCAGCGGTCATCCTACTTATCGATGTTTGTTTCAACTGGGATGATATCCTTGCTTGTAAAAGGAAAGAAGAGGTTCTTGATGCCTGCCGACTGCTAAGCCGCGCGCAACAATCTTCGGCGGTTGCCCGAAAATGTATCAACGCGATGATGGACATTCTCCGTCGGCATTGGAAACAAGAAAAGAGACCAGTCTCATCCGGTGAGATGCAAGCTCAATTGACATCATCTCCTGGCCTTCCTTTCTCTGTCTTGCACGATCAGTGTGCTATACCGGCCGCCAAGAATGTACAGGATTCCAAGGGTTTCCATTTCGCCGGTCCTGAACAGGTACATAATCTCGCTATACATGACCAGCCAATTGAGTTCGTGAGTTCCGAGCTTGGATTTGCCCCTTTGGAGGACTTGTGGGGTCAAATGCTTGACGAAAGCGCTCATATCGCGCTGGACACGCCAGAGTGGATGGATCTATTGACGGAGCTGACAAACGCGACTGCTCCCGACCGAGTGAATGATCCCGGAGCTATTGAATGACGTCACTTTTTGTAAGAAGGATGGTTTAGTCCAATAGTGAAGCTAAGCCTATTTGGATAATGTTATTCCTCTTCGAGGCTCTCAACATGGCCTGGATTCGTGAGCAGAATGCCATTCTCCATGCCATACATGCCTACTTCTGACCACCAAAACTTTCCCCGGGTTTAAATTCTTTTACCATGCCCAGCCTCAAAGAGCTCCTTGACCGACAGCGACCTGGACCATGGCAAAAGTTCTGGGCCAAACCTTGCATGTTCCTCGCGTGGAAGCTTTACAGTTGGCATAAACCCATTCCAGCTACACCACTCACTAATCCAGTCGCGATCGTCTGCATCTCCGATACTCATAATACTCAAATCAACATTCCAGACGGAGATATCCTGATTCACGCCGGTGATCTCACACAATCTGGATCTTTTCAAGAACTCCAGGCAGCACTCGCCTGGTTGTGCGACCTGCCTCATCCTACAAAAATCGTTATTGCTGGTAATCATGACTTATTGCTTGATTCATCCTGGAACAACTCATCAGGCCGAGCACCTGCAGTGTATGAGCGCGCTCAACTGGACTGGGGTGATATCATTTACTTAGAAAATGAGGAAGTGACAATATCATGTTCGAATGGACGTCAGCTCAGAGTCTATGGAAGTCCATGTACTCCACGCCACGGTAACTGGGCATTTCAATATCCCCGGAATGAAGACGTATGGACTGGCTCGGTGCCAGATGGAATTGATATACTCATTACTCACGGTCCAACACTTGGTCATCTTGACTTACAAAAGTTGGGTTGTGCTAATCTACTACGAACATTATGGAGAGTTCAACCTAGACTGCATGTATTCGGGCACATACATGAGGGTGCAGGCACCGACTGGTTGTTGTTCAATGGACTCCAGGCTGCGTACGAGCACACTGTCGCTGCTGGAGGGGGAATTCAAAATCTCTTTTTGACAGCGTGGGAATTGGTCAAGGCATATCTTAGGCCGGCTGTGGAAGCAAATTGTTTACTCGTGAACGCATCCATAGTTGGGGGCTTGCGGGATAATGAGCGGAGACAGCCTATCAAAGTTTTTATTTAATCTAGCAATGCCAACGGAGTTGACCAACGTGGCACATGTACCTAGTGAAGGTTGGCTGGATTTGACCTTTTCTTGTGCTTACATGACGACGAGGGGCAGGCTTGCAGAAGGCTGTCCTGCCCAATGAGCCTCAATGCCCCACTTTTGAGGGGTGAAGACGTACCAATGTCAGCGATAATTCGACTCAAATCGAGTGGTAAACAAAGCCAAATCACCTGATGTTTTGTTTTGTTTTGAGCTAGGCTACAATTTTCAATCAATAATCCTCTCCGTTGACGAATGCGTCGCTCGTTGACAACAGGATCAAATCAGCAAACTCGCCATGGCCTCCCAGACCGAGAAAATGTCACAAGCGACCGCACATATGGATGAGAAAATCGATCTGCAAACAATTTCAAGCCGTATTAAGAACGGTGAAATCACTCGCGTCGTTGTCCTGGCTGGTGCTGGTATCAGTACTGCCGCCGGAATACCTGACTTCCGATCACCCAACACCGGTCTATACGACAGACTCGCGCCTTTGAATCTGCCCTATCCTGAGGCAATCTTCCACATCAGCTACTTCTCTCACACTCCAGAGCCATTCTACGCGATCGCACAAGCTCGCCATCCCGGAAATCTCAAGCCGACTATCTCTCATGCGTTTCTGGCACTCCTAGCGAAGAAGAATGTGCTCCATTTTGCCTTCACCCAGAATATCGACGGGCTTGAGCAGGACGCTGGTGTTCCAACAGATAAGATTCTCTGGGCCCATGGGAACTGGAAGAGTCAGCATTGTTGGAAATGCAAGACCGAGTACCCTGACGATCTGATGAAAAAGGCGATTCGCGAGGGCGAGGTGCCTTATTGCCTGAAGGCTGAATGTGGCGGCGCAGTCAAGCCTAATGTCGTTTTCTTTGGTCAATCCCTGCCCTTTGAGTTTGATGAGAAACAGAAACTCGTGCCAGAGGCTGACCTTATGCTTGTCATGGGTACGAGTTTGAAGGTTGCGCCATGTTCACAACTACCACGCCTCGTTAAAGAGGGGACTCCGAGACTTTTAATCAATATGGAAAGATCCGGAGATATCGGGAACAGGAAAGAGGATGTATGTCTTCTAGGCTCTTGTGACCAAGGTGTACGCAAATTTGCGGATGAGCTTGGCTGGAGAGAAGACCTGGAAGCCCTGTGGAAAGTCGCAGTGGATTCAATGAAAGACGATCGAGAATTCGAAGGGGGTCCAAGTCTTGATGAGTGTATCGCAAGAGTGGCGAGCCAGATGGACGAACGACTCAAGATTTCCGAAGGGCATAAAAGGATGTTGGAGGGCCACTTGAGTAACAAATTAGCGCAAATTATGTCAAGACCTGCATCGCAGCCTTGACACCCGAATGATCCGGCCAATCCAATGGGGGAGAGGAGGACGTGTATCTATTTTGGCGGCAAACGAGTCATTGCGTAGAACCAGAATGACGAAATGTGATTGAACGAGCAAGAAACGAATGATGTAGATACTGGCAGGTATTGAGTATAAAAGATAGTCCCTTCAAATTGCCTCGAGAATTCTCTTAATTGCAAGAAAAATGGGTACCTGGTGGGTTAGAGATCTCAATCTTCCCCGGGCTTTTTATAATGCTCGTTGTATACCTCTTCACCCATTTCTTTCCCTTTAATTGTAATCTTCTGCATGGGCAAAAATACAAATAGCATTCGACACCATTCTGACGAGCTCCGATTTCGATAAGAATGTGCCGTACCGCGCTGTACACTAACGTCGCCTCGTCGAAGATGTCGACTTGCCCCCGAGTCAAGTATCAAGTCGGCCTCACCCTCCACGACAACTCCATAGTCAATGCTGACTGTACGGTGCATCGGGGTAATTTTACCAGGTCGAAGATCGATCATTCGGAATGCAGTTCCTTCCTCGGTCGTAAGCCCAGTTGGTTGGTGGAGAAACTCGTCATACATCGCGATATCAGCTTCATCATCGATGTTGGCGGGGACACTTGTTGTAGCGTATAGGAGTGCGATCTCCCCATCTTCTCCGGCTGGCTGTGATGGCATGTAGTCGGGGATTTGAGCATGGGAGACAAACACTGCCTCGCCGTCGGAACTGTGGGTGGTGATGTAGCGGTGGATATAGGGGAGGTCGTTTTTCTTGTACGGGGACATTATCTGCCAAGTGTGTTCTCATGACCTTTGGAGCTGGAGAGATGATAAGACCTTGGAAAGGAGAGTGAAATCAATGGGGAATATTCAAATCCTATTCTTGGAGTCAAAAAAGAAAGAGCCATAGAAATGGCGCCGTGCATCATTATGGCATCATTTCAGGATTGTGAGGCGGGTGGTTCACCCGGTGGCACAGGAAAGAACAAAAAAATGCAAGTTCATTTGGAAAACCACAATGGTGAGTTTGATATTTCTAATGGGCTTAGGACTCTAACGAGCCAGACCTTCACTATCTTCATTAACACTATCCTTTCGTCTAGTTTCTCCGGCTCATATTTAGCCAAGTTGCTACCTACATCACAAACGGGGTCAGTATGCGGAACAGGCCAAGCCGGCGGAATATACGAGCGTGTGACAATACACCTGACCTTCCCCTTCCGGATTATGGATCGATTTTCGATTGAGAAGTTGGGGATAACTATTGTCAGTCCAGTGAGACGACCTTCTCAATATTATTGATCTAGGTACCGATGGCGAAGGCTCTAGCGAAACACTTGCCGGACAATGTTGTAGATTCCAAATTCACCAAGTGAAGGCTCAGATCCTTGGTTGATGAGAGAAAGCCCTTGTAACACTGGGCATATTGTTCGCGTCGCATGCGTGCTATCGGCTAATTTCTCCGTGCTGTCAACGAGCTAGAACCCTGGAAGATCTGCCGTCCATTATTCAGGTACCCGTCACCATCCAAGCCTTGTTGCTTGTTAAATATGGCTAAGGCGATAAGGATAATGATAAAGGACTTCACATTCCTCATCCGGCCACAGTACCATTTCCATTGGGCGACGGAAGCATCGGTGTTGACCGAAGAATTTAACCCAAACCCCTTTGGGCAACGGAATGCGACCCTGAGATGAGTCCATGATCTTAAGGCGACAGATTGATCTCATCGACTCCAGCGATTGATCTACAGTATCGGGGGCCGAAATTTTGCTCGGCAAGCCGGTACGAAGGCTTTTCTTGTCTTTGGCTCGGCCCTCAGAGGAGGAGGCCAAGAAATCCAATTATCTGATATGCTCTTCATCTTTGAGATTATAGCGCTTTTCCAAATTCGTCGGGATTTGATTCATCATATTACCATGGGTAGCTGCACCTCTCCCTATCCGTGGTACTTAGTCGCGCCTTACTGTGGTGAATCCCTGGGCCCCTCAGAGGACCCCGGAGTCTCTTTCCAGGAGGATGTACCTCACTTTCAATCTCCACTCCCACCAACGTGCCGTCAGGAACAGGCCCAGATCACTTAGATAGAAGTCTGAGGGTTCCATTACCTTCGTCACCACTTGAATGTAACCTCTTCGTGGCCTTGGACCACTCCTTCTATATCTTTAGCTGGGGGTTGCTAGGAAAATGATTAATTTTGCTCTTGTTCTAAGCACTGCGGTTTTCTACATATATATTACATTGTTCTCTAGCAATTTTCAACCTAGGTTTCAACAGTATCTTGGTCTTGAAATGCGCTATTTTACCCTCCTACTAGCTACAACAGCTTTGTTCGCCTCGGCCCAAGAGGTGACACCGGTGTCACAGAGCGCAGCCGTGCCAAGTGACAGCCCACAGTGTGCTTCTCAACAGTAAGTACTAAGGGAACTTTACTCGAAGCAAAAAGTCTAATTTCAAGCAGGATTGTAGATAATTGCGTTGTGATCATGAAAAAGGCACTCCAAAAATGCGCATCAGATAATTGGGATTGCAAATGTTCAGGGTCGGCAAATATTGCAAAGTGAGTTGCTAAGAGCCATGCCTTGATTTCAGAGCACTTACTCATAGAAAATCATAGTTGCTACGTCAATTGCCCCGATAGCCCAGACTATATCGCAGCTCAATCATCCAGCGCCTCTGATTGTGCTACTGCCAATGCGTACGACAAGGGACACACGATAGTACCCGACACATGGAAAACGATGGATTTCCATAACGATGTCCATGCAACCGCTACAAGCACTGCTGGCCCGACACATACAGATGTAAAGATACTGGACACTCACAAAGAGTCTGTGAAGCCGTCCAAGGGAGCCGCAAATGTTAAAGCTACGGGCAGCTGGCTTGCTTTAGTTGGTTTGGGTATTGGGGCTTTCTTCTGAGAGCCGGAGGCTCTTAATTGTTTCATTCGGCTGTCCAATATAGAACATTTATTCCTGTTCTTCCTAAGAAAAATCTGAAATCCCGTGTGAAATAAGTCTCGGGTACAGCACCCTATTCCACAGTTACCAGAACCTTGGACTTGTCTGGAGAATAGTAATCAGCGCAGTCTTCCAGTATGAGAGAATGATTCGACTTACAGAACGCGATATGATCCTTGATATTCGTCGCCTTCTCATATGGGTTTGCGTAATACCAGGCAGCATCCTGAATGACGGTGTCTAAAGTAGTGCGTTAGCACTATCTACTCACAACCAGATACAAATTTTGACCTACCGCCAGTCTTTACCGAATAATACTCTGCCTCACCCTTCCATGGGCAGAAAGTCTTCGTATCAGAGCTCAGGAAAGTATTCGGGTCCTTAATGGCTGAGCGCGGAAACTGCCGGATTTTGAAGCATCAGCAGGGGCTCGATCCCCCCGTTCCTTTCCCTCAACGTACGTATACATTCCCTTCGACTGTCTCCCAGGCATCAGCTTCAGCCAGCACTAGGTCTCCAACACTGGCTTTTGCAGTTGGCATGGTAACCTGTCTCCTATAGTGTCCTCGTAAGATGGGTTGATGATGGTCGAGCTTTGGAGACGGATGTTTGGGTGTCAGCAAGTGTCTGGTTTGGCGAACACGGATGTCACGGGAGTAGTGGTGCGGGGAAGACGACACTCAACTTTCAACGTGGAGGTTCCTTATCCCGCTGAGAAAGTGACTTAAGAGTTTCCTCGCCCCGAAATTCTCTGTTCGCTTGAGATCTGATTAGTTAATGCTTCTGTATGCTCACAATCCCATTGTTCCGACGATCTTCAAGCTTCGTTGAAAGCGTATCGAACTAATCCTTTAGATTAATTACTACAGCAAATACCTCTCTTCAACTTGTGGGGCTTATTTTTGCGACTCATTTTATTCAATTTGTCACCCATTTCCATTTGCTTCATATATTCTCTATAGTTCTTTTTAATTTAGGTAAATCGTGATATTAGTCAAAATTTCGGCCTTAATCCACCTGGATTGTCCGAGCCAGGTAGCTTGATTGAAGGCTGGTGAGTCGGGTACAGCCTTGTTAATGCCATTCTCTTACGGGTTTCCGACTGTTTGGAGGTTAGCTTGAGCGCCTTTCTTACACAAAGGATAGTCGCTGGTCTTTTCTCCCAATCAAATCTTCAGGGCCACGGTGGAGTGGAACGTTTTGGCCCCAGGCTTATAAATGCTTCGATTAACAATCACTTCAACGGATTCAGGTTTAACTATTGCCCGAAAAATAAGCACAAGACCACCGAGATAAAAAATGGAAGCATCTGTAGAGGTCTAGTATTTAAGTAACAGTAAAGGCCAGTCACCCAGTATGTAGTAAGTTCTCTACATCATATCTTCAAGTAATCAATTACATCTCTCAATCGCACATCCAATCAAAATGGACACTCCTGTTCGTCGCGTTATTACCGCCCACGATTCCAAGGGCAAAGCCTACTTCGCCTCCGACGAAACACTCATTCCATATGATCCAACGACTGCGCCAGAATTTACCACTCCTGGCCCAGACTCTGGCTTCGGCGTGGTGCAGATTCATCGGTCGCGCGGTTTCCCAGCGGATAACATGCGCGACCTTCCAGACCCGAATCGAACACTCGTTCCTCTGGCCGATACCAAGGGACCATCCTGTCGCATTCTTGACCTTCCTCCCGCTGAGAACGGATGGATGCATCGAACCTTGAGCTTGGATTATGCTGTCATCTTGTCTGGGACTGTGGGCCTAATCACCGACGATGGAGTTGAGAAGGTTCTTAAGCCGCATGATGTTGTTGTGTGTCGAGGAACAAATCATGAGTGGGTGAATCGTGGCACGGATGTTGCTAGGCTGTTCGTTGTAGTTGTTCCTGCCAAGGAGATTGTCACGGAGGATGGTGAGCGACTGGAGAAGACGCCAGCTGGGCCTATCTTTGACCCGGCAGAGGAGGATTAGGTGGATTTCTTGGAGGACTAAATAAATTCAAAGCTGCTGTTTGCTCAAAGATGCACATCGGGTTCGATCAATATGGCTGTAATATAAACTCCGACGGATGCTCGTATTTGATTTTTTGTCTTATGATTGCTCTCTGCTAACTCGAACCAATCTAAGAAAGAGTTTCCTTTACTTGCTTGGTAAAGTCCACTACTGTGTCTCTGAAGCTGTGGTACTTCACACCAAGCTCCCGAGCGACCGTCTGCCCATCCACACCATAAGGCGCATGCGGCTTCTCTCCAGCCTTGTAGTTGCTAGTCACAGAGGCGTTTGCCCAATCAAAAGTTTCCTTCATAATGTCCGCTGCATATTCATACGAGAACGGCTCAGGAGATGCAGGAATGAATCTCTTCCCACCAGCCTCGGGAGTGAGAAGAGCTTGAACATGTGCCTCAGCCAGATCTCGAGCATCGATCCAGGCAGGCACACGGACACCGGGAAGAGGGTCGACACCCGCAGCGACACTCCAAAGAACCGCATTGGATTCATTCAATTGTTCAATATTTGGAACTGGGTGGACGACGGGACCGAAGACCATGGGAGGACAGAGTGCGACTAGGTCAAATTGCGGCTTCTCATTCTTGACGAATTCCCATGCGGCAAGCTCCGCGAACTTTTTGGATCCACGGTATGCGACAACTGAACTAGACTCGGGATCAATCGCCGTTTCGTATGTGAGGGGGTTCCAGTGAGCAGCAGTGTAAGTAAAATCAGGAGAAGGATTGCTGTCGATATCAACGACCGAGGCGAAGGAAGATGTCAACACGATACGTCGGACTTGACTTCCAGGCTTGGCCGAAGCAGCCAGAATAGACTTGACGCCGTTTATAGCAGGCAGAATGAGTTCTTGCTCGTTGTTGGTGGTATCATAGAAGAATGGCTGTATCCGCTGTTAGTGATATGAAAGCGCCCACGAGAACGATCAAACGTACACTCGCAACATGAATGACAGCATCGATTCCTTCCATCGCGGCATCAAAGACACCGACATTCGTGAAATCTTCCACCACGACGAAATCCAACTTCGAGGCATATTGCGGTCGCGCAGCTTTCATCTGCTCCCCCTTCTTTGCTGATCGAGTGGCGCCACGAACTGCGAACCCACGCGCCAGAAGGTTGTCAACGACATGGGCGCCGATGAAGCCGGTTGAGCCAGTGACTAGGACATGACTGGTTCTGTTAGCTTTGTACTCCTCAAATAACGGACTGTGTGCCATACGAGGGCTTCTGCGACGCCATCTTATAAGTGCCTGGAATGCGTCAGGTCCGTGGATTATTGAACGATGAGGAGCTGGGATGACCCAGCGTGGGGTGGGCATGGGGTAATATCTATTCGGAATAACTCCGAGAACGGGATGATGGGCGAGATCAATCGGATAACCATACACCCCCACTCCTCCATGTGGGGGGACGACTCTTGCATCCAAGACCTGGCTAGTTGAACTTTGCTTTATATCGTCTGGATTATGCACAACTAAAAAGATTCCCTGGCCATCGTTCTGTCTCTTCAAAACGGTGACAAAATCCCGACGTCGTAATTGCTCACCCAATCAGTCAAGATTCAGCCCAGTCCTCCCGAATCATGGCAGCTCCTTTCTCTGCAATAGCATAAATAGTTGCTTGAATATGTGCACCAACCTGCAGAGGCATAGTGCTAGCGTCTATAACACGTAAGCCGCGCACTCCATACACCCGTAGCCGGTCATCAACGACCCCAGCCTTTGCCCCTTCGCTTCCTCCCATCGCACAGGTCCCAACCGCTAGGTCGAACGTTAGCCATGAAGTAACAGGATGTGTGGGAGAGGAGACATACGATGCCAATCCGTGACGGTGTAATTTGAGACAAAATCCTCATAGACGCTCGGTTCAGAGGTCGACTCATCAGGCGGAGGAGGAAAGACCTGCCGTTGTATGATTTTTGCAAGAGGCTCTGTCTTAGTAATTCTTTTGGCCATTCGTTGGCCTAGAGCCATCACCTGTCTGTCGATATTTCCAGGTCCTAGATAGTACCGTGGATCAATGATAGGCTTGTCGTCAACTGTAATCTTGTGTGACTGGTCTTTCCGTGGGGGTATGTGAATGCAGCCTCTCGAAAATGGATATTGAAGCATCTGCAACAAAGTCCCGTATTTCTTTCCCGGCTCCGACTGGAAATATGTGCTCCAATTACCCAGATCAAAGATGTACTCGAGCTGGCCTCGCAACTCCTTCGTTGGATTGAATTGCTCGACAAGAAGTTCGTTTTGCAACCGGCCCGTCTCTTGGGCAACTTTTTGGGCGTCTATGTGCAACTGGGTCTGTTCAGTTGGAGATGCCACTTGAGATAGAGGGCAATAAGCGACAGAACAGGGTAAGACGGTCCATGGTCCTGTCTGTGAAGCGTAATAAGCCCGGTCGGCAGCCTCACGCAAGATACCGTCGCTGAGAATGTCGTCGCGAGATGAAAGAGTTGGTAGAACTTCGAAAATAGTCGCCGTCACTGAGAAATTTGTTAGGCCAAGTTCTCTGTCCAGATGAAGAAAAATGCCATACTCATGTGGTCTTGCAGATTCTCTCCAACATTCGAGTTCTCGATTTTCACATCGATTCCAGCTGCTTCGAGTACTTTTCTCGGACCGATGCCGGAGAGCTCCAATATTTGTGGTGATTGTATGCTACCTGCGCACAAAATCACCTCGCGAACAGCTTTCACTTCCATCTCCTTGTCACCATGTCGCACTCTCACCCCAGTTGCAGACCATTCTCCATCAACCATCTCGATGAGCACGTTCAGCACGGTCGCATCAGTCCATACATGCAAATTCTTCCTCTCGGCGATCGGGGCATAGTAGGCCGATGCAGAGTAACTTCGCTCCTGGCGATGAGGATCCATTGTGCACACCATGTTCCAGGCTCCGCAATTGAAGCCAGCGAGGCTGTCACGACTGGAGGCCACCCCCAGTTGATTAAGAGTGGCATGCCAGTACTGATGTGCTGGACCGTACTGCTTGATATGCGTAGTATGAAGGGGCCCATCAGTCCCATTGAATTCAGCATCATAGGACGAGTGGTAATGTTCTTGGTGTGCAGCGCTGGGTTGGTGGAAGGTCTCGCTTCGTTGGAAATATGGACTGCGGCCGTTAGTCAAATCGAAGTTTTGATAAAATGGTCTGCGACCCGACCGGATCTTTGGAACAATTTACAGTAGATCATCCCATCCCCAGCCTTCATTTCCTAACCGAGCCCATGCATCATAATCTTCGCGGTGTCCACGGTTCCAAGCCATGAAATTCAATGCACTGGTACCTCCAAGAACTCGCCCTCGAGGCCATTTGAGTGATCGCCCTCCAATACCTGGTTGAGGAATAGTTTCAAATTGCCAGTCATATTTGGATCCGATGGTTTCGCCATAACGGCCTGGCACTGTGATCGCACCATCATCTTCCCCATTTAGAGCTGAAGGGCCTGCCTCGATCACCCCCACATTCACCTCCGGGTCCTCGCTGAGGCGGGCTGCGACTGCTAACCCCGCGGTGCCACCTCCCACGATGAGATAGTGTAAAGGGAGTTGACAGAAAATTTCAAAGTCTTGAAACATGATGAGTTGCTAGTTTGGGATGCGGGACACTGCAAGGAGGGGCAGGTCTTGGAAGTACGAGGCTGTAGACTAGTGCATAAGCCCCGAATAGAAAGTCGAATCGACTAAACAAAACATCGGCCAATATTATTCGCTCGATAACTACTAACTTTCCTGGAGACTTTAATGCAACTTCCTGAAATGAATATCCTTCAGTAGCTTATTTTCAGCTCAAATCACGTTCGTACCACGGTAACGTCTCAATTTCGTGTCAATTTGAATGTGATTGGCCGGTTTCTTTCAAGGCCACAGTAAGACCGAAGCGAAGTCGTGCATTAGTTTAGGAGGGGCTTACTTTAGCTCACTGCGTCAGAACGAGGAATTTCCAATCCGTTCTATCGTCGAACTCTTTTAAATCAGGACACACCGACCGCCACGCCCGCATTTTACTCACGACGACCTTGTTGACAGCACGAAGCCGTTCAAGTGAAACCCAGCCCAGTCCCTCCACTTTCCACGACATAAACCCTCCGAACAAACATAACATGGCGACCGCAGCCACTCTCAAGCTCGAGCCAGCCACTCTAGAAGATGTCCCTACCATCACCGAATTATGGTTTTCGGCCTTCACAGACCCAGACATGCAACACTTATTCCCAAACACCCCCGCAATGCGCCAATGGTGGACCGATGCCAATCGCAACGACATGATCAACAAGCCCTTCCAAAAATATATCAAAGTGGTCGATACACAGTCCACCGACAAGCAGGGCCGACCGCGGTTAGTTGCGTATGCGAAATGGGACACGTCCAAGCTTTCCGATCGGGGTCGTCGCTATCCAGCTTGGCATGAGGAGCAGCCTGGAGATGAATGTGAGGCCTTTTTTGGTGGGGTCGATCAAGATCGGATTCGTATTATGGGGGATTTGAGGCATTATTGTAAGTGATGGGCCCCGGGTTCGCCTACTTGTTTACCTACCCTAGTGTGTATAGTATTCTGTGCTAATCTCCGATGTTAGATCTTGACATGCTTGGTACACACCCGGACTACAGAAAGCGAGGTGCTGGCTCTATGCTCGTCCAATGGGGTTGTGATTTGGCCGATCGTGAAGGGGTCGCAGCGTATGTGGATGCTAGTAAGGCTGGGGCTCCCTTGTATGAGAAGTTTGGGTTTGTGGACCACAGTGCGCCCGGTTCCACGAGTGGAGTTGCCTCGATGGCGCGGAAGTAGTATAGATTTTTTTTGTATAGAGCTTTGAAGGGACTTTGTGTCGTTGTGCTAGCCTATGTATTGCATTAAAAAATACTTACCTATGCTTGGGTTGTCGCATGCTTTTGATTCAAATGCTGTCAGTTTTTGAGAAATATGTCCCGGAGCTCTTGGAGACAACTAGACCACGAACGTATCGTGTAGGGCAATCGAATACTCGATATCCATGTACGGCCGTCCAGGTCTCCAACTTGTTCGAACTGGATATACAAAAATAAATCTTAGCTGTCAGTAAGTAGATAGACATAGCTCCAATTGACTTCCTATGGATAATTTCTTTTCCCTCGCCAAGCTTCCCCGCCCAATAGCCAGCTGTGCCAGCTATTCTCCTCGGCAACACCAGGTGACAAAGAACATGCTAACATGCTAAAACAGACAGCGTCCACAATACAAGTCTTGAGGTGTCTATTTTTGCCACTCCCCTCTCTTTCAAGCCTCTGTAGCAACAGGCCTGTCGCTTGGCCGTCACACAGCATCAACCAGTCATAAGCGTCGCAAGCCAGCCACAGGCCCCCTTCCCCCGGCTGATCAGAAAAGCCAAGATCGGTAAAACTACGGGGAGAAATCCATCGGGCTGAGTACGGTGAAGATTGACAGTGTAGATAGCTGTCGAAGAGGTTCTTACGCAACGCTGCAACTCGGCATTTCTTACCCCTGTCACTTGCAATCTCCTTTCACCCCGGTGTCCATCAACAGCACTTGCTGCCTGCTACCACAATGTCGCGGGTATATGGCTGAAGGTACGGAGTATATGAAGCAGATCGGCAGGCTATGATTTGAGATGCTCGACACCATCAATCGGAAAATAATTAGCTGTGGATGCGAAGCCTCAATTTGCGACCATGCAAAAGCCCCTGGTTCCACCTTGAAGCCCAACCCGCGCGATACGTCATGCAGGCCGTCCTCTACTTGGAAATTGGATGCACCACTGGAGGATGGCTGCTAGCTACACCAGCTAGCTACACTAAGAGAGTAGCTGCAATGCTACTGCACTCTCACTGCCAAGGCCGACATCATCTGAGGTTTTACAAACCCGGCAGCCCTGAATGGAGGGAGCACTGCAGATCAGTGGCTCCCATCCAGACCAACGCTATTACCAAGCACAACGGGGCTCGACCATTTCGCTTGAAAATCAACTGCAGAACACCATCACATACTGCCAAGTTGCAAGTCCACTTTCGATACATGCTCTGATCGGTCCTTGGTTCTCCTTTCTAGGCTTTTTCTCCGATTAAGTCCGGGCAAGCCCCGCCAAGATGTTTGTTGCAGGCTTTCGGCCGGTGGGGGATCGCTTCCTTGCCGTGCTGGTCGATTGCAACGATACTCGTCAGGTTATGTGATCTTACATTTACTGGTCTTACATGATTGGAAGTTCAAACTACTCGATTCTCTGGTGGATACCAAACCATCGGTGATTCGGTCTTAATTTTGAGACGGCCGGAGGACAAACGGTCTCCAGCTAGAGAATGTCCAGGATCTTTGTATCTGCAGGATACCGAGACTTGTACTTCTCTGATCAATTCGGTGTCCACATCTTCTCCACCAGGCGACCAGCCAAGGCGTATCACCAAGCTGGAGTTCTACAGTACTGTTCGGGCCCGCTGTTGCTAGAATAATCATCTCCCCGCTGGGTTGGCAGGCGCGAGCCGGTCGTGCCTGCACGATGCCCATGTGGTTTCCTTGGTCCTGCATCATTAGACTAAATGGGATCCGCCATTGGCTCTTTCCAAGATTGGCAGTCAAATAGATTCCATTCCCCCCGGCATAGCTTCTTCTTCTTCTTCTTCTAAACAAAACTTCCAACTCCCCCCAAGTTACCCACAAAGATTCTTATACTCGCTACTCGTCCATTATATTATTCCCTTTCGAATTGAGTTACCTCTCGCAGTCAATACAATGCGTGGACTTGCCCTCCTTACGGGCCTCGTTGGCATTGCCAATGCTGCCTGTCCTTACATGACGGGTGAGGCATCTGGCCTGCATCGTCGTGACGAGGGGGATGCCGCTGCAGGCACTGAAGATTTCTTGTCCAATTTCTATTTGAACGACGAGGACGCTTTCCTGACCTCGGATGTTGGCGGTCCCATCGAAGACCAGAACAGCTTGAAGGCTGGAGAGCGTGGGCCCACTCTCTTGGAGGATTTCATCTTCCGCCAAAAGATCCAGCGTTTTGATCATGAGCGAGTAAGTATCTCTTGTCTTTTGTGGAGGAAGGGAGCATCATTCACTGACATCAATTGACTTGACAGGTTCCTGAACGTGCCGTCCATGCCCGTGGTGCCGGTGCCCATGGTGTATTCACTTCCTACGGTAACTGGTCCAACATCACTGCTGCTTCGTTCCTCTCTGCGAAGGATAAAGAGACTCCTGTCTTCGTTCGCTTCTCGACCGTCGCCGGAAGCCGCGGAAGTGCTGATACCGCTCGTGATGTACACGGCTTTGCAACTCGTTTCTATACCGACGAAGGAAACTTTGGTATGTATCTTCTTCCCTGAAACCCCGACAGGACATACCTCTGACAGAATTTAGATATTGTTGGCAACAACATTCCCGTATTCTTCATTCAAGATGCCATCAAATTCCCTGATTTGATCCACGCGGTGAAGCCTCGGGGCGATAACGAAATCCCTCAGGCAGCGACTGCGCACGACTCTGCTTGGGACTTTTTCAGCCAGCAGCCCAGTACTCTGCACACCCTTATGTGGGCAATGGCTGGCCACGGTATTCCCCGGTCCTTCCGACACCTTGACGGTTTTGGTGTGCACACTTTCCGTCTAGTCACCAGTGACGGTGAATCCAAGTTGGTCAAATTCCACTGGAAGGGCCTGCAGGGCAAGGCCAGTCTTGTGTGGGAGGAGGCACAGCAGGTGTCTGGTAAGAATGGGGACTTTATGCGTCAGGATCTTTTTGAAGCTATCGAAGCCGGCCGTTTCCCAGAGTGGGAGGTATGTGCTGCCATCTTTGGTATACCTTCATCTTGCTAATGGCCCACAGCTCGGTGTTCAAATAATGGACGAAGACGACCAACTTCGATTCGGTTTCGACCTTCTGGACCCGACCAAGATCGTTCCTGAGGAATTTGTCCCCGTCACCAAGCTGGGCAAGATGCAGCTGAATCGAAACCCCAGGAACTACTTTGCGGAGACTGAACAAGTCATGGTACGTCCGCTGCGCCTCGATATTCTTCAACATCTGCTAACAATCCCAGTTCCAACCTGGCCACATTGTCCGAGGTGTCGACTTTACCGAGGATCCCCTCCTCCAGGGTCGTCTCTTCTCCTACTTGGACACTCAACTCAACCGGAACGGCGGCCCCAACTTTGAACAGCTGCCCATCAACCGCCCACGCGTCCCCATTCACAACAACAACCGCGATGGCGCTGGCCAGATGTTCATCCCTCTCAACCCGAATGCCTACACACCCAACACGCTCAACAACGGCTCCCCCAAACAGGCCAACCAAACCGTCGGCAACGGCTTCTTCACCACGCCCGACCGTACCACCAGCGGGAAGCTACTCCGTGCCGTCAGCACTACCTTTGAGGATGTCTGGTCGCAGCCGCGCCTGTTCTGGAACTCCCTAGTGCCCGCGGAGAAGCAGTTCGTTGTGGACGCAATGCGCTTCGAAAATTCCAATGTCCGAAGCTCCATCGTTCGCAACAATGTCATCATCCAGCTGAACCGCATCAGCAATGACCTTGCAAAGCGTGTTGCCGAGGCGATCGGTGTTGATGCGCCCGAGCCCGACCCGACCTACTACCACGACAATACTACGGCCAACATTGGTGCGTTCGGACAGAAGTTGCTGAATCTGGAAGGCCTGAAAGTCGGCGTTCTTGCCTCCGTTTCGAACTCATCATCCATTGCGCAGGGTGCAACTCTGCAGGGCCTGCTCAAGGAAGTGGGTGTCGACGTGGTTGTTGTCGGTGAACGACTGGCCGATGGTGTGAACCAGACTTACTCGGCAACCGATGCCATCAACTTTGATGCTGTTATTGTTGCAGACGGTGCCGAAGGGCTGTTCAACTCGAACTCTTTCACTGCATCTCCCACGGCCAAGGCCTCCGGTGCGAGCTCGTTGTACCCAGCTGGTCGACCCTTGGAAATCCTTGTTGATGCTTTCCGTTTCGGAAAGCCCATCGGTACCTTGGGCCAGGGCACCCATGCGTTGGACGATGCACAGATTTCTGGTGATCGGGACGGGGTGTACGTTGCCGATGAGATCGATGAGGATTTCGCCAACCATGTCAAGGATGGACTTCTCACATTCAAGTTTTTGGATCGATTTGCGCTCGATGAATAGACCATTAGAGTCACTCTATTTATATCCTCGCGATTGGGCGATGCTTTGCTTTTGGGTTGCCTCTATCACTATTATTATCTTAACTAAGTCACGCCACGACGGTTGTATGTACTACGTCCTGCAGGTATCAGAATCACAATGACACCAGGAATGGTAGATTATATTCTGCTCAATGCGAGAACTAAACCTCGGTGTAAACGTATATGTACAAATCATCTCGATCGATCATCGTCAACCCCTCCATGTGACGCTATCACAATCCACTCTTCATGGAAGCCTTCTTTTGGCGGCGATCCATAAACGATCGTGAACCAGCCATAGCAGCCGCATACCGAACATTCATAGTCCTCTTAGCATTTCCACCAGACTGCGTCTCGTTCTGACTTTGCCCAATAATCGCCCACTCCGCGACAGTCGCACCAGTCCCATTCTTCGCCTTAATATCAACCTCATCAAGAGCCTGGTTACCCACAATAAGCAGCGACGCATATTTAGCCGCCGGCACCGGAGAAGCCAACGTCACATTAGTAGTATTACCAACGGGGATGGCAATCGCATCCAAATTCGTCGTCCCCTCTTCATAAGGATTCGACAATTTGATATTGCTCAACATGCTAACCACCTGGTAATCCTTGCTCGAACCAGAGGCATACGCCTGGGCAGGATCATTAAGCGAGTTGTTGTGGAAGATCACCGTTGCATTAACGGGCGGAGCTTGCGCCCAATCGAACTTGAAGCCTGAGACTAATTGGCCCATCTCTGTCCCGAAGGATACGGTCACAGCACTAACGTTTGCTGCGAGTGCGGGTTGCCATTTCGTGGATGTGGCGCCGTCAATGGCGGATATGGGGAATTGACCTGGTTCGTAGGAATCGGTTGCTGTAATCGGTTGGCATTGGACCAGGTTTCCGGGGATGGTGTTTATATAGCCGATTTGGCGGTTTGGTATGACGATTCCACTGCCGCGAGCGGGTAGTGTGTACGAGGTATAGTTTGACTCTGGACCGGCGTGCACAGTTATAGATCCGTTTTTGAAACGGGTATCTGCCGTCGAGAGCGGTTGACTGTGTGCTCTGGCCAGCGTGGTGTGTGTGTGATTCGACCACGCGGAAATAGGCCATCCGCGCCAGTAGAAAGTGCGGTATTTCAGGTAGGGGATTTGCGGGGGCAGGTTGGGGTCCACGTGGAGGATGTCGTCGGGGAGGAGGCGGAGGCCTAGGTAGCCGAATAGAACTACTTGGTTGGAGCCGCCGTGGCCGGTTAGGAAGGGGAAGGCGGGGTGGGTGCCGCCGTTTGTGGTGGCGTTGTCGAGGAGTTGTTCGGACATTTGGTAGAAGGGGGCGCGGATGTAGGGTTTGAAGGCGTATTGGGCGTATGTGTAGGCTGAGCAGCCGGAGGGGGACATTTCGTTGGCGACGGCGGAGAAGATGGCCCATGTCATTGCGGGGCCGTCGGGGGATTGCTTGTTCGCGTACTGTGTTGGTGTTAGCTTGGACTGGTTTCTTTCTTTTTGGAGGGTATGGTGAAGGGGTACTCACGTAGTCGAGGTCGTTCAGAGAATCCTGGGCGCTGTAGTTGGAAGTGTAGTCTAGAGGGTAGGTGTTCAGGACAACATCGGCCTGCTTCACGACAGCGCTGCCGTTCATAGTGGTGAATTCCAGGGTGACGCCGTTCTCGCGGATGACAAGGACGTTCTTGGCCATGTCGTCCCAGGTTGTGTTCTCGGCGAGACCAAACTGCTGGCGGAATTTATTGGCGTACGTTAGAGTCTGGGCGATGAGCGGCATGGTGAAACCACCGGCGTCGACGTGGTTCGCATACTCGTCCTGGACATTGTTAGATTGTCATCAACAGAGAAGAAAGAGGGATCGTAGACTCACAGGATCAGTCATGTTCTTAAGCGTCCAGTAAGATCCATTCTGCACCAGCAGATCGGCGTACAGAGTAGCAGCCGAGTCATATATAGGGAAGAGGCTTTCCTGGAAAGTCTTGTTATCACCGCTGGCAACCCACTCGTTAATGATGGACAATCCAATGTCACCATTTAAGTGGTACTCGTAATCCCAGCATGGACCGGTAGCGGTACAATTTCCAGCCCGTCCACTAGTCCAGGGATAAATCGCAGCATCGGGTGAGAAGTAAGTTTGGTTCTGCGACCCGGCATAGGCAGTCTTGATATTCTCCTGTGCCTGGCCATACCTGTCCACGCGGTAATTGGTGATCCGTTGAGCAGACTCGGGGTGCGACGCGGCCAAACCGGGCTGCATCCAGACATCAGCGTCCCAGAAGACCTGGCCAGCGTAGGAGTCGGACGTCAAACCGCCGACGGAAATGCTGTCTCGGTTGAGCGTAGTGCTGTTGGACATTTTCATGGCGTTCTTGCCGACGGTGTTCTGCAGGAGGTAGTAGGTGTTTGCCACTGCGATCACGGCAGAATCGACAATGTGGCTATCATCGGGCAAAGTGCCGTTGGGGAAGGCATAGCGATCAACCGAGTCATCGGGCATCACGCTGGCCCACTCCACGACGTGAGTACGCAGGGACTTGTCATATCCATTCATGGCTGCAGCCGAAACTGCCGCCTTGGCAATATCCTGCGGGTTCGCAAAGGCATCTGTGGAAGCGCCACCAACGAACTTGGTCACACGCACGGTCTGTCCCTTCTTGAAAGTGACGGGCACAGTCTGGGCGATGGAGGAGGAGTTGTGGCTGACATATGGCTTGTTATCAACCAGCTTCCGCGAAGAAAGATCCACGTTGGAAGTAGCAGTAAGGTTGGCATAGATGTAAGCCGTGACGTTGGCGATACCATTTGGTCGCACAGCGGAGTAAATAGCTCCATTATCTTCGCCAGATTTCACAAAGTCTGTGCGAACAGCAGAATATCCCTCCAGGACATTGGCGATAGTTCCATTCGAGTCCTGGGAGGGAACAATCCGCATATCCACGACAGCCTGGTTGACATACAACTTGTTGGCAAAGAGACGGTACTTGATGTCAAAGGAACCATAGTCACCCTGGGGCTTCCACTGGTAAGACCAAGACAGGACACCAGCCTGGAAGTCATAGGTAGAGGTAAAGCCCGAGATAGTCGAGTTATCAACCTTGGCATCCAAGTAAGTGTTGCTGTCAAGCTCTAAAATCAAACCACTCCAGTGAGGAACACCGCTGATAACGCTGTCACTGCCGTACTGGGAGATCCAGCCAAAATTCGAGCTGTTAGTGGTAGGCTGGGAATCCCAGAATCCACTAATCGTCGCGAACGACTGACGTCGCGAGAAGAGCGGCCATCCGGAAATCACATCGCCTCCCATTTCAGCATCGTCCACTTCGAAGAAAGGTCCAACGCTGGCAACGTTGATACCGAGGTAGCCGTTGGCGACGGAGCCTCGTGATTGGAAGCGACCCTGTTCCAAGGTAGTAGTTGTCAGGAGCCAGTTGTCGTCATCCCAGGTTACGCCATCAAAGTCGGTCTGGTAGACGTTTTTGCTGGCATTGGTTGATGCAAAGGCACCATGGCCTGAATAGGTCTTCAGGCATCTGTTCACACGGCTTGCTGGGGAAGCCGCATCCGCCAGTGAGCCTTGGAGAAGCACTGGCAGTGCTGTCCAGAGGAAAGACTTTACAGTTGTTAATACTGGTTCATTAAGAGGATAGATGCATATTATAGAGTGTGTCACTCACCTTGAACTGCATTTTGCAGTCTATCCTCCCGTTGAGGACACTCAGTCTTGAAAGAGTGAATCGTCCGCTGGGTAAGAAGCGGGGTTCTTTCTGCTTATACTCCTGTCAGAAAGAGGCGGTGGTAAAGCGAGGAAGCAATGATGATAGACAGATGGAGGTGATGAAACCAACTAGATACAAAGATGTTAAAAGAAGAGTGACGATGCACTAGCTATTTAAATGCAACAACCCTTCAGTTTAAATTCAGGAAAATGAGCGCCGATCCCAGAACCACATGGCACTTGGACCTTGATCCAGCAGTACTTGCATCTCCAAATCGCTCAGGCCCATCTCATCCGTTGAGTTCAATGTGGGGAAGTAATCAAAGTTACTTACATTCACGTTGCAATGGGAGTTACGACACCAAAACTCAGTGAAGGCAAGTTAATAATACGAGCTGCAGATCCTCCCCAGTGGAGTCGTCAGTGCAGTCGCCCCGCCAAGCCGAGAGTCGTGGAGAATGTCGTATGAGGCTGGTGCATTCACCCAAGAGACTTTGACTGGGCAATTCCCAATAACCCCATCTTTTTTCTATTATTATGGGTGGCAACCGGAAGAACCGGCTAAGGTCGAACTCCTTCAAGGAATCTTTCCTGACATGACGATATTGGCTGACTTTGGGTTAGTGGTGTAAGTTTCTGGGGTTCGACTTGTGCCGCTCGATGCCGGTACTTTTCCATTTTAGTGTTCCGAAGATTCCATCACCGAGAGACTGGCCCAGTTCGGTCCCAGTAACCAGGCAGCGGCCGGTTGGGGAAGCGGCATACCGTCATTGAGCCCGCCAGGATCCTTGGAAGGCTTGGAAAAGTTTGGGGTGTGGGGGTGAGTGTATGGGGTCCGGGACGGCTCACTGGATGGGCCCATAAAATGCCCGACAAAAGCCCGTCATGGCTTTGCCGGGAGAGGCAGGTCCTTATGGAGAGGACGAAGGTTATATGTATGAGGGGGCCAGGAAAAGGGACGGTGCACGAGGTGCTTCTCCTGTGAACTTTCGAGGGAAATTAAATCAGGGGAATTGATGGATATGATGGACATGATAGAGGTATTCTCATTCAGTTAAGGTTGTGGTAGCTGTGCGACCGTCGAACGCCAAAGGCTTGGATGGGTGCCTGAGGCACTAAGTGGATTCCATTTCCCCATTCTCAACATTTTTCAGTTACAGTAGAGAGGTCCTTTCGAGACTGTTGTTTATGAGGTGGTTTTCTTTCCTATTCATAAATATTTACCGTACTTTATTATAATGTAGACCCGAGGATGGTCATTCACCGAGTAAACGAAGCAGGCGGCTAGCAGATTGGCCCTGCATGAACCAAACCATATACCAAGTAGGGTCACGACTCTGCACCTCTGAAAATAAGCGTATCGGGATCATGCGGGCATGCGTCAAATCCGGGTTCGATCTGACATGGGTGTTTGTCGAAGTGGAATCCGGTTCCTGATCGTCGTTGGGACTAAGACAAATCAGCTACCACCACGACTGGAGTACTACAAGTGTGAGCCCAGCAGGGCGTTTCGACATACGAAGAAAAGTGAACAGGATGGGTGTGAATAATTCTGAACTCTTAGTTGTCATAAGCCGGCTCTATCAAAGACAGCCAATCCGTCTAGGCTATGGTATGAATAGTGAATAATTCCAGTCCTCGAGTTGTCAGACACAGCCATCTGAGCGACCATCGGCGCTCATCAGTGACCAATGCTATGTTCGGCAATGAGCCGAGCGAACCAGCTCTCTCTCTTGCGCCCATATGGGCAGCGTGGTCATCCATAGCCGTGTATCATCGTGAGTAGTTGGGACTTGGAGTTCAGAGTCGCAACTCGATGGCGCGGATGAGAGGGAGGGCATTTGGTCGAGGCATTCGAGGATTTATCAAGCGAGGTATATCGCACGATATGAAGATTCCAGATCATGCTGTCATCATAGAATTGTCTCCCCATGTTCACCCCTCTTCTTCTTCGCTGTCTTCAGGAGCACCAGAATCGCCATCTGCTTCCGGGGTATCCTGGGTTCGCTGTCGCACATTGGTACTCGGTCTTACGCGACTCGCCTCCTCCACAGCTCTCTCGCCCACAAAGCTTTCTCCAGACCAGTCCTCCTTGCAGACAGGACATTTCTCCGCTTGTTGCATGCGGAAGAAATTGCGCACGCAGTGATCATGAAGACGACCCAAGCATTCATGATCATCACACCGTTGGCCCTATAAGCTGATAGTCAGTTCACCGCAAACCCCAGCTTCCAAGACAGATTCGAATCGCATTCTCACCACCGTAATAATATCCTTGCAAGCCGCGCAGAACTTAATACGAGGAGCCCTCCTCCTCCTCCCATCTTCTTCATCGTCATTATACGTCGAGACCAACCAAGTCCTTAACTCCATCAACGCCCGCGGAGTTAAACTCAAATACCCCTTCCGACTCTTCTCCAACCAACCCTCCGACACCAAAGACTTCATCATATCCTGCGCCTGCGTCATGGTCAAGTTCTGCGCAGCACCGCCTTCCTGCTGTGTTCCAACATTGGTAGACCTGCGTCGATCTTCGCCCGCTTTTGCCAGTTGTACGGCTTGCATCTGCGTGATGACCATCCCCTCGCATCGGCGTCTGTTATTTGTGTCGAACATGAAGTCGAGGACGCGCTTGACGAATGCGATTTCGTCAGCGGAGTAGGTCGTCGCGAGCTGGGTTAGGGGATCGCTTGTTGTATTGACGAGGGCGTATACTAGTACGGGGGGTGTATTTGGTGCGTCTTGGTTGGCTTCTTTTGGGTCTTGTCGGCGGGTGGTTCGGATTTCTAGGTCAAAGGGTGAAATGGCTGAGTTTGCGGCGTCTACGAAGGCGCCGATGTCTTCGTGTGTGATGCCCTCTGGGTCGACAGTGGTTCCTTCTGCGCGTATCGGTGGTCAGTGATGCTTTTGAGGACTAATGTGAGGAAAAAGGGTGATATTTACGTACGATTAGCAGAGAGTATCGCTGCTAGAACTGGTTGTGCCTCTTCAAAGGTCATGGTAGAACGTGCCATGAAGGCCTGTAAAAAGGCACGATTTCGATCATCGTATCCGTTGGTTTCCATGATGTCGAAGACTATGGAGAAGCTCTGCGGCTATGATTCCAAGTCGAAGAAGGCCTGTCGTTGCTTGTCTGCTCACTTCTTGAAATATGAAGGACGTGGTGGGACGCGATTTGACGCGCCGCGTGTGGGGTGCCAAGACTTGCCGGAGACAAAGAGTTGATAGTCCTTTGATGGCATCTACATCATCGGATATTTCCCAAACCGACGAAGCAAATCAATTCTGGATATTCATTAATTACTTTAAGTATTCCACCTTTTGATACCTCTGGTACTAACAATTCAAACATAGCATTTGGCTTGTGAACATGAGACTCATCCACAATAAACTGCATCATGTAGGTGTCTACTCTTAGTATTCGGAGCACAACATTCACCATGTCAATTACGATCGAGTATACATGGTGACAGATATTTACCATCAGCCCATGGTGGCAATTAGTGGTCAGCAATACTTTCATATGCAAGGGAACCGAATTACAAGTGCATACTATACAGGATTAAACGAGTCCTGGATGGCACTTAACTCACTAGTTTACCAAGTGGCTGTCGGTTAGGTGACTGGCGGCAGCAGTACAAAGTCATAGGCGAGCAATCATTATTCAACCGTGTTAAAAACGATACCTTGTAGGTTTGATATCATGAAGTAAAATACAAGATGCCAATCAGCAGAAGAAAATGCTGAACCCCCCTCGAAAGCGGAATCGAATTGCCCATAGGCCTCGCCCAACGCCGGGAGTATGAAGACAAGAAGATGAAAAAAAACCACATTTGCAAAAAGAGAAAAAGAGAAAAGAGACCACCGTCACTCAACCACTCAGCGCTTAGAATCTCCGTCGAGTGGGCTCAGGGGTTGGGCTGCGGCTAACGCTGCGAGCATCACGACCCCGTTCCTTGAGCCACTTCTTTGTGCTCAGTCGCAGCTCTCGGTCCAACTCGGGGCCGGGATCTTTGCGATGAATGAAATTGCAGAATCCCCCACGTACACATCCCTCCCCACTGTTGAGTCGACAACACGCTTCTCGGAAATCCGTCACGGGTGATAGTTCGCAATATATGGGTCGCGCAGCGTACCACCGGGAGTTCAATGCATCGCATGCTGCTTGTGCGTCTTCTTCGTACTTGAATCGAGCGTAGACGTTACCGATCAGGTCTGTAGAGAAAAAAGAGGAATGTTAGTTACTTGCGCCAAATGCTTCTCAATGAGATCAAATCCTCGAAAAGCCGGACTTACGGTCATTGTTGTTGTCACAGACAACCAGTTCCTCGAGTTCACCATATTTGCACATCTCGCACCATATGTCCTCGTAGAAAGCGTCGAAGTGATTCTGCAGCTGGCTGGGGTTCATCTTGTTCTTGGGATCGTAGGCCGGGTTCTGGTACATGTTCGGCATGAGAACGGTCTGCGAGTACGAGGGCTTGACGTGTTTGCGCGAGCAGCGGTCGCCGTGGCGGCATGCGCCGATCTTGTAGTAGAAGGAGCAGTTGACCTTATCCTGCTCGGTACCGAAAATGGAGGCGAGGTAGTTGGCCATGATGGGCTGATGTGGAGGTTTTTGGTCGCCGGGGTGAAATTAGGGTGTAAGGATGGAGAGGTGGAGGAGGTTCGCGAAGGGGAGGCGACAGAAGGCACGGAGCGAGAAATTGCGAGGGAGCGGACGACTGCTTGGTGATATCGGATGCCTGAAGATTCTGGAGAGCTCCAGTGGCGCAGCTGACTAAAGCCAGGGAGCTGTGGTCGGAACAACTATCATCCGAGGTACTCGGGCCTCGGAGATGTGTCAGGAATTACTATCCTTGTATATACTAGAGAAAGTGAATATGCAATAGAGAAGATTTGCCTGAATGAATTCATGAGCATTTGAGCTTCCGTAAGGTAACCATAGAAAAGTCATGATTGCGCAAGCCAGCAAGAGTTCAAAGTGACGAGCTGGTTTTACCTCACCACGGCTTCAGGAGCCGTTGGATAACGGAATACTAGACTAATATTCGAGCCATATCTAACTAGCCACAGCCAAATATCAAAAATTTCGAAATAAGACAAATCGTATCCCCCGTGAATCGAACCTCCATTTTTGCTTCCCCTATATACTTCGCCTTGTTCCTGCATCGCCATCCACGGACACCGAACAACATCGCCAGTCCCCAGTGCCGCCGATACAGCGATTTACACCCTCCAACATAGTCAAAAAAGATATCAGAGAGTTGAGATAAATTCAATATACCATTCTAGGATAAGTTTTGACTACCAGAAAAATAATATTACCCAAAAAAATCTCCAAAAAAAATCTCCCCCGCCTAGGGGTGTGCCCGGCCGTCCGTGGAGCTCGAAGCGTCAACACCGGCCCAGTACTTTCTTCTTTTGTTTGTCCTTTCCTCCAGGGCACACCAATAATTCACCAATTTACGGTGGATATCAACTAGGCCATCGGAGGAGGGGGAGTTGAAAGCCTGACCTGGAAGATGGTCATAACCCTTGTTTGATGCTTGGAATTGTCTTGTTGGGTCTTGGCTGTTTTTGATGCTCTACTTGCTGGATTTGGGGATCAAAGTATTCTCGACCCATTCTCAACCCTGGAATAGGTAATCTACCTCTACTCGTGCAAATTCTCCAGTCGATGTCACTTTTCGAGGTCGGGTACATGAAGTGGAGGGTCCGATATATATCCTTACATCAGTGACACTGAGTACATCCAAATATAGTTTTAGTGACCTTCCAGAAGATGGCACCTTGATTTATTTTTATAGCTTCCATATAGGTCATAGCTTTTTGGATTGCCCACAAAATAACTCTATTATTCAAACAAAGGTTTTAATTAATGCCGTAAACTAGCGCACCATGACGTCTGTAAGCAGAATGCCATCCATAGGTACCCCGCGGGATTATTAAGCCCCGCCCCAAACGGCCTCTTCAGTGTCAGCATTCTGCAGTTCTCATCCATCCAGTCATATCGAAGCGTTCCACGTACAAGCTTGCTTGTGTGTATCGTAATTCAAATTGTGCGTTTCTTGTTCTCGTCGCGGTCAATTCCCCAGCCACGTGCGTGCGAGGAATCCTTACCTCTTGGAAAGCCCGTGTGTGCTGTGATATCGCCGGCCACTGGCAGCAGGCAGGAACCGCCTTTGTCCACGGAACTTAATTTGTTGTTAGTCTACTGGACTCGACGCTAACCACACTCACAGCGTTCAATATGGCAGCCAAGACTATCATTGTCACGGGTGCCTCGCGAGGTCAGAGTCCACCCTCCATGTCTCCCCAGCTAGGACTGACAACCTCTCAGGTATCGGTCTTGCGATTGCCAAGTACCTTCTCACAGCACCCCAAGCACACAATGTTGTTGTGGTGGCCCGCAGTGTCGAGCCTCTCGAGAAGCTGAAGGAGCAGTACTCCAAGCAGGTTGAGGTGGTCAACGGCGACCTGGCTGACTTCTCTCTCGCTCAAAAGGCAGTGGATGCCGCCATCAAGTCCTTCGGCCAGCTTGACGGAGTGGTGCTGAACCACGGCATCTTGGGACAGGTCGGCAAGATTGCTGCCGCCGATGTCGACCAGTGGAAGAAAGACTTCGATGTCAACTTTTTCAGTTTGGTTGCCTTCGTATGCTATTGTCCTTCCACACAAGACTAGCGAACTGTGCCACTGACAAATCTACAGGCTAAGGCAGCTCTGCCTGCCCTCCGCCAGTCCAAGGGAAAGATTATCTTCACCTCCTCTGGCGCCGCTGTATCCGGCTACCCTGGTTGGGGTCTCTACGGAGCTACCAAGGCCGCGATGAACCACTTCGCCATGAGCTTGGGCAACGAGGAGCCCGATATCACCTCTGTGGCCATCCGGCCTGGCATGGTCGACACCGAAATGCAACGGGAGCTACGTGAGGACCACGCCACGAATCTCGACGCCGAGATGCACTCCAAATTTGCAGGTGCCCACAAGGACGGCAAGCTTGTCAAGCCCGAGCAGCCAGGTCATGTTATGGCCAAGCTGGTGCTGGACGCACCCAAGGACCTCAGCGGGCGATTCTTCTCGTATGTTTTACAGCTCTATGAAAACTCGGATGGTGCTAATAATACGCAGATGGAACGACAAGGAGCTCGAGGCTTTCCAAGAATAGATTTGAAAGTCATTGATTATAACTAAATTCGAGATCATACGGACTAGGAAACTGTACAGCAATCAGTACGAATGCCATAGAAAGCAATGGGTGCAATGTCAAGGGTAATTGAGGTGTAATCAGCCGAAAGATGAAAAGCAGGTACATTTTATAAGCATTAGGTGCAGAACACCTTCATACTTAGCATGGAATGTAGGATGATCATCATACAAAGAGTGTGTGTATTGAGAAAAAGGCATGATATTCGTACCTATTGTGTATACTCGAGAAAAGAGTGTGTTGGAACAGAATGAAAAGATAAAATTCCAAGCGAAGGCCCCATAATTTGGATCGTCACACCATCATCGAATTTGTGTTCCTAGCAATCTTGAAGAAGTCAGTCGAAGATTCTTCATAATCCAGTCATATGCAGAAGCAGTAGTAGACAGCAGATATCAGTTCGTCCGTTTGGCTAGGACAGTGTAATCACCACGGTTTGGTATGATAGGGGCGACAACGATGTTCATCATAGTAAAAAAGCAAAAGGGAAGTGACGAGGGATTGCAAGCTTACCATTAGTGACCAGCCTCAAGAGTGAATTCACATTGAAATCCACTCTTGAGGAAGTATCGAAAGCAGACTGTGGTTGATGAAGGAAAGAAAAGAAATGCAGGCTTGAAGAAAAAAAATTGAGAATAAATGTGGTTGCAGGCGGTGAGCATCTGCCGGCAGGAAAATATATGGAGCCGAGTCTTGCGCGCCTCGGGGCAGTATTTAATTGCTTCAAGTCCGCCCCACGCAGGAACTCCAAGAAAAAAAGAGCCACGCCTCAGCCTTGCCGCTAGCTCTCTCTTTGTCTTTCCTCGTGGCTGCGAACGTTATCTTTCATATATTCCATCTACCTTTACACATTTAAACACCATGTCCGATCGAGAGTTTGGTTGTAAGTGTCCTCTTTCAAGACTCATGACGTGCGCGCGCGCGCAAGCTGACATGTTTGGATCTCACTTAGCCAACGATGACCTGTCGCTTCCCAAAGGTATGACCAGACACTGCTGCAAACTTCATTCCAGAATCTTCCCTCTATCTGATTTGGATCTTTCGCTTTGGGAGCACCCTTTGTTTCCGGCGCCAACGCCAACGATCTAGCGCGTTTGGTTGAACTTTGCTAATAATGTTGACGACAGCGACGGTCCAAAAGATCATTACCGAGATCCTTCCTCCCAGCATGGGCCAGACCTTCTCCAAGGACGCGCGCGACTTGCTGATGGAATGCTGCGTCGAGTTCATCACCTTGATCTCGTCTGAGGCCAACGATATCAGCGAGAAGGAAGCCAAGAAGACCATCGCATGTGAACATGTTGAGAAGGCGCTCCGGGATCTTGGCTTTGCAGACTACATTCCGGACGTACTTGCGGTGGCCGAGGAGCACCGGGAACAGTTGAAGGTGCGCACGCACAATGTTATCCATCCCCAGATCGTTCTGAGTTGCAGCAGCTGACATTGTGTTCGGAATAGTCACGAGAGAAGAAGCAAAGCAAGATGGAGCAGAGTGGTCTATCCGAGGAGGAGCTCCTTCGTCAACAGCAGGAGCTCTTCCGGTCTGCAACTGAGAAGTACAACGCAGGCCCGGAATAAGATGACATCTAGTTCCATAACGAACTCATGCTGGTCATAGAGGAAAATGGACACCGGCGGGCGTTATTTTTGCTGTTTCTACGGGATGGTGCGGCCTTGGAGTTTTTCTTGATGGTTTTTTCATTTTCAGCAGCTACTCAAAGTGCATACAAGTGAGGCGCAATATCATTAATGACATGTTTTTTGATGCATTATGAAAATTTCAGACAATTTACCCGTGAAGCCCGATATACGACTTATATTTTCTCCCCTAGATATGCTAGTAGTCATGCCCTTGATTGAGCCTGATAAGTAGGTGTTCAAACGGAAAACTCAGACATTGCTGTGGATCATGGGGAAAAATGCTGAAACCTCTAGCATTATTATTTTGTGCAATATTCTAGTATATGGGAATCATTAAAATCTAAGTAGCTGGCGCAGTATACACGCTATGTAAAGATTTGGTTTCTGGAGCTGTCCAAATGTTTGCGTTGGGCCTCAGGCCACAAAAATAAGGCGCCCATAAAAACACGTGATCCAACTTCTCCCTTTTCGCCTCATCCACACGTGACAGCTTCACCGCCTCATCTTTCAGGCGACAATCTCACCGCCTTTCCACGTGATTATACTGACAAGACTCCTTTCACGCTAAGCCAAGATGGGAAAACGCCCCAAGCTCAAGGTTACTGGGAAGAAGAAGCCCAAGACCACCCAGAAGGAATCTCCCCGGAAAGATTCCCCCGAGAAGACTTCACCCCAGAAGGGCACGCAGCGCGAAGAGCCTCCCGTGTTTCTTGCTCGCAGACGCTCCAACATGCCACCCTTCAAGGATGAGCATATCCTGGTACGTGAAGCTTCATACCCTTGGTCATGTTATTTTCATCAGCAACAGGTTCACTAGCTAACACTCCCCCCAGCTGATTGCGCCAGGTTCGCAAATGACCCTGGCGCAGCTCGGTCTGCCGGAAACCTTTACGCCCGCGCGCTTTCGCTTCCCCACGCGCATGTTCCCTGGCCAGAAGATGGGAGAATACGAGCCTTACCGAATCCGCGAGCGACACCAGACAGTCAATACTAGCAATGGAAATGGCGCTCAAACCACCGACCCTCCCAAGACGGACGTGGAAATGAAGGACGCCGAGTCCGCTGGCCAAGATGGCACTGGCAACAACGAGCCTACTGAGAAAACCGAGAAGCCTGCCGGCGACAGCGCCGACGCGACCGACAAGACTGAGGCCCAGCCAGAGACCTTCTACGAGGAGGACGTGACTTCCGACGAAGGCGCCGTGTATCCGATCGTCAACGGACGCATTGTCCACTGGCCCAGCTTCTACGCCCTCCTGACTCACGTCTACAATGCACTGAGTCCCCCATTCCACACTCCGATCCTGATGATCGGCCAGCCAGTCTGGACCGCGCGCGATCGTGAGATGATCACCCAGTTCGTCTTCGAGAAGTTCAAGGTGCCCGCCTTTAATATCATGGACTCTGCACTTGCTACAATGTGGGGCTACGGTGTGCCGACTGCTTTGATTGTTGACATCGGAAAGACCAAGGCCGACGTGACTGCGGTGACCGACTTCATCCCCAACGAACATGGCCGAGGTATTGCAATGAAAGGATGTGGTGGTGATGCCATGACCGATCGACTCGTCGAGCTCCTTGGCCCGAAGGGCTTCACCCGCGAGATGTGCGAACAGCTCAAGCGGAGCAACATTGCCGAAATTCTAGCTCCCGGTACACCACTTCCCGGGGCTGCGGCTACCGCACACCAAGGCACGAATCCGGCCGCTGCTGCTTCGACTGGCGGACAGAGTGGAAATGACCTCGTTCCTCGTGGTCCTGGCGAGGGTACCCAGACTGGTACTGATACCAATGGAGGAGAGGACGAGGGTGTCCTGGACGTTGCTGCCATCGTCAGTGGTGACACTACCGAGTACCTTGCCAAGATCGAGAAGGAAAAGACCACCAAGAAGGGTGGTGCGGAACCCAAGCAGAAGAACGCCCCTAACCACCAGAAGGAGAAGGCGACATTCCAATTCGAGGAGTTTGTCCCATTGGATGATGATAACGCACCTGCCAGCGGTTCCCGCCGGTACATCCGTCACACGCGGGAAATTGAGGTTGGCGCCGAGCGCTTCCTACTTGCCACGCCTCTACTGAAGGTTAAAAAGCGTCTAACCAACGGCATTCTTGAGGATCTCGCTACTCAGATCCACCGAACCATCCTCGCCGTTCCGGATGCGACCAAGCGCAGCGAACTTTGGGATTCCCTCATCATCGTTGGATGCGGTAGCCGTGTTCGAGGTTAGTGATGATTGTTCTAGAATTTCCATCTTCACCCCTGTATTGGAGTTTGACTAACGGTTTGAACGTGTAGGCTTTGCCCAGGCTCTTCTTGGTGTCATCACCCAGAAGTACATCCTCTCCCCCTCCGCCACCATCTTCACATCCGAAATTCCCTCCGCCTTCAGCACTCCTCTCCCAACTGGCGGCACCAACACCCCGGCACCTATGGGGCAGCCTGGCCCCATGTATCACCCGGCGGCCCACGGCGTCAACCCCCTTCTCGTGGCTGCCACCCACAACAACCCTCCCATGGCCGGCGCCACCCCTGGCACCCCCGGTATGGACCCCAACATGTCCGCTCACCACCGCTCGACCGGACACTCGCAGACTCCGAACTCCGTCAAGTGTCTGAGGCTGCCCGACTATTTCCCCGAGTTCAAGCACGAGGGAAATCGTAACGCCCCGGGCGCCAGTCATGGCCCCAGCGCTACACAGGGCGGACACGGCGCCGAGGAAGCCACCTTCCTCGGTGCGCAGATGGCTGGTCGGGTCATCTTCGTTAACGACCAGGGAGCCACGAAGGGCTTCATGACCCGGGTCGATTACAACGAGAATGGCCCGTCCGCCATCCACGAGTTTGCCCTGGCATAGGTGGGCGTGACGAGTACAGCCGTGACGGCTGTGTAACGACTGAGCGTGTTTGATTCTTTTACTGTTTGATTCTCTTAATGGCTCCCTTTTCATCTGGAATATCGGAACATGGGGCGAAGCGGGTCGGTTTCTTGTTTTTTTTCTCGTTTTATTTTTTATTTTTTGAAAACCCTTGTGTTTTCTCAAGTTTCGTCTACATTTGTCTTGTGCTCGTATGCTTTGATGCCTACTAGAAAAGCGGGTTCATGATACAGGTGCTGGGTGGGGACTCCGGAGTTTCGGTTTGGTCTCTTAGACTAGTGTACACAGATTCATATGGGACATGAGTTAAATTTCAAGTTTCTCCTAACTGTATTTCTGAATATTTTGTATCATTGTAGTTGGATATGATCAGATCTATACAGCAGACCAATTGAGTAGCTTAAATTTGGGTGGGACCTGCCTTGCCTATCTGCACGTGACAGAGATTATCACTCGCGACGCCACTCCGCCCGCAATTTGTCACAGATCACCTCTGGCTATTCACTACAATCACCACTACCTTACACTTTGGACACGATCTGAGGTCTCAATACCCCAAATCCAGCCCCTAGATTCTTCAGATCTTCTCTCAGCCGGAGGATTCCGCCATAACAACACACATCCGCGAACATGCCACGCGCAGAGGCCGGTAAGCTTTCTTCGAACTACCGTTTGGTTGGTACAATCAGCTAACTTGACACCCAGGCAGCACTAAGGCCATTGGCAACAAGATCAAGAGCAAAGGTGAGTCTTTATTGGAGGATTATGAGCTCTTCCGGGGCGTTGCGCTCTTCCAGACGTCGAGCTATTGCATACCGAGGTTTACGAATACTGACCGGGCTCTTTGATCATTAGGATTGGGCAGATTGAGATGGTACTGCCAGGCATGGTAAGTCTCACAATTTCATTGCGGGGTCCACGAGCTGACATCGATTCGAAAGCGAACGGCAAATGCGCGACGAGAATGGCTTCAAGTAAGTACTTTCCCTTTGTCCAGTCTATTACGAGGTCCATGAGCTAACATCTGGTTCTACAAGGTGCCACGTCCAAAGTGAAGCGCATGTCCGACAAATGCTGCTCATAGGCGAAGATCCCAAGAAACACATTAAACAATTCTCCAACGAGTTCCAGAAGCAGTTCGTTGACCTCTTGAGAACAAGTACGCAGTGTCCTCCTACCCTGTTGATGATTTTGATTGCTAACATCTCCACAGCACACGGAGAAAAGCAGGTCAACGCCAATCATTTCTACCAGCAAGTCATCGCCGACAAGACCCACATTCACATGAACGCTACGGAATGGAAATCGCTATCCGCTTTCACCGCATACCTGGGAAGGAATGGAATTTGTCGGGTGGAAGAGACCGAGAAGGGCCTTTTCATCTCGTGGATCGATAACAGCCCTGAGACGATGCGCAGACGCGAGGCGGTCATGAAGAAAGAGCGACAAGATAAAGGCGACGAAGAGCGTGAGCAGCGCTTAATCCAGGAGCAGGTTGAGCGGGCGCAGCGCATGGCCAGAGACAAGGAGAAGGAAGAAAACTCCGAGGAAAGGTTGCTGCAGCGGGAAGAGGGTGAAAAGGTCAAGTTGAATTTTGGATTCAGCGCAAAGCCAAAGCCAGATGCCGCCCCAGCTTCAACCCAGACGACGACCGTGCCAGCGACGGACGATTCTTCTGATGCCAAGGATTCTCCTGCCCCGACAGACACAGGTGCCTCAACTCCAACTACCTCTCAAGCCCCAGCCAAAATCTCCATGTCCTTTGGCGGTGCGCAAAAACCGAAGAACGTGTTTGCATCGGGCCCCAAGAAGAACCCCCTGGCTGGGAGGAAGGGACCAGTGATGGCTCAGCCGAAGAAAATGTCAGAGCAGGAGAGGATTATGAAAGCCGAGATGGAAGCTGCAGAGCGCAAGCGCTCCAGGCCGGACTCTGTGTTTAACTCTAAGCGGCCGAAGCTTGCATAGGCTTTCTTGTGTGGTTGGGCCAGTGTCGTCATTGGGCGTTTGTTCGGTTCAAGTTACTTCCTTATTATACCCTGCCTCCTGCACGAAATAGATGAGATCATTGTTCGTAATACAAACATAATTCATACTTGCAAAGTCATGCCACCTGGCCCTGATCCATATCTGGTAGCCTATTCTGGCCCATATTGGGACTTCGAGTTGCACCACCCGCTCTTTTCGTTTTCATCGGAGAGACTCCAACAGTGAATCCTTTCTGTGGTTTGTTCAAAACGTACACTATGAAATCAATAGTAAGTCCGAGAAGAATGAAACTGTACTACCGCGGCATCACACAAAGCAAAAACATTCAACTCATCCCTTCACTCGGAGTTTCCATTGTGGCTTTCCGCGATTGCAACCTAAACACGGCCCCGCTTCAGCCACATCTGCATCTATGCAGATCATCCTCCTCGGCTTTTGACGAAAGACCGAACGCAAACTCGCGCATGCCCCTTTCGCCCTCGCGCTCAAGTCGGACCGTCAGCGGTGGTGTCACCGAAAGCGGGGGTTATCCATAAAAGTAGTTCTCTTAACTATCGCAGGATGCAATAAGTGAGATAAATCCTCCGAAGTTTGCATTCCATCTTTCGCTGGAAAAAGCAGCACAAAGGTCTGCAGCGAGTTGCAGTTCTTCAGTCATGGAGGGTTTCAGCAATATCCCGATGATTTTGAGTTCTTTGATTGGGCTTTTTTGTCTGGTACGCTGCTATTAACATAGGTGATATGGGATCGGGCCCAAGCGGCTAATTATACCCACAGCATGCTTTATACAGACGGGTTGCTAGTCCACTCTCCAGGATCCCGGGTCCCGAGAACTCGAAATGGACAGACCTGGTGTATATCTACTACTGGTTGAACGGCCAAGTCCCATTCTACATTCATCAGCTACACGAGAAATATGGTCAGTAGCTTCTTGAAGACGTGATCGACCTAGTCCTTTGTCTGTTACCAAGCGACTAGCCCAGAAATAAAGTGCTGACCAAAAGCTTGTCCCAAACAGGCCCGATTGTTCGCACCGGCCCTAGCCGCGTTGACATCTGCGACATCAGCGCCGTCAAAGAAATCCACAGAACAAACAGTCGTTTCCTGAAATCGGACTGGTATCGCAAGCTCGTTCCTGGTGGCTTCGAGAATATGTTCACAACTGGAGACCCACACTTTCATTCTGCGCGTCGGCGTTTGCTGGCGTCGCCTATTTCTGATTCGTCGCTTACGCGGATGGAACCTATTATCTTGTCTCGGGTGCAGATGGCTATTGACAGGATAGCGGAGGAGATGGGGAAACGGGGGGTAGCTGATGTTTTTAAGTGGTGGTTGTTTATGGCGACGGATGTTATTGGCGAGCTTAGTTTTGGGGAGTCGTTTCGGATGCTTGAGGCTGGAGAGGTAATATCTCTTGTGACCAAAGGAAATTTCGAGGAAGACGGCTAATCAGAAACAACTTGAACAGAAAACTCAATACAGCTTGGATCTCGAACATATCTCCAGCCTCCAGCCCATTCGAACTACCTTTCCACTCCTTGTCAACTTAGGCAGATACCTGCCGCTCCCAGTCTTCAAGAAAACAGCAGACGCAGGGAAAAGACTCGGAAGCTACTCATTCAAATCCATCGAGCGATACAAGCAAATGATTGCCGAGAATCCAAACGACCCAAAGCCAACCCTCTTCACAAAGATATTCGACTCAGAGAAAAGTGGCCTCACCCTGGAGCAGATCCGGTCAGAGGCACAAGGGTACATCGTCGCAGGCAGCGACACTACTGCTGTAACATTGACATATCTCATCTACGCAGTCTCTCGCGATACCCGGGTCCGAGACAAGCTAGTCGAAGAATTAGCGAGCTTACCCGAACCAGTGGCTGACCGCAATCTGCGTGATTTGCCTTACTTGAATCAAGTCATCAATGAGACACTCCGATTGTATACCGCAGTCCCATTTGGTCTACCCCGGTCTACCCCTTCCGAGGGAGCCAACTTTGATGGATACTTTGTTCCAGGCGGAACTACAGTTTCCACCCAGTCTTACAGTATGCATAGGGATCCAGCGATTTTCCCAGATCCAAATGACTTCAAGCCTGAACGATGGGAGGATGTGACAAAGGATATGAAAGATGCGTCGTTGCCTTTTGGAGGAGGCTCAAGGGGTGAGTGTTGAAAAACGCTTTGGAATTTCTTTTTGTTGTCGGCGCTAATTATGTCGATAGTTTGTATTGGATTGCATCTCGCCCGCATTGAGCTGCGTCTTGGTGCAGCACTTTTCTTTCGCAAGTTCCCTTATGCGCATCCTTCAACTAAAGAAGGTATGTCGGAGGAGGATATGGTTATGAAGTCTTTCTTTTTGATGGCTCCGCAGGGACATCGGTGTCTTATTGAGGCTTGACTGCTGGAGGGACCTTTTTCATATTGCATATAGCCAATTTGCACATGACATTAGCGTCCTAGGAATTTGATTTTTGGTTTAATGGGCAAGTAAATTCTCTGGTATTAGAATATTATTTTGACAGGCCGAGCAATCTACCGCCAATAAGATGTCTAAAAGGTGAGGCCCATATCTTGCATGCAGCATTCTCTCGGTGATAGATATGAAGGCACACCACACAAAATATATCTACACATACTTCTTTCACCTGTACAGGGGCGAAGAAGGCCCACTATACTATGATCATCTCAATTTATACCACAGTCACGAATTTGGGCAATGATTAAGCTCATAATCGGTGAAAGCGAAGATCATCTAGCAGATTGAGGCCCTTTCTTCTTTGTAATATTCAAACTCTTCTCTCGTCTTAGCTGCCATCTTCAAAAAACTTCCGCACGTAGTAGCAAACGAGCCAAACATAGAAAGCGAAAGAGCTAACATTCAGTCATTAGCTTATCCTTATAAGACAAGCCTCGCCCCTTCCCAGGGCCAGTTCTAGATTAACCTAATGATGACTCCCCTACAAATTCCATCTTACATTGCGGATTACCTTCCATACTTGATCACAGATTACCTTCAAGGCTACACCACTAATCACTTCCCACACCATATCAAAAATTCCCTGCCCCAAAACATCGGAGACTGCAATAAATTCCTTGACACTATCCAAAATACATGTGTCCCCTTGAGCTCCGTGGTAACTGCGATCATCATATACTCCGCCATCGCACTCCTGCTTTCTTGGTATGCTGAACTCGAAATTTCAGAAACACAAGTCACACAGGAATAGTCTTGCTCATCTACAACCTTGTTGTTACAGCCTAAATATTTTCGAAGGAAAGCGCACAAGACGTCGGAATTTGCGACACGGTAATCAACGCATTCTCTATATCACACCTATCAAACAGATGCACTAACATATCTGCATGACATGAAGTTCTCGACTACCGCCCACCGCTCAAGTTGCCATCCGTATTCTGTGATCGTGCGAATGAAAAGTCGACACCTTGGAAAGATCTGAGTACTACGAATGCCCCGTGTTTAACGCTCGATCGGAGAATGCAGCCCCTTCCAGCACCTGAGCCTCCAGCGGCGTTTCACGGGTTCAGCTTTCGTCCAAGATGAAAAGCGTCGGAATTGAAAAGTGCCGCGGGAATTTATTTGAGTCATTAATGTATGCGAAGAGATGGCACGATTATTGCTGCTTGGTTTTTGATCACTTGGATTTGATAACCCAGTGGTTTAAAGATGATGGAGCTGCCTCACAGGTCTTATTGTGTGCAGTGTCTGAAAAATGGAATGGAGTATGGTCCATGAATATCTGACTGAATTATAGTGCCCCCTGAAGTAATGGAATCTATAATGTGTTTTATTGCCTCAAACTCGTCTACACACTCACTGCCTAATATAAAACTCAAGAATACTCAACAAGGGCCTGCTTCGCATGCTTCCCCATAATTCCTCGCCATCTGATCCCGCCAATCATCACCCAGCTGACCCCCGAGAGTTAAATCAATCTCTCGCAATATCTCATTACTAACATCCCTCCAACCTTCCATGCCGTGTTTCTCCTGAAGCCAAGCCAGCGGCGTAATATCAAATCGATGACCCGCCCATTTCCCCCGCGTAATATGATCACCGCCACCAATCTTCTCAGGTTCCGACGACCAAGAGATCCGCGAGATCAACACCTCCGCAAAACCAAAGACTTCAATCTGAGGACCGTGGATGAATTCCTCTTTGAGTGCGATTACTTCTCCCCGGACGTATTCTCGAGTCGTCAAATTACGCAGTATCCACCGCTGATCCCGCGGATAGAACTCTAGAATCTCGGGCTTGAGACCCATCATAATTTCTGCTCGATTTGCGGAGCCCATGTAGTGACTTGCTTCGTAGTCGAGGAACCATCTTTGGAGTCTTTGCGATAGTGGTGGCCCGCCGATCTTTTTGTAGGTGTTTCGGATGGAGAATGAGTTCAGATCGTACACTTTGTTTAGTTCCCTGACCTCTTCGGCCTGAGTCGCGTTGAGAAGACCGGGTGGAAAATCGTGCGGGTCGCTTTTATCGCTGACGCACATGATCTTCTCGCCGGCCCATGGCGCGAGAGAATTGATAATGTGGTCTTCGATATGCGAGAGTCCGACCGCCCAGAAGTATCGATTCGTCAAGCTGAATCTCAGCACATCTTCCACAAAATCAAGGTATGAGAATATCTGGTGATGAATCGTAGAGGGAAAATTAAGAAGTGATTTCGGGCTCGTCATGCTGATTTCTGTTGCATTGTGACGCTCGATTCTTGCGGCTTTGCCGGAGTGGTTCTGGGAGAGACCGTCCCGTCGTGTTTGCTTTGAGCAGATGAAATCACCGTCTTCATTATCTTCGGCATTTTCGCCCGGCACGAATCCGTCAATTTGCTCACTGGAGTAATACAGTTAGCGCTGGTCAATAGCTTTGGGTGTTATGATCGGCCGACCGGTGGGCATTAAGTGGAACTGCTAGGAGTGGAACGAGTCCTCCAGCGCTGTTTGAGGCTAGGGCGTCCATCCACTCGCCTAGGACGCCAGTTGTTTCTTTGCGCGCGGGTGCAATGACTTGCCAGTGCTGGACCATGAGGAAAAAGCCCAATTATTGGGCTGTGCAAGTTAGTGTTGCTGTTGAGAGAATCAATTCGGGATACGGTCGTGGACCTTTAAGCCGGTCAACGTCAGTGATACGTAAAGCATGCCCCTATGTAATTGATCTATACACGCATTAGGGGAAACTAGTTCTCTAAAACACTCTGAATCGCTGCTATCTGGTATAATACAATAATTCAAGCCTTGTTATCAAGTCATGAAATTTCCAGTCCACCAAATCTAAGCATAAAACCTTATTACCTTATTTAAACAGCAGGGATGTACATTTCAGCACTCCACCAAACACCCAAGCACAGCTGACTTGATCGACCGGTATGAATTTGTAATTTTACGTTCCGGTTGCACTGGCCGAAATGTCCACCGCATCCTTGACTAAACCAAGCACGGTTAAGTCAGCCTCAAGTTATCCAATCTTATTGGATGCGTCGTCAAGAGTCCCCCCTTCCCCCCTTCCGCCCCACGACCAACCAGCAAGGCCCAGGCAAAGCTGAAAGCTCCCTGGAAAGAAACCCCCGCTCACCCGCCCGCCCGCTGTAATTCCTGACTCAGGAAATCTCCCAAGAATCCCCGGTCTTCCTCCAGTCCCAGTTGGAATTGATATCGGCTCGAACAACCCCCGGGACGAGAGATCGTGCAGGAGCGAAGATGGGTGGCATTCCGTGGCAGAGTAAAGGATGCAGGACGTGTCGGAAGCGGAAGATCAAGGTGGGCGCCCGCCTTTTATCTTGTGACGTGACAGCCTCGCGATGGTGACTGATTGGGAAAGTAGTGCGATCAACAAGAACCCGAGTGCGCACGGTGCCTGAAGACGGGGATAAAGTGTTTGGGCTACGACAGGGACCGATTCTTCGTTCATCAGGTCACTACAAAGCCCAAACGATCCACTAATGCTGGCACTAGTGGTGGTGCTGCTGCTGCCGATGGTGGTGCTGCCAGTGGTAGTGGTCCTTCCAAGGGCGCGGGGAAGCTTCAAGTCATGAAGCGCCCGCCGCCGCACCCGCAGCAGCCATGGATTATGCCGCAGTTCGTGGCTTCGGGCCCAGCAATGCGCAGCCAGATGTTTTCGGAATTTGCCAATATCTATTTCCCCCAGAGTATTGATACTAGCTATAACCTGGATGTGTGGCATTATCTGATCTCGGGCTTCTCGGCGCTGCCTAAGAAGACGCAGATGTTGGATAAGGCGATTGCGGCGTTGGCTTGTTTCTACTTGGGCAAGCTGCGAAACGATAAACGTCTTTTCCATCATGGCATTCAGTTGTACAATAGTGCCATTCGACATCTTTCCACCATGATGAGTCAAAACAACTATTGCGACGATATTGTTTACACTACGATTGTGTTTCAAGAAATAGAGGTATGCACCCCCTTCTCCCCTTTGTTGATCGTGCATGATACATCGAATTTTCCAGAAGATAAAGATCGATCGAAGCTAATACGCATGTCATCTAATAGTCATGTTACTGCCCCCATGGGCTGCATGTATGGGTTGCGCATATTGCAGGCACCAACGCAATCCTAAGGCATTTTCGTCGAAAAGCAGGGAGGAACCCTTTAATCGACGCCATCTATAATCAACATCAAAAGCTACGAATAGTATGTGGATGTCTCATTGCCTCTATCAATTCCCACAGAACCTCTCGCTAACTATCCCCAGCTATTCTCAACCACCGGCACGGGCATGTCCCCAGAAGATTACGACTACCTCACAAAACCCTGTGACGACCGTCCCGTAAACGGCCTAATGAAATTCTACGGCGAGGCCTCGCCCATCGTGGACGCAATCAACACCGTCGACGCCTCAGACCATCAAGCCTGTCAAACAGTTCTGACAAAATGTATTGCCCATAAAGACGCCCTCATGGCATGGTACGCCGCTCACAAAAAGGATTTCGGCGGCGGACCCTCAGAATGCGGACCCGGCACAATTCTCAACCCTCGACTACCCCCAACAGACAATCTATTCGGTGCATCCTATCGCTTCTCATCACTCGACAACGCAAAACTCCACATCGTCTTCTGGGTCGCACTCTCCATCAGCCACCGCATGATCTACGAAGCCCGCGGCCTGGTCTTATCCCACACAAACACTAACCAATCATCCACACCACCAACCAACCGCACCCAAGACGAAGACCTACTCCTATCAATGTTCTATCACGACGAAATCGGCCGGTCCGTCCCGTACTGTGTCCAAGATAGCATGAAGTCATGGGGCTTTTCCACGCTACTATGGGGACTAAGCCAAATCCTCAATCCCTACGCTGAAGCAGGGAATTGGGAGAAATTCGCTTGGTGTCAGAACGCTTTGATGCTTGGTTCTGAGCGGGGCTATGAGTCTGCGATTCGCCTTAGTGAGATCTTTTGGGCTGTGTGGCACCGGGTAAATCCTCGGCAACAGAGGTTTATGGCGCTGGCGTTGAGGGATTTCGATCCTCAGTATTTGACTATTCCGAAACAGCATTATATGGAGCTTGTGGATAGGACGGTGGAACCGAATCTGTTGGATGCGCCGCCGGAGGAGAGTTTATAGGGGTTGTAGTCTGTAGTTTTTTGAACATCTCGATTGGCGTTGTTTATTTTAACCCGGAGAAGAATCTCCCCGTCATAAATGTCTGTACAAAGTGGATTCTCTACTCAATCACCTCTGGAAGGGATGTCAAATTGTTCAAATGATCCCATCTCAATGTACATAATCTCCAATCATAACTCTAACTCTCAACCATTCGTTCCACCAGAATATCCAATCAACAATTACTCCCATCATCACAATTCTGATCACACCTATAAGTCCCAATCCAAGCATCATCCCCATAAACATCCAACCCCATCAACCACCCATTCAGCACCTGATGCAAATAATCCAAATTCTGCGGCACCCCATTCGCCCTCCCCTCCTCTGAACATGGATAATCCACCGTCAACCCCTTATCCCCATTCAACCCACTCCCCGCCGTAAACCACCCATTATACGCGCCAAATGCCTGAATCGCATTCCCACCCGCCGCATCAAGCTGAGACTTGAGATAATTTGTGCCCGCGTCCACGTTATCCTGGATGGAATCCGTGCATACCCCGTTCGGGTAGTTGTCGCAGGAGACCTGCATCAGGCCAGGGGTGGGTCCGCCGGCAGAGGCGTTGCAGGAGGATTCTTGCATGGCGATTACGGCGAGGATGACGGGGTCGATTGTGTACTTTGAGCTGGCGGATTGGAAGTATTGGTCGTACTGGGCGCAGGGGGAGCCGATGGTGGCGTAGAATTGGGAGAGGGAGATGTGGAGGACGGAGGAGAGGGCGAGGTAGGGCGGTGTCCAGCCGGTGCTGGTGAGGCCGGTGTTTAGCCAGTCTTCGGAGCTGGGAGGGTAGTTAGTGGTGATCTAGGAGTGAGAGGCGATGGAGGGAGATGGTGTGGGTGTACCCGTTTGGACCGGTGCTGGGCGTCACGTCGTCGGTTGCGCCTTGGGCGTTGGGGTTGCTGCCAACGCCGGGGTTGGCGGATTGGGCTTGGGTTGTAGTAACCATTGCTGCGAGTGCTGTGAGCAAAGTGGGCTTGAGAATCGCCATTGTAGTCTTGTAGAAGGTTGGATGCGGTGGTCAAGAAGTTGCGGTGCTTCCAAGAACATGTCTGGAGCGACTGAGAGGCGATTTTTATATTCGAGCATGGCATTGCAGCAGCTGACTGCTCTTGTACGGATGTAGTCTCCAGCAGCGACAGACGATGGTCGCAATGTTTCAGCTTCTCGACGATTTTCCCATCTGGGCAAAGCTGATCGCGGACGTCGTATCTGGAGAAGACGATCAGCTCGTCAGCAACCAATTTCCTGTTCGGGTAATGGTGATCACTCAGGCTAAGATGCGCTGATGTAGGGGTTTAGATTTCCCGCGCGTTGTTATTGGAGGAGCAGCATGACGGAGAGTGGATGCGTGGTGTGGATGGGATGTTTATTGGCGGAGGGAAGATGATCGCGGGAGTGGTGGGGCTATCAAGCCTCGGGATCAGGACCCCATATTCTTGATATGGAGTATCAAAATGGACGATGTAACAAGGATCAGCACGGGAGAAAAGTGTATGGAGGCAAAGAGTGGGAAATGGGAAGGGGGTGGGAATAGAAACGAAAACAAATAAAATACCAAAAGTTAGATAATGTAAAAAAATCCCCACACCTCACAGTGCTTTGGAGGGTCCTAGACCGGTATAGGCTCAAAGATCGCAGACGCTGATCCCACACACTGAGGGTCCCCTTGATATAGGCAATGTTACTAGCTACGGGCGTACTGGGACCAGGAAGGTAACCACAATGACTTTTCTGCCCTATGTGTAGTCTTGGCAAAGCTTCCGACACCTCCCCAGGTGACGACTGACCGAGGAAGTCCTGCCTCCCTCCCGGGTCCGTTGCTTTGGGGTCGAAGGTTAGCCACTGCCACTTTCACCTTAATCACAGGGAGTGCAGGGGAGTCCAGACATTACCACTCGACTATCGGAGGGGGTGGATTTAAATAGACAACTTTTTACCCTATATAAGTTCTCTCCCATTCCCCATTGCGAATGAATTTTGGTAATTCCACCGCCTTCCTATGGATTGAATTCATTAAAATTCGAATGGTAGTCTCAAAATGGCCTCATTTATCTCTCATTCGAGTTTTAAGCCATTCTGATCGCTGGTGATCGAGTAATGGGGTGTGTAAGTAGAGGACGTGCCATCGTGGCTGATGCTATTCCCAGAACTGATGTCGTAGCCATCAGGCGAATCTCCCGCCAAATCGGGAAAGTTGCAGGTTCAAATCGACCGAGCTCCACTGCGGCTCACTTTCTTTTTCGGAAATTATTTCCCTGCCATTTCTTGGCGCCCACTTGCGAGGAAATTGTATTGCATCTCCCCAATACGCGGAGACATCAGAGGGAGCATGTCGACCCATACATACCCCCAAGTTGTTCTTCTCATGGTTTATGAGCTACAGTATACCTCTGCTAACTGGCCGACTCCCGCAATGTTGGATCACCACGCCCGGGTTGTGTTTTGTTTTGACCCGCCCTACACTGCCTGTTCCATGCACGGCAGGAGCTATGGACATAATAGAAGCGAACCCCATTAATTCCATGATATCTATTACGCCATAATGATAATTTTGTACACCGTTATTGAATATCATTACCCACCATCTATCATGTTCTTGTTCGCACTATCTACCGAACATTGCTGACTTTATATCTTATACTCGATCCACGTTGGTCTTTTCCGGTTCCCGGTCTTCTTGGCAACTTTAATTAGACGTGACACATATAGCTCCCCTGACGTATGTACACACTCCCATCTCATCCTCTTTAATTCCTCATCCACCGAAAAATCAACAATTACAAAATCAAAGCAACAAAAAAATAATTACCAAAAAAAAAAATAACAAAAAAAGTGAAGACCGAAACCGCGCCGCCCAGGTGGGACAGTGGCCCAAGTCACCCGCTAACTCCGCCCCACTGGCCGTCAGGTAATGAAACTAGACGATCATGGAGAGAGTGGAGTCGATTCTGCAAGTACACCGACACCACCCGGTTTCGAACCTCCCACCGCCGGAGGTTTACGACGACCTAGATGTTTACCAACTAGGCCACCGTGGGTGTCTTCGTTCACCGTGTCAAGGCCCAAGCTCCACGAACTTCACTCCAAAGGCGTACTGCTTCCAAACTCCCCAAGTACAGCGGCCGGGGAGCTTCAACGAAATATCCGAGATTCGACTTGTGCGTATTACCCGAGAGCGCAAACCCCGAACTTGAAACCGAGACATGGACTGCCGACACGCGCCGATGGTGGATTTACACTGGTTGGGCCGTGATTCTCTACCGGTGGCTTCGGATTGAAGTATGGAAAGGCGGGCAGAAAGGGAACAATGCCTCAATTCTGTCTTTATACCAGCAATCTCCAGCGGAATACTCGACAGAGTTTGTGACCAGGGCGAAGACTACCTTGCTGGCCTCTGGGGGAGTGGCTCTCCAGCCAAGGCCTAGCGTTCCCAGGACATGCATGTATACTCCACAGCATGAGGCAAGATCCTCGCTGCCTATTGTCATCAATCCAAGCCAGCATCTCTGGTATGCACCAAATGGTCACAAAAGAGTTGGCGATGCCCCCACCGGTGATCTCAAAGACGTCGCTATGAACGGGCTCGAAGCGGGAAGGGCCTGCAGCGGGGGATCAGGATTGCTGAACAAGGCTATACCGATGGAGTCACCAAGGGTGGCAACAAGATGGGTTCTCATGATGGTGTCGAGAGGATCTGGATCTAGAATCATGCTAACTGTCATAGCGTCTACCAGAACCTCATCACACCTGACATCCGGGTAACCCTGAACCACCTCGGCAGACGGCTTGAGCCAGCGCACTATACCATTCATACGGTTGAGCTTGCTTTGGCGTGTTTGCTGGCCAGTGGGAATGTCTTGCTAGGGAGCGCTATAACCACATGCCACTGCTACGTCAGAATACACAAGGAGAGCTGGGAGATCTGCTTAGCATTTGACTGCTAGCCATTGTATTGGGTAATAAACAATTTATACGGATGGAGTCCTCCACACAACGAACAATTCCATGCTGTATATCGAATACCGAGCCCTTTAGAAAGATCTTGCAAAGCCCAAGAAGTGGAAGTATACCTATTCGGTGATTCCTCTGGTCTCTAGACTCAGACTTTTGAACTATCACTGTATGAGTCATCGTTATAATAGGTGCTGAAATTCTCCATGAAACCCATCGGTGCCTGGTGCCTGCAACTATGTATCCCGGCAAGCTGATACAGTAGGACATGCAAGAATGGGGTTATTCTACCAACGGGAACCAATCCAAAACAATGATTTGAATCAGTTTAGGAGATAAACGAAGCGGACCATGCGAGGACACGTTAGGGTGTCCTGGCTTACATGAGTAGGGAAGGGGACTTGAAGCTCCCGATTCTCAAAATGATATACTAGAAACAAGGAAGCCACGACACAAATAGTATTTCGAACGAGGTTTACTACCCCACTTCATTCAACACCTGATGGAGTTTCCCTCCCGAGGAAACCCCTGTTGGATTTAGACCGCAGGTTCTTGGCCCAGCGCGCGATTGATTGCTTTGGCCTATTTAGGCCTTGCCCTTCTTTGTTTTACTTATCTTCCTGCTCCTTAGAGCGAGACACTTCTCTTTGGATAGTCGAACTGAGATTTTTTCCTTGCTTCAGGCTTCCTTTGCTTGCCAACGCCTTATTTTAAGGCCACCGCGAGGTTCCCAGGCGATCGGCGCTTGGACCACACGTCAACTCACGCTAATCAACTTTGGGAGTCCGCAGTCCAGCACTGACTCACGAGGTGAGGCTGAAGGATAAAGCTTAAGCAACCATCTGTGGGTACAAATACCTTGCCCATTCGCTCAGCATTTTACATGAGCATTCGTATTTACTCTCCTCACAGGTCGCGATCGGCTTCATCCCAGCTGCCATGGAACGAGTCAGGAAAGCCTTCTTCAACCCTCTCGCAACCTCGAAGGCCCAGATTCAAACGATCCTTGAAGATCTCCCGGTCGGCTCTGCACACCCATTCAGCCCGGAGAAAATCCTTCTTTGTCGGACAGAAAATGGCATCGAAGAAATCGATATCTCTTCCTACCCGGAAGACTTCTTTTTCAATGCCATGGACTTGGGCGAGATGGGCGAGGTCCTTCTAAGGCGAATGGCCGGCTTCGAGGATCATCTGAGTATGCCTTCTCTTTTCAATGAGTACGTGGATGGTGAAGTAAATATTAACAACATGCAGAGGTATTTGAGGACTTTCAAATTATGCAAGCACCAGCACCAACATTCAAGATCCCTGTCGTCTCAGATCAAATTACGATTCTGGCAGTATCAGAACGAACACCCACTTACTACGACTTCTGCTTCGCGGATAAATCGTGTAATGCATGCTGCTGGCTTGCAAGAACTACCTTCCCGGGAATCACCCACAGTGGAGATATTCTCAATGGAAAGGATCTCCTCGATTACGTCAAGATCAACCAGAACTCTCTAACAGAGAAAGAAATCTGCGTGTTTATCTCCGGCTATCAGTCTACACTCATCACAAGGTTCCTGGGAACACACCCTGCTTTGCTAGTCGCCGATCATGTGGAAAAGGTAAAATTCAGAATCTATCCTTGTCTCTAGCATCGACTGACTTGTTGTTGACAGATTCTTTACATCATCCCGGTGCCCTTAGACGCAGCGACAATCGGAGACGCAACCATCTGTTGCCCGTTGGTAATAAAACGCGATGGAGACTCGTTGATTTGTTCGATATTACCCGCCGCAACCACGGACCGGAACATGATGTGCCACAGTGACAAGCTGGTCAGCCCTGCCTTCCCAGAAGCAATTAAACGCGCCGACTTCACTATTTCTACTCCCGAATCGACTACACGGAGTAAGTACTGCCATCTTCAAACGAGGGAAGCTACGAAGAAGTCTAATATGTATACAGAAACAGTTCCAGTGATTGAATCAGTCAAACAGGACACAGCGTTGAATTCAGAAAGCCTGCAGAAGGTCATCATGAAAGAAAATGTCGTATTCACCACCCATTCAGTCACTCTTCCTTTTTTCATTGATTTGGAGAAGACACAGATCATAGAGTTCGGCACCAGTCTTGAGTTCAAACTACTAGACGAGGAGGTACCCACAAGAGAGGAGCAGTCCGCTGTTGTTCTCCCATGCATCTTTGGAGCCGAGCTCCAGGGCCCAATTCTACTTGCAACCGGAACAGTCCCTTTAAATGTCCCATTTTCCAATGAAGATGCCCTCCGGGACTACTACAAGCAACTCAAAAATGCTGTGGTGATTGTCGACGAACGAATGACAGACAATGCTCGGAATCTTGCACCCACCTACCGAATCAATGCACTCTTCATTGTTCAAATCAAGCCAGAAACAGAGCCCAAGGATAACAATGGTGTTCTTTCGTTGATGAATTCGGCGAATATCAATGCAGTGACGGCACTTGCTGGACCACAGTCTTTGATTCTGGTTCAGATCTCCGAGAAGTACTACTTCTACAGAGGCATTGCCAATCGAGCACATCTCAATACGTCGAGACTAGCATTTGGCTCAGATATGACAACTGTACTCGAGTCTGTGGGCATTGACTCTATCCTAGACCCGAGGATAGACCGAATCATTAACCTCGCTGACGCAAATTCGATCATCCTCCCCACTACCGGCCAGTTGGTGCAACCCCAAGATCTACAGAAGTTGTTCGATGAAATTTCAGTCGATCGGATCCAAAACCTGGAAGAAGACATATCTGCTGTAATTCCACAGCTCCAGGTGCTTCTGAACCAGAAAGACATACAAGAACTCTCCAGTTCCCTGGTGGCTGCACTCTCCGCTAAAATCAGCGTCGTTGCAGCCCCATTGAGAGACGACTACACCAAATTCCTGATGCATGAACACCGTGCTGGAGATCCAAAATCCGTGCAGAAGAAGAATAATATGCTCGGTGAATTGAGAAAGATCACAAAAGACATGCAAAAAGCCCTTGAGCCGGTGATCTCATGCCTGGCTAACATGATATCTTCTCAAACGACTTCGAAGCGAACGCACGATCTGAAGCGCCTTGTTCGCCAAACCACCATTCAAAATAATGTTGAGGCAGTGAAGTCCATGACTTTTGAAACTCTTTCGGGGTACCTTGAGACATACGCGGGAGATATGGGTGTGATGCTTTTGAACATTGAGACGACGCTTTATCATGAGCTTTTGGGTAATTTGAACCACACGACCATTGATGCTAGGTATGTGCAACCAACCCGAAGTCAGCCCGCTTCTGGAAAATTCCCCCTCCCCCAGTAAACACTAAAGTATACCTCGAATCACACTGACTTTGCTAGCGAATGCTGCGCCCTCGACTCGAGAATCCTGCACCTGGAAGGATTCGACGCCGGCATCATCGTAGAACAGTCGCAAGCCAATCATGACGGTCCACTGAAAAGCGCCGTAGGACCCTCCCAGCCCATCTTGGCATTACCATACCTGAGCCAATCATCAGGAACCGGATCAATGCTTGCCTGGGTCTGCTGGGATGAATTCGTCAACCTGAAAAGCCCCTACACAGTGCGATGGATGGAGAAATGCAATGAACCGCACATCGCTGCACTTCGAATCATCATGAGGAACACGCTTGCACAAGCGGTTTCGTCCAGAGAATATGATATTCAACCCGAAAGCCCGGTGACTGGTCGTTTGATGAGCGCCCTGTTAATGGCCGCCATGTCGAAGCTCGCGGCGATGAGGACTTCGAAGCCCATGGAACTAGAGAAAGCCGAGGATACTGTCACAAGGCTAATGCGCGGGCTTTTTGGTAATCTCTTGACAATCGCCGGCTCAGGAGTGCGTCCCCTCAGCATGGTCTGGCAACTCTTCGGGTTAAATCCCCAAAACGACCTTCCCACAAGCCCCGCTGACTGGATCTGGTATGAAACCGTCGTTGCACTTTACCCGTACACAGGCTGGCCACTCCGACAATTCTATGGGAATCTGGAAAAACTTCTCGACAAAGCCATCGTCCGAGTGGTGACCAAGAACGAAAATGTGGCCATTATCAAAGCAAATCGCATGACTGAAATGGTGAAGTTCTGCAAGCTGAGAAATATCCAGCTCGCGCATTCACGGACTATCATCACTGTCTTCATGCGCATGCTTACGACGGAGGATATTGATCTCCAGCCCGTCGCGGCGCGGCTGCTCGCGCAGCTGCCACTTAAACTTGAGAAACAGTCGCAAGGCTACACTAGGATGATCGGTTACTTAAAGCATCTTGGAGAGGGAGGTGAACGGCGCGCCAACGATGATCTCATCGCGGCAAGCGTCTACACCTCGCGATCCGCGGCTTTCGCAGAACTAAAGAAGCAAGTCTCCGAAGCATGCAAGAGTAAAGATTGGGCACGGATGAAAGAAGCCTGCCAGAGGCTAATGATCACACATAATGGAATCGCGGCGCTTTGGCGCGTCAAGCCCGAATCGCTGAAAGTTCAAAACATTAAGGTGTACAAAGCGCTGTCATCTGCGGACTTTGACGAAATTGACGAGGACACTCAGTCCAACAACCTCAAACTCACGAGACAGGTTCTCGGCGATGCGGAGATTAAGCGTGTTCCGTGGCAAGTTGGGAAGAAGGATCAATTCGGCGGTAACATCGAGCCTCTCGACGAAGAATTCATTCATGAGATTTTGACGGGGAAGAAGCTGGAGCCAGCACCCCCTGCTACTGCCGATGATATTCCAGGGAAAGAGGAAAAGGCCATGATTGAAACGAAAGATGAATTCGCGGAATTCGCATCGTCTTTGCAGGCGGAATTCATCAAGACAATGCAGAAGCCCCTCTCCGCCGAAGAAGTCTGCGACGTTATGAATGTTCCTGTCTCCGCGATGCGTGTTTTTGCTAAGGCTTTGAATCCAGATCTTGTTTGGGAAGATCTGGCGGTGAATTTCAAGCGCGTTATCTTGGAGTTGGTGAAGGATCGATCGAGTCGGGCTGAGAGTCGACCTGTTAGGAGGTTATTGCAGATTGAGGTTGGGAAGAACTTGCAGATCGAGGAGTGATGTTTCGAAAAGATTGCTTTGTATGCATCTTTATCGGTTAGTTTTTTATTGCAATTCGAGGTCGGCTTTGGAAGGCACTACATAGCGTCATCAAACCTCCAGACTTCAATTTACATATTCCTGTTTTTTTTCTTTTTTAACAATACTGGAATCGATGGCTTACCAAAATGCTATCCAATCGAAACAAAATCCGCTATATGGCGTTAAATTTACACAGAATGCTATTCTGATTAGGAAGCAGATACGCCAAATTAGATCCACTTCGGAACCCAATTGGAGTGGAAAGTGTGATTTTACATTTTGTTGACGGTGTAGGTCTTTGAAAGGCGGACGCCGAGATAATCCTAACCGAGTTATATGCAAACCCTTATTTCACTTGCGCATATACCTCCAATGCATCATGCAACTGTCCGAAAATACCATTATGCCAGCTCTTCAGTTCTTCCCATTCGCTCACCGGTAGAACCGCCCGCATCATCCGGAGCCATCCACCAACAATCAAGTCTGCATAGCTAGCCCTTGTTCCGAGGACGAAGGGTCCACTAGGGTCCTTCCGGAATAGTTTGGCTAGCTCACCTAGCGTGTTCCGGAATGAGTCCTTCACCTTCTCTCGCGCCTCGCCAACTAATTCAAAGTCCTTCCAGGATGAAGCACCCGCACGGCGAACGAATTCCGCCTTACTAATCTCGGCAGTAGCTGGATCGAACGGAAAACACTGGACCGAGAGCTGTGTATGTGCAGTAAAGGCCCCATCGACACTCATGTTGAATTTGGCGTACTCTGAAAATTCACCCTTCTGACAATCCGATAGTGGTACGATAATTGGAGGATCGGCGATGTAGACATAGTCGAGCGTTTGAGGGGGGAACAGGTCGCCCGCGCCTGAGTTTGGATACGTCTTTTGTAGGTATACCGCGATATCCAAAGAGTCGCCAACTAGGGAGCCGGTGGCGGGATCCTCAATAATGGGCAGAGTATAGAAGTCGCTACCATCGGCAAACTTGCGGCACGGTGGTACTTTGAGCTTGCTGCGAACTTTGGAAATGTCGGGTAACGGCACCCATGAGGTTGTGTAGGGAACGCCTTTGAAATTGAGTGCCAGTCGGGTTTTCCAAGGGTTTACTGCGCAGCTATTTTCCTCGACTGGAGGGCGCATGGCGATGTCGTAGAAAACGATAGGGCTGGCCCGGCTGGGTGGATTTGAAAGGGCTGACATGGCGAATGATGGATATGTGATAGAAAGACTTTGTTCCGACAGGTTGGATATTGTATATTTGGACAGAAGGATGGCGTGATGGTTGAATAGAGTAGACCCAAGTGGCTTATTTATAATTCATTTAGCGCTGGGCTAAAATTTATTGAAAGGGACCTGACTTGGCTGCTTATGACGTGGGGTAGTTAAATCAGAGTGATTCAGATTGACTCATTGTGACTGGCGGTCAATGCTCCATGCTCCACATCCCCACATTCTACTTGCAGTGACCTATGATAGATGACAATGGAAAGCCGCGAACAGGCATAGTTCCTCAATGCAGAGCTTGACCATCTAGGTATTGAGATGGGTCTGTATTAAAGCACACAGAAATTGTCAAGAGATTGCGATCAATTGTCAATGTAAATGGGATGAATGGGCGGGGCCCTTCAACTCGATATGAAGATGGTCACATGACGAGTATGGAAGACTGAAATGTAAAATCGAGAATCGAGTGTTCCGTTGGAATACATAGGATGTTTGACGGAGATTGTGAGATAAAAAAAAGGGGGACGTCTCCATATGCTTAACATGTTTTCTGAGCCCAATCGAGGCTGATCTGGCCGTTCCTGCTCTACTTGGATTGATGTTCCAACCTTTCGAGCACATACGACCATAGGGTGTGGAGAACAGGGCTTCCCGTCCGCTCAGCCGTACTTAAGCCACACGCCGGCCAGTTAGTAGTATGGTGGGTGACCACATGCGAATCCTGGCTGTTGTATGTTTTTGTTTTTGCTTCATTGTTTGTTCTTCAGCTTAATTACTGCCATGCTGCTTTACTCTCAACCCCTTCAGGCCTCTTCACCCGATGAACCGTCTCGTTCTAGGATTGCCCCTCCATGAGTCGGATTGCGACCCTAAGACCATGGCACCGAACAATTTTGGCAGGGTTGATGACTAAGAACTACTGTTTTCTCCGCCTCGGTAAATAAAACTAGTCTTTTCTTTAATTTCAGGTCCCCGAGTAACCAGTCATAATTTTCCCCTGTCTTGTAGCAACCGTCAGGGGCTTTGGATACTTACGATATTAGTTCTGAGTGTAGACCTGAATAGCTGATGGTTTTTGGGGCTTCGGAGATGGACTCCGATCAGGTCCGCACTCGGGTCCAAATCCGAAATATAGCTAGATGCCTCCTACGCTAGATTTGAGATCATGACCTTGCTTGCTACAGGGGACTTCTACGACGCGCCCGGATTTCGGAAGCAGACTCCGATTACCTCAATCCTCAGGGTTCCTGTGCAGTTTGCACAACTAATTGCTGCAAGGTGTTAGTCATCAGGAGAATGTCCCTCATATATACACTATTTAGCACGGCATGGGAATTTAAATTGCTGACACTATAGCAGCATCACAAGCCTTTCAGCCAAAGTATTTCTGCGACACACTCTGTTGCAATGGCGGAGACGATATCTTACTCTCTGGACAAGCCTCCCCAAGATGGGGCAAAAACTTGGCACAATCACTCAGTACAGAAGCAGGACGGTGCTGAAGACAGTCCTTCCAGCGAAGATGCAGACCTCAAGTACGAGTACCCTACGGGGCTCCCAGTTACGCTCATTCTAACTTCAGTTACTTTGGCCTATTTTCTCTTCCTCCTAGATCTTGCTGTTATTTCCACGGCCACTCCGGTTATTACTTCCCAGTTCAACTCTTTGGTGGACGTTGGCTGGTATGTACAGTTCGACTGTCCTCTATGAACATCGCAGATAACTCTTGCAAGTCGCTGATTTACTATTCTTAGGTATGGCGGTGCCTATCAGCTCGGAAGTGCAGCTTTCCAGCCTCTCAGCGGCAAGATTTATAGCCAGTTTCCGATCAAGGTGAGATATAGCCTGCGGCTTGAACAGCCTGTAAATTTGTGACTTGGATTCTGACGAAACGACAATGTAGTGGACTTTCCTAGTTTTCTTTTTTATCTTCGAAGCTGGATCTGCCATTTGCGGAGCAGCTCAGTCGTCGCCCATGTTTATTGTTGGCCGTACAATCGCAGGAATCGGTTCTGCTGGGGTGGCTAATGGAGCTGTGACAACCATTTCCGCAGTGCTCCCAACACGAAAACAGGCGCTTTTCATGGGGCTCAACATGGGTATGGGACAGCTGGGTCTTGCAACAGGACCAATTATTGGTGGAGCTTTTACCACTAAGGTGTCTTGGCGATGGTGTAGGTTCTTCCATCACCCTCCATTTTTATCGCTCCTTGGGCTAAAGTTCGCGGTTTAGGCTTTTACATCAACCTCCCGTTGGGCGCTGTTGTCGGCGGATTCCTTCTCTTCAACAATGTCCCCGAACCAAAGGCTAAGAGGCCACCCATGGAGATTCTCGAGAATGCCATCAAGTCTCTTGATCTCCCAGGTTTCATGCTCATCTGCCCCGCAGTCGTCATGTTCCTTTTGGGACTTCAATTCGGCGGTAATCAATACCCCTGGGATAGTTCCGTCGTGATTGGCTTGCTGGTTGGTGCTGTCGTCACTTTCGCTCTTTTCCTGGCCTGGGAGCATAGGCAGGGTGACAATGCCATGGTGCCATTTGCAATGCTAAAGCACAAGATCATCTGGTCGGCGGCCATGACGATGTTCTTCAGCCTTTCTAGTGTTCTTGTGGCCGACTTTTACATTGCAATCTACTTTCAGGCTATTCATAATGACTCTCCTTTAATGAGTGGTGTGCATATGCTTCCAATCACACTCGGCTTGGTCGTATTTACGGTGATTTCGGGGGTTCTGAGTAAGCGTATCTAGTTTCGACTAGTTAGCTTCTATTAAGTTTTATGCTAATCATTTGTGCCCCCACGACAAAGTCTCCGTTCTGGGATACTATCTCCCATTCTTGCTTGCGGGAGGCGCAATATCAGCCGTTGGCTACGGTCTTTTATCAACACTCAGCCCCTCGACCTCGGCTGCAAATTGGATTGGTTATCAGATTCTGTACGGTATTGCAAGTGGTTGCACTGCAGCTGCTGTAAGTTCTCCCCGTCGCAAATATGGTTTTATCCGCTGACCATGTCTTCTCCATGTCTTCTCTATAGCCCTTCATCGCTATACAAAACCTCGTGCCCGCAGAGCAGATTTCCCTCGCCATGGCTATTGTCATTTTCTGGCAGAACATCGGCGCGTCAACTTCTTTGATTGCTGCAAACGCCATCTTTAGCAACAGTCTTCGTCGTCAGCTCCAGCAGCGCATCGCTGAAATCGGTATCTCTCCAGATATCATCATTGATACCGGTGTACACTCCATTCGCAACCTAGTTTCCGGCTCTCAGCTGACTGCAGTCCTTGCGGCTTACGCCAAGAGCGTCGATAATGTCATGTATCTCGGTGTTGCCGTCAGCATAGCTGTCCTGGTCTTTGCTCCTGGTCTTGGATGGAAGGACATTCGGAAAGTGAAGGACCTCCAGGCCATCAGCCAGGACTCACCAGACAAGCCTGAGAAAAAGCCGATGATCCAGGAGGCAGGAGTGAGGGAATTGTGGACGAATGGAGCAAAGTAGTTGCCGGGTGGCGATTTGGGTGTGTTCAAATTATTGCTGGCTCTTGCGGCTATCTCTCTACCAACGCCGTAGCATTCCATTGTCGATTTCACCTTTTTATGTTGTCCCTGCAATAATATTTTTGCGTCAAATCTATTGAAAGATTGGCCTTAATTAAGATGGAATGTAGCTGGATAGCCATAGAATCTCTAATATCACCATTTCTTCATGTTGCCAAAAGATTACACCGGAGAAACTACACTAGAAGCACGAGAATTGCATACAACAGCATGCATTAACGATCTCATTGAGAAAGGATCTTGTATCCCATTCTGCTCGGCAGTTGTTTTCCGCATTTTCGAACACGGTGGCCCCAGCTGCACGGCTAGCTGGATCCCCGTTCAAATTCCTTGTTCAATAAGGTACGCAACTCGTTTCTTCTCAAAATTGATAGTCTAAAGAACAATAATGATTTCTCAACAGGATTAGAACACAATATTACGGCCATTAACTGTACTGCACATGCATGGCGCGTGGATAAAACCAGTAATCGGGTATATATTGGGAAAATAGTGAAGCTGACATCCTGTTCCACGATAGCGAGGGCTTGTTCCAACTGCCATTGGACACTCAACTACAGCATCACGACAAGCTTCTTCCCCGAGACTCCTTTCCTCTGAAGATCCAAAGCCTCTTGGATCTTGTTCAGTCCCTTGCCAACAACCCGCGGTGGAGGAGCTGGTACAAAATGGCCCTGCTCCAGCGCATGTGGCAGGAAGTCCATGTAGACACGAGCAACGACACCTTTGGGATCGACTAGGCCATCGATGAGGATGAATTTAGCCTCAACCCCAGTGACTAGGCGTGTACCAGTCGACTTGATCATGCCGCCTACCATGCCCATTAAAAATATGCCCTTCCCGACGAAAGACGTGAGCTTCTTGGCAGGAATGATAGCACCAGCCACGGCGATACGCTTTCTAGTGAGCTTGGGATCATGTTTCTTCATAACATCGGTGCATACTTCGACTGCGCCACTGCCAATGGTGTAAGCACCCACAAGCTCATGGCCCTTTAGCACATCAAGGAGATCCTTGACAAGCGTTTTGCTCTTGTAGTCGAAGACATGGGTGGCTCCAAGGCCCTTGACATAGTCAAAGTTTTTGGCCGAGGAGGTGGACAAGACTTGATAACCGGCAGACACAGCGAGCTGCACGGCATTGCTCCCAACACTCGACGCACCGCCAGTGATGATTACAGTGCGTGGCTTGCCTGTCTTGCCCATAGCATTTATGAGTGCGGGAATCTGGGGCGCATCGAGGCCCAGGTAGTCTGGGTGGAATAGACCGTACGCTGCTGTCCCAAGACCGAGCCCCAAGACACAGGCTTGTTCATCGGTAATGTGAGAAGGGGTAGGCGAAAGCATATGTTGTCGCATCACGGTGTAAAGCTGAAAACCTCCCTCTGCCGGGCTGTTGACCTCTTTAGCCAACGCTACAGCACTACCGAACACTCGGTCGCCAACGTGGAAGCGCTCCACATTGGGTCCGACCTCTACTACTTCTCCAGCAACGTCGGAACCGAATATGAAAGGGTACTTGATATACCCAGCAAGTGCCGGGCCGATGAATTGCAACACCCAGTCGAAAGGGTTAATAGCCACAGCGCCATTCTTGACCACGACCTGGCCGGGACCGGGAAGGGTGTAGGGCGCATCGCCAACTTTGAAAGGAATGACCTTTTTGGCGGGAATCCATGCCGCCTGATTTTGAGGAGACATTTCTGTAAACGAGTGATTGGAATCTGCTGCTGGTTTTAAAGAAGTAAATAATTGCGTATCGTTTGAGAGTAAAGTGGAAGTTTGTGATCCCGCAGAATGAAGAACAGGTGTATGTATCGCCATCATTATAATTCAAGGTCCAAGATGCCCAGGATTTTTAATGTTTACTGTCAGCTTGTACAGTACACGGATTTGGTGGCTGAGTTTCACGGTATGAACGGACTGAACTCCGGTTTTGCAATTGCCCAATCTCGTACAGTTCGTTGTTGCCCCATGATATCGCCCTGAATTATTGAAACGAAGATAATTTGTAGTTCAACTCAAGTCCTTCTGATTGAGATCTAACATGGGCCCCGAAACTACCTCTCTAGGCGTACGGCTGATGGCCATGTGCATGCACCGCTTGGGCTTTCGAGCTAGTCTTGTATATTCAACTGTACATTTTGTATCTCCATGAAAACTTCAGGCAAATTGCGTTTGAGCGCCATCGAACAGGGCCCGTTCAGATCAATTACCCACTGAAGACTAGTAGACAATTTCATTCTCCCTTATCAGTTATATTTGGTGGCGTCAGGACGAAACGGAAACCTGGAAGATAATTCTCAGCACGAATCGGACTTCGGAGAGCGGAATCCGGTCGATCACGCGTGGAAAGATATAAGCCGACGGACTCTCTCCGGCCTGGCGATCAACACGCGCAAAACGGGATCTCCCGCCCGGGCCACTGGACCTTACCAACTGTCATCAACTGAAAGTATCCGGACTTTCTAGCCTAGCTCAAGCTTTATGAGCAGTCGATACGATGGAGAGATCAACAGGATCCCACGGCCAATCAAGCACCTATGGGAAGGCTTGCACGCAGTGCTACAAGGCAAAAAGCCGCTGTGTGCGTACGGCCCCCGGTGATGATTGTGAAAGGTCGACAAGTGGAACACCTGTAACACAACTCCCCACTAATCGTCTTCTAGATGCATTCGTCTCGATAAAACCTGTGAGTCATCGGAATCGGTTCGCAGGCGCATTGCGCAGACAGCCGCAGCCGAGGCGTCCGATACGCATTTCTCTCGGCTGGAAGAGAAGATGGAGAGCCTATTATCTGCCATACAATCTTTCATCGGTGCTCGGGGGAGACAGGACCTGCTGTCAACGTCATTCAACCGACCAATGGATATGGCAGCGCTTCATCGACTACGTCTCATTCGAACAGTACTCTAGTGAACCCGACAGACACAAATCTTGCATTCAGTGATGGGTCGACGTTCGCAGCGGGTTCCATTGCGACAGTCTCGCCGCACCAAAATGCAATATTACTGCCTAATCAGTACCCCTTGTCTCCGAATTATGGGTTATCGATCCAGGCAGATGAGCGACTAAATTTTTTCCGATCGCGCATGCTGCCATTTTTCCCTTTCATCGACTTGACTCCGAATATGACAACCTGGTATCTGCGGCAGAATAGACCTTTCCTGTTCCAAGCCATCCACACAGTGACCACCTTCTCAACACAAGAAAGGCTACCTAAAATTGAAGAGTTGAAGCATGTTTTATTCACATCAGCTCTGCTTGAAGTCCAGTCAAACATTGACCTGTTGCAGGGACTGTTGACGTATTTAACATGGAGCACGGATGCTTTCCTCGGCAGAGCAGACCTTCTTTCGCGACTCATGATGCTCGCCATTTCACTTGTATATGATTTGCGATTGTTTAAGCCGTCCTCGAAAGATGTGGAAGTTATGATGACGATCACCCAAGGGCGGGCTGATGACAATAGCCAGAGCCCGGCTGATAAAACGCCCCATGAGTTATTGGAAAGGCAGCGGGCAGTACTGGCATGTTTTATACTGAGTTCCAAGTACGTGTACCGTCTTTTCATCTATTAAACTAACTTACTGACCTTTTCTTTTTCAGTATCTCGTCCCATCTTGGGCGTCAAGATGCCTTACGATGGACGCCACAAACAGAGGACGCGCTTCGACTCATTGCCATGAGTAAACCATGCCACTCAGATGAGTTATTCGTATCTCAAGTCCGGTTACAGTTGTTAAAGCAAAGAGCGGAGGATATCCGGCGTCAAGACGAAGCAGATTACCTTTCCACGGGATCAACACCCTTGGCATCGGCTCCTCGTTTATTCTATATTAAAGCTCTGCGAAGACAACTGCAAGAGCTCCGCGCATCATTCCGGCCAGACCATCCCCATATTGGTAAGCAGATCTACAGGCGAGGAGCTGGTCAAGTATCTCATTCGCCGAATCGCTAATTCTTTTTCTTACCGGGGTTACCCTCGGGCTTCTCATACAGACATCCTTAATACACAAACAAATTATGTCGAAATATATATTAATCACCTAGCATATTCCATCAATACAGACTCACTTGCTTTGCATCCATCTGGACAAAGGAATGACGGTGGGATCAATTTGGGACTCGAACGTTTCGAGTGTTTATGGCTATCAGTTGAGAACATCAAGTCATGGCTGAAGAGTTTCTACAAAATCCCCTGCTCGAAACTTGTCGGCCAACCTTTTCATTTTTGGTCGCAAATGATTCTAAGTATCACGCTCTTGAAATATCTCTCAACCCTGAAAGACCCAGAATGGGACTGCCAGGTGGTGCGCAGCACAGTCGATCTGATTCCAACCATCGATGCCATGCTGCAGAGAATTGAAATGAGTAGCAAGGAGCCGGAACTTCAGTGCAACGACCACCTACTAAAATATCTATCGAAGCTTTTGAACAGATGTCGCATGTGGGCTGAACCTCGGTGGCACCTCACGTCTCAGGTACAAGATGTAGAGACCAGGATGTCTCGGAATGTCAACCCTGACACCATCTCACACAATTACCATGTGCCTGATCTTGACCAAATGACCTGGATGCAGTCGATGGACTTGGGGAATGAGCAGTGGTTTGAAGATGTACTAGGCATGCCTGCGACAACGTACTGATTTGCTGGAATTCGCATATATCTATTTTGAACTCCCGGTTCATCCGCCTCGGTGGACGGATGGAATTGGCTTTTCCTTTGATTCTCAGTGTCCCGCTGAAGTTGCGGTAAATACCGACGAAGAGTCTCACGTGTGCAACCCAAAAAGCAACTTAATATTAAATCAGTTCTAACATGGCTATATACCCGGAGTCTCCTCCCTCTTACCCTTGCTCCACCTTACTTGGTATACTGCGCCTTGAACTCATACCGCAGACATCCGGCATCCCTATATCCCCCAACACCCCCATTGTTACAGTCTGTGAAATCCTTTCTCAGCAACTTCTGGCACGTAACTTGGTCGTTACTATCTGGGAACTTCTGATCCCCCAGCGGAGCCCAAGGGCTCTGCTTTTCTCCTCTGCACCCGTTGACCCACGATATCGAGTAATAGTACGGTGCATCATTTGTCTTTGTCTGCCACACAATTGGAGCACTTTTTTCATCCATGATATTATCTGGAATAGCAGTGCCTGCACACGCCCACCCGGTATACGAGTTCTGCCAGTCGGGGGAGATGTCTGCATGGCTGCCGAAGTCGTTGGCACCATGACACTTGATCGAGCCGAGCTTGTTTCCTGGTGTTGTTGTCGGAGGTGCTTGACCGGGCTTCTCGATTTTGTAGCTGAAGCTGGTCCCACACGAAAATTTGGCACTCCCAGATGGTTGGATTGAGTGGCTGTTGAGGCCTTGGCCTGTAATTCTTTGTTAGTGTCTGGGAACTGGTGGCTGAAGCTAGGAGTGCGGCTTACACTTCGGAGCAATCTTCTCAAACGTAGCCTTGCAGTCGGGTAGGCAATCCGTTCTTGAGTCGGTTTCAAAGTGAAACTTGTAGCCCTTGTAAGCGCTGGACTTGATGTCGTCGCTGGTCAGGTCCTTCTTAGGGGTTTTGGAGAGGTCTCCGCCGCAGAAGTTCTCAGACATGCGTTTGAAGAAGGACACGTCCACATCAATGGCCTTGCTGTAGTCCTGGATTGAAAATGGACATTAACGGGGCACTCGAGATCATCAATCAGATGGGCTACATACACCTCCATTGGCACAAGTGATGTCCGCTTGGTCTGGGCGATCGGGAATGTTGATCTTGTAGCTATAAATTGCGCCACATGGAAGAGTCACGTTTGCTCCTCTCTGCACGCTATGACTGTCAAGTCCTTGGCCTTTTATTCCATGCCGTTAGTACATTATCGCTCTCTAGTCCCAGGGAAAACTTACAGTTAGATGTCATGGCCTTGATCGCTCCCGGACAATCTGTGTCACACTGCTCGTTCACATCTTTAGGCGGCGCGTACGCCAGGTCAAAGGTGTATTTCTTATACGCATCTGACGAAATGTCGTTGCCAGCAAGTGTCATATGTCGCTCTTTCTTCGAATCGCCCTTACAGAATTTATCTGCAAGGCTGTTGACAAAAGAGACGTCAACCGCGACAGCGTTGCTGTAACCAGTGTCGGAGCAGGTTACTTTAGGCTTGTCGTCCATATGTGCAAGAGCATACTTGATTGCATCGGCCTGTGCATCGAGCCAAGCCTTATCAAAGGTGTAGAAAATGGGCTTGATTACGTCAAGACATTCACAGTATTTGTATTTGCCCTATATGAGCCAATTCATTAGCAGTCACGACTGGACAAAACAGCGGGAGGCGAGATACATACATCCTGACAAACATTCTTATCCCCCTTGCAGTCTCCGCAGAGCGGGGCATCCTTCCCCTTGGGCGCATCCGCCGGACACTTCTTGGGATCAGCAGGAGGGTCCTCTGTGGTGGGCAAGTTGTTCTTCGGCGGCCTTTTAATACCAAACACGAGCGGTAGATGGTTCTTTGCGTAGACATGGAAAGCCATCCAGACTAAGCTCATGCTACCTATTCCGGTTGCAACCATCTGGGCTTCCTGTGCGGTAGCAGAAGTACCCAGAGCTTTGAGCACCTCTTCGCTTAGGAATTGGATGTCTTTAACGGCATCTTTCAGGGCTTTGATCACCTCGGAATTGTCGGCTTTGAAATCTTCGAGGAACTTAGTGATTCCACATGCTGCTTCTCGCTTCTTCGAGCAGGCAGGTGCCTTGTTCATCATGTTTTCCAATTGCGTTTGGAGCTTGGGCGTCATGAGGATGTCAAGGTCGCCACTGGGTCCGGTCATAACGGCTACTGGGGCTGTTACGGTAGCTGTTGTGGGCTTATTATCTTTGGTTTTGACTTGGACCTGGGTGATATGTTCTGTATCTTTTGCTTTCCACTGGATATTATCAGTGGATGCCCCCAAATTGGTGCGACGGTATGCTTACGTTGCCCTTGTTGTCGATATAGTTTGAGAAATATGTAGCGTATGGTCCGTCTGTCGCACTAGTATCCATCAGCATAAGCGATAACATTCGGGGAAGAAAAGAGCAAGAGAAAAAGGCGACAAACACTGGATCCACCAAAACTGGGTTGATTCCAATCTGCCCAGTGGTTGTAGGGATAATCGCGAGCACCTGGCCGATGTCCCTCTCTTCAACACGAGTCGGGGACTCAGTCTCCTGTGGTGGTACTTCAACCGGCCAGGCCATGGCCACCGAAACCAAGAACGATGTCATAAAGAGAGACCTCATTGTGATCATGGAACATGAGGAAATGTCACTTGGCGCATTTGAAGACCCCAGCGGATTGCATGGTATACTTTATACCTTCGCCATACCTCAAAACCCCCCTTCGCCACGCATCGGGTCAAGGCAGAAACTCCAGAAACAGTTCTGAGAGTCCAGCACCACCCATGCTCTGCTTTGTTGTTCTGCCTTCTGGTTGCCTGAGCATCAAATCAGAGGTAGTTGTTGTATCTGACACGAAGTCGTATGTTTCAAATCTGGCCCTTTAGCCCCATCGCATGGATGTCCATGTTATGGGATCTGAATTCAGATTGTCAATAACTGGTGATAGTTACAAAAAACCTACAAGTAGTAGTACGCCAGACCCTGTTTGATAGACCGGACCCCACATCGCGGCGGTCTCATACTTCTTATTCCGAGCAGCCCGCTGCAGGGGCCGGAGCCAAGGCGTTCAACGCACGGACGTTGTTGGTCCGGGGGTCCTTGTAAATTGGGGGCTTCCACATGGGACGCCTTTCAGGATTGTATCTGGGCCTGGAAAGTTGCCCAATCAACTATATTGACTCTGCCTGGTCCCCGGGAAATGATGCATTCCTTGGACCCTGCATGCTGCCATGTCACCGCTAGATAATTCGACGGGAAAGTTTTACTGGCAGGTTGAATGGAAGTGAGCCTTACCGGGGGCCATACTGTGCATGTTGGATAACCAACGCGACAAATTTAGCAATGGTTATCAATTCAGTATCCCGGTGCACCGCCCCTCGCACAGGCACCATGTTGCAGTGATGAAACTCAGGTCGCTGGATGAACGGGGCCAGTCGCAGACCACCAGATGCCCTTTCAAATCTGTGAAGATATAAGATACTACCATTCGGACAGTGCAATGATCTTCCAGTATCCCTTCTTGCGGGCATTTTGTCAAGTCATCTCAAATTTTCCCGTCATCTGACTCGTCTAATTGTTGGCGATGAGGTTTCTCAAAGGCCTATTTTGTGCCTTTGGCCTAATCAGCGTGGTCAGTGCTAAGGGGCTGTCATGGAAGCTTGATAAATCATGCCAAACAAATGGTAAGCCGGACAAGCTCTTCCGATTGACCCTCGAATGACAAGTTTCTGCTCTCCAGAAATCGGCGACATGGTCTCTAGCGCCGTGGAAAGGGCCTTTGCGATGGCGAGTGATGAATACGACGTACTCACTAAGGTGATTACGAATCAGGACCTGGGCCCGAATAGGGACAACATCCGCAATGTGGTCAAGTGGATGTTTATGAAAGACGGCGAAGAGCCAAATAGCAAACGACTGGGTGTACTCAGAAGTATGTCTATTTGCTTTTATGTTCTGATTCTCGGGGCCGAATTGCTGATTGTAACAGCGCGTCTGGGGATGCTCATCAGGGCGAAGGATCGTAAGGACAACGAGGTCCCGGATGGCAATACAGTAAGTCTTCTAGTTCAGCTGGGCAGGCCAGGTCAAGCGTGAATGGGATGCAAGTGGCTGACACATGACCAGATCGTGGTGTACTGCGGCTTCGACCGCTTCGAATCAAGGTCTGGCGGCCAGTGGTACGATAAGGGTAGGTTTTCTATTCAAAAAAACACTCACAACCTCCCTAATATAACGTTTACACAGACCTCGATGAGGTTATGGAGAAGAACGACTCATTTGAAGCATGCAAAGGCGTCGGAATTACCGTAGCCTACACATTGCCGTCTGAAGACAGTGATAAACCGTCCCAAGTTCAAATCTGCCCGTGGTTCATCAACTGGATGAAATCGGTGGATACTAAGAGCTTGAAGGACGCTAAAACCAAAGCTATGTTCTACCAGGGAGTCAGCAAAGCTCTGTCGAAGATGCACACATTGCTCACGCCCATTGACGTGGACTCGCTGCTTGACAAAGTGATTTTGCACGAGCTGTCGCATACAAGTGTTGCGGGCAAGTCACTAGATGTCGACGGGCCGAGCATTTTGAAGATCAGGTATGGGTGGAATAGGTGTCGGAAGTTGGCGCAGGAGGGAAGCGACGATGTCAACCGGGAATCGCAAGTCAATGCGGATTCGATTGCGCTTTGTGGGTCGGGTATGTTGGATTTTTATTGTGGATTTGATACATGATGCTGACAGTTCTATAGCTATCAGGTTTATCAAGGAGGGGAAAGAGGTTAAGGAGAACGGGGACGTCGTGCAGAGGTAAGGATCGATTGTAGTCTTTCGGGATAGGGGTCCATGAAGTGTCGCTGGTTTATACGTTGGGGAGGTATAATCTTTCTCAGTTTGACTGCTATATTTGTGAATGGGTGTTTATCTCCGTATGGAATCAAGTTTAACTTGTAATGCTTGAAGTTTCTCTCTACTATTGGTATCCTGTCAGGGATCGGCTACATCCTTAGATGCAAGCTCTCAGTATTGGGCAATTAGCAAAGGCACCGTGATACCTGGGCGCCTGAAAAAACATACATAGGAAACGACAAAAATAAGATAATTCCATCCGGCCAGAAAATGCCCGTCTATTGGCCATCAAAAAAGCAGATTGTTGCAATGCTCGTACCTAGATTAATCGCCAGGGTTTGATGCCGAGATCGAATCCGCCTCGCACGCAGCCTGACACCTGTAAGACTTAAATTCATTGCTTCCTCCCCCCCCCCCCCCGCCCTCTTTCCATCAACTATTAACCCAACCCGACTAAGACGCCATCGCCATGAAATGGTCATGGGGTTTTAGTACTCGACGCCGAGAGAAAAAGAGACTAGCCGAGAGACGCACGCGCAGCAGCGACCGTCCCGGCCCCCTGCCAGCTGTCCGCGAACGGGCCCTGACTCTGCAACTTCCACCTGGCAACACTGACTTGGTTGGAAAAAGTCGTCATCAATCAACCTGTGATCAGCAGCAATCTGCATTTTTTGCCAAACTCCCACAAGAGATCCGGTATCTGATCTATCGGGAGGTGTTGGCTCCTGCACATCATCCTGAACTCCATGTTGCCAGCGCACACCAACGACTTCTGAGTCGGCGCTGTTTTAATGAGGACCCAGATGTCCCGGGGCGGAGGCACAGCTGTTGGGGCGGTCGCTACAAGCAAGATGGCACAACGGCCCCGAATCCGAACCTAGGGGGCTACCAGCCCGAGGACGATTCTCCGTACCCCATAAGACTAGGGCTGTTGCGCTCATGCCGACAGGCGTATGTTGCTCGAGCCTTCCACACCTAATCATGTAAAACCCCACTAATTAGATCCAGATACTCGGAATCAATCGATCTACTCTACTCCCGAAACATCCTCAGCTTCCGCCAAACACGGACAGTCGTGGATCTCCAACATACCATTCTGCCCCAGCGCCTGCATAGCATTCGATCTGTGCATTTTTACTTCCTACTCCAACTTATCTGGTGCGATACGCACCTGGCAGTAGCGGAACCTTTCTGGCCTCTGGACATACCTTTCTTCTGGGAGTCTGCCTGGAAGGCCATTGCTGAGATGAAGTCGCTGCAGAGCCTTCGCGTCGAGCTAACTGATGGGCGTGTTGACGACGAATATCCAAACATGGATGGCTTGGTGCATCTTCTAAAGCCGATGATGACAGTCGGATTCCCGAAGTATGTGGTCCAGTTCGATTGGCCAATTGAGGCAGATGAAATTGCAAGGCTTTTGGGGAGCGAGCTGCCTTTTGAAGTTCAGGTCCAAGAGAAACCTGCAGATCACATTGACTACTGGTAGGGCCAGGTATTGTTTCATCTCATAGAGGGTAGGAATAGGCCGAGACAGCTCAATCAAAATACCTTGGAAGCCGGTTTGAACGAGGAATATGAGGGCCCATCGAAATGACGCTCCAAATTGAGCACTTTTGTGAACATCAACGACAGAGCTGTACAAATTACGAAGACACCACTGAACGCTCCTACCGCCTCTCTTATATGTACATTTCGTCGCTCTCCATAGGGGCCACTCGTCGAAGCTTAGCCTTTGCTCGAATATCCAAATCATGATTGTGGTTGTACTGTGCCTTTGCATTTTCTGTTTCTTTTTCTTGGGGCCTTTCTACTGAAAATTATATTTATACCTCACCAATGCTATTATATCTCTAAACATGTTTTGTTTACCAACGACACCTTGCTGGAGATGCTAATGTGTTTGTTCGAGTCAACAGTTCACTTTGACTTCGTGCATATGGCAGTCAATTATTTCTAAAGACATTATGAGTCTTCATGTAGAATATGATGTTTATCTATACAATTTGATTTCAATGATTACCATTGAACCATTACTCATCCAATATAGCTACCGCCTAGAATGAGACCTCAATGGACCCAGGCACGCCTATAGGCTTATTCAGCAATCGAATTTGCCCCTTGGCCAATCGGGGTAGATCGGGGAACTCAGAGAGGCCAAAGTCGATATTATGTAAAGAATTTTCGCGGCGGACATTAAGTGGAGCAGTAATAAGCGGAATAACACGCATAAACTTGATTTCAAGACCCATGAGGGCCCGAGAAAAACCGCGAGATTTGCGTTGTCCAATCTTCGCTTAGCATTCTTGGCAGATGGCCGGAATGTCGGATTGCAATTGTCCTTCCGAACGAGGCTTGACTCGGTGGATCGAGTGTGGATACTTGAGGCGTACGCCATACATCAGTGGCTGTAGCTTGACCCATAGGGCCATATGAAGCTTGTCTGGTTGGCCGACATTGCATGCACCGCACGGGTAAATTGATATTATCTAAGGTTGTTTCGGCTTCATGAAAGATTTTGGCGAGTTTTTAATGATAATAATAAGAAGCGGATGTCGTACTTTCTGCCTCCATTGTCCTCTTCCGATTCTCTCAAGCGTTTTCTGAGATCAGACGTCCTTAATCCTCACTCTTTGAGGAAGGTATTCTAACTATTGCTCCCGATCGGTCGACCTCAGCTAAGCAACTTGATCCTTTTCACGCCGATTCGGCTCAACTCTTCGGATTTCCAGAATATCGTTGCCGACGACCATCGACCGCTAGATAGTTTCAAAGTCAAAGAACTTGATCCATACTCAACGTCTAGCGCAAACTCGAAGCTCCGAAAGTAGCAGCAAATACTTGCATTTTCACTCCCGTTGCGCCAATTTCGAAATCTTCGCTGTCCCATCGCGCAATCTTTCCGGTGTCGACTACCATTCGAATTGCCTTGATGAGCCCTTGCATCTACGGACGGACTCCACCCACCATCGCGCCAAACGCCACACCCGATTTAACAACCATATACTAAAGACATACCGAAAGCGAGACGACAAGCATAGCCCTTCGCGCGAGTAGCATCAATCCGTTGCACCAACCGATCACCTCACCCCTCAATTTTATTCGTTGCCCTGTTGCGATCACTAAGACCCGCGCACCATGTTTGACTTGAATTGGAAGGACCTTTTAACCAACCGCGACCGTCGAGGATTCCCCGAGGTTGTGTTACCTCTTGCCAGTGGCTCTGCACCAAAGACTCAAGACCCCACAAATAATGGATCAAACTCCAGCCTTGATAGAGCTTCCCTTCAAGAGAAGGGTACTAGCGGTGCTCATGCTGGTACAACGCTAACCTTGGAAGCTCTCCGAGCTGAAGTTGAATCCGATATCGCTGCTTCGGGCCACGACACTGTTTACGATCGTATGTATACCAAGTTCGACTAAAAGTCATGTCGTCTAAAGACTAGATTTGATGTCCACTCCCTCACACTTTGAGTTAAAGCTAAATTGGCTCGAACTCCAGGGAAAGCGAAAATCATCAATCGAGCCGTTCAAGACATTGGCATGGGTAGATACCAATGGGGGCTGTTCGTTCTCTGCGGCATGGGCTGGGTTGCTGACAAGTACGTTTACACATCAATTGCCTCGGCAAGCGCTATTGACTAACAAATTCCCCTTACTTTATAGCCTCTGGCTGCAGGTACGACTTATATTCATTGATTTAGTCGAAAACTTCCCGCTGATAAACTGCAGGGTGTTGCCCTCACTTTGACTCCGGTCGCTATGGAGTTTGGTGTTTCTGAGACTGATTCTCGATTTGCGACCTGCTCTCTCTTTGTCGGTCTCATTATCGGTGCTTCATTTTGGGGTATTGCTTCAGACGCAATTGGCAGACGCCCAGCTTTCAATATGACCCTCTGTATCTGTGGTACTTTTGGTCTTGCTGCTGGTGGCGCACCGAGCTGGATTGGGTAAGTGTGTCTCAAGGCCTGGAAAATTTACCAAGCTGACATTTAATGCAGCACATGTGCGCTTTATGCCTGTTTGGGGCTCGGTGTCGGCGGAAACTTGCCTGTTGACGCGGCCGTCTTCCTGGAATGCCTTCCTCCCAATTCTAGTAGTATTCTCAGTGGACTGGCTACATGGTGGTCCGCTGGTACTTTGATTGCCAGGTTTGTAATGTGATTAACTTTTTCCCTTGTCAGGAAACTGACTTGAAGTTAGTATGCTTGCTTGGGCTTTCATCCCCAACTTCTCCTGCGAAAGTTATGCGACATGCACAAAGGCAAACAACTGGGGTTGGCGATACCTTGTATTGTCTCTTGGAGCCATGACTTTCGTCGGTTTCCTCTGCCGTTTCTTCCTCTTCACGTTGTACGAGTCGCCAAAATTCCTTGTCTCCAGAGGTCGTCAAGAAGAGGCTGTGGCTGCTGTTCAAGGAATTGCCTACAAGAACAAGACCACCACATGGCTCACAGAAGAAATTCTCAATGAGATTGGGGGATATCCTGAAGAGGATAAGAAACAGGGCCTTTCTACTGGAGAAATCATCAAGAGGTCTCTCGAAAGATTCTCATATCAGCAGGTTGCCCCGCTTTTCAAGAACAAGCGAACCGCACTTTCAAGTACGTTATCACGAATAGTCCCATCTTATAGCATTGCTAATCCTATTTTAGCCATTCTCATCTGGTTCTGCTGGACATGCATCGGAATGGGCTACACACTTTTCAACGCTTTCCTCCCGCAATACTTGAGTGCAAACTCTACCACCTACGAGACCTATCGGAACTACGCCATCACCGCAGTATGTGGTATTCCCGGGCCGCTTCTCGGATGGGTGACCGTCGATATCAAATACATCGGTCGCAAGGGAACGATGGCCGGTTCGACTTTGATCACAGGAATTCTCTTATTCTGCTTCACGGCTTCGAAGGATCCAAATATCCAGCTAGTCTGTTCCTCACTGGAGTCATTCTTCCAGATGATCATGTACGGTGTTCTGTATGCCTACACGCCTGAGGTTTTCCCTGCTCCCAATCGTGGCACGGGATCTGGTATTGCTAGTTGCTTGAACCGAATCGCAGGTCTCATGGCGCCAATCATTGGAATTTATGCCAGTACTGATCCAGTCGCGCCCATTTATGCCGCCGGCGCGTTGATCCTGGCTTCGTTTGTGGCGATGTGCTTCCTTCCTATCGAGACGCAGGGCAAGCAGTCACTTTAGACCATCAGCTATGATGAAACATTGGCCATGAGTGCACAGTGTTTGCCCTTATGAAAAGTCAATATACCTGGCCTAGAATCTATCTTTTGAGCTACGAAGTCGCTGGACTTCGGCCTAAGGTATATCAGATTCGGCACAAAAAATCAACATACAGCAGTATTTATGTTCTAAAATTCCTTATATCCGGAAGCATGCTGTACAAATTTCAATCAGGGAGTATTGACCCCCAGAACATAGTCGGTTAATTGTAGTATCCCTCAAGTTGATACTAGCCATATGACAAAGATTGTTGATAATTAATCTTCTAGCATTATGCTAGTGTGCTTGCTCGTCCTTCCGTTCCTGGCCGCCTGCACTGGCCAGAGAATATCAATGCAACCTAAATACTGAAATGAGGGCTAGCCTTTACGAGGAAGTAGAACCAGAATTTATACATTCACCCGGTGAAATATCAAACCCCTTTTTTCCGTGTTTATGTCAGAACCTCGAAAGCCGCCGGATATCTGTGGATCTAGACTCAACATGAATTTGCGTATTCCAGCAAACTCTGGAAATTCCGAAATTGACAGAAGGTAGTCGCGTTCTGGTTTCAATATTGGTGGCTGTGTCGAGTTCAAATGCCGAATCGCTGTCATGGCTGGGAACGGCATGAGATGCTGGCGGAAAATACCAGTAGATGGATGGAGGAACAACGGGATGCAGCGGATGATTTTGCGACAACAATCGTCGACGTCGATGCCGAAATTAATTGACGATTCATTTGAAACCCTCTGATATAAATCATGAGCGATCATAAGCGTGGCCCAGTAGAAGGTCATGAGGTGTATCCCAGCTATTTGGTCATTCGTGAAACTAGGCGGAGACTGCCACTCTGGTCGTGAAGTTTCCAGCGAAATGGCAAATTTTGCAGCCCATCGGTTTAAGCGGGTGATGGTAAAATATGCAGCTTGCTGAAGCTCTTGGCGTAAGTTCGAGTTCAAATGCTCTTTGCTTTCCAGTTGATCGATGCCCTCGTATAAGGAGGGAATTTCAAGAATGATGTCCACCAGTAAATCCTTAGCCGTCTTCGCGTGGTACTTCCATGGATCACTCATCCAACAGTGTTCCGAAAAAGGAGACCTCTTTCGGGTTACAAGTGCATGAAGTACCTGTTGAAGTGTTAGCTTGTCTCTAAGGCACGATGAAAGAGAGAAGTACTAGATTGACCCGTCCATCAACAAATATTCGATGAGCGACGCCCGTGCAATAATATATCGGGGGCTTAGAAACCATCAGCGCCAGATCGCCAGAGTGATGCACACTCCAGCTACGATAGTGTTGGCTCCTGTCAACCCAGTCACTTCCATATAATGCCTAATTCGAATTGTGGGAAAGTGAGTCATTAATGTAACATGGCCGGTTAGGAAACTTGGCTGGCATAGTGGCGTACCTCGTAGAAGCTGAATACTCGCGTAGCACAAAGAAGCTCTAGATTATTCTTGCTATTGGTGGTGAGTATTTTTCTCATCTGCTGCAACGCAATGCCGTGAAGCCTGATTGCTTGTTGCTTCATCGAATGTGGGTTGTCATCCACACTCGCCGCCGATCGGAGGGCCATAGCGCCAATAGCAGTATGAAGGAGGGCACTGTGTGGGAGAAGATCCCTCACTACACTAATCGAACCTCCAAGAGTACGCTGATTTTCATCAAGAAGAGCCGAACATCGACTGTTTGGTAGATATGAGTGCCAGAACATTCCTTCAAAGGCAGATTCCAAAGCGGCACGGGAAAAAGTGACCTGGTCCATGATGGTTCCTGACGAAAGTGATTGTGGCCGTGAAATCACAAACGCAGGCGTGGGGCTCAGCTGTAAACTGCTCTGAGTGTAATCGTTTCCCTTGGCGCTTGAGAGTTCTGGACCTTGTTTGCTTTCGTAGTATCGATGTATAGTCAAAGACTTGTCATATCCCTCGCATGGGATGCATGCCTTTCGACATTGTCCGCACGAGGGCTGAACCAAGTCACACTACACCTTCGGTTATCTTCATGAGAGCCGGGGTATTCCTCCGATGTAGCTTGGGGCCTGTCGACTTACACCTTTCTTGCGCCGCCTGCAGGTACGGCATCCTTTAGAGCGACCTGGAACTCCCACCATTGGTAATTGAAACTGATAAAATGAGACACACATGAAAAGATAGCGATGCTCGAGGGTTCTTCTTACATTATCGCAGGATATTCTCTTCAAGTCGCTTTTCCTATTCAAACTCAAATTATCATGCGGTTAGATGTATTCTCTGCCCTTGATTCTTTGAGGCTATCAATCGAAGTCGAGAATGTCTGAGATTCGGACAGATCTTGCATAAGCACAGGAATCTGAGATGACAATGCTCCAGGCTAAACCCAAAAAGGATAGCGCGCATTCGTGTCTTGATATGTATGCCATTTGGGGGCCGAATGGAACCCCCGCAGATCGATCCTAGGCGTCGAAGAGCCACTTCCTGACTTTCATGGTGGCCTTCATAAATAATGGCTGGCAGTCCCGCGGGCTTCACATATGCCCATAACTCTGCGATACAGCCTTCGGGGCCAAACCAGGTGCTCGACCAACTATCCAACCGCAGGGGCAAAGACAGACCCTTTGGAGCTCACGTCTCTCAGCACGACCTTATACCATGAACTCTTCCACCTTACCGACTCCGACGGCAGCGATAGCGATTGGCCGGGTGAAGGCTGTATGTTATGATGTTGTCTTCTCACAAAGACGCAAAACGCTTGGGAAAAACTGACTTGTTTTCGCTGATTACTTCGCTAAGGACATTATGAAACTCTAGGCACAGGGGGTGAAGACGCTGGGTAGGAGGAACGCCAAACCCACGGCTAACCGAGAGGTCGTGGAAGAATACATCCAACATCAACAACGAACGCCACCAATCGAGAACGAAGCAGGAGGATGATGCGGACACCGGAGAGGGAAAGCAGGGATGGGGATGCAGAGGAAGCAGCAGACGAATGTGAGGGCGGATTGAGAGATATATCGTGGGATTGAGGGCTCTGAGGGCGTTTGGATACTGTTTTTGGGCTGGTTTTTGGGCTGGTTTATATGGCATGACGCCGTTTTCCTTTGTATTTACTGTTTCATGCGTGTGGGCTGGCATTCGGATCACTCTTGCTTCCGCCGGAGGGAGCGCCTGCATAGCCATTACGCCACTAGTTAGGCTGCAACAGGTTAATAGAGTGTTGATTGATTGATTGATTGATTGATTGACATTATGAAACTCAGTTGGAATTCTCGTCTGCAGGCACTGCTAAACGCTCCAGAGCCCTATGTCTTCTTTTCCATGAGTGCGTATATTCTCCAGAATAGTCCATCCACAGCAACGCCTCGTGTATTTTTCGGGCCACCTGGTTGGATACTGGCGTGATCCAAATATCGCCATATAATATAGTTTGGATAGCGGTATATGATACGGGGGGTAGAGAATGCTGAGTGTCAATGCAGATCAATGTTACAGACAATTTCACTAGCTTGATATAGAGCCCGTACAACTGTTGACTCCCATATGTCTCCGCAATCTCTTTATTCTGATCTCGTTTGCGTTTGGCGAGTCGTTTTCCTCCCACCACAGCCTGTTGCTTCTATATTCGTAGCTTTCAACCTCTTCCTGTGCCCCATTCTCGCGAAGAAACGACACAATATCTCTATTGCCCAACTCCATCGCGAGCTGAAGCACTGAACCTGTCTGTCTAGACGACTTGCTCTTCTCAAAGCCCTCGAAAGGAACATTCACATCTGCGCCGCTCTCTACTAGCAGCTGCACCAAATGCGCGTGGCCCTCATTCACCGTATGAGCAAGAGGTGAAGCAAAGTGCCAAGTATCCGCGTAACCCTTAGGACAATGTACGTCAGAGTACTCTAAGTCATCGAAGTCCGGATGCGTTCCACGCGCTAAGAGAAACCTAGCAAGTTGCCTATCCTCCTGCGACGCGGCTAACGTCAGAGCTATCGTTTTCTGCATACAGGTACTATCGCTGATGACAAGGCTCGCGATTTTTTCGTCCCTTCTCATCACTGCCTGCACCAGCGCACACTCCGTGTCAGATACAGCATAGCGAGGGCGCGCCCCTGCACTCAGGAACAACTCTACGAGCTCCACGTCCCCAATTCTGGCCGCCAATTCTAGCGGCCCCGTCGAATTCCTGTGTGGCCCTCCTATATTCACACGCACCCCGTAGCTGAGTAGAGCGTATATAGCCTCCATATTTCGCTTCGTGATCGCACACTCAAATGCATCCCTAAGCTCCATCTAACTTTGCTATAGTAAAAACGACCCGTACTCCCAGAGAAGGCGCATCATATCCAATTTCCCAAGGAGCACTGCGAGCTGCATCGGGGAACTAACGACCTTTGCTAGGCTTCCAGTAAGCTGCCGCCCCGACAGCTGATTCGCGCCCCTGCGAAGCAACCCCTCCGCAAGCTGTACGTGCCCATGTACAACGGCTATCTCGAGCAGCGACAACCCCCGCTGATCAGTCACATTGACATCGCACCCTTTCACATCCAAAAGAAACTCGATGATATCCACATGCCCACCCTGAGCCGCCAGGCACAGCGGATGCGGCGGTGGCACCGGGTCTCGAAACCGCCAGTCAACTCTCACCCCGTAAACAGTCCGTCCCGCAGGCTCATGGACGACGTGCATCCAGGGGCCCCGCGAAGGAATCTCAGACCCGCCCTCGAGAGATTTCTGCATCGTTCGCATCAGGCCATATTGGGCCGCCCAGCGGACTGCAGCCGCACCTCCTCCGGCGCTAGCAGACTGGCCGCGCGTCCGCTGGGCATCCTGTGCATAGAGCAGCGGATCGAATATCAAATGAAAGCGGCAGTTGGCGCGGGATATGGCGTTTAGAGTCGAGAGTGATGTGATATATTCCCCAATTTGCTGAAGTATCTCAGCTGGAAGCGAGTTGAGAGACATTGTTGTAGCGGTAAATGCAGATGGGAACCGTAGTTTGGTGGTTGGCGTGCGAGGGGTTGGCTGCGGGTGGGGGAGATTGGAGGTGAGGATCAAGCTTATGACAAGGCGCGGGGGAAGCGAGTCAAGCTAAATTTGCGCCCAGTGGAATAGTTTAATTAGATTACTTGATCCAAGAAGTCAATTCTCGATTGGCGCAACAACTCAATGCGTCGACCATGGGCGACACAGGGACAACTGCTCTAAGTTGATAAGCGATATTCGAGAGTCCTTGGCGTATGAATGTCAGTTATAGTGAGGCCATTTCCAGGCCATACTGCTCGCCCTCTTACTGCAATCGAGTTTCAAACTTACAGTAAACATTCAAAAATCCACACACTATTGCGGTACCATCCCGTACAGCGCTATTCTATGCCTTCCATAATGAAGCTCGCGCACCTTTTCTGGCATTGTCTGGTGACCTCCCTCACCGAGGCGTATCTCGTCTCCCCTGCAGGCACTGCCGCACCTAGAACAACTGAGGATTGCACGCAATGGGTTGAGTATTCTTCTGGGCTAACCTGTGAGTTGTTGGAAACGTACTTTGGAATGACGGAGGTAGAATTTGAGGAATGGGTAACGTGGACATGCATCTACCCTAGCGTGTAATAGTTAATATTGTAGGCTAACCATCTTCTTTTGCTCTCAGAATCCCATCGTCACTGAGCTCGGCGACGGCTGCGAGCTGTTACCAGGGTTATACTACTGCGTACACGTCAACTTCACCACCATATCTGTGAGCTCGGTGAACCTGATCAGCACAACCATCAGCATTTTCTCTTCCACAACAGTCGTGTCGGCGACGACGACAGCCACCACGACCACGACATTGACATCGACCGGGAACGGAGTGACAACCCAAACTCCCTACGAGTCTGGCATCACAGATGACTGCGATGAATTCCACCTAGTAGTCAGCGGCGATACGTGCGCAGACATTGTGTCCGACGCGGGGATTACACTTTATGATTTCTATTCCTGGAATCCGACGGTGGGACTGATTGTTCGGGCTTGTGGTTAAGGGACTATGTTTGTGTTGGTCTTTTGTGAATGGAGTATTCGATCAGTACCCTCGAGAATTCCGTCGCAGGATAGCAGCTAAGCTATTATCATAAAAAACGAATATGGTATCATGGATCGTAATAGCAAGCTGTAAGCATGCGTGATAACTCTGGAGAGACTACAATATATTCTGGCACCGACCCTTTGAATCGGAAACCCCCATGGGCGATGTCAAATTAACTCTTGAGGACTAACCTTCGATAAACAACACACTGTATTTACTTCACCATAATGCCATTTCGATTGCACCTTTTGGCCAAGATACAGCCCCACACCGTGAGAAGACTTATTGAGCTGAGATTTACCATGGCGATGCTCTTGAGATAGTGGCTATCACTAGGTATAGATTGTATCTATACTCCGCTACTTAAGGAGTCCACGCACACTAGTCAGACTGTCAAATCTGGCTCTCCTATACCTAGCAACGATATATGTGTATTTAGTCGCTGAAGGGGCCATTATACGCCACACCAGTCTCATTTAGCTATGCAGCCTTCAGCTTTATGGAATAGCCGCCCAGCATTGGGCAAGAGCTTCATTCTGCCTCATGAAACCATCGTTACGGCGCTATTTAGGACCCTCATTGAGACCCGTATTAAGACCCTCGTCGGGACCCTAATTAGGACTCCGATCATGACCCTTATTAAGAGTTCCATCAAGGGCCTTATTAGGTTATATCACAAGGTACCCAATTTAGGCTTCGTTAAGTTGGTTAGTGTATGTATCGATAGCCATCTACGGTACGGTCGTAATAGGCACGCACCTCCTGCTGCGGTAAACATAACACCATCTGGAGCATTCGGCTTCAGTCCCGTTCTATGCTTCACTGGTTGGATGTAGGTCAATTTGGCGGCTGTTTTATTCCAAGGATGATGGCCATATTGACGATATTTTACCCAGCGCCGTGTATTTCTACTTACCCGAGGTCAAGACATGACCTTAAAAGACATCAGAGAGGTCTTTAACATCGGCCTTGGCGTTAAATATGCTCGAGGGGAGCAAAGGGACCTTGTACGCCAGCGAAAGTTCCAGACTGAGTTTGATGATCGACTAGCCACGGCTTAGACTTGGTAAAACAGCTCGGTGGATTTCACGTTTGAGTCTGTCCCTCACCTCATTAGCTTTTCTCTCATGAAATCTACTACCTGTTCTCATACACCTTATACGTCAACCATGGGAGATTCTCACCTAGCCTTCTGCAAAGCCTGAAAATCATTGGACAATTGTTGGCGTGCTAGTTAAGATGTGCCGAGTTGTAACCCATATCTCCCGAACGTCGGTCATCGTTTCGGCTCCACCTTTGCTCGGTTGAGGCCAACTACAGAGCGGTAGGGGGCTCCGTAGTCGAATACCACAAAAGTAAAAAATCCGGCTCCACTCTTTAATTTTGACCCTGGGCTGATTTATTCGTAGACTCTAAAGGTTTTCCCGTCAATTTTTTCGCGGAATTGCGCGTTATCCTTGAATTAAGTTGCGGGGTGCATGCACTACATTGGTCTCAGGCTTCGCGATAATTCCTGTCGAATCGGGCGATGGCATGGATCAAATGCCAAGATGTAAGATCAAGGGTCGCCGTGTTTCAAGGTTCCTCCTGTTTGAATGATTTAGCCTATCTTATAAGAAAAGAAGTCGTATTAATCCCTACGTCCCCCGAAGCCAGAACGCCGTCCAGACAGAAAACTCTTAGCCTTCTTCCTTATTTGCCCCGGTGGGCTCTTCAGCCTTACCCCCAAACCGATGTCTTTGTCAACACATACCGTCGACAATAGTACAGCTGGAAGTGAGACCCAGCCTTTTCCAATCGGGGGGTCCCCATTGGGAACAACTAATGGAGTCCAAGTATGGCTCCCGGAAGTAAGAAGGTATAAAGACATAGGCTAAACAATGCAGGACTACACCGATCAAGGGGAAACTGTTGTGATTGTAACAGTCATCATGATTATTGTTACCGCTCTTATTGTGACTCTCCGTATAGCGGCTCGCTTTTTTGTCTTGCGGCTGAAAGGGGCGGATGACTGGTTGATCATGGCAGCCACAGCTGTAACCATGGCTAATGTTATTTGCATTGTCATAGGTGACTCAGACCTAGTTGGTTGACCTTTGACACGAATTCGAGCAAACCTAATCATCTAAAGGAGTCAAGTACGGGACCGGGCGTCACGAGAGCACACTTCCCATTGCTCAATCCCAAGTAGCCATCAAGGCGCGTCATCCCAGCTCCATTAACCATCATTCCTAACCTCTTGCGGTTTGAGTCTATAGTATCGGCTTGTATCACATCTGCTATATACAGCTGCAACAGTCCTCGTGAAATCGTCATTGCTCATTCTATAATTACGGTTATTCCCACCACGTTCGTTGTGGCGATGGGTCTGACTTTCATACTGGCCGCGTCGTTCAGGTGTCATCCGATTGGCGCCTCATGGACTCCGTGGAAATACAAGCTCAGTAGCTTTACTTGCTTTCCAGCATTGCCATTCTGGATTGCGTTTGGCTCTCAGTTTCTGGTGTCCGACATCGTGGTCCTACTACTTCCGATGAGAACTATACTAGGTGAATTGGTACCTCGCCCATGCGATATGCAGTCTATCTGCCAATGTGATGATTTCCAAGACTCCACATATCACACCAAAAGAAAATGATACTTGTTTTTCTCCTCTCGCTGGGGGCATTGTCAGCCATCCTATATTCATTCTCTTGACTTTTTGCTAACTGAAGAACAGTGCTTGTGACGCCGGTGTTGTTCGCCTAGTATATGTCATCAAATTATACACGACCGAAGATGCTTCCTTTCGTATCGATCTCCTCGACCATAGAAATATGCTGCGCTATTATTGCAGCCAGCATCCCCCCGACAAAAGTCTTCGTCGATCGGTTGTTCCCGAATCTCATCAGCAGCACACGGCAAGGCACAAGTTATTGGCAGCAACGGCAACTTGGCAGCATAGAACTAGGTTCCAACAGGGACCGTCACCGTCGCAATCCCACAGGCAACATGACCGACAATTCAAAGTTGCCTCTAGAAAGCAAAAGTGTCAACCCCAATGGGTTGCTACTCGTACCAAAACAAGGATGAATATCACGTCAATTGATTTCTAGATGGTGCAACACTTTTATATGGCGAATCTCAGTCATTTAAGTTGTCATTAGGCACCAGGATATTCAACCTCCGTGGACCTCCGTTATACTGTAAGTTCATGGGTATTTCAACCCCCATAAGCACCCTCATTTCATGTTTCTTAATCAATCAATCATTCAATCACTCAATTCAATAATCTCCCCTTTTTGATTCCGTTGCCCTGATTGGCCCATCTCCAAGTACTCCGTAGCTGTCACATTGTTGATAAAAAGTCAACCCAGCATATTGGTGACTCGAGATTTCGAGATGAATACATCCTCTTCGCCAGTCAGCAATATCGAAAATTATCACTATGAGCCTCCTCCGTATAGGACCAGATATCTGACACGAGGTCGTCTTGGATAGGAAGCAGGGAAAACGAATGTGTTTGAGACCACACAAACTTTGCGTTGGATATCATTGTCTTATTTCTCGTGTTTTTGTAGATTCATGTGTAGCCTGATGTCATTGGCAGTTTCCTTCGGCTTCATCATTGACATATGGCCTTGGCTGCTCACGAAGTCGATACCCCGTGTACACCTTCCGAGAACACGACGGAAGCGAGAACGCGTCTTATCGGCACGTCTTGGGGTCCTGCAATGTCTGATCAAAACGTCGCACTTCTTCAGAGCCTTGCTACGATGACCTGATGCACAGTCATCAAAAATTTAAAGCCCATGTCATAAATAGGCTGTAATCTTTCTAACTGTGTTTGCCCAAGAAATACATGCGAATTCACGATTCCTAGCTAGTGTGTACTTTTCAGCACGGACTAGTCGCTACTCTGCCAGCGAGAGTGTGTGTGTACTGGCGAATTTTCCATGCTACAAAATACGCAGCAAACATGCACCAGTAAGCAAATGGCTTCCCTCGGTTAGTGTAGCCGGTGGGAATCAAGCGTGCTGATTGGTGTGCCTGGTACAGGATAATTGGCTAATCCACCACTAAGACTGGATAGTTTCTTGTTTGCTCTAGGTACTCCATACACACGGACGCTCACTTCAAGTCTCTCATGAACGATTAATCTCGCTCTTTTTGCCTGACCGAGATCTTTCCTCCGTCCGAGTTGATGCTGTACACCTGATATGAATGTAGGCTCCCATTCGAGTGAAATCACTTCAGGAGAGCAGTTTGACACGATCAACTTCATTAGTTCCTCGACATGCGGCCGGGCATACAGTATTTGCACATCACGCGTCAAAATAATAGTTAGTTAATTAGTTAGGTTATAGGGATGACCCTGTCAATGACTAATTATATCCTCCGCTCGGTTTTATCCCGACTCAGTCCAACTCGATGTAGTAATTCACCCCATATGGCGAGTGGACCGGAAGCTTAGCCCCCAGCCGGAAGTCCAATCGACCCTCTATCCTGGCATACGCGGCTCTTGAGAAATTACACTAGGCGCTTAGACCCGATGGGTCTTGTGTAATGCCATCTAAACAATTGAGTCAGAAAAGAGCACTAACTAACTTAAGTCTTCAAACCCATGGCAAAGCCCACCCAAAGTAAGCTAGCGCTCTTCAAACGATAATCACATCTCTCTACAAAAGAAAGGGGCCGCCGCTGTTCCGTGCGGGAGATTTTGGAGAGACATCCAACTTTCTCTCAACTATTGTCGCTCCTTTCAGTCATTCGCTTAAAATTCACCAACATGGTGCGTCTTTCCTCTCTTTTTACCTTCCTCGGGCTCCTGGGCACGCCTCTAGTGGCTGCGGCCTTCAACGAAACAGAGCAGAATGAGAATGCTACCTGTGATGTAAGTGACATCTTTTGTTTCCTTACGAACCCAGCCTGAATCATCGCAATGAGGGATACCAGTGACTGACATATTTTGTCCCGATCAGAATAAATGCTTCTATAGCTCCTTCAACGGGTCCTGCGCCAACGACGCGACATGCATGTGCGACCAGACGAAATACCGCGAAACCTACTTTTGCTGCCTGGGAACGAAGTGCGCCAGCTCCGTCTTACCTGGTAAGCTCCGTCACGCTCCATTCGCGATCCAAATCGATCACTAATAAAAAGTCGCGTGATATTTAGACGCCATCGTTCGTCAGGAATCAGCTTGCGAAGCCTGGAATATGCCATTCACGTTCGATGCCTTGGCTGTTTGCGGAATTACCCTGACCACCTCCACGACTGTCTCTACAAGCGCTGCTTCTACCGGCGCCGCGAACTCCGCCGCGTCGACAACCTCCACAACCTCCACAGCCTCGGCGACCGCCTCTGCCGGTTCCTCCACTGGTACATCAGCGGTATCTTCCACCAATGCATCCGGGTCAACGTCTACGGCCAGTAAGGCCAGCACGGGTACGTCGACATCAACCCCGACGGGTAATGGCGCGTCGTCAAACAAGGTTATGCTGAATGCTGTTGTGGGTATCGTTGCTGCATCGGTGATGTTGTCCTAAGATGCATCGATTCCCATATAAAGATGATTAATTGTGGCAGACTAATGAGCAGTGCCTACTTTTCCTATCTTTGATGGAGGAGGGGGTGGGTTTTACACGTATCATAACTTGTATTACTAGTCGCTAATTGCAACCACTCTCTGTAAATCGCTAACTAGTTACAAAATCTCGATGAATGTACTAAGCTCGACGGAACTATGACAATCCTACTAGTCTCTCTGAAGCTAACAAAATAACAATTTGCGATTGGCCATTGAAAAGCTCCGTTGTTTTGCCGAGAAATAACCACAACACAATGCAAGATCTCCGCGAGAACGCCGATTCCGGGGAAGCGGGGAGCGAGACCCTGATGTGCGGGGAAGTCGCGTGCTCATGAAGTGTAAGTGATGAGCCCCTCATTTTGAAATCTCGACGAAAATAAACAATAGCAGCCTGAGCATCAAAGATTCATCATATAGTAGCCCTTCTTCTGGGGCGTATTCAACTATCCACGCGAGCGCAAAAGACTAAAGTAGAAAGCAACCCGGGAGTAGAGATACATCGGTTTTCTCTGCTCTAGCCGACTGTACTATGTTTAACTCGATTATTTCGCCATTTATAACAAGAATGTAACCTCCATTATGTAAAGAATATCGTGAATGTTGTAGTCATGAATTCAGCCTCGGTCGCCCAAACGTGGAGAGTTAGTAATTGGACCTCGGCTAGCATCCACAGTTGACCTTCGTATTGATCAAGGCAATGTGACGGGTAGTCATTACAATGAGAAATATCTTGAAACTGAGAACATCTCGTTGGCCTTTGTGAGCTAGAAACAATTTTCGATCATCCCAAACCAAATTGAGTTATGGATTCCCTCGATCGCATTTTGGACGGATTCACAGATCCTTCGACGGGATCGTTGCATGGTGCAGTGTTCATCGTGGTCGACAGATCGGGTATGACAGAATTTATCAACATCCAATGCACTCAACACGGAGTTCCCCGGGTCTGACTTGCTTCTGAGTAGGGAAAACACTTTACAGCCGCACATCTGGGAGAACAAATGCCGATGCACATAATGTAGAGCCCCTGAAATTAGATTCATTGTACTGGATCGCATCGATGACGAAGCTTGTAACTGCGGTAGCTGTGATGCAACTCGTCGAACGTGGAGTCCTTTCATTAGACGATGATGTTCGCGAAAGGGTCCCGCAGCTCAAGAATATACAGATCCTACGAGACATGAAGCCAAGTACACGGATATCATCACCAGTGCTCTGGGAGAGCCCAATTACTGACGTTATATAGGTAGTTCTCAAGGGGTGATGCAACCAGAGCTTCAACCAGTTCAAGGAAAGATAACTCTCCGGTAAGCTAAACCTCGTCTTTCCTGGCTCATATCTTGGGAAATCATCAATATACTGATCCCATCTGCAAATACCCAGTGACCTGGTGTGTCACGCTTCTGGCTTCGTATACGACAGTTCATCGAGTCTGTTGAAAACGTGGTCCAAATCTGAGGGCCGAAAGGCACACACTTTCTCCGGGAGTTTGGTAAGTCTCCCGTTCTTTTTTTGAAACTGCCACTTCTCTACAAATTCGAAATTTAAAGACTCACTATTCTTGTTACAAGGATGGATACACTCACCCACTTCTCTTCGAACCCGGAACATCATGGGGATATGGAGCCGGTTTGGACTGGGCCGGGCGCTTGGTAAGCTAGTTTGAACACATTATGGACCGGTATCAACTGATCATCGCAGATTGAAACTGTCTGCAACTGTTCACTCGAAGAATACATGCAGTCAAACATCTGGTCCAAGCTCGGAGCTACATCGACAACCTTCCATCCAGAGCTATATCCGGAGACTCTCCCCCAAAAGTTAGAGATGGCGAACCGTGTGAGTATTGGACAGGGAACAAAATCTGTGAAACCCAGTCCAGTCATTCTGGGCCAGCCACTGAAAGATGATCTGGGAGGAATCGGACTTTGGAGCACACCGAATGACTTTATCAAACTCCTGACAGCTCTCCTGAGGGGTGGACAGCCGCTGTTGACAAAAGCAAGCGTTGATATACTATGTCGACCACAGCTTAGCGATGCCTCTCGGGCGGCAATGCCCAAGCCGCTTGGAGGTCAGATGCGACGGGTTCTTGGGATCAAGTCAGTCGATGACATTGACCAGGCAGACCATTGTTTGGCTGGAACGATAACGTTGAAGGACATTCCCGGTCGCCGACCAAGTGGGACAGTGAATTGGAGTGGGCTGCCGAACCTACATTGGGTAAGATAAAATTCAAACTATTTCTCAACAAATTTCATGAAATTTTCTAACGACCACATCTCGGCGACTAGTGGATCGATCAACAAACGGGGATTACAGCTGCACTTTTCACTCAACTCATGCCACCCGGTGACGCCGCTGTGACAGGTCTATTGATTGAGTTAGAAACGGTACTGTATAAAGCTCTACGCAAAAGGGAAAACGCTGGTGTCAGTGGGAGATTGTAGAAGGAGAGTATATGATGTCAACCTGGCAAGAGGATCTCGGCGATGCTCCATGTATAAGCTCATCCTTCAAATCTCACATTCATAGAAGCCTCTCGGTGGCTATTTTTCCAATTTAAATCAAGTACAACATTGAGTTTTTTCTCCCCATTATTTTAAATTTTCAGCGTATGCTTAATATTGAAGATATTCTGCGCTCGTTCCCGGCCCCAACTTGACAACAACATGAGTAGTTGGCTTTGATATGATCCTTAGTTTTCATTGGTCGATAATATCGGTGGCGGATTAAGAGAAAAGCCGAAGGGTATCATCACGTGTCAGGGTACCCGCAGCGGGAAGCCGGACCAGGCCAAGCTAACCCATTTGAGTACTTCACCACAAATACAAGGTTAAATTAGGGGCCATCCTGGATCGTCGACTAGAGGGCCAAAGCCACCGCATTGGATGCCCCAAAGCATGCTGACAGCAATTATGATGGCTCTTCCTTCCCCAGAAGGCTCAGATCAGAATGCCAATTTCTGGGAACGTCGCCAAGCCTTGACCCCCTCGAACACGCGCTTCGAGTGTTTGTCGGTGTATGTGAGAGAAGTGTCGCGCCAACTTGTCTTCTTGCGATGGACACCATGTTCGCACTCGCCTTTTTCATGGTACAGGTCACCGTTGAGGTGTCCGCGAAACTCAAACTCCCATTCAAGTTTGCCAACCTCTATCTTGTGATCAACATACGAGAGAGACCCTGTCCTGTGGTGTCTCCCAGACAGTATGGCCGAATCCCTGGCCGTCATTGAGATACCACAGCTACCGCGTCAGGTACTTCCACGGGGCAGTGGTTTTCAACATAACCCACGATGACACTAGCACTACCGATGCTGAGAGCCAGCATATAGACAAGCTCCTCTAGGCCAAAGATCTGATTGATGACATCTACAGGCTGCAACTTGCTATCCCCTGGCTCACCCGGGACCATTTTCCGAACTCGGGGATTTGCATCATCACCATCTGAGAATGCGACCCAGAACACGTGAATTGAGCTCACGAATCCGATACAATCGAAACTGACCTACTATCTTCGACGAAAGAGAGTCCAGATCAATGCAATTTTCTACAACATGGACCAGTGGACATCAGCACATGGCAAATTCTCGAGCCACACACACTTAAGTCATTTCCCCTTCAAAGGCTGCAGTGGCCAAAATCCCTTCTGACTCCTTACACACAATACCGTGTGGTGATTCAACAGTGGTCCACATTGTGCAAAATTGCGTTGATCTAGACTCCCCTTCGGACTCGGTTACTCTGTCAGCGGTGCTGATGGGTTACTGCGGTATCATCTCTACAGAGCTCCTGGGTGAGATTATTGCACACGGTCTGATTGAAAACATCGCCACGGTGTGCACATGAGTGCTTCTGCTGCCGCTGTCATCGGTTCACTGGCCTCCAACACTCAGGCCACAGGCAACCCTCGCGACCTCGCCTTGGGGTACGAGGCAAATGTCACGGGAGCTCAGAGGATGTGGTCTGGACAAGTGCTCCTCGAAAGGGTGTTCGTCAGAGTGGGTCAATAGCCGCATGAATCAATTTCTCTGTTTTTTCGTATCAAATCACTCCCTTTCAAAATCAAAATTTCCACTTCTGAGAGTGACTCCTGGAATTTCGCCTGTATTTGTCCCACCACCAGTGGTTCCAAGCGGCTTTTCACTTCATGGATGCTCCTAGCTGCTCAGAAGACTTACAGGAATAAACAGATAGATCACGAGCTAATGATAGGTGATGGTTTGCGTGCCTCAGCGACTTCTACAGTGGCTCATGTGCTGCGACGCTGGCTGACGATTCTATCGAGCTCTGCAATTGAATTGCCCCCGAGGCACGTAGTGGACATCCGATTGAAGACCCACCCCAGCAGTTTGACAAGAGGGCCGGTTAAGCAGCACGCTGGTCACGAGCCCAAAGAGCAAGATCTGATCCAGAATCACTCCATGGAATCTCACGTTGGACGGTACGCAGGAATTTCAAATGGAAAATGGAAATGTAAACCAGGAGAAAAGAGAAGAATCTCGGTATTACGAAATGCATTGATCACTACATGCAGGTACTGTCAGACAGCAAGCTCCAACCGAGCCCTACGAGATGCGCTCCTTGCGTCCCCAGTAACTGCCAAACACTCTTTTGTCAAAGAAGTTGATCGGACAGTTGCTCGGCTTTCCGTCAACGGCCTCGGGCATATAGGAAGATTAGTACGAGCGCTGTGCTGCGACATGATGGAAGCTCACTCTTTTCTGGGCGAGAGCCCAGCAATATCCCCCCAGGTCTGCCCGCAGCGGCCATTCCTTTCTGCAATCGGAGTTCATGGGGTCTATCGAGTCAACGAGGTCGTCAGCAGTGGCTCCATCATGGCATGGAGAAAACATGTCTCTTTCTTGGCAAAGTCCACCTCCATCCTCCCCGGTCTGCCTCCAGCGGCCTGTATCTGCAATCGGGATCCGGCGTGGATCTTTCAAGCCTGGGAGCTTGTCAGCAAAAGTCACTTCAGGATAAAATGGAGAGGACACGCCTGGATCTGGGCAAGAGCCCTCCACCATCCACCCCGGTCTGCCTCCAGCGGCCTTGTGTCTGGAATCGGGATCCGGCGAGTCGCCCAAAGGTCTATCAATGGTGTCAACAAATAGTAAAGCAAACCGTGAAGTGAACTGACCTGTTTCGCTCAAAGGCGAAGCCACCATCCTCCCCTATCAGCCTCCGGGGGGCATAACCTCTGCAACTCAGGTCATTCGACGGGATCGTTCGGGGGATGAGGGTTCGTCGTTCGGAGGGGTGGATCCTGTGGCCTCATCAGCGCAGACGGGCAGGTATCCGAAGATCCCCATCCGCCAAGAGAAGAAGAAAAGCAAGAAGCGCAAATAACAGACAGCGAGAAGGGGCAACGCTAGGGAGAGCACAAGGCCCATTTGTTTTTGGGGTTTTGCAAATTTCAAAGCGAGTCGCACTGGGGCAGCGGGCGCAACGCAGCAACGCAAAGAAGCAAGAAACGCAGCAACGCAAAGCCCAGGCCGGTCCCACAGGCAAAATCAGAGCGAAACGCAGCAAAATAAAAGAAAGGAAAACAAAACAAGCCCCAGTCAACCGTGCAACCACAGAGCAGCAACGAAGGCAATTCCACAGGCGGTAAAACTAATCCATTCCTTCCAGGAAGGACCTCGGACAGTAACCTCAAGATGCAATTGTCGACGCGGCAATTCCGTAATGGGCTCCACTGGGGGAGGGAGGGAGATCCGTCGCTTGGGTTCGAAAACCGCGAAGCTAGAGGGGGGAAGACAGCACATGGGAACCGCTCAACTTCATGCACGATTACATCCCCAAAGGAGACATTACGTTCGGTTGACTTGGCGGGAGCCCCGGCACGCTTCAGGATGGAAACAGGGGGGGGGGAAGGGGCACGGCCAAACTGTTCTGGCGACCACCCAGACGAGGAACAGGCAATGAGGACTGCTTGGCCTCGACGGGGAGGGGTTTCTTCTTCAAGTCATCGACATGAGCTCGATACTGAGGATGAAGACGCCAGGGACGGGCAAGGGGCTTCAAACCAGGAAAGTAGATCGGCGGGTCCTTCACAGCGGGGCGGGCCTTGGCCATGATCGAAGCGTAAGTTGGCGTCTCTACCGTCCCAGTGAGAAGGAGGCGGGCAGATCGGGGCGAGCAGATAGCTGGGAGGGCCATCGGGACGACAGAATCTGAAAAGAAAAGGGGAATGGGAAAAGCCTCGTAAGAGGACAAGCAGAACGCCAAAGGGAGCAAGCCAACACAGTGAGCAAGACAACCAGCGGTGTGAGGAGAGAAGAGGAGAGAAGAGGGAATATAAACACGGCCACTGGCCGCGAGCTCGCCATCCCTGGCAACCGCCAGCATCGTGAGGAAGGAGCAACAAACCACCCTCGCAACCACCCTAACACCCATGGAAGGAAGCCGCAATGAACCTCACAAACACGGGCACAAACAGTTTGCGCCACGGCAACGCCGTCACTGCGGACTGCCAGTACAAAAAGAGCGTCGGGGCAAAATGATATCGGAACAGGTCCATACACCGGCAGTATCAAAAGTGACTTGGTATTAACTCATTTCAAGCAGCCACATCACTGGAATGAAATTGACATTTCATGGTTCTCTGAAGATTTTCTGGTCTTTCCACACATTAATTCGGGGGGCTGAGGGTAATGGTATGGCTACATGTTACACGTGGTGTCAAAATCTTGTACGAGTCCATGAATTGATATCACCGAAGCTTTTTATTCAAAGTAACTCTACGCAAAGACGCATGCCACAAATTTAGGTTCCTTCATTGATACAATGCTTCTTACAATTGTTACCCTTGACCGATCTACAAATTGACAACACGTTCAAAATGAACCCCGGACTGGCGAGACAAGATCACCCAATAATTGGATATTATATCAAATGCGAATCATATGTATGGATTGAATAGATCTGTGACTCCATTGTCAATGAGAAGTTCCTCGGTAGCTCCGCCGTCCGCTCCTAGTCCGATTGCTGTCACTCCTTTCATGTCCCTTGCGATGACGTTGTCTCCTCGATCAAGAAGAAGTCTCACGACGGCTTCACCATCAGCTCTTTCCATGGCTGTGATCAGAGCTGTATGTTGAGAATAATTTCTTGCGTTGACATCGGCTCCTTGATCAACAAGAAGTTCCAGAATAGCTTCACTATCCGCTCTTATCGCAGCAATTAACAGAGGCGTGTTTCCAAACCCATCTTTTGCGTTGACGTCGGCTCCTCCGTCAATAAGAAGTCTCACGATGGCTTCACTACTCGCTCTTTCCGTGGCGGTTAACAAAGGTGTATATCCCATATCATCTCGTACGTTGACGTTGGCTCCGCCATCAATAAGAAGTCTCACGAAATATTCGTCCATGTTCCCGATGGCGTCCAACAAGTTATTTGTCTCCGAACTCGGTTGACGCGCTGAAGTCTGCTCCGTGCTCGAGGAGAAGCTTTGCTAGCTTCTTTCCCCCCTCCTCATCAAGGCCAAGCTGATTGGCGTAATTCCGATTGAATTTTTGACATTAATGTCGGCCCCCTTTTCAATAAGTAGCTTCGCCACGGGCTCGCATTTCGTCATTAGTGGTGGAGGGTTTGAACTTTCATTTCCACAGCTAACGTCGGCTCCTTCGTCGCTGAAGGACCGTGACTCAACATGGAAGCCCCCAGCGACGATCAGAAGGGGTGTATTTCCTTGTTTATCTTTTGCATTAACTTCTGCACCCCTTTTGATCAGGAGATTCGCTATTCCTGGATGTGCGGCTGAGAAAAGAGGTGTCCTCCCTTCTCTGTCTCTTGTGTGGACATCCGCTCCGCGGTCAACAAGAAGCTGGGCCAATGGCTCGTGTCCCATCTTCGATGCCAAAAAAAGAGGTGAAAGCTCATTATCCCCTCTAGCGTTCACATCTGCTTCATTCTCAATAAGGAATCTCACTACATCCGAATGTCCAGATTCCAATGCAGCGATCAGAAAGGCAGCACCCTGTGCCCCCCTAAAGTCCACTCTGGCTCCATTCTCGATAAGAAGCCTCACAGTAGAGAAATGGCCGTTTTGGCAGGCGTAGAAAAGCGGTGTTTTGTCATACCCATGAACTGCGTTGACATCTGCTCCTTTGTCGATGAGAAGCATTATAACATCATCAAACCCTTGTCGGCATGCTATATGCAAAGGCTGCTGGTTTTCCACAGCGACATTCATACGTCCACCAATTCCGACCATCAGGCCTGCTCATATTGATGGAAATGTCCGTTTGAGGTTGGTTACAACGTTCGCCACATTGTTCATTCCATACTGGTGAGCTGGTAAACTTGCAATGACGACATTATGCTGTTTGATGCGTCCCAGTTTATAAGTATTACTGTCAACTGGGTACGTATGTAGAGAGTCGTGAGTCTCATCCAGCATGGCTATAGCTGCTGCCATCTCGATGTGAAGCGCGCAAATCCAGGCGACAGTGTACGAGGCATGCTGCAGGGTGGCAGAGCTACCATGGTGGAAATCTTCGGCCTCTTCGGCCTCTTCGGCAACTGATATGAGTCTGATCCCGGGTCTTCTTCATCTGTGTAGTCTCTTTTGTCCATTCTAGTCAGGTAGTCGTTGACGTCTCTTGAGAGAGCGCCTTGGCTCAGCTGGTGGGTATTTTAGCCTCGAATTAGTGGACGGTCAGGCACTAGGTGCTGGTCGCAGATGCATCCAGAGGATGGGTATCTCTAAGTCGGCATGGAGCAGAAGAGTGGGGAGCAGCCAACTCGGCGGGTGATGTCGAAAGAAAACCGACAGCGGGCAGAGGATTCCAATCCTGTTTCTTTCGAAGCTGCCAATCAAACATGATTATATCAGCGTGCAGAAGCTGGAGGTTAGGTCTCAATGGGGGCCAGAAAGGCCCTCTCGGTCACCACTCATTTTCCAGTACTTTGGTCACATTTAGGCGACCAACCCGGGCGGCTCTCTGACCACAAAGGTGTATCGCTCTTGCATGGACAAGGGTAGGAACCGTCCCTCGGCATGCAACAAACAGCGGTACAAATACTGTCTACACAGTATCAGGCCATGTTATTCGTTGCTCAGCCCCAAGTCTTTGAAACTCGAGCATGGCTGTGTTGTTATACCTTTCAGACATTGGAAATTTTGTCAATCACACTCTGGCTACTCAGGTTATGCCAGCTTTGAAATCTGTGATAGTTTTGTATCGTTTTGCTCCCCTATGACCATCTTCAGTTACTCAAGCCTTAACATCAACCTTTCACAGGCCTTTTTGGACGATAAGGTCAATGATAAAAAGGAATCAAGGTCATTATTTTGAGCCTATCTGTCATGTGATCATCCTATGGTCTCGAACATCTCACCGCTGTTAGATGACGGGCATCATTTTTCGCATTCATCTACTTAAGTCCATCTTACCCCCATATTTTGATTCTTTTGAGAATCATTCTTGAAAGTTCTCTTCTAGCCATTTTGTTTACAGGAATTCAAATTGAAATGATTAAAACTGAACTCAATCTGAGCAACAGTCGCGTGCTCACATGTACGTAGTTAAATTGCACGAGCCGAGATATATACTTTCAGCCCTATGTTGACTGCGACCAATGTCGTGGTGTCCTCATTTCATTATATGCTGGACCACAATGTTATAGAGCCCTTCTTTACCTGAGAATTGATCAACCTTTAAATAATAGGTACCCAATGGTACATAACTGTATTTGCAAAGACAATGCACTTGGTCCAATCCCCCTTTACAGCTCCGTGAATCTGTCTAATCACGTGATAGTACGAGCGAGGAGGGATAGGGGAGATTATACGTCACCTCCAAACTTAGGGCTTTGTTTACATAGTAGATGGCAAGCTCCATAACTGAGTTTACCCGGAGTATAGTAGTCAGTAATGTACCAAAATACTGCAGTTGATTTTGTTGACGCGACCTGGTTAGGAGGGATGTTTATTTGTTTACAACCTTGACGTCAACAATTCACATTATCGGGATCCTGGGCCCAACACCCATAGTCTCGGGACCACCCAGTTAACTACTAAATGGTATCTCGGGAATCACAATTATCTGGTGATTTATGTGTTCTTATGATGTTATCAGGTTACTAATATGCTGATCATGTTGCGGGGTCCTTATTATCACCGGTCGCTTATTATCACCCATGCTTGGAAGAACATTCCTAAGAATGCCATTCCGAGCATTCCAACGTTGGCCAGGAACCCAACGGGGAACTCAGTAGTCAATGCCAGAAACATACACATAGAGGTCTCCCCCTCAACCGTCCGGTAAAACTCAAGTCTCATCTCCCTCGAGAGTTTTACAGGCTTGCTTTCACCACGCTTTCAAGATCCTGCTCCATTGCTCGCAAAATGAGAACACAAATTATCGCACTTGCTTCTCTGGCCTACTTGTTAGGTACAGTGCAAGCAAAAAATGAGGACGACCCAGCACAAAAATATGACTTCATTATCGTGGGTGGAGGAACAAGTGGATTGGTTGTTGCCAACAGACTCTCCGAAATAAAGGGTGTTACCGTCGCAGTTATCGAAGCCGGCGATTCAGTCTTCAACAATCCCAATGTCACCAATGTTGCAGGCTATGGACGTGCTTTCGGGACACATATCGATTGGGCCTACCAGACCGAGAATCAAAAATATGCCGGCGGATCGAAACAAATAATGCGTGCTGGAAAGGCTATCGGCGGAACAAGCACTATCAACGGTAAATTTCTCTATCTATTACGGCTCGCCCTGATTCTAATTCCTCTTCCTAGGCATGTCTTACACACGAGCTCAAAGTGTCCAAATTGATGCTTGGGAGTTGTTCGGAAATAAGGGATGGAACTGGGGCAGTCTCCTCCCATACTATCAAAAGTCCGAAATGTTCCAGATACCCAGCCTGAACCAGATATCTCGAGGTGCCGACTATTATATCACCTACCACGGAGAGAACGGCCCGCTGAAAGTGGGCTGGCCTACGGAAATCACCAACCGCACTATGCTCCCCATGCTTGACCAAACGTTTAACCAACTAGGTGTTCCTTTTAACCGCGACGTCAACGGTGGTAGTATGGTTGGCCTTACTTCTCACCCTAACACAGTCAACACGAAGGAGAATGTGCGAGAAGATGCTGCCAGAGCTTACTACTGGCCCTACCAGAACCGTTCGAATCTCAAGATCATTACGAACACTTTGGCGAACAGGATCATATGGTCCAACGATTCTAACAGTGAGGCAGTCGCAGTCGGAGTCGAGGTGACCAATCCTCATCACGGCGTTGAGACGATATACGCCTCCAAGGAAGTCATCCTGTCCGCTGGATCCTTGAAATCACCCGTTCTCCTAGAGGTATCCGGTATTGGGAACCCGGATATTCTCAGTACGTATAACATCCCTGTCAAGGTTAACATTTCTACTGTTGGTGAGAACTTGCAGGATCAAACGAACAACGGGCTTTCTTTTCAAGGGACAGAATTTTGGCTCGGCTCTCCAACCTTTTCCGTTTTGCCGTCTGCTAACCAGATATACGGATCGAATGTTACCAACGTTGCTTCCTATATCAATTCAAGCATGGCTGAGTATGCAAAGGTTGTATCTAACTCATCTAAGGGTGCAGTTCAAGAAGCAAATATTCTAGCCGCCTTCAAGCTTCAGTACGACTTGATTTTCGAAGCGCAAGTTCCTTTCGCCGAAGTCGTCCTCCTTCCAATCGCGGGATCGTTCATGTCTGAGTACTGGCCGCTACTCCCTTTCTCGAGAGGCAGTATTCACATCAAATCCGCCAACGCCTCTGCGCCAGCTTCTATCAACCCGAATTATTTCATGTTCAAACAGGACCTCGACGCCCAGGTCGATGTGGCTAAATTTATTCGTAAGGCATTTGCGACTGCTCCTCTGAGCGACTTTGTGGCAGAAGAGTTCGCTCCAGGAATGGACAATCTCCCTGATACTGCCTCCAACTCCCAATGGGACGACTGGGTTAAGATGAATTGTATGTGCACAAAGAATTCCGAAGGACTAGAAAAGGTGGCTGACAACATCTCAGATCGGTCGAACTTCCACCCAGTTGGAACTGCAAGCATGCTTCCACGCAGCAGGGGAGGTGTTGTTAGCCCCGAGCTCAGAGTTTACGGCACCAAGAATGTCCGCGTTGTCGATGCTTCCGTCCTACCTTTCCAACTATGCGGGCATTTGACAAGCACACTTTACGCCGTGGCCGAGAAGGCAGCCGATATGATCAAGAAGCAGTACCGCCTCTAGGACTTGGTATCTCCAAGAATTGGGATCGATACGACACGCCCCAAAAATTCTCTTTGCAAATATGTCTCTGCGCTCTGGCCGAAATGTCTTAATATGGGAGGTACATTGATTGGGTTTCAAAGGTTCAAAGGTTTATGATGTTGTATTGTTGGAAGGATAGATTCCGGTTTCCTGTATGTTACGAATGATGTGATCATGTCTCATGTAGGGCCTGTGAAGCCCATGTCTCTATGATGGATTCAAACTCAATTTATCCATGTGCATAAAAATTTTCTCCAAAAGCGTGTCCTCGATCGGGAAATAGTAAACAATCCACCAAGTCCGACCCTTAACATGTTCTAATCGCCTAATAATACTCAGAGCGTTTTCTGTGAGAATGATAACTTTTTTCCCTTTCAAAAAGAGATTTTTTTTGTAGGAGCTGCCCTATCGTTTAGCGTGCGAAATTTGGACCCATGGCGGATCTAGATAACAATGACCTCACCAACAATTCTCATGCTTGAAGAAAGACCGAACTTACAATTCCAATAAACAAAATGCCCAGCCTTAATCATAGAAACAAAACAAATACCTAATCTTGGATGTAACTCATATGTCATGTTTCTATTTAAACTTCAATTGTCTCGGCGAAACACATGCTATGACATCAAGACTCCCTCCTACGTAAAGATCATCACAGAATTGAGGCCGAGTGTCCATTTTTCTATACAAATAGTCCAGAACAAGGAATCTTTCTTTCAATTCTCACCGGCTGAGACTTCCAATGAGCCCAGACCTTCTTGACTGACCCCTCAGTGGGACGGAAAAACAGGCGGAGTCCGCAAAAGTTTGATCGCGCACGAAAAAGGCCCACAACGGTCGATCAAAGCCGTTAGAAGGTCGGGGGAACACAAGTTGGCCAGAAAGACTGCAATTCCAGAATTCCCCTCATTCAGGGCGTGAATGGGACTCAGATGGCCAAGTGGGTAGTCTAGTGTAGCAATCCCTCTTGGTCCGGGTATTTTTCCTGATCGGGAATTCATAGCCATCGTTTGCCAGGAAGTGGTACATTGTTTCCAGACGAGTCTGAAGCGCCAAGAAATCGGTTAATAATGTGATGGCGGAAATCAAACACAATGTATTGACATTGCATCAACAGCCAGATTTCTACAGCAAGCAGCCTCTTCAGTCAGTCCACTGGCATCGATGATGGATGGCAAACAGGCACTTTCACCCAACCTGCGACGGCAAAGTCTTTGAAAATACCCAGCTTGGCCATGAGATTTATTAAAAGCAACACATGAAAGACTCTTTCCATTCAAACAATGACAACACACAAAAAGTTTGGGCACTGTTAGACTCGTCCCATGGAAATCTCTTCTCGCTCACCAAAGTTGGTGATCGGCGACGGGTAGTGATTGGCCCAAAGCCTTGCTTTGCCCTGCCAAGACATTATAATGTATTATCATTGGCCATGATACCCTGTCTTTATCCACTTTACGGGGGTTATAACCCAATTGCAATGCTTTAATTCATGCCCTTGACCACATTATGACTGTCCATGGCGCTGCAAATTCGGCAGTCGGGAAAAAACCACGTAACCGCAAGAATATTCGAATTACCCCTGAACCAAGAATAGGGAGTGAATATTCCATGTAAGCCAAGAATAACGTACAGTCACACAGATCGAAGAACGGTGGGAGAAATTGCAAATGCGCGGTCAAACAAGAACCTGCACTGATCAATTGCGTCCGAGGACTCCGCCGGAAGGTCTAGAATCCAGTCCAGTTCGTAAGAATCCGCTAGCGCGTAGTTAAGACTGTGCGATCTCCCACTGAACGACACTGCCGAGCAAACGGTGGCCCACTGTTTGACGCTAAGTTGCATCGCTAAGGCGAATGAGCCATGAAGCCAATGCAAAGTTTAACGACAGTGTCCACTACGATTATCCGGTGTTGTAGCATGTGTAAACGGGGTTTGGCCGAGTTTTAAGTGCCGCTGGACACATAATCTGTATTCTAAAAGTTGAATGACGACCTGTCCAACCCAATTCAGTCCTATTGTCAAATGTAGTGTCAGTATTAGAAGCCATTTTTAAAACAGAGGTCTTTTTATCCCCGAACCAAGGAATCTATAGAGAATGAATTCTTTGTCTCCCGTCTTAAAGATTGATCCAGACACAAAGCGCTAAAGTCTTAGGCGACACAACCCCGAACATTGGGTGGTGGTAACCTCAAACGCCCAAAATCAGGGGTCCACGAATCACGACAATCACCTTTTCTTCCCCCACAACGTCTTTCATGCCTGAAATATCCCTGACCAATGAGAAAATTACCGTGTGTACACAGCGAAAACAAACTCCTCCAAAAAGAACCACTGGCCAGACTTGTTAGACTTCTTCTCCGATCTTAGCGCCAATCGAGACCAAGCCCGCAAGCCACCGTAACCCACCAGGCCCAAATGGCCACACGTCAACCCACGGCATCGGCCCTTCTGGAATCCCAAATGTCTACGCACCTCCGTCGTTTCCTATTCGTAAACCACTTCCAGCCCTTGACGTCCTTGCAGCCCGGTGTACCAGCCCATGGATAACCCCTTTCGGGGACCAGGCACAATGGTCTATGACTGGTTATTTGGGCTTTGTGGAGGCGAAGGCGAGACGTAACACTGGGCCCATCAGACTCTGTCGCTTCCAGAACTAAAGACTGAAAACAGAATCTAGGTATATAACGGGCCTCTCCGCTACTTTCCAAACTTTTCTCTCTTTCAACACCACTTTCATTCTCTTCTACATTCCTTTTTTTTTTGCTTCAGGAAGTTTCGATAACTTCTGTCATTCCTTTCTACAAGTCCCCTCATTACGACTTGTCCAGGACATTCCTTTCTGTCTGATCACTCGACGTGATTACATCCTTCATTTTATATCAAACCCTCGCAACAATGCAGTTCGCCAAGTCTCTCCTGCTGCTGGCAGCCCTCACCACCAGCGCCATCGCTCGTCCCGAAGGCCACGAGCGCCGCCAGGTCGCAACCACCACCACCACTAGCGCTGCTTCATCTTCTTCTTCCTCTTCCGGCGGTGCCTGGACCAACACTCCTTCCAGCGGCTCCTACTCGACCTCCGGCTTCGGCGGTGTCACCAGTGCCAGCGGTAGCGGCAACACCTACACCGGTAACGTCGGCAACCCGTACGGCAGCAACATCATCGAGGTCTCTGAATCCGATGCCAGCCAGTATAAGTACGTGATTCAGTTCAAGGGCTCCAACACCGAGGACTGGACCGTCGCTGTCTGGAACAAGTACGGTTCCGATGGCAAGATGGACGGCTGGTACGGTAACGCCTGCAAGACCTTCACCCTCGCCGCCGGTGCCACCAAGTATCTCGCCTTCGATGAGGACACCAACGGTGGTTTCGCCGCTGCCGCTGGCTCGATCCCCACCGACTCCAATGGTGGCTACGCCTCCACCTGGGGTGAATTCGATTTCGGCTCCACGGTCAACAGCGGCTGGTCCGGCTTCGATGTCTCTGCTATTGCCGCCCAGAACGCCGGCCTCACCGTCCAGGGTATGGAGATCTGCGATGCTCTCGGCTCTACTTGCTCTTCTATCACTTCCAATGCTGGCACTGTCAGCAACGCCTACACCAAGGCTGAGACTGACATTGGTGGTATTGGTGGTAACCTCGCCTCCGGCGCTGTTCGTCTGGCTGTCACCATTGACTACTCTTAAGTCGTCGTTGATTTGACTTGAGTGAAGTGGATGCTTGTGTGGCATGTCACGCAAGTATAAAAAATCTAGAATCTTGCTTTTTTTGCCTTCGACGCCGGTGTTTCACATCGTGGTGTATACCAGTTGGTACTTGTCCTTTATCGGTTACAAACTTATGCGCCCTCCCCCAGTGGATCTAGACTATCAGGCTGGTCCTTGATCTTGTGGATTTCTTGTTTTGCAAATATCCATGTTAAGCCCCCCACCTTACCATATCATACCATAGAATTGGACCTACTACTGGGTTCTAAAAATGAACACATCTTTCAAATATTCAATTCAGTTGCTTCCATACCTGCCTAAGTGCGCCATATCTGCATAGACACTTTGTTTCAGGTTCTCTGGCTGCTTCAGAGTCGTGGCTTCTGTGTGCGATGTGGCGTGCATGACCGCATCATTGCATACGTACCTCGTCACTTATTTAGTCCTACTAGTGTCTTGACTTTTCCCTTTTAAGACGACTAGTAGATGCTGTTTCACCGCCTACCTAGTCTGTGTAAACTCAGACCGACTCAGGAATCGGGTCGGCGCCCGATTGGATCGCGTTAGGTAAGCACATGAAGTATCCACCTATCAGGCATTCACTTGCATCTTTATCAGGGGTTTTTTTGAAGTATATAAACGTTGACGAGGCTTAAAAAAGGAAAGAAATACTCTCATTTCCAAAGCCTTGTGTCTAATATTTTGCTTTGCCAAAGTACATCCCTGACCATTCTCGAATGTTTTTCACATGGACATGGAATTCTCTTTGTCAAGGTTCACGTTCATGGTTCAAGAGCAAGCATAATTACGTACCCAGATTTTCAGGGGCTATCACGAGCACAAGCCCTCATCATTGAAGAAAATGGTAATGATGAAAATTAGTTGAATCGGAAGCCCTCAGGAGATGGTGGCCAATTTAGCGCTTATCTGCCCAGCTACCGCAGTTTCTCAGTTACATGCAAATCACAATGAACAAATTCAGGGTGTACTTTTGGCAATACAACCAATAGATCATACGTGGATGATAAATCCCATCTACCCCTGTCCATACTCCCATGACTCCAATGATATCAACACTTCCACACCAACCAGGGATCACATCTGAGAAGGGGTCCATTTCCTAAAGCGGAAATCATCCCAAAGCGTCCCCCACGACATATAAGGCACATACCCAGCAATCACTCTCAACAGACGATCAACGCAGATATTCCACCCTCCTCTATACTATGCATATTCTCCTACAATCCCTATTCGCACTCCTCGCATCCGCATCATCAGACTGGTGGTACTTCGACGCATGGGACGGCCTTAGCTGCGGCGACGCGCCACAAAACGGCGAGCTACTCATCACCACCGAAGGGACGGGCAACCAAATTTGCATCAGCCTTGACGAGAGCCAGAGGGCTTACTCTTATGCCTCGGCGTTTGGACAGGATGAAACTGAAGTTCGCGGGTTCCTTTATGAACATTGTGCTGGTCCGAGCAAGATTCTTGTGAATGATACCTGTACCAATCCTGATGAGGATATGCCGTATATTCGATCTTGGAAGATCTTTGCTGCTGAGTCTGATGGAGGTATGTCTTCCTTGGAAGTATGGGTAGTGAAGGAAAATGTTAACTGATGGGACAGACTACATTGGAACTTAACACCCGGCTTTTCAACATTGGAGGTTACTTTTAATACGAAGCATCTAATAATTTGCTGCCATGCTCGACTGCGATGCCAAAATAGTGTGAGGTGGACGAAGGAAGTTACCATTTCTTGTGTTACAAGCGTGCATTTCATAGACATTATGAGTTTACAAAATACGATTCTGCCGGTCGCTCATTCTTGATACCTTTTCACCAAGTGTGGAATTTGATAGCCAAGAATAGTAGATGAGCAAAAAGGCACAAGATCTGCATGCAAAATTAAAGTGTCGGAATAAGTATCTCAGGATGATGGAGATGCCGAAGTTCGGGACTGGACGTGCTTCGACGCTTCGGGCCGAAAACGGCCCAAGACAATGTTGGCCACACCGATGACAATCACGACACTACGGGATGATCGAACATTTGCAGGATAAAATCAAATTAATAGATAAGAACCTCTGTGATTTACCTGTTCGTAGAAAAGGCCGAGGCGAGAATGTTACATACGTGGCGGTCGTCCGTGGTACCTATGGAGCACCCACAAGACCTGATTCAGCATACTTATTATACAGTCCCCGCACAATGCCATCGAAAGCTGGAGGAAGTTGAATCCTTGAATCTACGTCCAATCGGATCTTACCGATATCGAGGGGTGAAATAGCACCGACCGTGGTCTGGACACTATGATCTGTAACATTGACCGTTTCCGTCCCTGAACGTGGCCCGAAACGTCCGTGTGGGGGAAAATGGCAACACGAAATCTTGCTCAGAGTGATGATCCCGCCACGGAACACCCAAAAGCGTACATATTGATGACTAGCCGTCTGTTATCTCCGGTCCCTGTCAGGGACCATGTGTTCGACGATCAGTCAGAGAGAATTTATTACGGATCTTCCCGCTGAATATTTTGAGATCATTGACTAACGGCTTGGCATGCCCTTGCCTTCTATCATGTACAGACCAAGCTCATCGAGGTCCTTCGGGCTCTCGATGTTTCGAAAGCCCACAGTTGGTTTCAAAAGGGTCCTTCTATTGTTGACGGTGCCCGCCATTTTCTTACTAGTCCGTTATCGCATGCAAGATCTGGCGTCTGAGAGGGATCAAACGCCATGGCAGTCTAGGACTGGAGAGCTTCAGGCTGAAGAAGCCCAAAAGAAAAATCTACTATCAGATGGTATAGTTTGCACCAAGAGTTTTCTTTTCATTCCGAAGCTCACAGGTCATTTTCCAGACAACACGAGCCCTTACAAAATCTCCCTTTCCACTTTGAATGGAGCTACCTCAGCAGAGGAATCATCACAGAATGATCCCTACGGGGAAAGTTCAAATACTTACCAGTTGGATAATATATTTAACGGTGGATTGCAGCGCTCCGTTATTCCTCACGAAAATGCCGAGGACGTCAGTATTGTGGCTGCAAGGTCAGGACCGGAATCAACGGATTGGATAGATGAATTCTGCGAAGATTAGTATGTCAAGCTACTACCTTCTCTCAGCATCGTTCAAAAATTGTCCGGGTCTCAACAGCTAACCAAACCAAACAGCAAATGCACACCTTACGTCTACTCCCTAGACGAGCACCCCGATGACGAATTCCTTGTCCCATATTCTAGAAAAGGCCACGAAGCAAGCGCATACCTCAGCTACATCATCGACAACTATGATAACCTCGCACCTTATACAATCTTCATACACGGCCGAGAAGAGCAATGGCACAACGACGTTGGAGGACCAAACACCCCAAATGTGCTCGAAAACCTCCGCTACGAAGCTGTCAGCATAAACGGCTACGTAAATCTACGATGCACAAACAGACCCGGCTGTCCAAGCACAATATTCCAAGAACATCCCGTAACAATTGATTGGGACTACCAGTATATGATCAATCAACTACCCGAGCTTCTTGGCTATCTCCTTGGAATTGACCCTAGCGAAGCACCGACTGATATCGGCCATCAGTGCTGCGCACAATTTGCCGTGACTAGGGAGCGAATTCAAGAACGTCCTCAAAGTGATTATATTCGCATTCTTGAATGGATTGCTACCACTGACATGACGGACAATTATGGTATTGGTTGGCTGATTGAGAAGCTGTGGCATATTATTTTTGGGATGCCTGCTGTCTAGTACGTTGATAACTTGTTCATTATTCAGAAACTAAGACTGACCATCATTCTAGCTGTGCAACCGAGGAACAGTGTCGCTGCGATTTGTATGGCTGGTGTGGTCCGAATCCATCGACTTTCAATCAGGTTCTAACACCCATCCATTGATCGGCAAGAGATCGAATATTTTCGGCGATGTGAAGCGTTTTTGAAACATAACTTAATCTCTAATTCTACTTGAGACCTGGCGTCTCTTTATTTGAGTGTGGCATTCAAGCACACCACAGAATACATCCATTATTAAGACACAGTATCATCCTATATTCTGGCTGGGGTTTACAGAAGCCTCAGTAAAAGCTTATCTAAGTAGCGGCCAAGAAGGCCATTTTTCTAGAAAAGTGTAGATGTATTTGAAAGTCTCCCCCTTGCCTCTCGAGACTGTCTCAATGCCACAATACAGCTTTCTATCTCTGACCTCCTTTCAAATTGTGCCATTATTTCGCGTTAAACCCTAGACTTCAAACCTTTTCCATGGATTCATGCTCTTTTTCAAGCTCCTTCTTATCCGTTGGGACAATATCAAGCGGCGGTAGATAATAGTCACGGAACTTTCTCACAGGCACACCCTCGTGGAAGAGCCGATCCACTTCTTCAAGTGACTTCCCTTGACAATCTGGCACGCAGAAGTAAACAAAGACACAGGCACATACTGCGATGCTCCCGAAAATAAATCCAACCTTCGAGTGGAGACCGGCATATTTATCATCAAGAAGATACGGGATAGAAAAAGTCACCGCGAAGTTCACAGCGATGTTAGTCAGGAATGACACGCGCTGTGAGTGATCACGAAGCGACAACGCAGGTAGTTCTGTGACGACGACGTATGTGAGAGGTCCCCACCCTAGACCAAAGCCGACACCGAAAATTGCAACCATAGAGGCTATTGCGGAACTCTCTTGTCTAGTAACAGGATTAGCCGTACCCAGACCACCCATGGTGAGCAAGGCTGCGAATTGTATGATGCCACCGGCGATGAACAATTTTCGTCGACCAATCTTGTCGTTGAGAAAGTTTGAGCAGAGACAGACCAGCGCGCCAATACAGCTAGTGATGATTGTGAAATTGTAGGTGTTGATTGTCCCGAGCGACTTGATGAATATCGCGCCGTACTGACTGGCAAAGGCTTGGCCGGTAGCTTGTTGGAAGAAGCTGATTGCTATGACAATGGCAGTGCGCTTGAGGTTGACCCCTTGGAATAATTCTTTGAATGCACCCTTTTCTGGCTCGATGGCAAGACCAACTTGCAAGGACGCTAGTTCGGTAGCAATTGCGTCGTCAGTCATTGTTCCATAGCGGAGGCGCTTGAGGGATTTTTCGGCTTCTTCGACGCGTTCTTGAAGTAGGAGCCAACGAGGTGACTGGAACGACAGAATTTTAGACGAGTAATATAGTGACTCGGAAAGGTAGAGATACCTACCTCTGGAATAAACCAAATCAGACAGAGTATGATAGAGGGGATAACATAGAATAAGCCAAAAGGAATTCTCCAGGAATTATTGCCCTCCAAGGTGCTAGTGCCACGACAGATGCTGTTGATTATAACTCCTCCCAGCTATGTAATTGTCAGTTGATGATTCATCCCCAAATAATAGCATTGTATACTCACATTGATACTCAGCTGGTATGTCCCAACAATAAACCCACGCACCGGAGCTGGGACGATCTCAGACTGATATACTGGGACGACAGACAGCTCAAAGCCAATGTATACATCTGTAAGGGTCAGATCCTGGTATAGAAACTCGATTTTTCTGCGCGTCTCACAATTCAATATACGTGCAGCGAGTATTTGCTCTCTGCTTTGTGAAGTCACAGTGATGGTTGCAGTGACAAGAGCGTAGCAACTCATGACAAACATGCAAAGGCGCCGACCATATTTTTGGCTGACCATACTGCCTAGAATCAAGCCTTGACGATGCATTTTCATCAGCCTAATTCAGCCGTCAAGAATGGTCTGTCAACACTCACCGACCGCGAATCCGATATAGTTCAGGCTATTGAGCAGTGATAGAAAGTAGGCTGGGATAGCGTACTGCTTCGTCTTTGGGTTATATTCTCCAAACTGTTTAGTAAAAGCAGTCATCGACTGAGTTGTCGAGAACGCTTGATTATCGAAGCCATAGTTGAGCTGTGACAGTGCAATCAACGTGCAAGACAACGCAAGCGTCCGATTGAAGTGCTTTGTGATTGATGACAATGCCATGACTATTTTCAGTCGCTCGATTGTCCAGACGATTTCTCGTAGGCCCTCTCACATCTCCTTTCATTACTGAGGGCGAACCCTGACTTTTGAATCACATCTTCTCATGGCAATTGTTAAGCTGCCAAAGCCTCATTTCTCATGCGTAGACCAAATGGCGAACGGCCGACTACCGCGATTTCACAGAGTGAGAGTCCGGCTATCGGTGACCGAAAGCCGCCAGCCACGTTTTTCAAGTGGCTTAAAATGCATTTAAATACGTGCAAATGCGGGGAAAGTCTACGATAGGCCTCAAGGTGGTCTTTTGTGTGGGGAAACCGGTCGGCACGAACCCAATCATAGCCTCGGGTAATTCGCCATACATAAGAGTCATGTCCTCATCGATTGGATGGAATTTTAGAGGCTGCTTTGAACCATCTCATAGTCTTCTCTATGCGAGATCCTGGGAGTTCTACAGAATGGCGGATGATGCAACCAAGAAGCAAACTTGTTTGCAGTGTAGGAAGCGAAAAGTACGTTGAGGAGGAAATTATCTATAGCTCAGATACTAACCTGAGTTAGGTCCGCTGCGATGGTGAGCTCAACGGCTGCTCAAACTGCAATAGACTAAATTTCACTTGCTCATTCTTGAAGGCCCCGAATGACTCGGCTGGCATCAATTTACCTCTGAACCAAGCGCATGCGGCGAACTCGAGGCAACGGACAAAGTACACGATTGGCGGGATTGAGCGACGGCGTGGACTTAGAGCTTGTCGTCCTTGCCGTGCATCAAAGTCCCGATGCAGTGGCGGATGGCCGACATGTCGCAACTGTGAACAGCGTAGACTTGACTGTCAATACCTGCCCAGCAAGCGGCGGAAAATTCCATTGGACCCAGCACCATGTCCTGGAAATAACACTCTGAACGAACCGACATTATCTAACCTCCGCGATTTGAATGGATTAGAGTCAGTTCCGGGTGTCTTTGACCTCACTCAGTCCAATTCCGTCAAGGACATCAACCTTGCATCAAACAAGATATTCCTCGAAAGTCATGTCAACGCATACTTCAAGTACTTCCACGTCATTCCACAGTTCAATTTCCTCCATAAATCGTCATTTTTGCGGGATTTTCACCATGACACTCTCGATCCGGTGACCTTGTGCTGCGTCTGCGGTATTGCCTCGCGCTTCATCAACCAGAATGCTGATAAGAGCTATGTTTCACGATGGCTGGAAGAGATTGAAGCACAAATCTGGTCGCGAACAGGCGAGATGAAAATTCAAAACCTGCAACTAATCGTCCTATTGGTATGCTGGTACTCACTTGAGAGAAAAATCTCCCATATGTGGACAGCTTCCGCTTTGGCAACGCGAATGGCATATGGCATGCGCTTGAACCATGAGACTACCGATAAACTGCCGTTCGTGTTGAGAGAAAGCCGCCGAAGGCTGATGTGGTCAATTTTCATGTTTGATAAGATGTATGCTGGAGGAATCTCTGAACTCACCCTTTGCACAGCAAGCACGATGCATATCAGCTTGCCGTGCGAGGGAAGAAATTTTGATCTTGATATTCCTATTGAAACATCTGTGTTGGAGCCAGCCAACGCGAACGCCGAGTTGGAGGCAGGTATCGGAATCATGGGACATATCACTCGACTCATGAACATACGGCACGCTATTCTCGAGTAAGTAAACATTTACGCGCTACTTGATGGGTTCCGAACTAATTCTATCTAGATTAACCAAGAAAATAATCTCATCCAGAACCAATCCCTATACAGCACGAGACAGAATACAAAACTTGGATAACCTGCTGAATGGTTTTGCCCTCTGTCTACCCAATCATCTGCGAAACAATTCACGGAATCTTCTCTGCCGTGCCTATACAAGTGACCTTTCGGGATACGTGAGTCTACACTCACTCTGGCATCAATGCTACTGCGATCTCTATAGAATGATGATCTCCGGTATTCGAGAGTCTGTTCCAGAACCAGTTCAGCAAGAAGTGCCACTTTCGTACGCCGAGCAATGCCGAAGCATTTGTCTACATCATGCTATCAAAATGTGCAGCTTATGGTCCGATACGCTGCGTGAAGCCGACCTTACCAGACTTACGGATCAATCAATTGGCATCTACGCATACCAATGCGCCAATATCATCGCCAATCTATGGGAGTTAGACCACGACGATACTTTGAAAGTATCATTGCAGACAATCGTCTCTATTTTGGAGCGACCGGCAACGATCTACCCAATTGTCGCGGAAATCGTAAGCGTTATCTTCCCTGCTCGTATGAAACGATGGCTAATATTCTGTCTACAGCAATCGGAAATAAATACTCTGATAAGTAGCCTTGATATTGTGACCAGTTTCTACAATATGCACAGAGACCAAATGCTTTCTCAGACACTCACATGTGCATGGCGGTCCAGTCTGCGACAACTAGGAGTTCAAGAAGGGCAAACCACGTCCAAGTTCTCACTTCTTGAGTTTCTTCAGAATCAAAATGGAATCGACGATTCAGATACTACAGAAGAATTGTCTACAATAACTAAGGTCCCTGCCGACTCGGTAGCCCCGGCAGAGGGTAATACGGTCGTGACAGTAGACATGGACATGCCCTTCCCAGACAGATCTGATCTGGTAGACGACGAGCTTTGGCCATCTAGCATGCTGGGGATAGGATTTGACATGGAAGAGACTCAAGTCGATCCATTCTCTCGCATATTTGAAGATTGGTCGCTTATGCCTGACTCCCAGAATTAAAACTCGGGCTTAGTTTGAGTTCCACGAAATTTCATATTGGGTTCAAACTTTGAAATGATACATTCTTCGGCATCTAAGCCTTTTCACGGCCATGGGTCAGGCGAGTTACTGTAGCTAAGATCCTCTTTCTCACGGGTGTGAAATAAAACAGCCGGAAGGGGACCCACAAAACCTAGTAGGTTATCAACTTCAGCTCTTCTCCTTGTGATAAACCTCCTCTTGGCTTGCACCAGCGCCGGAAAGCTTAGCAGCGATAACATTATCGAGCTTGTCATCAACTGAAGCTGACGCCATCGCAGCAATGAGAGAGGGAATACCGAAGAAGCTCATTCCCAAACTTTCAACATCGGCGATGATGCAGCCCCATTATCATGGGAGAAGCGCTGGCCAATCCTCGCCTGATACTTTAGATTGGAGGATGTCGGGCCTAGTGAAGGTAGTGTCACTGGACCAGATAACGTCGAAAGCCACAAGGAGGAGTTCCAGGCCCTGTGCAAGGAGCGTGGCCCCATGGAAGAGATCATGTACACCAGCATTCGGAATACTGGTTCAAGAGGGATTATGATGAAACTCGTGGACTTTCATCGCAATTTGGATTTGAGTGAGGCGAGGGCTCTGGGGCTCAATGCCGAGTTGAGCACTGAGAGTTCCTGGTACACAGCCTTTGACCGGGTGCGTGAAGCAAAGCTCATGTTGTAAATCAGCTGGAATGGGAGAGATTTTGAGAATGATCATTCCACAAAAAAGCCTTCCATGAGTATTTCTGACACTAGCCCATCTCCAACTCGGTTTGTTTGGCTGGATCTTTAATTGCTTTTTATGCTCGATTGAGTGACTCCAGCCTCAGCAATAGTATGGTCATGACATATAAGTGCTAGTCCTGACTACCATCATTACTCAATATCCCACGCTTGATCCTCCAGTGGCAGCCCCGTAGACTCGTCCGTCTCACAGATGATCTCAGCCGTGCGGATCTCAGGAGGTAGCACAAAGCCTCCATCGATACTCGACCACGAGGTATCACCCCGGGCAGAGGCCACACCACTGACATGGAAATGCTGGGGGCTAATTGGCGTCTCAAAATGCTTGAACAAGACTGCACGACAATTGGGTTCTGTGGGTTCTCCCAGACACAGTACCGAGCCCGACAGTCCCTCCTTCTCAGTGCCGTCGTGCATTGCTCGCCACAGTAGTGCAGCTGATTGTGTACGCGCCTTTCTGTTCCACAGATATTCGGTTCCCTCGACGGCAGCCTTCTGCATGGTGCCGAACGGGTCCATCCGACTCTTCTGCTTGGGTGTCTCGCTCAGAGCACTGAGTGTCATTGTGAAGGCCAGCTTGCCATCCAATGCATCACAATAGTTGCCCCAGCCAATGATTTTAGGTGCACGCGGTGGATTCAAGACTTTCGGGAGATGATCTCCTGTGACAATTGAGGTATCATGGTCGATGGTCTGTGGGAATGTGGACGAGCACGCGAGGGGATGGTCGTATGTCGTCGTGACATGTCCGATTTTCTTATCATGTTAGCAGTCACGAGGTCTCGTGAACTCCTTTCGCCTTCTCCTTCGTTGGCAGTCCGTCTTACCTCTTTCGGCTCCTGAACGAACCACACGCTTTTCCCCAGCGGCGAGTCCACGGCAGCTCCCATCTTGACACGTTCCTTGACTTTTATCGCGGTCGCCTTTGAAAATGTCGACTTGGTCTTTGCCAGCCAACTCTTCTCCTTATGCGCGATGTTCCCTTGCGCTGTTCTCAAATCAACAAAGCCATGAGTCGCAACCGCGATACCTTGTGAATCATCTGCGAATCGCAATTTCAGACCCAAGGATGTGACAGACTCGTTTTTCTCCGGCGAGCCAGCCACTGCATTGCCACTGTCGGCGACAGCGACCGCGGGATAGTGAACTGCGATTCCGTATCCCAGTCTTAGCAGTCCAAACGACGGTACACAACCCTCCAACCATGACGCCTCGATATCCTTGCGAGTTTGAAACAATACAATAATAAACCCCGAGATGAGGACCCGCGCACCAACAGCTGCAGGAAAGAACCGGCGCAATAACTCCAAGTCCGATGCTGTGAGAAACCGTCGGGGATTGATTCCACGACGCAGGGGATCCGGGCGACTCCCGCTATACACTTTCGACAGCTGAGGGAGTAAATACTCCGGGTGGATGTGGATCTCGCGTCCGCCGGCGTGTGTGTCGTACATTGGCACGTTGGGCCCAATGCTTACTACCCAGATGGACTTTCCATCGGCCTCGGTGGTTTCATATACAAAGGGACAAGGTCCGAGGGTGCTATGATGCGTGCGTATAAGCCGTTCATTGTCGACGGTCACAGTTGGTTCTTTCAGCGCTCGAGTGGCAGCTTCTTCGTGGGAGCCCCACTTGTCCGAGCGTGTTTCTGGCAACGAGGAACTGTTAACACGACGGGCACTACGGGTTTAAGGAACGACTCTAACCGAATTATAACGAATTGGGAATAGGGGAGCCTGACTGGTAATCAGGGTCAATTCCCTGGGTATATGAATGGATGCCCTGCCCGATGGCTTGAGGCTATCCTCGCAATCAGCGGGGATCGGCGGGTATGGGTATAAACTTGACATGTTTGTGATACCTGCAGAACAACTGGACGAGTTCGACCGCGATCCATTCCTGCAAGAACTCGGTCACACAATCTACAGTTACCCTGAAAGAAGCTGCACCATCATAGCATGGGAACCCTCGCCCCAGCCTCCTCAAGTGGATCATCAACATGATGTCAACAAGCCTCCCGGAGTCCCAGCGCTTCAATCACGGACTAGAGACCCACTCGCCGCCCGAGCTTGCGGCTGGCAGCCACTCAGACTGTTTGTGATTCGGCACATCGTGTCCATTACGCCAATCAACATCCAGAAGATCATCAGCACAACACACAAAGCAGCAGCTCCCCACAACCCGAGCGAAGGGGCAGAAGCCACAACAGCGGTCAACAACATGTGCATATGGGGACCGATGGAGCAAGACTCCGAGAGCGATACGGGCGCGACATGAACAAGGCACAAAACTTTACGGAGAGCAAGTTGGCTGACATTCCAGACGAACCCTATTGCCTCCCGATGGCTGCACTACAGCCCGTAGTGCGCTAGACCTCTCCAGATGTGGCCCCCGATGGCTGCAGATGGGCTCCAGATAGCTCTGGCGGACTACCTATCAGGGCTTGGTCAGCGCCCGCCAATCTGCGCTATTACATCGCGATCGTGCCGATCTTGCCAGCTACGCCGAACATTGTGATGAACGATGGAGCCTTGACAGGCGCTAATCCCGTTCTTGGGTCCAATGAACAAGGTCAATAAGATCTGTCGATCGGGAAAACATGCAAGCTGAAGAGAGGCGAAAAGCTGAAGAGGGTCCGGTCTCTGAAGTTTTTAGGTCCCTGCACCCCCGCTCTTGTGTCGCTCTTGTGTCGCTCCAGCTTGATTTTCTGTTCTCTCTGGTCCTTCCTCTACTTTCTCTGCTCTTTTTTGTGGAAGTTCTTGTTGTTTGTGTTATAGTATAGCGATAATCCCCCACTCCGTTTTCCATCATGCCTACTGAGATTCCTGGCCCGGCTGGCGTGCCACTGCTGGGTAACATTTTTGACGTCAACCCCAACGAGACCTGGAACTCGCTGAACAAGCTGGCCAAGCAATATGGTACGTGCAGAGGTTGAGAATAGCTGTCGCAAGCCAGCTAGATTAATCGTGGGCAATAGGTCCCATTTTCAAGATCAACGCTCTGGGTCACCAGATTGTCTTCATTGGCAGCGTCGCCCTTCTCGAAGAAATTTGCGACGAAACACGATTCCGCAAGTGTGTGACTGGCCCCGTTCTGGAAATTCGCTATTCCGTGCATGACAGTCTCTTCACTGCCAAACACAGTGAGATGAAGTCCTGGGGCATTGCCCACCGCATCATGTACCCCCACGTCACTCAGGAAGCGACAGACGCTGTCTTCGTCGACATGGCCGAGGTCATCCCCGATCTGACCAAAAAGTGGACATCCGGAACCAAGCAGCGTACCTTGGCCACCGATGATCTAGACCGAATCTTGCTGGCCTCCTGCATGAAGTGCTTCTTCAACCAGCGGGTGAACGTGCTCGGAAAGGACGCGGAATCCGTCAAGGCGAAGAAGATGGTCGATGCATGGGAGGGTGCTACGATGGAAGCGATGAAGCGACCAACTCGCCCAAAGCTTCTCAATCTTCTCTACCAGAGCCGCTTCTCTTCTCTCACGAAAACCATGCGCTCGTACGCCAAAGACATCAAAAACAGCCGTCTGAATAATGCCGACCAGACTCGCAAGGATATGCTGGATGCGATCCTCAATGGCGTCGACCCAGAGACCGGTGAGAAACTCACAGACTCGCAACATCTCGACGAGATCGTGACCATTTTCATTGGAGCCGCCACCGCCGCAAACCTCGTCTCCTACGCCCTGTACTACCTAATGGAGAACCCGGAGCCTCTCAAGAAGGCCCAGGAGGAAATCGATTCCATCGTTGGCAACAACCCCATCGACCTCGCCCACCTGAAGCAGCTCAACTACGTCGAAGCCTGTCTCCGCGAAGCAATCCGTCTCTCCGCAACCGCACCAGGCTTCAACATCGAACCCATCCCTCCCAAAGATGAGAACGACAAAACCCCCATCCTCCTCGCGGGCGGCGAGTACCAAATCCCCAACAAACAGCCCATGATCGCAATCCTGAACTCCGTGAACCGCGACCCAGCCGTCTTCGAGTTCCCCGAAGAGTTCAAGCCGGAGCAAGTCCTCGGCGAGAAATGGGACCAGCTGCCCGCCGCCGCGAAGAAGGGCTTCGGCAATGGCAAGCGCGAGTGTATTGGTAAGGCGTGGGCGTGGCAGTGGTCGTTCTTCACATTGGCGAGTATCATTAAAGATGTCTCGTTTGAGTTGGAGGATAAGAATTACAAGTTGCACGCCAATGGGGCGTTTAGCATTAAGCCGCTGGATATGTGGACTTTGGTGAGCCCGCGCCAGAAGTAAATGTTGTCATATACCCGACCGAGTTTGTTTGAATGAGGATGAATGATCAATTTGTATGAATTTGGTTTTTTGTTGAAATGTTGTTTGTGTGTGGACACATCGTGTCAACTTACGAAATAGCTAATGCCGATGGAAGCCTGCGAAGCGAACCGAAGTCTTCGTGTAGCTTTCCGGGTAGGTTGGTAAATTAGTATGGGTTCGTTCGGGGTGTTTGTGAGGACGATTGCAGGAAAGATGGCAACCGATCAAGTAGAGACGTCTGAAGAGTTTGATTGATTGGCAGGAAAAAAATGTTTTCCTAAGTGCTTCAAACATAAGCGGGTGTATGTTCGATATATGTATCCCAGACCCGTCAGAACAACATAATCCAGGCATCCAGGCAAGCTTCCACTCAATTAGTCAAAGCAAACAAACATCTTACACATGTAAACCAAACCAAAAAAATTGTCAACAAAAAAAAGAATATCAAATGGTACACCAACTGCCCTAAAATCTCCAAAACTCTACCAATTCCAACACAACAAAAAAGAAATGATCTCAGGTTATCTGTAGGAATAGCCGAACGCGGGGGTCGAACCCGCAACCTTGAGATTAAGAGTCTCACGCTCTACCGATTGAGCTAGCCCGGCAGGGCTGGTTGAAGAGGCGGAGACTTATGAATCTATGAATGGAGCGAGACGGGGGGTGGACAAGAATCGGCGTGGTCGAGTTTCCTCCACCTTCCTCGTAACCGACGCCGAGCCGACAGCGAGTCTCACAACCTGGAAAGAGCCCAGCACAAGCGCAAATGGAACAAACAAAACTCGTCACATGACCTCTCCAGCTAGCTTGCAAACAAACTCATGGAGGTCCGGTCGGCGAGCAGTTCGTCGCCTGCCCAGCAGCCCAATAATGGCAAACAACCTGCATGTCTGAACTGCCGCCGGAGCAAGATCCGCTGTAACCGGCCGGCGGGCCACTCGAGCTGCGAGAAGTGTCGACAGAGTAATGCGGATTGTATTGTTCCCAGCCATCATTTGGGGAGGCAAAAGGGGGTGAAGAAGTAAGTATAGCTTCTGCTATTGTGGACGAGATTGACGCTGACTGATCGTAGTAAGCGCAAAGGCCTGGAGAAGGCTATACACCAGATTGAGCAGGCTATTAAAAGGCCCAAAGTGGACTCGTCGAGTCCGGATGATGCCCAAAAAGCTATCTCGGGACTTCAGGAGCTGCTGAGTCGATTCCAGGGCCAGTTACAGGGTGATTCGGATGCATTTGCAGATGGCTCTGGTCGTGTGCGCGGTCTGCCGGAGGCGATGGTAGATGAGAGTCTTACTCTTGATGATGCGGAGAATCCTCTACAGTTACTGGCCAGGGCTTCGGATCTGCAACTGTCTCCCACGGGCGTTCGACATGCCCAGAAGTCACCCATGCCCCCGTCTGTTGCGCCGTCGACAGTACCACAGGAAAGTAATGACTCGGGCGAGGTGAGTGCAAAATCGTTCTTTGTACCTGCACAGGCGAACTTGGATGTTGGACCGGACTTGGATCCAGTAGATCTGGGACTTGTCACGTTCGACGAGGCAGAGTCTTTGTTTTCTTTGTAAGTCATACCGGAAAGAATAGAATTTGGAATAAAGCCCTGCTAATCTGACGGCTATAGTTTCTACCAAAATCTTGCACATACGCGATGGGGGCTGGATCCCCTTGTACATACGGCATCCTTTGTGCGCTCGCAGTCGTCATTTTTGTTTACCTCGATCATGTCAGGAGCGGCTCTTTTCTTGCCGTCTGCCGCTGCCCTATCTACGAGATTATCTAGGCATTGCAAATGGCTAGCTAAGCGTGTGATAACACATCGATACCGATCGGTTGAAATTGTACTGGCCTTCATGGCCAATGTACCATGGATGGCGCCCGGAGAACGGCTTGGAGATGATGATACTTGTTCATATATCGCCATGGCACTGACAGTGGCACTGGACCTATCCTTGAACAAAATCGTCACCCCCTCGTCAAGCCTCGAAAAGGAATCATTAGGTAGATTGGCTCGAGCTGATTGCATCGATGCCAAGCGAGCCTTACACATGGATGGATTCGATGATGTCAATCCCAACTCCGAATGGGGTCGTCGATTACTCCGACGGCGAGAGAGAACATGGATTGCGCTATTCGTGGTCGAACGAGGAGTCTGCCTTGCTCGCGGAAGAAGCTACACTGTCCCTCCAACAGCGCTCATCGAGAACTGCGACGCCTGGCATCGATCCGACATTGCCGATCGACGCGACGGACCGATGAACTCAATGGCCGTTCTACGCCGCGACCTCGACGAGCTTTTCAGAAAAGTCAAATCAAGCTGCGACAGCTATCGCATCGTCGACACCGGATCCGAAGCTGCCCAGGCTATCAAAACGACCATCGAGAGTTTCTACGAGCGCTGGTTCGCAACATGGGCACTAGCCATCAGCGAGGGCGGTCCACGATCTCTCCCGCCATACGTCGAGATTCTAGTCACACACACTCAACTATCCACCTACGGCGGCGTCATCAACCACCCCACAGCCCCCGTCGAAGTAAAACGGTTCTTCCGCGCAGCAGGACTCTCCTCTGCACTCAACGTCCTTCGAGCAGCTATCCAAGGCGAATCCCGCCTGAAATCCATGCCCAATAACACCGTCATCATGATCTCCTTCGCCGCATGTTCCGCGCTTAGTCTAAGCGTGACACCAGGCGACAGCCGCTCAAGTCTAGCACCCAGCGTGAGAACCCTAATCGAAGAAACAGCCGGCGTCCTTGAAAGAATCGGCGCGACGCCATCCCACCGTAATGGCGCGTCAGTGTTATACGGACGATTCCTACGTGAACTTATCCGCCGCGGACCAGCCATGTCGAACTCACACCCTCGTCCTGATACAAGATCACTCGATCTGCCAGACCCTGTCATACCGAACACGTGTCTGAGTGAACAGGGTCCCTCGCTGACTGCGACACAACCCGTTCTCCCACCGGGAGATCTGTGGACGGAACCGATGCAGTTCTCGGCCATGTCGGATGATCAGATTATCGATGCGGTTAATCGGGCTGGGAGTGCGTTTGGTGCGTCTATACCGGATGTACCCGTGGATGATATGCTTAGTTGGGATTGGCTTGATTTTGCGAGTACTGATTTTAATTTTTGAGGATGTTATGTCGGATTTGTCTGATTGGGGCTTTGTATATAGTTTTGTATTTGGTAAGAGCGTTGATATCCAGCATCTAAGGGGTGAACCCCCGTTTGAGCAATCTCTATATATACCATCTATTCCTACAGTATCCAAGTGTGGGATTGGCTCTCGGTGTCTCAGTCGCCCATCTCAAACTTGCAGCTTCCATTCTCTGATGGGTCCAACAGAACGTCATCGCCAAGAACCTCACGAAAGACACTCCAATGCTCCATTCCATGACTTTATACGTGGTCAGACGATAAAACTATGTCCTCAAGATTATCCAACGTGGAAATAACATCAATCCATGCAAACATAAACCCCAATCAAAACCTCTATTCTTGATTCAAGGCTCGGCCGATCTTACAAACCTACACAGCTCTGCTCTACTTGGCACATCCCTACAACACAACACCTACCATGCTCGATCACACAATGCTCACCCCTGGTCCATCGGGTACAAGTATGATAGGTGAAAGCACAATCGAAGCTGCAGCTAGCCGGGGCCTTGCAAAGCAACGGCTTCGCGAAGAAGAGCTTCAGCAAGGCAGACAGAGCTGATACATAATTGAAGATGATGTCCACCCGGAGGCAAGAACGTTAGCTCCGCAGAATGTTGATAGGTGGGATAGTGGGAAAAGACATGAATATGAAAGGGAATTATCGCAGGAGGATCAAGTAGACCGAGCTCGAACTCGAAGTCTCCGGCCGGGAAACAAGTTGGTAAGATTCGGTCGGTTTGGAGGGGGATACGGCCACGGCTGCGACGATTTTCGGTAATACACCATGATGTATAGTATGCGAACTGCTGCTGTAAATTAGCGCAATGATATCAATCCCTCAGACGCCGGAGTAAAAAGAATACCCGGACATCCACTGAGCCCCGAACAATGCCGACCTTTGCTTTAACTGCACTAGAGCTGTTAGTTACAGTACAGTTAGTAGGTTGGTTGGTCAACCCCTCGACCCGCCCCGTTTTCGGCCGCCGCCACTCGGCAACCAAAAGTAGCCCCGAAGAGCCGTTGTCAACAGAGCTCTTAATCGCAAGCTTCTCTCCAATTCTCTCTCTCTTCTAGAATGAACCAAAACACAAAAACGCAAAATGGCATCTTTACGAGTATCCTCTTCAACGCTATCGCGTAAAGCGCTCACACCCTGCCGACCACGGCTATACCTGGCCGCCCGATGCGCTGTCGGTGTCGCTAGTACGCGGCCATCGGCGCTGCGAAGTGCTCGGCCGAACATGCAGTCGCACATGCAGAGCCGGTACTCATCGACGGCGCAGGCTAGTTCTCTCGCGCTGAAGATTGAACGTGGCGGGTCGAAGGTGTATAAGGATGCGGATGCTGCGGTTGCGGATATTAAGAGTGGATCGACGATTTTGAGCTCGGGGTTTGGTCTTTGTGGTGTTGCAGGTGAGTCTGATACTCCTCGGATTGAAATTCAGATTATGTTTTAGATTCTGTTTATGTGTTGATAAGCTGACTGGTATAGAAACACTAATCAACGCGATGCACCGCCGTGGCGCGGATCAATTGCACTCGCTAACTGCCGTCTCGAATAACGCCGGTGCGGCGGGTAAAGGCGGGTTATCGACGTTGACACACGCGGGTCAGATCGATCGCTTGATCCTGTCGTATTTAGGGAACAACAAGGCGTTGGAGAAGAAGTATTTGTCAGGCAAGATTGCGATTGAGTTGTGTCCGCAGGGGACACTTGCAGAGAGACTAAGAGCTGGTGGGGCGGGGATTCCGGCGTTTTTCACGCCGACTGGTGTTCGTAAGTTTATACAGTGCTGAGGCGGAGAGAAGACGAGATGTAGTGTACTGATTGTTTTAGACACGTTCATCCAGGAGGGAAAGATCCCCGTGCGAATGGATGAATCCGGCAAGGTGCTCGAATCGGGTAAACCACGGGAGACACGCGAGTTCAATGGCAAGACGTATCTCATGGAGACTGCCCTGACGGGCGACGTTGCGATCCTGCGGGCATGGAAGGTCGATGAAGCTGGTAACTGTGTATTCCGGTGAGTACAACCCCGTCTTCAACTGCATTCAAACATCGTTACTCATCCTCCCTCACTATAGATACACAACCAAAGCCTTCGCCCCGATCATGGCCAAAGCTGCAACCCTAACCATCGTCGAAGCCGAGAACATCGTCCCCATCGGCTCAATCGATCCCAACGACGTAGATCTCCCCGGTATTTTCGTGGACCGCATCGTACCAGCCACCGACGAGAAACACATTGAGATTAAGAAACTGCGTGAGAGCGAGACGGGCGATGCAAACGGATCTGTCAAGGATGCGGCGCAGATTGAGAGGGAGAGGATTGGTCGTCGGGCGGCGAAGGAGTTGAAGCAGGGATATTATGTGAATCTGGGTGTTGGTATTCCAACTCTTGCGCCGTCGTTTTTGCCGAAGGATGTCAAGGTGTGGATTCAATCGGAGAATGGTATTTTGGGCATGGTATGTTGATCACTATGTTAAGGATTGTCTTTTTGTGTGCTTATTGACTGATCTGATTTGAATAGGGCGCATATCCCACCGAGGCTGAGGTTGATCCGTGAGTATCCCTACTCACCCATACATTCTAGCATAAATAAAGCCACTAACCAACTAATAGCGACATCATCAACGCCGGCAAAGAAACCGTAACCCTCGTCCCCGGCGCCGCAACCTTCGACAGCACTGAATCCTTCGGGATGATCCGCGGCGGCCACGTCGACGTCTCCATCTTGGGTGTAAGTCGAACCGAACCAATTACATATATACCTTCATAAATATCTTCCTCAATATCTAACTTCTATCCCAGGCCCTCCAAGTCAGCGCCAACGGTGACCTCGCCAACTACATGATTCCGGGCAAAGTCTTCAAGGGCATGGGCGGAGCCATGGATCTCATTTCGAACCCGGACCAGACGAAAATCGTCGTTGCCACGAGCCACGTAGCTAAGGATGGATCGCCGAAGATTGTGCAGAAGTGTAGTTTGCCGTTGACGGGGGCGAATGTTGTTAGTACTATTATTACGGATTTGGTAAGTGGATGTCCATTCCAGAGATTTGGGATTGATGCTGACTGTTTTGGTGGGGAATAGTGTGTTTTCCAGGTCAATAGGAAGACGGGTGAACTTACCTTGACGGAGTTGGCTCCAGGTGTGGAGGTGGAGGAGGTGCGTAGTAAGACTGATGCGGAATTTACGGTTGCGGAGAATTTGGTGATTATGGAGTGACGGTGGATGGAAGTCTAGGTTCATATTATACGGGGTGATTTGTATATACAGTAGATTGCATTATGCATTGTTAGAATTCTGATTGTTCTCTTATCATGATGGATTTGACTGACTCTCTATTATATTAGTTTTCTGCAATGAATTGATAACGTCTTTAAATAAGAAGTATGATATGGGATATTAGATGCTTCCTGTCTGGTATCAGTCTGTGCATGATATGCCCTCACTGTCGCCAATTACTCTCGAGTCACTCAGACCTGAGTACTTCTCACTCCGCTGATAGCTTCTAATCTACCATGTTCTAGAATCCCTCTGTATCATATTTCCATGTACATTGACTTCCCTTGAGTTCGGTCTACCTTTAAGAGCGAAAAATACTATATACAACATAACAAGCAACGAATGTCTATATCTCCTAATCACTCTCCACCTCCACTACAACTTAGCCCTCCCCGGCGCAAAGTTCGACCCATTCCCAGCCCCAATAGCCTCCACAATCGCATCCACACTCTCCAAAATCCACATATTCCCCTCGTCACTCGCCAACCACCTTGCCCCCTCCTCACTCTCGACATCCCCCTCCCAACTCCCATCCTCCAACGCCTTCCTCAACCCAAAAACATGCGACAAAACCTGCGGCCCCACACCCGTCTGCGCCCTCAAACAAGCCACCGCCACAATAGAAGTCAACACCCTCCCCGCCGACGCCCCCGTCTCCCGCTCCGGATCCGACAACAGCGCACCGTAATTCGCGTGCAGGATATGCACGGGCAGATCCGGGTGTGACGCCCCAAGCTTCGAGTAGAGCTTTTTCTCGAAGGGTCGGTAGATTGAGTCCCAGAGGGCGTGGCCGCGGGCGGAGATGGAGGCGATATTTTCTGGGTTGGGGGTACGGGTTGGTGTTGTGGAGAGGTTGGAGGTGATTTCTTCGGGGAGAGCTGCGCGGAAGGCGTTTAGGCAGTTGATTGTGCGGGGGATGCCGTTGAAACTGATGCATTTGAGACCGACTTCGCGCATGAGTTCGGCGGCGGGGAGGGCGGTTGTGGGGTTTGTGGTGGTTATGAGTTCGTGGAGGGCTGTGAGGGATTCGGGGGAGTTCATGGTCATTGTTGCGGCGGTCTAGGTAGGAGGTGTTAGTGCTTTGAATAGAATTGGGATATAGCTATGGCTATCTTGGTGGGATTGGAATTGTACAGCTGGATTAGAAAAATGGCGACATACCGACAGCGCAAGCCACGAGGGCTGCGAGACATTGTTAGCCGCTGCTGTCTGCTGGATAGTCCGGTAGACATGAGCGATATTTGGAGGCGCGGGCACGGTATGTGGCCGTGCGGCGGGGGAATTGATCAATGCCTTTAGGCTGGTGGAGAGTTTGGACATGGTTTGTTCTGAGAGGTGGTGAATAGGAAGGTGTTGAAGGTCCAAGATCCAAGTTCCCGAATGCCAATTTGAAGCAACGGGGAAGGATCAAGTCCCGAGGTCCGGCGTGCACTTTTGGATGCCGATACCGGGCGCTCAGATAACAATGGCGATACGGTCATTTTACCATTGAAACAGCCAAGCAGGCTAAAAGTGCCAAACTGGCTAAGCAACACGACAGTACTCAACTACCGTACTCGGTATGTACAACAATCCACTTAGAAACTAGGGAGCCCAACAAAGTCGCCCCCCACGGAATTAGCGAATCCGGGGAACTGCGGGGAAACAAGATGAAAAAATACACACCCAAAGACTAAAGTGTCCAAACTCAATATGAATCGGCTGTAGAATTGGCCTCCGAGCGCGGGCAAGATTCCTTCTTTTTATCTGGGCTGGTCCTGCAAGGTCGCTGACATTCTCGTCTCTTCATTCTCTGCATCTCTCCCTTTCTCCACCTCCTTGCAGAAAACGCACCAAGGACTCGACGGAGAGGACATCACGCATTGATTGATCATGGAACATAAGCCAGGCGTGATGGAAGTGGAGGATCCCAAGCAAAGCGAACTCAATCGCTTTGGCGACCATGATCACCAGCAGAAGCTAACAAGACGGGTGCTATTTAAGCTGGATACTCGGTAAGTCACCCATGACAGAGTAGAAAAAAAACAAGTCACAACCCCTAATCAAGCGATAGAATCCTACCTATGCTAGCACTGCTATTCCTCTGCTCATTCCTCGACCGAACAAACGTTGGAAATGCCAAAATTATCGGCCTGGAGAAAGATCTTAAGATCACTGATCATCAGTACGATGTCGGCCTGACCGTGTTCTATCTCACGTATATCTGCAGGTGAGCAGTCACATCAAGGCGTCCAGCCTAGCCTAGCCCAGCCCGGTCCGAACTAGAACCAGAATTGACATCCAACCTACAGCGAATTGCCGAGTAATCTCGTGCTGAAGAAGGCTTCGCCAAAGTTGTGGCTGCCCTTTTTGACGGCGCTGTGGGGTATTATTACCATGTGTCTGGGGTTCGTCAAGAACTATGCCGGCTTTGTCGCCGTGCGGGCATTACTGGGAATCGCAGAGGGAGGATTGCTCCCTGGCATGGTACGTTGTGTCGAGTTTCTTTTACGGACGTTTTCTGATGGGTTATAGGTACTATATTTGTCTGCTTTCTATCGACGCGGAGACCTGGCGCTGCGCATTGGTCTGTTTTATACCGCTGCGTCCTTGTCGGGTGCATTTGGTGGTAAGTGGCGAAGCCATGTTATTTTTCTGGCATGAAGCTAATGAAAATAGGTCTACTTGCTCGAGGCCTGGCAGAAATTGGTCCACGTGGTGGACTGGAAGGCTGGCGATGGATTCTCATCATCGAGGGACTGCTGGTACGTTCACCCAGAAAAATCGGAGGAACTATAGATAATGACTGATCATATAGACCTTTGCGTGCGGTGCTTTGAGCTTCCTCGTCCTCCCCAACTCCTTGGAGACTGCAACCTTCTTGACCCAAGAGGAGAAGGAGTTTGGTCGGGAGAGACTGCTGCTGGATAACCCCAAATCACCGGATGGGTAAGAGGTCACTCATTCCCTCTTAAATTAACATCATCTAACAGACCATAGAACTCTGGCCGTCGAAGAAGACGCATTCAAATGGTCCGAAGTCCGTCGAGGTATCCTGGAGCCACAAGTCTGGTTCTCGGCCACCGCGTACTTTGGCATTCTCTCCGGAATGTACTCATTCGGTCTATTCGTACGTCCCGTCCCATCCCCCTCCCCGGCTCTAAAAAAAACAGCCGTCATTAACGCTCACTAGCTCCCAACAATCATCCAAAACCTCGGCTTCGCCAAAGACGCAAACGAAGTCCAACTATGGTCCGTCATCCCCTACGCCGTCGCAGCCGTAATCACAGGTAACCATCCCCCCCCTTCCCCCCGTCCCTTCCAACCTCAATCTTTCCAAAACAACGCACATTTAACAATCTACAGTCCTCGTAGCATTCATCTCCGATCGCCTCCGCCTCCGCGGCACAGTAATGCTCTTCACCCTTCCCATCGCTATAATCGGCTACGCCGTCATCTCCCACGTCAAGAACCCGCACGTCCAATATGGAATGACCTTCCTCATGGCTACGGGTCAATACGCTAGTGTACCCTGTATCCTGGTGTGGATGTCGAATAACTCGGCGGGTCATTATAAGAGGGCGACTACGTCTGCGTTGCAGCTTGCGATCGCGAATTGTGGAGGGTTTGTTGCTAGTATGTTGCCCTTGACTCCAGACTACATCGAGAACTTATACCGTCTCCTATTTTGTGGTGGAATTGCTAATGCTGGTGGTTTTTTTTTACAGCGTTCAACTATCCCGCGCGTGATAAACCGTACTTCCACCGTGGACATACTATTATTCTGGGATTATTGGTGTTTGCGTGGTTTATGTGAGTTTGACACTACCCCCTCTCCCTCTCCCTCTCTTTCTCCATCTCTGTTTGGAATGTGATGCTAATAACGATGTTATTGACAGGATTCTATTTAACGTGCTATACTGTGCAAAGGTGAATCGTGACAAGAGGAATGGGAAATATGATAAATATGCCGGATGTAATGATGACCGGAACCCGAACTTTATGATGATTCTTTGAGAGGGTTATGACCTTTTGGAACGATGTTTTGATTGGTATTTTGAAAGGGATTAGGATGGGTGTTAGTTGTTTATAGTTCGTTCATAAGAAAACGCGATTGGTCGTCTTACTACTAAGTTATTGAAACGAACAATGAATCTATACATTGCACCGAACCGAATTTAGAAAATCTCAGTACATGAACTTCTCATACCCCCTACCCACCAAAACAAAACGATCCTCTTCAAGGAGGAACCTCATTCGGATCCGCCGGCACCGGCATAGCCTTCTTTATGTTCGCAGGCACAACCAACCCCTTAGGATGCGGCCCCAACCTATTCCCGGACAGCACAGCATTCGTCGTAAACGGCGGTGCCGGCGGCGGATTCTGCCCCAAATCCCTCGCCGGAAGATTAAGCGCAAGCGCCGCCTCAGAAGTCGCAAGATGTATACACCTATAATCCGGCGGCTCAGAACCCACATAAAACTGTCTCCTAAGAAGCGGGCCATCCAATCTAGGCATTGAACTTGCGCCTCTGTAAAAGCCCGGCTTGACGGTACATTCCATTCGAGTCCAGCGTGTTAGACTTTTCGCGCTGGGATCGCGACTGTCGAGGAGGGTGACTTCTATTTCGATGACGTTCATCAGTGTAGCGCCCGAGGCGGTTGTGTAGGATGAGGCGTAGAGGACGGGGGACCAGGGGTTTGGGGGGGATCCGGGGCGGGCCCATGAGCATGTTTAGGTCGCCGTGGTATATGGACATGCAACTTGCGCCGGTGTCGTACATGAAAGGTAGTTCGACCCACCATTGGTAGCCTGGGAGGCGGAGGGCTAGATGGACCTTCAAGTGTGCGAGAAAGTTGGCGATTTTCTTATTCGGTGCGCTTTTTGACTTTAAGTTGATGGAAAGCGTACCTGTATAAGGTTCCTCCAGCCTGGGAATCCACCTAATGTCACGAGAGGAAACTGACCTTGGGAGCCAGGCCCAACCTTCTTGACAAGAGATTGTGAGTGAGACCGTAGACCAAGATTAGAACCTCCAATACTTACGCCTTCCCTCCAAAAACCTTTATGTCCACCATGCGCTTGATTGAGGACTTCAAACTCATCCCAATCAAAAGGCCGTTGCTCACAAAGCTGCTCCCCATTCGACCAATAAGTAACGAGCTTCGGATACCGTACAAGCTTCTTAGATCGATATGCTTGCAAGTTCGCTGTGATGTTGGGTAGTTGCTCTGTTGAATCTTCATCTTGACCAATGACGAATTCTTGCTCCATTTCTCGATGGACTTTTATGCGTCCGAGAGTTTCTCAACTCAGGCCCTCCAGTTCGGAAGAAACCCAACTGTCTATTCTCGTGATCATCAGAAAATATCTGTATGTGAGAAGAATTTTGGGAGAATGGCTTACCTGCGCTCCTCCCTCATCGCCTCATATTCTTTAAGTCTCTGCTCGAAAATATGTGGCATAATATTGTCCCGGAGTCTTTCGTGACATCTCGCAATTAGACCCTCAACGTCTCTACACCAAACGTTGAAAGAAAATTCCATAAATTTGATCTAGTGGAAGTGTACTCACTCCGGATCAAGGTTCACGCAATCATTAATTGTTTCCTCTCTCCCCCATCGCTTCCATCTTCTGACACTTGCTGGCTGAACGGGCTCATATTCCTCTTCTTCTTCTTCCTCAATCTCATCTACATAGGACCTGTAAATGTCAATGTCTGACTCGGTGATTGATTTGCGAGGAATTTGGTCCAGCAGGGAACCCTCGGGGGCTGTTCGGGTAGTGCGTTGGAACGACGGCGAAGATTATAACGAGATAACATTATGCCAAGGATGTAGATGTATAAAATTGAGAGATTGGGCAAGAAGGGCCACAGTCAGCAATTAATCAAGGACTTGAATTTCAGAACTCAGGACTCCAGCTGAGAAACGAAATCGAAATTGATCCATGATTTTTGAAGCTCCGAGCTCGGTATAATAGTAGAAGCATTGAACAAAGAAATCACCATGAATTCCGAGGCTGCCACAGCCTTATTTATTTGTACTCGAGAAACGAGGTTTCAGATGTCGGTCTTGAGTCAAATTGAAAGGCTCAAGACGAGGAGCTCGAAAAAAAACTGACATTCTCAAGATCCCACCTGTCCAAGATGAACGAATATTCTGGTGTATCACTAAAATGCGAGAAAATGAGAGATTATGGTAACTGGCGACATTATCTTTCTTTTGTCCATTGATTAGAAACACCATTCGCAAGACCATTCGAAAGACCAGTCAAGAGAGATAGACGAGTAGAAAGACTATTAGACAGACTGATAATCCGATTTGCATATGATGGGCATGGTGATTCCTCCAGAGCAACCTTATTTATTCCAAGCTCCAAAGCAAACATCGACCTGAAAGACAAAGGAACTTTCAACTATTTTGGGCACCAGAATCGGGATAACCCACGTTTGATTTCTTTCAAGCGCCAGGGAAGTACCGGGCTGCTTCTTTGTCTTCTATTAAGCAAGCCCCTTGTCCACTCACTCTCACGATTCCTCCTTGTAACCAACCAGGCTTCTCAACACTTAAACTATCTGGATTAAGCTTATCAATTCAAATCTATATCATGACTCGAATCAAGTTCCACGAAAGCAGAGTTCAAGCTCTTGTGCAGAACCCACTTCAAGTACACTTGATTCGTGAACAGATCAAGGGTACGTACCAAAAATTGAAATCTACGAATCCTTCTAGCCTGGAACTAATTTAACACCTCATTCCAGCAAATGCCAAGGCGGTATTCTTAGACCACCCTTTCGAAGTTGTCACCGGGATAGAGAAGAATAATAAAGGCAAGTACGCTCCATTAATTACTTCCATCTCCTTGCAGAGTTGGTACTTATCCCACTATGGCGATTTCAAGAGATTCGATATGCATATCTCCTTCGTCTAGATCTCTTGGAGTCTGAGAAACTCGATGCTAAGGATATGGTGGCTGTTAGGGCGCGCCCTGGTTACTGTCCGCTACTTGGATTACTGCAATTCTTGGAACAGAAGGTTGGCAAAAGATGGACGAATTGTTGGACCATAAGAAAGCCAATTGGTCATGAATGGGTCATAGGAGGTAATCTACTGACGAGATTGGAGGACTTTGAAGGACTGCGAAGGGGTATTACTTTTTAACCACCGAGTGAAATGCTAGTAAGATGCTCGTTATGTGACTCCTCTACGAATAAACATTCAACATGAGAATTTCTTGAAGTCCATATTTGATTTCTGTGTAAAGAAAAATAACACATACTCACCCCCACCAACCCTTCTCCCTCCAATCCACTCTACTCGCGGCCCTCAAATCATCCACATTCAACATATCAACACCCTCCCGAACCAGCACCCTCCACACATAATTCCGCAATCCAACCGGCCATCCAGGTGTACCCCAATACCTCACTTTCAAGCCCCGGTCATGTGCAGCGGCAATCTGAGCCCTGATTTTAGCCAGCTGGTCCTGCGATAGTCGACCCAGCGGGATAGATCCGATACTGGCGTGGAAGTCGACAGAGGCGTAGTAGCTGTTGTACTTTGTGTATGATGGCTCTGTATCCGAGGTGTAGTTTGTGGTAGATTGGAATTCAGGTTCGGGTTCGAGGGTGAGTTTATCGAGCGGTGCGTCGTAAAATATGTCGCGGTATGTGGTGCTGTCTTGGATGCGGTGGAAAGGTGCGCTACCCGTTGCTACGACGGTAATCGGGCGTTGAATGAGTGTTGTCCCGTTGAAATGTGTTAGGTAACCCTTTTGGCGGAGAGGTTGAAGGTTTTTCATGAGGAGGGGCCAGAGGAGTTCGGGGGATGCTTTGAAGTCGATGAGTAGGATTAGAGTTTGACTGGGTTCTGTGACGAAGACGCCGACTGGCGCGAAGTCTGTTTCAATTGGTGATTCTGTCTCTGATGTTGAGACATTGCTGGCAGGATTATGCTGCTCTAGAATATCGAGAAGGGGGTCGATGTATAGACTGCGCAGTGATTGATTCGGGAGTACAGTGCGCATTGTATGTCCGACGAGTAACTCGTCGCCGTCGAGCCAGATATCGGCTTCCACACTAGTGCAGCCTACTGCTAAGGCTGAGAATAGCGGAACCCGCCGCCAGTAGTCGTTGTGTGAATGGCAGGCGATTGGGATTACGCCATGTGTGAGCCAGTCTGAGAAGAGTGAGGGCCGCTGGCCGGGGAGGATGCCTGCATCGCGACTATCGGCGAGGACGGAGAGGATACTGTCCCATGCGAAGGAGAAGAGGCTAACGAGGCCGCTGTATACAATCAGTCTTGAGCCCGAGAGATGACAAGAGTATTTCAAAATACAGGATAGCGACTAGAATCCAGAACAGCCGCTTAACAGTTCCACAGAAGAGCGCCCTCTTCCACCAGAGCCTTGAATCGCATTTCTTAAGCCCACAACTCCATGGAAATAGCCGAGAACTTAGTGATGTCTTCTTCCTTGAAGTGCCAGCTTTCTCTCGAGCATTCGACTCCTGAGCATGACCCTCCAGGTCATAATCATGGAGCAGATAGACACCCTCCTCCTCTTCCGGGATCCCCTGCAGAACCGAGTCAGCCGGTGCAGCTGCAGCGTCGAGACTAGACTGGAAGCTGGTGGACCCTTGAATAGCCATACCAACGGAGACAAGAAGTGCACCGAAGCTTGATTGCTATAACCTCCCGTCGATCCGGGAAATCGGGTGTTATATGAATGAGCTAGTGGGGTCGCACCACATCATTAGTGATTTGAGTTCTGCCTACGATACTGGGCGAAAAGACAGAATCAAAAAGTAACCTAGGGGGCGAGAGATGTGGTTGGTGAGATGGGCCAGGTAAGCTTTTGGGAAAAGCGGTTGCCTAAACGTGGAACAGTGCGACTCGAGAGCTTTTTTGGGGGTTGTATGCGCCAGACCGGTGAATTTTACTTCCGGCGGCTTAATTTATTTACCAAGGAGAATAAGAGGAGTTTGAGGACTTGCGTCACTGTCGAATGTGTGAGGATTATTCCGTGGGATGGAATGGAAAGGAAATAACGTTCAGGATGGAGGCTGTATTGCTTATACTTTCGGGGTCGCATCGGCTAGTATCACCCCAAGATGGAACTCCACACAACTACTCGGATCGAACATCGAGTGGCGCAGGGTAGATGCTTGGCACTACTGCTTATGCTTAGTGCTGAGTAGTACCTGCATTATTATTTTGCCGTCAGATAGGAAGAGTCAATAAATGAATTTGCAATTGGAAATGATAGAGATATGAACACTAGGGATATGAATACAGACATGATCGCCATTTAGGGCAGATCATAATTTGAAGTCGCTCTCTAAAGACAGAAAATCTGCTGGTTTCTTTTGCTAACTTTGACAAGGAATACAGCCCCCAAATGGCATCATCGGTGATCTTTCCGACCGCCATATGCCTAGCAGGTGTATAGTGGAAAGTTCTTGTTATTCTATGTATGCCATCAAATTGTAGCCATGAATGCAAACATTATTGAACCCGAAACATGAATCAAAACGCTTTTAGTAAACCATAAGGCAGTGGTCTGTGTTACCACATCGACCATCATCCCACACCGCACGAGCCCAATATAGTATGATACAAGTATGACATTGCACATCCTACTGAGTCTCCTCCTCATCCCCAGCAGTCTCACGAGCAGTCTGCTTCCTCTTCTCCGCCTCCTTCCCCGCAAAACTCACCAACATGCCCAAATCATAGCTAACCTTTAAACAACCAGCGATGATAAACGACACGCCAAACATGTTGTTACGCGCAAGAATGCCGGTTAGCAGTGGACCTAGACTTTGACTGGTGGTTTTCACCACGTTGACGGCGCCCATGATGGCGGTGCGCTTGTCAGAGGGCAGTGCTGCGGCGAGGAAGGCAGAGCGCGGTGCGACATCCATGTTTTGCGAACATGCGCGCAGGACGAGGAATGTCAGCGCTAGCGGTAAGCTATTGGGGACGGAGATCAGGGCTAGACAGATTGCCGAGGGCAAGTGTGTGAATACCATTGTCTAGATTGATTGTTAGTGGGATATTAGATGCGTGGGGTGAGAGATGCTGACCTTCACATTGCCGATACGCTTAGCGATCGAGGATGCGACTAGCATTGATGCCGCAGAGATAGAGCTCGTCACGAAGAAGATAGTCCCGAGTTCGCCCTCGGGCAAGCTGAACTTGCGGTGGAAGAAGTATGTCATCCAGGATCTGTTCAAGTTAGCCCCGTCAAAGCTTTTCAAGTGAGTGCAATGACTTACAGAGATGCCAGCCCCGACGCAAACGAGTCGATACCGAACAAAATAAACAATCGAATCACGAGCGACCATAGATCCTTCTCGATAGATGCGAACAAGGACTTTTTCGGTGCAGGCTGCTGCTCCACGGGCGCCTGATCAGCAAGCAGCGGGCGAGTTTCGCCATTCTGTTGCTCCTGCTTCTTAGCTGTCTCAACCTTGCGGGTCAGAGCAAGTGTAAGGATGAGCTTGACAAGACCAACGCCCGCATAGACGAAGAAAATGATACGGCAGGACGGAATAAAGGCCCATCCGTGCAGGTCTTGCAGTGAGCTTATCGTCCACCCACAGATCAATTGACCGAGTGCGGTACCCGCAGTTCCAACCAGCGAGTACCACGCAAATACATCAGGCAATTTCTCGTGCGGCGTAAGATGAGCCAGAGTCGACTCCTCCACAGCGCGGAAGGGTCCAATCTCGTTACCACTATATAATAGAAACTCGTTAGTGAAGTGTTATACTAAAGTAAAAGACCATTCACCTTGGACTAATAACTCCAAACACCGCCGCCGCAAGGAGCACCCAAAAATTCCCAGACAGCGCAAAAACAACGCCACTACCAGCCATCAACGCCGATCCCAGCGCCAACACAGCCTTGCGACCCATCGCGTCCGCGAACAGGGTAAGAAAGAAGCTAATCACCACATCGCCGACCAGTGTAAGGGTCATAAACAGACCAATTCGGTCATCCGTGACTCCAATAGCCGATAGATATGATGCGAGGATGAGCGTTGACCCGCCATACGCGAAGAGTCGTACGAAACGCTGGGCGCAGAGGAACTTGACGTCTCGGGTGGAGTGGTACATGGTCCGCAGACCGAGCTCGTCTAGAGCGTGCGATAGAGCTGTCATGTTTTCCTGCGTGTTTGGTGGTCACCAGGAGTTGTTGGATGAGGGGGAAAACGCGATCGGAGAAGATGTCGTTGGAGTAAATAACTCCGAGAATCTCGGATTCGGCGATTGTTGCGGGTAACGGGGTGCGGTGGTTGGCTAATGGGGGGTTTGGAGTGGAGTCGATTTTTTCCATCTGAACAGGCAGCAGTTAAAACCGGATATGTACTGTAGTGTCAACGGAGGAGAATTAAGATATGTCAGCGAAGCACTTTCATTGGTCGAATTTCATAAGTTGATCACGCTTTGATTAGATGCGCCATCAAGACGCCTGATGTGTACGCCAATGCGCTAATGCAGGGTTTACGCCAACATCAAAACAATGACATCGCCATGGAATGAATAAATTGCCTCTTTCGAAAAACCTCTTTGAAGGTTCAGTTCAAGTCCAAATCAGAATTTACCTGTAGCTCAAATCGTACACGGAACACCCCTCAGAAGATCCGAGGTAACCAGAATAACAGCGACTACCTACAAGACTATCAAACGCTAGACGTCAAACCCAAAAGGGATCATAGTTGACAAAATTGATCAATTAATTGATGACACCATCTCAATATAATACACGCTCAAGCCAGACCATCTCCATCCTCATATTCACATCCTTCGCCATTCATCACCATCTTCTCCCACCTCAAACCTCCGTCTTAGGCGGCCACTTAACCCGCCTCTCAGCCCTTACATACAAATTATTCGGTCGAATCAACTGGAACATAGGATCATACTCAATAGGCCCATCATTCTCCCTCGTAAACTTATACCGATACAATAACTTCGGCAAGAAAACCTTCACCTCCTGCAGCGCAAAGTTAAAGCCAATGCACATCCGCGGACCCGCCGCAAAGGGGATATAAGCCGCCTTATGACGGTTCCGCACCACATCAGTATCCCAACGATCCGGGTCAAATCGAGCCGGGTTATCCCAGATGGCGGGGTTATTGTGGACATGGTGCAGGGCTGGGATGACGACTGCGTCGGCGGGGAGTTTGTACCCGCCTGGTAGGATCATAGAGACCTTTGCTGTGCGGGCGGGTTGGTAGGAGGGGTTATGGCGGCGTTGGGTCTCTTTGATGAATTTGTCCATGAAGGTGAGTTTGTCGGTGAGGTCGGCGGTGATTTGGGTGTCGGCGTTGATGTCGTTGTCGATTAGTTCTTGGAGGAGGCGCTCTTGCATGCCGTCGTAGTTGACGAGGGAGTAGATTAGCCAGGAGAGGAGGGAGCTGGTTGTTGTGAAGCCTGCTCCTGTGGCGACGACGAGGGCTTGCATGAGGCTGGATTTGGGGAGTTTTTCGCCTTTGTTGTCTGTTGCTCGGATTGCGTAGTCTGGATAGTTCGTTAGTTAGGCTGCGGAGTGATATAGATATAGGCAGGGATGTAGATAAGGGATTGGTGAAGTACTTACCGACCATGTTAGTCGCCTTCAATGCAGCATCTTGCAAGGGCAAGTCTTCGACACCACCACGCTCTGCATTCGCAATCGACTCATTGACCATCTCAATGATACGCCATCTCGCATCCCGCAGCTTCTTGGGATCACCAAACGGTAGCTTAGCATACCAATCACCCCGCGCCGCCACCTTCTTATTCAACGTCAGCGACTCAGCAATGCGATACACGAGCTCGTGAGGCGGCGCATCAGGACTGGTAAAGTGCTTGAAGTCAATACCCAACACCAATTTACCAACCGCCTGCGAACCCAGCTTCAGCATATACTGATAAACATTCCAGGCCTCGCCCGCCTCATCGAGCTGATCGAATACGTTGAACGCGTCTTCGACAGTAGATTGCATCGTCGGCGCGTAGTGACGCACAGCCTTGGGGCCCAATGCCGGTGGGAGGAACTTGTGTGCAGCGCGCCACTCAGGAGTATCCGTATCACCGAGGAAGACGCCTGCTTCTAGGTTCTTGATGGGATATAGAGGGTGAGCTTCATTGATTTTCTTAGAGAAGAAATCTGACTCTGCGAAGACGATAGCGCTCAGTTGGGGGTCATTCGTGTGGTAGATTGTGCGACCCATGTTGGTCGTTTGGAAAATGGGACCATATTGATCGAAGAGTCGCTGGTGGTTTCCCAAGTGGTCTGGGTAGATCTCGAAGAAGTTGCCCACGAAGGGGAGACCCTTGGGGCCGGGGATCTCGCGGACGGGCTTGCCGTCTATGGAGATGGCAATTGGGTCTGTGGAGGAGAGAACTTCGGAGACGCTGGATATTGTTACATCAGAAGACTGGAAGCCAATGCCTGGAAGAGTTGGTTAGTCATGTTGGTGATTATGCTTAACATGCGTAAAACCTTAAGATGATTAAAGCTGTCATTCCCAAGGAACTCAGTTGGAACATACCGTTTGGCTCGACAATGGCAAACTGGCCAGCAATCCAGTGCTGCAATCCTTCAAAGTCAAGCTTCTCCTCAAATTCAACATTCCGAGCTGTAGAGCTAGGCTCTCCCAGCAGGTAAAATTGTTTGACGATCATTCTGACTGATTATGTTCTTTAAAAACTATCAAAGTCAGAAAAGAAAAGCACCCAGGAAAGCACTCAGGAAACCCTGCGAACTAATATAATCATTTCCAATCCAAATCAACCCGACCAACTCCACTCCTATCCATTCAATTTGCAATCAACTTCCCTGCATAATTCCCAACTACTCCTACATACGCGCAATATCCCTCTGCGCAGCCTGATGGCCTGCCTCGGCAGTTTCAGCAATTTGCGATCGCGGGCCCACCGTCCCAACTCGAATCGAGCGATGATCGTCCACTGCACAATTTGCACCCCCACTATGTACCTGATGTACCTGGCAAGGCCGACGCCATTCCCGATCAGACATGAAATGCAGCGCGATAGTGGCGTTTTTCTCGGGATCGCGGTGGATCGGCTTCCAAGTCGGCGTGCCGTTGTCGTTGGCAGTCGGGTACGACGGAGTGATGTGCCGTTTGTTCCTGGCTTTGTTTGATTGCGCCGAGGTTGAATTGTGTTTTTGGATGGTGGATACACATTGAACGGGGCATTTATGCATGGAAGATGACCGAATTGTTACTTTCTTTCATTTGATTGGATCTTTAGAGAGAAGATATGTGTGGGCTGTGTCTTGGTCGGTGATTCCGCGACTTGATTTATTCTTCTCTTTCGCTGTTTGTGTTTGACTTGGTTACTATTCTATATTGTCTAACACAAGCTTGGAGAATGGCTACTACAGAGACGACAGAGCTGAAAGCTCAATGGAAGGCCGAGGTGGTCTTGCCTGAGTATTCTATGCAAGAAATCGCGGCGCATAACACCAAGACTGATACCTGGATTGTCATTCACGGACAAGGTAAGTTGCTCTGCCACATACTCATCGAGTCAATTGCTAATTGCGCACAGTCTTTGATATCACCGAGTACCTGCAAGATCATCCTGGTGGCGCAGAAGTCCTCGTTGAAGTAGCAGGTCAGGATGCCACCGCGGCCTACGAGGATGTCGGCCACTCTGAAGACGCTCGCGAGATAATGCAACCCTACCTAGTAGGCACTCTCAAAGATGCGCAGCAATACGTGCGACCCAAGGCAGTGCGCGTCGTCTCACAAAGCACACCGGAAACCCCCAAGACCTCGTCAATAGGCACTGTGGCAGTTGTGGCCGGCACTTTAAGCGCCATCATCCCAGCCATCTACATCTACAGCTCCAGCACACACTTTACCAATGGCCTAACCTCCATTTCCCACCTTATCCGTCTCCCGCGTGGCGGTTTCGTAAATGGCTTCCTCGCCGCCAGCCTCATCTGCGGCACCATTGGTGTCTACGCAGCCAAGCAGGCGAGTCGCTTCACCAAAATCGACTCCGGCTTCATGCGATACCCACCACGCATTAAGTCCAAGAAGGTCATCCGAGTCGACCCGCACCTCACGCGTGGATTCCTCGAGCCTCAAACCTACCAGGACCTACCCCTAGTGGCTAAGCACCAACTCTCCCCCAATGTCTACCGCTTTGTCTTCGGTCTCCCCGATCCAACCACAGTCCTCGGTCTACCAATCGGCCAACACGTCGCCATCAAGGCGATTGTCGACGGCGCCACGGTCACCCGCTCCTACACGCCTACCTCCAACAACCTCGACCGCGGTCGTCTCGAGCTAGTCGTGAAATGCTACCCCGACGGCCTGATGAGCAGATACCTCTCCGGCCTGGAGATCGGCGAAAATGTACCCTTCCGCGGACCCAAGGGCGCGATGAAGTACACCAAGGATGTCGCGCGGCATATCGGCATGGTCGCCGGCGGCACTGGGATTACACCCATGTATCAACTGATCCGGGCGATCTGCGAGAACGACGCCGATAGAACTCAGATCAGCCTGGTCTACGCGAACCGCAGCGAGGCGGATATCTTGTTGCGTGAGGAACTGGATGCCTTTGCTCGGAGGTATCCTGGTAATTTCAAAGTTTGGTATATGCTGGATACCGCGCCGGGAGGTTGGAACTATGGTACTGGCTTTGTGGATGCTGATGTCCTGCGTGAGCATATGCCTGCCCCTGGTCCTGATACGAAGGTTCTGCTGTGTGGACCGCCTGGTATGATTGGTGCTACGAAGAAGAATCTGGCTACGCTGGGATTCAAAAAGCCAGGGACGGTGTCGAAGATGAGCGATGAGGTGTTTTGCTTCTAGAATTGGATTTGTCATGTATAGTATAGAGGGAGTTAACTGGTGGTGCTTGTATGAGATAATAATGGTAGGGTTCCTTGCCAAAAGGGGAAAATGCCGAGGTTCAAATCAACACCTTTCTATAACAACCTTGTTCTAGAATTTTTTTTAGTGTAATTAGCCTCATTTAGTTTAAAATGTGGAGCAACCCTTTCCAGCAAGAAGCTCTGCACAAATCACCGCACCAGTAAAGCTCAGCACGTCCCGGCCCGTCTTCCTTGAAGCGGTACCGTGTCCGATGGCCCAACGAAATTTGATTTGAATTGAATGATTGATAATAATGTTGAGTTTGATTTGAGTTTGGCTTTTGTTAAAGCCATTGACGCACTTTCGGGAGCTCCGAAACACTTCTCTCCACTTATCTTTCCTGAAACCTGCACGGTTTGCGCCCGATGGGGTGGTTTTCGGGCTTGCTTATGCAGGCGTTTGCTTCATAGGCTTGGGTGGGGATGGATGTGTCGGTACTTAGATTGGACCGAGGCTCTTTGGCATGGCGTTTTGAATTGAGCATAGTAAATATAGCACGATATACTGCAAATTAATTTAGACTAAACGATGCGACTGATCGGGTCTCGGGTGGAAGCGTTCCATGGTCTATCGGCTTGCCGAGTCCGTCAAAACTATGGTGATTCGGGAATTTACCGAGGTATTGGTGATGAGAGGTAATTTGGGCAAGAGGCGAGAAAATTACCTCAATAGGCATATTAGTCTCGATGCTTCGCGATTAAAACCCCATGTCCTCCAGATTTCCTGCATAGAGTGAGAGTCTTGCATCGGCCCTCTTTATCCCACTTGTGGAAAGATGTTGTATCAAGAAGTGGTGACAACATAGCTCATTTCCTGGCTATAAACTCATAACTACTGAGAGAAAATGTGACTATCGCAACATTCATAAGGCGAAAACGTTTCACTTCGGGGTGATCAGAGATTCTTGGTTCATCTATCATACATTACGTCCAGTATCAAACCATGCCACTAGCTCATAAGATTCAGGTTGGCTCATCGCGCCGATGCAGCGTCAACTCATGAGACAAGTTTAGACATCGAGCACCAGCCTCAAAACATTCCACGCATACATCAATCGTGAAGTCAGCACACTTGACACACTGGTATGATGACTCTTTACCCAAGGATGCCCGCGTACACACATCACATAACCAATCGTATCCCGTTTGGAAATCATTGAGGACAGACGAATCATCTAACTTGATCTCAGAGTCATCTTCATGAGATATCCCAGCCTGCTCGCGAACGATCTGGACAATTTCCGGTTTTCCACTTTTCGACGCCCACTCAAGTAACGTCCGGCCCAGGACGTCTTTTGAGTTGACATCCACTTTTGACAGTGATATTAGTCGTTTCACAACCTTTTCATTCCCGTTTCTCACTGCCACCAATAGAGGTGTTGCGCCGTAGTGATCTCTGGCATCCACAGAGCTTCCATGAGAAAGCAAAAGCTCGGCAACGCCATCATGGCCGCAAGCTGTGGCCCAGAAAAGTGGAGTTCGAGCATAGAGATCGCCAGTATCAAGACCCTCACTCGAAACCTCTAGCAGTAGCCTAGCTGCCTCGACTTTTCCATTAAAAGCGGCATAATGTAGCGGGGTGCTTCCATCATCGGCCACAGCGGTGATGTCTGCACCCTCATTAAACAGCAATTTGACCACATCGACGAATCCACCGAAAGAGGCCAAATGTATTGGTGTGCTTTTCGTCCGTTTATCTGCTAACCTCACATCCGCACCATGCTCAAGAAGTAAACGGACTACATCTGTGTGTCCCTTCCTCGAAGCGGCATGTAGTGCTGTGCTTCCATCCTCATCCACAGCAGCGATATCTGCCTCTTGATCAAGAAGGAGCTGCACAATCTTGATGTATCCCTCGCAGGCAGCCATACCCAGAGGTGTGATTCCGAGGGGACCTGGAACATCGGTATCAGCACCTTTGTCCAGAAGTAGCCTGGCAATCTCGGTGTAGCCGTCAATGACGGCGAGCAGTAGAGGGGTGCTTCCATCGTCGATTCTCACTGTTGGATCGGCGCCTCTTTCTAAAAGTAGTTTCACCACCTCTATATGACCCATGTCGGAGGCGAAACAAAGAGGTGTCCGCCCGTTCTCGTTTGGAATCGTGTGATCTGCGCCGTGATCCAGCAGTAGTCGGGCCACCTCCATATACCCATTGAATGAAGCAATAGACAATGGGGTAGATCCGTGAATTCGTGGTGTGTTGGGGTCAGCTCCCCACTCGAGAAGTAGTCTCACTAATTGAGTATTCCCATCGTAGACGGACATGGATAGAGGGGTGAAACCGCTATTAGCTTGGGTCGCAAAATCGCCGTCGTGGTCATGAAGCAACTTGACCACGTCGATGTGACCACCAGCCACGGCCATTAAGATGGGTGTTCTCCCATCGTTAATTGGAAGTGTGGCAGTTGCTCCATTCTCAAGTAGTAGGCTCACTACTTCTAAATGACCATTCCCTGAAGCTAAATGGACAGGTGTCCATCCATCTTTATCCGGAATCATCGCATTCGCGCCATGCTCCAACAACAACTTCACCACATGGATGTTACCCTCGTGAGAAGCCACACTAAGTGGGGGGTCTCCACCTTGGGTTTGACTTGTCAAGTCTGCATCATTCTCGAGCAGAAGCTTCACTACATCGACATGATTGCCTCCCGATGCAGCGTGAATGGGCAGCCAACCTCGCTCATCAGCGACAGTGATATCTGCGCCATGCTCTAAGAGTAGCTTCACCACTTCAATATGACCAAATGCAGAAGCAGAGTGAACAGGTGTACTCCCTTCCACATTTGGAATCGTAATGTCAACATCATGCTCAAGAAGAAGTCTGACAATACCGGCATGGCCACTATCAGAAGCTGAATGTACCGACGTCCAGCCTGTGTCGGATTGTTTTTTGGCGTTCGCTCCATGCTCGAGTAGTAGCTTTACCACCTCGATGTGGCCTTCGTCCGATGCAGCGTTAATAGGCGTCCAGCCGTGATCGTTGGTCTCCTGGACATCTGCGCCGCTCTCGATGAGAGTATTGACCAGGTCGAGATTTCCGCTGCATGCGGCTTCGTATAGTGGTGACTTTCCTTCCATGTGGGGTACAGAGACATTCACTCGCTGTCCGAAATATGTCGCCAAAAAATGTACCTTTTCAATGTCTCAAAAAAGACAGGATTGTTGAGAACTTCATGAAAGGTACTAAAGAGGGTAGATAGCCCAAGATTCCGACAGCTAAGTGACAAAGCCCCATACTAGCTTGAATGAGTCAGCATATCCTTGAAAATGGAAGGTGTATAGAACAGGTGCTGACTCGGTGTCATAGTCATGTACTAGCTCAGCTGAGTGCGGGGCAACGGTCTCAGTATCCACTAGTTACTACAACAGAGCTTACTAATGTACAGTACTGTATGAGTGTCGCCACCAGAACTTCGCAGCTGAGCCGTGATGGGAGAATTGTCGTAGGACAACTTTTCCAGCCTCTCGATACTGGATGTGGGAGCTTATCTTTCCTGTATTTTAGAAGGAACCATGGCCATGAGCGAGCATTCAAACCTGGGTGCTTGTTTATTCTGGGAATCATTTTGTGAACCCTCAAAAATGGATTCAGCCATATCTCCATCAGCAAACATTTGAGAGTATGGGATTCCACCAGAAAGAACATGGACAGCAGGGACGCGGTCTTCTGAGAAACCGAGGACCCATGCTCAGGCTTTTTATACGAGTCGAAAACGACAGTTCAATGCATGAACTCTACTTGATATCTTCCATCAAAATGACTGTTCTAGTATATGCGACCATAGGGTGTGGAGAACAGGGCTTCCCGTCCGCTCAGCCATAATTAAGCCCATTACAGTTCGCGGTCAATTCTCAACGTGCCCTGCGCTCTAAAATGGCGTTGGATTTGACCTTAGGGTGAGTGTTGGTGATATTACCCAGACCACCCAGGCCCCCGACCTCCCACCCTCAAACTGATTATCAACCGAATCCGGAAAAATACAAACTGAAGGCTTATCTCCTTTCGTAAAGCTAATGCTATGCCGAGCCTCTTAACACTAAATCAAGTGAAGCTGTAGAAGTCGTTGCCTAGCTCTGGATTCTGTTATTTTTAGGCATTTTTAGTGGGATAATATAGAATAACTAGAACAATACAAGTAGGATTTAACTAACTAAATAAAATAGATTAACTAAGCCCAATCATTACCCGATAGGGAGGACTAGATATATCAGGACTCAATCTTACCATTATTTATTTAGTTCCTCGCGATTGATTATATATTATTACTGAGTAACTACCTTTCGTACTCTACTTTATAGCTCGCCTTTAGGACAACCTAACCTATAAGTGAGGGAGCGTACTTCGTGGTAAGACTCGGTGCTGAATTAGTGCGTACTCTGGCACGTTCTGCAAGATACTCAATAGGACCTAAACCCGTAGCAACGATACGGTTACAAGATACTCTTGGAATCCGAAGTAGTACCGACAAGGTCGGAACTAGCCGTCTCAGCACATATCGTCATTGTTCCTTTTTACAACGACGATCAGGGTAACTATTACCCTTTACGCACTACTCACAGTGATCAGCATACTTCGCGTAATACTGTGTTAAGAAGAATTCTAATTAAACGAGACAATCTTCACGAGGTAAGTAAGCTCCTAGTCGTACTAACTAGTATTTCACTATTACATGCTAATAAATACCTTGCGGAGCCTAGTACAAATGCATTACGGCGATAAGGATTTAAGGGGTTGTGGAATAAGAGAATTTGGTGCTGATATAAATTCCAACTCTTGTAACTTTGAATAACCGGTATTTTTAGAAGAGAATGGCTCGGGCTGCTGAACAAAGCATAAACAACCCCTTATGTGGTTGCCCTCGGGTGGTTGGTCACCTTATTCCAGCAACCTTTCAACCCAGCACAATGCTAAAGTTCAAATGATTTATCTTTATTGCTGCTAATACACTGAAGCCTCTCTTCATAGGCGACCACAGTCAGACTCTCTTGGAAATAAATAAATTGTGTCATCAAGTACAATTAGGCTTTCCTAAGACTCAAAGCCACAAGACCTTTCTCAACAAGATCGCATATAAACACATCGGAAAACTTGGTTGGCGCTTGAACAATTCTAGGCTATTTCAATGAAACTCTCCACTTTTCCACACCAGATCTTGATGGGCTGAGGTGGCTCTGAACGTATGAAGCCTGAAGGTAGGAATTGGAATACACCCTGTCTACGTGGCCTTCTATGTATCCATCCGAGAAAAAAAAACCATCATTGACGATACTATTTGTTCTGCGTTTCCGAATAATAATAAACGACTATATGGTTTTTGGACTCAATTAGATTGAAATCTGGCAAGGCCCGATGCTGTGTTTATCACGGCATTTCTATCACGCTAGAAAGGGGCATACTATTCCTGAACCTTGGATTCGGTCACTCGTTGAAGCCTAGCACCAAGGTCCGTATTGACGCGGCTAAAAAGATCTGTCGAGTAGTTAGAAGCTAGAATGATCGAGGAGAAACGCAAACAAATGAGCCGTAGACTGCATTACGCAATCTGGGCGACTGAACGCTGCTGATGCTACCAGCAAGGTTATCGATGACCCTATCCTGGTGTCCAGGCTCACGTCCAAGAACATCCCATAGGGCTGCAGATTGAACGAAGTCGTCCACAGAATGACTTCATTCCAAGCAGTAGATACCCTGCAGCAAACATACTGTGCTTAAAATTACCCCCGATGTCTCCTGCCCGTCAATTCCAGAGGCGGACATCGTACGAAACTCGGTCAAGTTCGACCGGCATTCCTGTATCAACCTTGTGGTGTCGGGTCAATAACAAGCCTTGAATTGCCGATAAAGCCGCCAATCGGCAGTACCTGACTCCACAAGAGGAGCAAACGCTGGTGGAATATGTCTTGCGGTTAGCGAACAACGACTATCCGTCCCTACTCAAGTTTCTCCGATCGCTCACTCTGGTCATCGCGCTCCAACGATCCTCGATCTTCTAGATCAGTGCTGTAGCTAGGTAGACATATAACGAACGTGGCCCTGTTCTATTGACTATCTTAGTGACCGTTATGTTCAACACCAAAATCTGCGGTGGGTTAGCGCTAGGCGGGTAACGATATTGCAAACCTAACCCTAACCCACGCCTGGTGAGGTCTATATGATACCCAGCACGCCCAAGACCTGCCAGTGGAAAAATGGCCGAGACCGGGTGATTATATTTCGACTCTCTTTAGTTTTGCTGTGTATTTTTCAAACAAAAGCAGTATAAACCCTTAAATATTTTAACAAAGTCAATCTAGGCCTGTTATAATATTCATACCAACGGCAAATCAGTATATCTCTTAATTATGAACACTCTGATAGATTCGGATGACTAAATTTGTCTAGATAATCTCTATCGCTAGGTAGATTTCTCCTCTGCCCTTTCCGCAGTCTTGCTACCTTCTTTGAATATACAGGTGGTTTCCGAAATGTCCTCTTGGCTTGTTACAGAGACCGCTATATGTAGGTGTAGTAGGCGCTCCAACAATAGGACTAACACGGAAATATGGTTCTGGATTCTTATTACCAATATGTCTTGTTATATCGGGAGATACTCCTAATACGATGTTGCTGCTGCCTAGTAATATTTCTATGAAGGTAATAAATATACGACTTAGCTAGTTATTGACAACTAATAATATATCAGTGTCCGGTCAATTAGAATCCTCCAGTTCTGTAGTCAAAAAAGTGATTTTTCAGTACCGGCGGGAGTCGGCGGGCTCTGGCTTCCGTAGCGTTGTGGTATTTACTACCCAACAGTCCAGCTAAATTTTAGTGAGAACCGGATAGGGAAACTCATCTCGTATTGGGTATTTTATTGTGGGCCTTTTGGTGGCGTGTGCAACCGATCTGGCCCTATTAGAAGTCTCCTTGCTATTGGAAGATTTCCTATTAAACTCGGAGGCAGCTTAATTCTCACCGCCGTTTTCTAATTAGCCCAGTCGGCGGGGCTCCGCAAAATTAACCAGTTCTGATTAGGAAGTCTCTCTTCTATTGGACTGTTTCTGTATACGAGGAAAATCCGAAACCTTATTCAAGTTCGCTCTTATGGGCCGGTTAGTTATTTCTCCTGACCCGCTGCGCACGATTTGCAATCATCACCAACTGACTCCGGCCGACACAGTTGGCGTTTATGGCCGGAGCGGAGTTAGCGTAGACATTTGGCCAATGAGGCTGTTATGCGGTAACTCTAGTGACGTTATGGCGCGCTGGCTGCGCCGAATGTTCTGGGCGTGGTATCTTAGAGTCTTCGCCGGCATCGTGAGTATCCGGCGAAGAGAAAGCGGCACTACAAGGTTTCGGACGAACTTCGTCCAGTACCACCGATGGTATGGCAGGCATGAAGGGTTCTTGTGGTCTCTCCTCGATCTATGTGGAGTTAATATTGCCTCTCTTGGCCCCTGTGCTGCTATTTGGCTGCCTTGCTGGAGATTTGCTAGGCCAGGCTAATTGCTACCGGTACGCCGCTAACCCTACGGCACAGGATCAATGCTGTCTAGGATCGTGCTTCCCGCCCTTGCCGTGTGTGGGGTCTGTAGCCATCCCTTCGGATTATGGACTAGAAATGAGAAGGACAAAATTATTTAAATAACCTCCGCCCTTCGTATTGGTGCTCTTCCTATGTTTACAACCGCTTTGTACCTGCTGATATTTATCTCACTGTGAACCACCGAAATCCCCTTAAGCAGCAATGGCTCAGAAGGTTGGTGTTGCTACAGATCTCGGGATTCCACTTTCGCAAAATGTAGTGGATGTGAGCGTCGTCAATAGTACAGCTCGCATTCGCTGTCCATTGGCCTTTTTCGTTAAAGATCCGTTGCCGGGCCATGAGACATTGGATTGTCCAGCCTACGTTTTCCTCGTCGAAAACTCCCAGGGAAAGAAGGTTCTTTTTGATCTGGGCGTCAGGACGGACAAAGAGTCCTTCCCCCGGTCATTCGCAGTGGGTTGGCAGGTCTGCAGATGGATGTAGAGAAGGATATTGCGACTATCCTCAAAGAAGACGGCCGTGTCGTGCCGAGCGAAATTGATTCCATCATTTTGAGGTACGAACCATATCAGAGAACATACTCAGTGTTGCTAACACTGTCCTGGTATACCTAGCCACTGGCACGCCGACCATATTGGCGATCCTTCTACCTTTCCGTCCCATGTCGAACTCGTCGTCGGTTCGGGGTTCAAAGATGCGTTCCTTCCTGGATATCCCGCTGATCCCAATGGAGTGATCTTGGAAAGTGACTATGCGTAGGCCTGCTCCTCGGTCTCCACATCGAGATAGCCCTATCTCACTCACGACGCAACACTAACCTATTGTTTCAGGGGTCGGCCTTTGCGGGAAATTGATTTTGCAGCAGGGCTAGAAATCGGCGGTTTCCACGCTATGGACTTTTTCGGTGACGGCAGTTTCTACTTGCTGGATTCCCCAGGCGTAAGTGCGGCCCAGCTATCGTATATGTCTAGAAAGCTCACTTAACTCTTCAGCACGCTATTGGACATATGTGTGCTTTAGCGCGTACGACCCCTTCGACATTTATATTTATGGGTGCTGACGGCTGCCACCACTGCGGCTCCCTGAGACCCAGCAAGTATCTCCCCCTTCCGCGTGAGCTTTCACCATCGCCGTTCTCCGTTCCGCCGTATTTACAGGGTACGATCTGCCCCGGTTCTGTACTTGAGGCAATTCACCCGAGCCATAGCCGCGTAGAGCCTTATTACAGCCGATTGGCACCTGCTCCAAGCCACAATGTCCCTGTCGCAGAGGCTACTATCGGAAAGATGATACCCTTTGATGCGAGCGAGGATGTCTTCGTCATTATCGCTCATGATAGCAGCTTGTTGGATGTTATAGACTTTTTCCCAGGTCGAGTCAACGAGTGGAAGAAGAACGGATGGAAGGAAGCTGGCCGATGGAGGTTTCTGGAGGATTTCAAAGGTGCTGTGGCGAGAGACTCTAACTAGCCCAAGAATTCATTCACTAGTAGGCATAATATGTATAACTGCCCCCTTTGGCTTGTTCACTAGTGATTTATAGACCTTGCTTGTGATCTCTAATGTGTTCTGTCGGACAGTTCCCGACGGCTCTTGGGTAACCGAGACAAATCTGAATCATTCTCTCTCCATCATCTGATTTGGCTGTTGCATTTTCTCACTGATGATGTTGAGGAATCAGCTCTGTGTATCGCTGGTGACTGTATTATTTCATAATGTTTTGGTATGACAGGTAGTCATATTCATAGAGGGTATAGAGTACTCTTATATTCAGTGGTCATTATAGTCCCCTTCTCCCCCTCGGTCTTCAACACTTAGTTTTTGCTGCCTAGTTGGCGCATTTCTTTCCCTCTCATCCAAAAATATCCTCTTCTCAACAGTAAATGGGCGATCGGGATTATGCGGAAAAGATCTTCTACGTTGGTATCGGAATCTTGATGCTTGTTAGGTATATTTCATATTGTACGAGCACCTACGAATGCCTACATCCCCAGCGCTTACAGAATTCGCGCTATTGCTGTCGGTGAACAAGTTTTGCTTTCATTAATTCTTTTGGATTATGCATGACTCATACCTGCAGAGTTGGTTCATAGTTGATATGTGGAATGGACCGGTTCCTCAGTGTCTTAGAGGACCCTTGGGTTACTCGAGGAGGCACAAAGGTCAGAACAGATAGAAGGATCTGTCTCAGAAACCCGCTTTATTGCGCAAGATACCTATTTCTCTGAAAGCTCCTTCACTCATAGGGTACTTGAAGAAAGATTGCGAAGAGCCTCAATTCCTTGAGCGTAAAGAGCGACTAGGAAGAGCGATCTGCTTCCTCAAATGAATAGTCGGCTGTTTCTCTCCCTTTCATGAAGCCCCTTCCCGTCCTCTCCACTATATAACGAGCTTCCAAGCCAAACAAGAAAGCGCCGATGAAACAAACGATGTATGCTTGAAATGCAACCAAGACATGAAAACCTAAGGAGGACCACAGTGCTAACAACCTATTATTGACCCGTCAACGGTTCCCCCATAACAATAGACAACAAATGGGTCACCTCACAGCAAGTTTACGATGATGCAGAAGGATCAATATCTGCGCAGCATAATCATGGTAAGGAGTTTTGCTGAGCGCTCACTCTGACGAATGCTGGTTTGGTGCGATTCGGTTCGGAAGGAAAAGGGACAGGTAGTCGGACTTGCCGATGTTGACACCCTTGGCACGAAGGATGGCATAGGTTATATTAATATGAAAATAGAAGCAGGGCAAAGCAGGTGATATAAGTCTTCGCTGTAAACTCGAGTTCCTTTGGGCCGGCTTTCATGAGAACTTGATCTGTTTCCTTGCCGGCAAACTTGACTGCCTCCACTGCCTTGAGTAGCTCGACAATCTTAGTGATCCGCTTCTGGAGCTCGGCTACGGTCCTTTCGTTGTCCTCCATGGGAACTGCCTCGGTACCAGCAACGCGAGGTAGTGAGTTCTTGGCCGTATTACTGGCTGTTTGCACCTGGAAGGATAGCGGGAGCATGTCCTCGGCTAGTTTCCAGCCGGCAATGTCGTCGATTGGGATGCCATTCTCCCTGGCGTGATCCGCGCCCATTTCCAGCATGTGCGCTAGCACCTTCAGTCCTTTGACAAAGGTGGGGACACTGAAATCATAGAGAGGCGCCGAAATGATGTGATCTTATGGTTGGGCTGTATCAAACGTGGTGCAATTGATAAGTGAAGGAAATAGTGGGAGAGTGAGAGAAGCAGGCGACCGGTAACAGAGGCTATGTTAACGCCACATAGATCAAAGAGAGACCACAAGAACCCTTCATGCCTGCCATACCATCGGTGGTACCGGACGAACTTCGTCCGAACCTTGTAGTGCCGTTTTGTCTTTGCCGGATGCTCACGATGCCGGCGAAGACTCTAAGATACCACGCCCAGAACATTCGGCGGAGCCAGCGCGCCATAACGTCACAAGACTTACCGCATCTCAGCCTCAGTGGCCAAATGTCTATACTAACTCCGTTCCGGCTATGAATGCGAACTGTGTCGGCCGGAGTTAGTTGGTGATGATTGCAAATCGTGCGCAGCGGGTCAGGAGAAATGACTAACCGGCCTATATAAGAGCGAACTTGAATAAGGTTTCGGATTTTCCTCGTATGCAGAAACAGTCCAATGGAAGAGAGACTTCCCAATCAGGACTGGTTGATTTGCGGAGCCCCGCCGACTGGACCAATTAGGAAACGGCTGTGAGAATTAAGCTGCCTCCGACTTTTTAGATCTTCCAATAGAAGGGAGGCTTCCTAATGCGGGCCAGATCGGCCGCATAAGTGACGCCATCAAAAGATCCACAATAAAGATAAAACAGCGAATACGAGACTGGTTTCCTTATTCGGTCCACTCTGAATTTTCAGTCAATTAGCTCGACTGTTGGGCGGCGTATACCAGTCCTACGGAAGCTGGAGCCCGTAGCAAAGAGAACTGCGAAGCTGGACTCCGATTGAACGGAAACTGATATATTATTAGTTGTCAATAACTAGCTAAGTCGTATTATTATTACCTTCAGAGAAATATTATTAGGCAGCAGCAACACCGTATTGGAAGTATCTCCCGATGTAACAAGACATGTTGGTAATGAGAATCTAGAAACATGTTTCCGCGGTAGTCCCATGGGACCAGGGTGAAGCGTCATCATGAATTGTTATTCACCAAGTGCAGTACGCATTACTTGCCGACCGTATATAAGGGATGAAGGGTGCCTTTCGCGCTTCCCACTACGACATTAACACCGTCTAAATCGTTCCATCCAAGATGAATTTCCCTCAACCTAAGGTCACGTCGCTGCCTCCGAATAGCGACCTCCATGGCAAAACGGCTTTGATCACCGGCGCTACTGCAGGTATCGGCTTAGAGACCGCCCGCCAGCTACTCAAGCTGCATGTCTCTCACCTCGTTCTCGCGGTGAGAAACGTCTCGAAAGGCGAATCTTGCAAACGGGAGCTTCAGCGACTTAACATCCACGCAAAGATCACCGTGTTGGAGCTTGACATGGACAGCTATAAGAGTGTGCAAAGTTTCGCCAAAGTGTTGCAGCTCGAAGTGCCTTCGGTCAATATCCTCCTCCTCAACGCGGGTATTGGACTTCTCAAGCTCGAACGAAGCCCAAGTGGCCACGAACGCGTCACCCAAGTGAATTATCTTTCAAATGCCCTCCTGGTTGCCGAACTATTGCCATACCTCGAGGCAAGCGCGGAGAAGATTGTCCAACCGTCCCGCATCACTTGGGTGGGTAGCAGAATGTACTTTACCACATCTCTCGAGAAAAAGGCGCCCTTGTAAGCCCGGCGAATCGGTGCTTGAGCATATGGACTCGAAGGAATTTTTCTTTCCAAATGAGAGATACAATGACAGCAAGCTTCTGTGTGCCATTTTCATGTACAGCCTCGCTCCGCGACTCGACAAATCCAAGGTGGTCTTGAACATGGTTTGTCCAGGCTTGGTCAACACCAACATGACCGATGTTCTGCCGCTCCATATGCGTATGGTCATGGGTGTCGTGAAGACCCTGTTCGCACGGCCCGTAGAGGTCGGCGGGCGGCTCTTCGTCAATGCGGCCGTCGTAGCAGGGCCAGAATCACATGGAGGATTCCTCGGAGACAAGGAGATCATTGAGTATGAATAACCCCCTGTGTTACCTATCCATCAGCCCATAAAGAGGAATCGTAACTAACGACCCATTGTGATCAGGCCATCTCCGTATCTTCTGTCGCCTGCGGGGCAAGCCGTGCAGAAGAAGCTGTGGGCGGAAACTATCGAGGAATTGGGAACATTGACCAGGCTCCCGAATGAGTTCTCTTAGAGGAGACGAAGCTCTTCGGCCGACCTTCGCTTGTACGCTCCGGTTATCCCACTTCGCGAGGGCAAGGCATCGCTGGATCCTGGCAGTTGATGGTGGCGGGTGAAGGGGAGCCAACGTCCTTATGATTTCTTAGAGGCTGGTACAACATTGAGGGTAGGATGCGAATGTATTAATTATATTTACCTGACTTTCCTTTCATTTGTTTTGTAATGTTATTTAATATTATCAAACTACCATTCACTTATAGCTACCCTGCGGGGGATTCTTCCGGTCATTGTTTTCCCATTATTTCTTCAAGTGGGAAATCGAGAGTGAAACGTTCAAAATATGGAGCTGCGGACTACTTATCCCTCGGTTCTTTTCCCTCGAAAGAGATGGTTAAAAGACGTATTATCGAATCATGATAGGCCAATAGCCGTGAACAAGATACTGCCGACTAGAAAAGCCTGCCAAAGGCTCAAATTGCCATGAAAAACAACAGTATACGCGTAGAGATCTTTCAGTGGTGGAGAACGTGGCGGGTCCAAACAGCGAGAGAGCGCACCGGGCATATCAAATGTCTGTGGCTAGTGCTGCTATTGTTGCATAGTTCACCACAGATGGTGGCAAAACGAAAAGTGGCCAAATCTGATGGAAGTCGGCAACGAATACCATGTATCCCAGTCTATGAAGCCAGAAAGTGCACAGTACAGGCGCTTGAGACCAACGCAAAATATACCTTCATAGATTGCTCACGGAATCGCCCACCCAGAGATGTGTATGAAGGTGCCTTCGCCACATATACAATCCTAGCCACTAGCATTGGCCTCCTGCCAGAGCGCCTGCCCTGATGTATCGTGAATGGCATCAACCCATGGAAATGCAGCAAGGAGTACCTTAGCGTCTTGCCAGCTCATAACTTTCAGGCTGTGCAACGTGCATTTTGCTGCTGAAACCCACACAGGATACTTCCATAGCCTTGAAGCGGCTGCTCCTATGAAAAGCAACCAGAGTAACGTCTCCCGCCCATCCAGGTCAGCGTTGAAAGCTTGCCGAGCTTCTGAAATAAGCATTTCTGCCAAAAGATCATTTTGGGCAACTCGACCATCCCACCCCTGCAGGAACGTCACCAAGAAGGCAGCCAAGCCTAGGTGTACTTTGTTCTGAAGCCGCGAGATCCCGCGGGGTAGGCCGCCAAGTGGCCCAAGGTTGACTAAACGGTAGCCGAGAAAGATAATATCCTGGTACAACTCAATGGCGTCCATTTTCGGCGCATTGCCAAGAATCGCATTATTGAGCAACGATGCCAGAAACAACACGTCGACGAACAGATCTCGATAGTTGGCGGGCAGTGCCCTGGCTGGGTATTGTCCGAAGGCTAGAGGCAGAATGGAGTCATCTGACTGCAGGCACATGCTAGGGAATCCCGATAAGGGTCTGCATCCATTTTCGGCCTCTTTAAGCGTAAACGCCGTGGGTGAGCCTAATTGTAACGAGGACTCCAGATCGATCCTCCAGGAATATTAGTATAAACGCGATTGGTGCGTTTGGCTGCGGGGGCGTACCGCAGCATTTTCTGCCCTAAGCCAGAAGGGCTTCCAGTCAGGTTTGATACTCCACCACGCAACTGAGAAATCTGCCACAGGCCCTGCACGTGAGCAGAACCCTGTTGGAATCGGTTCTGGTGGTGCTCATACTGAGCCATGCTGATTACGGCCGCGATGGTGAAGTCAGTGATCGCACTTTTCAACGAGAGTTTCTGGTTCACCAGGCGGACTGTACGCGATGCATGGCGCAGTGCCTGTAACTTGTTCTCCGATCTGCCCATTATGTTATCCAGGCAGAAGAGGGCCGTCGCCATCGAGCTATGGAAACCTGTAGTCGAGTCAACCGATGCATTTCACGGAGAGATTTCCATTAGAGTGTACAGGCTTCGTCAACAAGCATGTATTGGACACACGTTGGGACGCCAAGACCTCTATAGTCGAGACCGTCATCTAGTTCCGGAGAGAATCGCATCGCGCACAGGAAGGAGATAACTTGGAATTTCTCGTTATTCATCAATATCCACATTCACGCCTAATCTACGCGATACGACAGGGATCTTTTGAGCGTGTGCGATACTCACCTTTCTTTACAAGTCCTTTGGGTTCGCCCGGTAAGAGGTCAGGGCAAAAAAGCCCATCATCGATCGGGCGCTCGATCTCATCATATCTTTCTGTTCTTTCGACTGACGTTCCACCCATAATCAGGGGAACTCGGAATTCTGTCGTGGTGTTCGTCAACACTTCTTTCCTAGACATGCGTGAGATCTTCCTGCCCTTGTTTCTCCCCAAGGCTGCATGCCTGCGGATCCGCTTCCTCGTAGCATCATTGAAAACGTTATCGTTGTTGATAAATTGGAATGGCATACTGAAAGTCGCGCCGTTGCCGGACGGTGAGAGAAGGTAAATGGCCGCAGCGGCGAGATCGCTAATGCGTTCCTCTTGAATCGGCAATGACTAAGCAGAGGTGATTGAACCCGAGGCACCTTCGGGAGCTCAGCCTCACGGGAACGCCATGCTGGCTGACCCATAAGTACAAGCCACAACTAACTTACAAACAGCGTCAATTAGTCAACAGTGAGGCTGTCGAACAACTTACAGTGGTTGCCTACAGCGACGGCATAAGTACATCCCGATAGCTTAGATAACTACGTTTTTGGGTATCACTATATAGTAAATAACGATACGCGAGCAGGCAGAGATATATAATATCTAACACTCGACTAGACGAAATTACTATAAGCCACTCCTGGGCGATCAATTAACGGAAACACAGAAGTTCTAGGATGCCGAACAAGTCTATAAATCTAAAACTGAGCAATGACCACTCATATTCCAGGCTTGAATTTCCTGCTCAGCCTTACGCTTCTCCTCTGATTTGGAAGGGGGCTTATCCCTGCCTTTCGACCTGCTTTTCCTCATGTGGTCTTTCGTCACTGTTATGTCTCGTTTCTTCTGCGCCTCAACGATATCTTCGTAGCTCATTACTTTTGCGTGTCCTATAACTGTCGTGCCACTAGGCTTTTAGCAGATCTTTTCATTGTTCTGCTTAAATAGGATCCGGCTCTCCTCCAGCAACAAGGCGCGCTCCGCAAAGACCCTTTCGGCGGCGCGGCTAAGTGTCTACAGGCGATGCTTGTATACACTATCCAGATTCTGAGTGTCTTTCTCTACCTCGCTACGAAGCAAAGAGTACTGGTCAGAGGTATTTGGAGTGTGACAGACGTTAAACGATACGGTCTGAGGATCCACAGGGATCGTGGTCTGTATCTCGGTTCGGGGCGCTGGAAACTCTCGGAGGACGCGAGACGGATCGAATGGAAAGAGGCCGCTCTTCGACCAGGCGGATCGTATATTCCAGGGTTTAAATGCCTCATTTCAGGCGCTGTTATAAAGATAGGTGAAGTGTAGCTTGCCGATTGTATTCACACTAGCCCGGTATGCCTGCTCAACCTGTGCCCGATATACCGTTTTCAGAGGACCGAAGACGCTTATATCGCACGGCTACAGTTTGTGAGATATATAAGAGGGGAGATAACACAGGATTATACGGTTAGCAAGGCAAAATTTTATAACCTCTAAAGACTTATAAGTTCCTAAACTATCGCAGATTAAGAGTCGTGGCCGATCGCCTACTCGATCTCGAGTCTACGGATCGAACATATGTTCCACCTAGTACAGACTAACGTCTTTGTTCGTATAGCCTGTTTCGGAGCAGGCAAAATGCTATCCGGGGGTAGGGTGAGTGGTCCACGAGCTACGATAGGTAGCGGCCGGCTAGGTAATAAGAGGATCGAGGCACCGGCTATCGGCGGAAATACATTCGATTGCTATAACTAGCGTCCGCTTCACCGTAGTCCCTCGATGCTTTCTCAAATCGTCTCTGTAGACAAGGACTTTGAGGGATTTGAGAACGCTAAGCAGAACTCCGGTCTCGTCCATATTATATACATTTTCCGGGAGAATAGCGGGATCGGCTAGCTCTCGGCTAATAATAGCAAACCGAGGTCGGACTTTGTCTTCGATCTACCGGTCATCTCGCTTCCAATCGATCGCTCGTAACCGTCGCGCTTTCTACTGCGGGTAGCGTAGGTAAAAGTCCTGCGGCCAATTCTTCCCGGAGGTCGGATCTTAAGGCGGGGATCTGTGATCTAGAAAGTCGAGGATCGTTAGCGCGCAATAACCAGAGCGAGCGATCGTAGAAACCTAACTAGAAGCGGATAGCCATTGTCCGCTAACCGCAGCACATATTCTACCAGTGCTTGCTCCTCTTGCGGGGTAAGATACTGCTGCTTAGCGGCTTTATCGGCAATAGAAGGCCAGTTATTAGCCCGACGCCACAAGGTAGATACAGGGATCCCAGTCGATCTCGACCTGGTTGCGTACGATGTCCGCCCCTGACGTTGATAGATAGGAGACATCGAGGGGAATTTTAAGCACAGCCTGCTGTAAGAAATCTGCTGGTTGAAATAGAACCAACCATTCAGATTTTAAGAGGGTATAGGAGTAAATACTGCGAATCATACGGATAACAACGAGGGGTGGAGGTTCCCGGTATATGTTACAATACCTTATATTAGTACTAGAATTATTCTTAACTTGTAACTTAAGTAAGGTAATGTTGGAAACAACTTTCACTCGTCAGACTCAGCGAATTCAAATTTTTAAAAAGGCTAAAGCCTACTAAATCTCTATATGAAGTTTCACCATACTATAAGTAACAATATCGGGGAATGCTGAACATATTTTACTCATCCTATGACTATTAATGTATTTGCTAGACTAAACAATCGCCATCTCGTTCAACAATCATAGTTAATTCATGCAAGGCAGTCGATAATAGTGATACTGTATCTATAATCTGCCTTAATAACTCGTGGTTTGACTGTTGAAAAACAAGAGATGATTTCAACACTGTTATTTGAGTATTATAGTTGCTGGTATATACGGTATTGATAAAAATAAAAAATATATGACTATTAACATTAATAGCCTTCAAACTATAGCACAGGCAAAGAGCTGTAAAACTTAAAAATTGACCTTAGATAGCGCCCCTTTTAACCGTTGAACACTAAGAGGAAAATTGAATATTGCCCACTGAGCAAAAAGTAAACAGTCTCAAAATAGAAGTTGGTAGGGCGGTCTATGGCGGTGCGTAGCGGCCATTCTCCAGTGCATAAAACCTATCATAAAATTGACCGCTTTTCCCTCCGCCCTAGCCAGATTAGGTCACATGACCCCTTTGATCTATATAGATATTCAAGCTTTCATGACTATCTTCCCTCTTCACACTTCCTCCTACCCAACCACCCCTACCTCCAGTATACGGTAGTATTGATAAGCCTTTCCCTATTAGGAAATTGATGCTGATTGGATTTTATTGCAGAAATCGCCGTATTCGGCAGCTCGCAGCTCGCTATCCTTCGGCCTCCGCCATGTGCCCCCAGCTTGATCTTGAGCCCTACCGGAGGGAAATCACCCAACTTGCGGGTTCGAATTGCTCGCATGAGGCTATTCGCATCTTCCTTCTCCATACGCACGGCGTGTGCGCTTCCACGAATACGATATCCCGGCGCCTACAGTCCTGGGGCCTCCGTACACGCCGGCTTTACCTACCTGCAGGCGCTCGCGATGCGATCGTATGTGAGCTCCTCCGGCTATCATTGAGTACTGAGGAGATCCTTATGATCCTTGCGAAGAAGGGTATGCCATCCTCTGAACGTACCCTACGCCGCACTCGAAAGAAACTTGGTATTCGGCTCCGCATTGACGATCCTCGCGAGCGCGAAGCGCAGGAAGAAGAGGTCGAGTTGATTCTTATGACGGAAGATCAGATTGGAGAGATCGAAGGATATAGCCGCCGTTTACAACGGGTCTTCTTACGCCGCCATAGAATATTCATCTCTGAGTAAGATGACCGCCTTCATTGTTAAGATAGTCGCTCCGGATGAGAATATAGCTAACGACTATATAATAATAGAGCCCGGGCCTACGAAATCTACCGATCGATTAATCCTAGTGCTATTGAGCGGCGCCAAGCTGGCCTACAACGGCGGCGAAAGGCCTACACCTGCGAGGGGCCTAATACAGTGTGGCACCTTAACGGCTATATAAAGCTAGAGCCTTTTGGGATTGAGATATACGCAGCCATTGATAGCTACTCTCGGTGCATTATGTGGATATACGTAGGAATATCTGCGCGTACCGCAGTAAGTGTGCTTCGTCAATACCTTAACTACGCTGCTTCTAATAGGTATTTACCACGAAAACTTCGCACCGACCTTAGTACTGAAACAGTGCTAATTAGTGATGCTCATCTTATGCTCCGTCAAAACCCTCCATTAACATCAGATATTCTTCCATCGAGATCGCTTCCATCGTCATCGAGATTGCTTCCATCAACATTAGATCCAGCAACATTGCAATCTCTTCTCCAGCTAAGAGAATATTTTATCTACGGCCGGAGTGTTGAAAATCAGCGAATTGAATCCTGGTAGGGACAGCTTTCTACATCGAGCCTATTCGTTTATCATAAATACTTCAATCAGCTACTAAATAATAGAATCTTCTCAAAGCAATGTATCCCTGAGCAGGTAAGTAGAAGTATTCCGGCGACACATTTCCTTATAATATTATACTAATCGATGTCTAGATAGCACTTCTCTCTATATACATACCTATTCTCCGTTCTCGAATTCATTCATTTGTTAACGATATCTGGAATATACACCGTATTCGCCCGCAGGCTAAGCGGCCACATATAGTCCCAGGGAAGCCGATTATGAATTACTACTACCCTGGCCCAGGCGTTCCTGATTGCCAGGAGCCTCTTGATTATAATCTTCTAGACTAGTATAATTCTATATTCTACTATTCTGTGATTTTCTAATACTATTCTATTAGGCTCCAGCAGGATATAGCTGAATGGGACCCTGCTGAATATCTTCCATCTGCTACTCTAGCTTAGTGTCATACGCAGCTTTATGAAATTGGGCTCCAGGAGGTAGGCGAGCCATTTAACCCTGAGGATCCTCTTATTCAGCTCCGTGGTGAGAGAGAGCAGCCATATCGCTAGGTCTATAAAGCCCTACGCGAGCGGGCCCTTTTATACTACCAATCAGGTGCCTTACCTATATTAGAGGTTAGTACTAGGCCCCTTAGCGCGTTTAGATGGGGCCCGAACACCCAATAGCAGCAGGGCGCGGAAGTAGAAGCAGCTGAATACAAGGATCCTGATCCTTTATGATATTTCCTTTTCCATCGTCTATCTTATCCTTGCTATCGTTCATCTCATCCTTTCCATTATTCATCTCATCCTTGCTATCGTTCATCTCATCCTTTCTCTTGTTTATATTATCTTTTCTATCGACTATATCCTCAAAAAAATCTGTCTTCTTTTATCGCAAAAATAGCATCCCAGCAGGCTGTTCCTATCGAAACTATACTAGCTGCTATCTATCAACTAGGAGCTACACTATCAGCAGCTGCAAATACACCGTCGCCATCGATTTCATCCAGTACATCATCAATTCTACTCAGTACACCATCAATTCTACCCAGTACACCATCGATTCCAACCGGTAGATCATCAATTTCAACCAGCGCACCATCGGTTCCGGGTATACAGGCACCGCCACAGCTCAATACACGCTTTGCGGCTCTCTCTAGTACTACAAGCCAGGCCCGAAATGCTTATACTAGGCGCCTACCACTAGTGGTTAAGCCTCCGGTTGATGAGGATATTGTATTCAATATAACCTACTACCTAAAAGTAGTGGATTATGATATTCACCCAATCAAGGGTAATATTCCTTACTCTCTAAATCATATTCCTATCTCTCTAGTTCATATGCTAATCACTAGAGTATAGATGCCCATACCACGATATACGTATCATCCTCTCAGCAATAGAGCTCCCTACATGTCTTCTTATCCGATCTACATCGCCGACTACAAGGTTTACGCAGCGCTGATTACTCGGCGGATATCGAGGATACTCCCTTACTCGCTCGGGACGTATTTCCGACTAGTAAGACTAGGCCATTAACAGCGCGCTAGCTCGAACCTACTAGTTTTACTAGTGATAGTGACCCTACAGTGTTGACTATCCAGCAACTTTGTCGAGTAGCGAGCAAGGAGAAGGGCATGCCCATCTTCCATGTCATTATACAACGATCACAGCAGGGGGAAGGTAGGCTAACGTACAGGCCGCTATCAGTTGAATCTGAAGACGCAGCTACATACATAGAACGCGTGGCAGAGGAACGCCTAGCTAGGGAACGCTTAGCTACCATCATGGATGGCACAGCTTCCATCGTGGATGGCCCAGCTTCCATCGTGGATGGCCCAGCTTCCATCGTGGATGGCCCAGCTTCCATCGTGGCAGAGCCTACACAGCGCAGGGCTAGCCAGAATGCATCAAAGAAGGGAAGACCTCGTAATTCTCCTCCGCCAGCTATAGTGCAAAGGAACCTGCGTCGGCGACGTCGAAAATGATGAATACTATGCATTTTTGCTAGTACTATGTCCTATATTCATGTACTTAGAGAGCAGTAGTGAATTGATTGTATTTGTTGGGTGTATAAGATCTATTTCCAAGACCTCTGTGATAATGCATGAAAATTAGGTAGTGGTGTAGAAGAATTCAACAGCGATGGGACTTGGCCAAATTTTAATGGAACTTGGCTAAATCGGAATTCTGCCGGCGAAATCTGAATAATAATTATGCACTGGAGAATGGCCGCTACGCACCGCCGTAGCGGTCAGTTTGATAAAACCGAACGTGCTATTTGGCCGTGACCGTCAACGGCCGAGCAAACATCGCTACGTTTATCTGGGCAAACTTCATCGTTTAACGGTTTTTACTAGGACCGTTGATAAGATACAAGGTTAAACGGTAGTTTGTGGTGCTTTTGGTAGAACCCTATATCTTGCTGCCTTGAGTTATAGGTCACGTGGAGTTTAGGGTTAACGGGATCCCCCGAGGGATAGGAAATGAAGTGCTGGAATTTTTTTCGGATCGCACTGGAGGCTGGCCCTACGTAAACCTTCTTCTCACAAGGAGCTAAGTCTAAAGAGGCTAGCCCTGAGCTAAACTAAATCTGATTGTCGTTTGAGTTGTAGCATATGATGTCGCGCTAAGACTGATGGAGGTACTAGGCTATTCATTTAAGGTTATGATAATAAGCTTTTGTCGGACATAGAGTTTAGAGGGTATAGATAGAGTGGCACGATAAATAGCGGTAAAGCATTTTCTCTATAGGTAGATGACTTTCCCTGCAGCACTGTATACGCTTATAGTTTGATGTGGTCCTGAAATGCTTCAAGGAAAGTCATGTTTCCTTAAAGCAGCTAATCACCGACTTGCAGAGGTCGCGTGGCGCGGCTATTCCGTTTAAGGGCGGTAGCAATTTCTATACACTAAATTTCCATACACTAAGTTATATGATCGTTACAGTTCCTGTGTATTCCCTTTTTCAGTATTATTATTTAATGTACCTTTATACTGCCAAGACTTCCACTAGAATTGGCATCTTCTCAGGTAAGACAATCATAATGATATTAAAATCCAACATAGATAACTAGTTCGGCGAAATAATGCTACGGAGACTTTCTCATCTATCCCATGTGTTTTCGTGGATGATCTTGGCGTCGTAGTAGCAAAGAGCTGGTTCTCGAGTAGTGCCTGTGGTCCTGTAACCTGCCACGCTCACAGGGTGTAATTTTGTGTTGAATCGAGCTATCAACTAAGAAATCAAATGATCCTTTCTTACACTCTTCTATAGCATATTTCAATATGCGGGGTAGGAGTGACCTTGTTTGAATGTGCGAGTACCTGGGGGGCGTTTCATTACACAGGGCATTTCATGTCACCGGGACGGAGGTTAAGGCATCAGTAGAAGGGCGGCCCCAGAGGCGGTCAATCTTATACATGATTTAGCACCAGTCTTGCTTATTAATTATGCACTGGAGAATGGCCGCAACGCACCGCCGTAGCAGTAGACTGGCGCTTTGGCCACATTGGTGGGCAGTTGTTGACGCCAAGACGGTAGCGAGCTGCATCTGGGTATGCGAACAAACGGGCCTGCAGAACTAATTCAAAAATTAGAAAGTATCTCATTAGGATATTATCAGTGTCTTCCTAGGATCCGCAGAAGCGGCAAATTCGGGGACCATAGTGGATGGCGAGAAGGCCGCCTGTTCGATATCTGTGAAATAGTTGTTGGGCTAAACGGTTAGCACAAACTTATTCAGATAGGAAGATCGTATCACTCACATTGCGATTTAAAGTTATTTTGCCGATTTTCCTCAACGGAAAATCCTTATGTGGCCAGACCTTCGTCATGTCGAAGATATTCCAACGGTAGTTTTGAGCCTCAGAAGGGTTATCATGTGAACAAAAACGTCCCACTCCGGAAATTCCTTTCTTTCGATGGCCTCATACATATCCCTAATCATATAGTCGGGATCCTCTCCTGCGATCCGAGTTGTCTCTTCATGTGTAAGGTTCTTCACCCTTTGGCGAGACTTGATGTGAATCTTGGTGTAGTTGAAGGAGCCGTTCTAGGTATAATCGATCAGTATGAGCCAGTTATAGCAGTTGCTATTTCGTTGCCTCTTTGACCCACTTGTAAGTGTGTCAACTATATGAGTTGAGGAACCGAACAGATTCAGGGGTTCCTCTGTCACTAAAGAGGACCAAAAGTTGATGAATTCCCTCCGGGTTTCCGACATGGAAGCTGGGAAGTGTCAATACGGTGATAGTTGTGTATAATATGGTCTTAAAGAGCCTTACTCCCAAAACTTATTGATGCTAGTTCAGTACTTCTGTCGATTCCAAAAAGCATGTGAAACTTACCATATTCGGATCGGGCAAGTGGGTTCGTGGGTTTCGCTTATGGGAACGGTTCACTGAGTGGAATTTGATAGGGTCGCGAATAAAAAACACGGGCTTAGAATAATATCAGCTTGTGTGCACCAAATTAGAATGACGAAATGTTACAGTGTTGTTGAAAACCCGGTCCAGGTTACCCTCATCGGTGTACATCTTCATGGCCCAGCCATGAACATCTCGGGCAGTATCGGCAGAGCCTGACTCGGGCCCGACAGTAGAAACACGAAGCAGAAGCGGCGTTCTCTTTCCAGCTTTGCTAAGGAAGCTCGCACAAGTCAAGTCGGAAGAGTCTTCACTCGCTTCGAATTCTCCGTAAGCACTGGAAGAAAGTCATGATTAATGCGCACCAAGCCAGCAGATAGGGATTGAATTCACCCACCCAACAGCCTTTGCATGGACAACTCTACAACGGCAATTAGCAACATGTCAAATTAACGCAAAGAAATTATTGCTCATACCGCTCAGGGATTCTTTCGCGGTTGAAGTGCGCAAGTGTTTCAATGAGCTGGGTGTCCTGAAGGAGACCCAAACCGCTCGGACCACGATTCCGAATTAAAACTGCGGTGCTGTCGCTAGCGAAAGGACATCCTATCTCAATCTTAGTAGACATAACTCTTCGGCTCGTAGAAAAAATCACCTTCAGCAAGAGTATAATACTTATCGGCAGACATGATTGCGTGTAAGAGGTAAGTGTCAGTAAAGAGAAGATGTGAACGATTGTAGGAGGAAAGACAGTTGGATATAAAATAATTTGCGGGTTCCGGTCATAGTCAATCACTGATCCAAGATAATTCATCACCCCTTAATGTGCCAGGGAATCTCAATATGCCTACGCCGTGTATCGATGGTCCTATACGGACTTCCTCGAGCCACGCCGATAAAAAATTGCCCAGATTTGGCAACTCATCGACCACACTGTAATAGTCCTACATGGCGGATAAACTTGAATTCAGAAATTCTGCTAGTGAAGTGTTCCAAGATGTCAACTTACCTCATCATTTAACTATGTTACTTTATTTAGTAGTACTACCAAAGCTGGCAAGGCGGGTAGGATCCGTACAAAGCCTCTAATTGGCCATACAGTATTTCCTAACCCCATATTCACGCGTCAAAATCACATACTCATGCCATACGGAGCACCTTTGTTGATCCTTTGACGAGTCACATTCAACTGAGCAATTACAAGGGCCACTGAGATATCAGTCCCTGACAGTTACAATCCCATCTTCCTACTCCCGATATCCGCCACGGATTCTGTATCTTTAGGTGCTGCGTTGAGGCCAAGCGTCTAAATTTTGATCGTCGTGCCGCTTTTTCGGGGCTACGGGCCGGATGGTCATTAACCTGATGAATTTAGATTATGCAAGGACTCAAAATCAGGAGTCTCAGGCGACGTCACCTGGTGCATCAAGGCTAGTTGGTTTGGCTCTCCACCTGGAATTTATCGGTACCCATGAATGAGGAACACGTATGCTTCCCTCACATTTTGAACTGTTTACTCTTGCTCGAAGGGGAGATTGTAGGATGCATGGAGGGACCCGCGCCATCCAGACCCCCTGTAAAGTGTGTATGCTCGCTGATCACTGGCTTTCAGCCAACAATTAAGCCGGTCGAAGATATGGTGAGCTTCTCACAGCACTTCTAGTTGGTTCGTCATAATTTCCACTTTCTCCTATGTTACATTTTGAACAAAAGGCTGACGAATTTCAGGACAACACCAATGCAATTATGTGGTAGTTGAAGAGTGGCGGTCGTCATAGGCTTGATGATGGATCAGGAACCCCTCTGTATATGCAGATTGAAAATAGTGAAACTAGGATTCTATGACAGGCTCATGGGCCGGCTCAGATAACAAACTGGATATAAAACCACGATGTTCGGACCGGTTCACCTGTACTTTATTATTTCACTCACATCTTTCAACTTCTCTTTTCACTTTTCTGTTAGACTCCATCCATCCGGCAGAGCTCTACATCATGTCTCCACAAGATGGTGCCCGTTTCGACTTCATTGTCGTTGGTGGTGGGACCGCAGGCAATATAGTTGCCTCCCGGCTGGCGGAGAACCCTGACGTTCGCGTTCTCATTGTCGAAGCTGGTATAGCCACTTCTAAAGACAATGAAGAGATCCGAACCCCAGGACTTGCTATGGAATTGCGAGGCTCCCAATATGACTGGGCCTTCAAGACCACTATGGTTAAGCGTGACGACTACGAGCGCGTTGAGAAGCCTAATACGCGCGGCAAGGCCTTGGGTGGTAGCTCTTCCCTGAACTACTTCTCCTGGGTTCCTGGATCTAAGGGAACCTATGACCTTTGGGAGAAATATGGTGGAAAAGAGTGGACCTGGGAACCTCTTGTCCACTACCTTCGCAAAAGTGTTACCTATCATGACGACGCGGGCATCTATCCTCCTGAGCTAAAAAAATTGGATTAGGAGGCCCTATTCCAATTGCGCACGCCGATTTGATCCCTGAGATGAAGGGCTTCCGTGAGCTGCTCACGAAGGCCTGGAAGTCTACTGGAGAGCCTATCACCGAAAATATCTTTGACGGTGAAATGCGTGGCCTTGTGCATAGCGTCAATACAATCTACCATGGTCGCCGGTCTGGTAGTTTCCTTGCGCTTGACGGAAAATCCAACATCACTATTTTACCCGAGGTCCACTCTAAGTCTCTTATTATCAATCGCGCCGATCGGACCGTAAAGGGTATCACTGTGATTACCTCTTCCGGTCAAGAATTGAACTTTTATGCTGAACGCGAAGTTATCGTATCCCAGGGTGTGTTCGAGACCCCGAAGCTTCTTATGCTTAGTGGTATTGGACCGGCTCAGGAACTGAACAAGCATAACATTCCCGTTATTGTCGACTCCCCCCATGTTGGCCAACATCTGCTTGACCACCCTGGTGTTCCATTCGTTCTTCGTCTTAAAGATGAGTTCTCTATGGATAGCCACGTCCTCCGTCAAGGCAAACTTCGCGACCAAGTCCTGTCCACTTATTCGAAGGGTCACGCCGGTCCTATGGGCTCTCCCTTCCTAGAACTGATTGGTTTCCCTCGGATTGACTCATATCTCGAGAAGTCGCCGGAGTATCGCAAGGCTAAGGCTGCGAACAATAACCTTGATCCATTCTGCCCACAAGGACAACCGCATTTCGAGCTCGATTTCATTCCCCTGTTTGGTAGCGCGTTCCAGTGGCACTTCCCCCATCCCTTGAAGGGCAGTTACATGACAGTTATGGTTGACCTTGTCCGGCCTGTTTCTGAAGGTGGCGAGGTGACCTTGAACAGCGCGGACCCCCTTCAGCAGGCTAATATTAACCTTAACTACTTCAGCAATGATCTCGATATCATCGCTATTCGCGAAGGTATCAGATTTACCTATGATGTTCTGAAGAACGGCGAAGGATTTAAGGATATCGTTGAGGATGACTATCCCTGGGATATGCCGCTCGATGATGATGAAGCCATGAAGAGAACTGTTCTCGACCGTTCCCAGACTTCCTTCCACCCTTGCGGAACCGCTCGTCTTTCCAAGGACATCAAACAGGGTGTTGTTGACCCTGGTCTCAAGGTGCATGGAATTCACAACCTCCGCGTCATTGACGCTTCTGTTATCCCCGAGATCCCGGATTGTCGTATTCAGAACACCGTTTACATGATCGGTGAGAAGGGTGCTGATGCCATCAAGCGTGACCACGCGGATCTCTACAAATTGGGGTCCTAGAATTTACGATAGGCCCTACTCTTCAATTGCTCAATTCCGTTCTTACTCTGCCGCTTCCTATGAGTTAGTGAAATGTCTATTAAGATTGAAGAATATGTACGTAGTGAACAACCGCATCTTTCATCATTCATCGTCCTCATAAATGGCGCTTCTTATTATAACGTACGAGCTGCCATTGTCTTTCTATTTTATATACATTCACGTCTAAAATTTCGTTCATGGAAGGACCGCACGACTTCATTCTCAGATGCGGATATAGTTCGTGTTTAACGCTCCTTCCATGCCCGCTTGTCCCAAGAATTCATTCTCCGGGAGGTCATCAGGATATGAATACTGATCATGAGGTCCTGGGCGTTTAGATTACAGATGGACGGTCAGCAATCTCTTAGGGGAATGTAATGAAATACGTATGCCGATGACCGTGACTTTGAACTTCGCGATCTAAGGTCTCTTGGTTTTTTTCTGGATAACGGAGAAACCGCTATCTTAGGGGTTTGGAACCCGGTTGGTGCATTCTTGGGTGATGTAATTTATTGAAGATGAGGTGTTTTCCACTGCTGTCGTAGGTCTTTTCTGTGGGAGCCGTCTTACCTTATACAATCTACCTAAAAATGGGAAAACTCCCCCTCTCCGCCCAGAGATCGCTGACCCTTATAAATAGTGTTGACGCTATGGATTAGAATCTTCTGACATTTCAGGCTGGAAGGGTCAAGCAAAGGAGAAAGAAATAGTTAATTATTGTCCTGTTGCATATTCTACGTGATAGTTTGGAGTCGCTGAGATGGACAATTTGGAGGATTTTACGCTCTAATTAATAATGCCTCGAACGACTATAGGACTACGCTATTATAGGATGTGACTTTTGTCTTATTTTATCCATAATATTAGTCTATCTAACAGACAGAGCTCAAGTCCATGGAGTGCTAGTGGATTTATGCCACGTAAAGACCCCGTTAAAGTAACAATTTGGTTTTTCAGCAGAAGGTTCTCTTTCCTGTGTGCAAACTGATCCCAGATAAGTTCAGAAAGTTTTTCTTCCGAGTCGACCCAAATTTCATAAGACGTGAAGAGCAGAGATTCAAGGGAAGGCAGGTCGATGCGCCACGTATTTATATCATCTTCATGTCTCCATTGTGTAATTCCGACGCAGATGAAAATGATGGTTGCAAAAACGGACATTTCTGGGCCATGTTCCGAATAGATGTCTCTATCGTGTGGTTTCTTTTCAGAACATTTCTGTCGTAATAAGCTGATGGCGTTTCCCAAGTGCCGCAGATCAGGCGAATTCATTTCTTTTAGGCGTGGGCTCTGAATAGACCGAGGTGGATAGGAAAGACTTAGTGCGTCGCAAAAGAAATCACTCAGCGCTTTCACTGAAAAGCCATACCAGCTTGGCTCCGGCGTGAGATATACTCTGTCAGCCAGAATTGTAGTTAGGAACAAGTCTTGTGGCCGCCCCAATTGTCAATCAACTTACACAGATAAAGCCAACTGAAGCTTCCAATTGGTTTCAAAGGTTTTGTAACCTCCTCTTGCTTCTACCATTTGACGCAGCCCGTTTTTGTGCAAATCAGATCGCTCAGAAGTTCCCCAGTGTCGCTAATATGATTTGTGTCAATTAAGTTTTGATTCACTGGAATATATGGCAAGCAAACGCAAGTGAAACCAATATCGACTGACCTCGAATGTGAAAAGTCTTAAAACAGCCGCAAAGACCTCATCATTCAATGCAGTAGCTGGATCACTGAGCCATTTGTTGACACTCTCGATAGCGTCTGTTTTAAACTCCAAACTGTCTTGGTTGCCCTCTTTGTACTGGATTTGAGATAAGTGTGCAGCTGCGTGTGCCATAATTCCATTGAAGGAGGCAGGGTTTGACAGATCTAGAGGCATCCAGATATCTCTAAATGGACTAATTGTGTCTGTTTTGAGGTGTGAATGGATCTCGTCCGCATGCATGGCTAGCCCTAAATGAAAAAGAAGAGCGATTAGCTTCCGATTCACATCCTCTTGATACACAACAACACTGACAGTGATAGAACAATTTTCGATGGTGTACCGTAACTTGGTATGGGCGGCCATTTTTCCCTCGATATAGTATATCAGAGAAAGGAAATTGAAGCCCCTCCCAAAGTTGATACGAAAGATTCAGTGAAGTCGTGTTTTGTATGTTCTGGGCACTGTCTTTATTTTCACCCAGGGTCACCTCTTGAAGTCCCAGTTCTTCCGGAACACGTTGCTGGAGTTCCGATGTCTTCTTCACCAACAATGGTAGGATAGGACGTTGATTTTCGTTCCATTTTTTCTCTTGTCGTTCTCGACCGCCCTTTTTCTGGCGCCAATACATCTTCATTGCATGGCTGCGAGCAACTCTATCTGGAATTAGGCTCACAAATTCAAATTGCACACGATGAAGAGTGTCTTTTGCCTCTGATGCTTCGTCCACACATAATCCAGCTTCTGCTGTAGGCTCAACGCCATCCGAGATTTGGGTGGTATTTCGTGGCGGGGATTCCATTTTTCGGGGGCCGTTTATTTTCGTATCTAGATTGCAGCTTCTTTGACAGCTTCTTTGACAGAAAAGTTGATGAGAGGTGCCACAATGCCTCAAGTAGTTATGCAGTGAGCTCATCTACGCCGAATTTACCAGTCGTGCGTATCACACCGTAGATTCGGCCGCTAGGGCATGTTGCGTGAAAACTCAGTATCCCAAATAGTGGATCTTCGCAAAAATGATATTAAAATACGCGCTATGGCCCCGGAGGAGAAATATAATTATGACGATACAAAATCCTACTGGATAGTGAGGATCTCGACATGTACCAAGGTTTACTGCTCTCATTTGACTCAAATGATTTTAGTGGAGTTTTGTATATGTTAAGACAATATCCCGTTATTTTCTGCATCGGCGCCCTATCTACTTTAACTAATGTGGCCCGGAATTTTTCACAAATTCGATTTAAAATGTGTCCTGCTAAATAGTATGCCGGATTGGGTATAAGTAATCAGAAGTTCTGATTGGGTGGTAGTACTACCGTGAGAGAAGTCGTGCATCGCCCGCCCCACCTAGTCTGATTCTCCCCGCCCAAATTGGCATTTGTGACGGTTACGCGAAAAATGCGAGAATTACCCCGTCACCTATCCCTGTTGGCTACTCTAATTAGGTATTGACAGACCACTATTCGATAGCTCAGATACAAAATTATATTGTCCAGAAATATTCACCATTTAATGTACCTCCGATACACGGCGTTTTGTTGATAGTTAATGTTCTCCTTCAGCTGTTCCACTTCATAGCGACATTTTTTAATCCTGATTTTCAGTTGCTCCCGTACCGGCAGGTCAATGAAGCAAAACGGTTGATCGGACACGGAATTAAGGGCTATGATTTTGCGGAAGAAAGTTGTCAAAGTTGTGACAGGGATATCACGGATTTCTAAAGCTCTTCGAAACCCATTTGCTTTATCATCGCTATATTCGTGATTACGATGCTGGGTGAAAAGCGCATTTATAAGTCGAACCAGCGTCTTAAAGGCGAGCAGTGGTACAAAAGAGGAAGAGTCCAGTAACTAAGCGCAAATCGTCAGCCGAAGTGAATCAAATACAACACTGCATTTTCTTGGATATTTCTACTTCGTTTACTGTCTAATTATCCACTTCTCAAAGAGATACTCAAGTTGTGCTTATGTGTGGGTTAAATGCGCTTGTAATTTTGTGAGTTTTGGCTAACTATATCAATGCAGCTGACCTTTTAGCCGTTGCAGTTCCTGCTTAAAGGATTGTTCCAGCTGTACCAGGTGCGCCTTATATTCTTTCAGTGTATCTTGACTTGGCGACTTATCACACGAAGCATTATTCCCAGTGTCGTTTTCAGTAGCGATTGTTTTGGACTGAGAACACTGATCTCCTGTAGGATCAATCCTCTCTCCTATATCTGGGACAAAATCCAGAGTCAGCCGGGGATATGAAACGTGTAGTTAAGTATATTTCACAAACTTTTAGGCATTTGGAGCTGCGCAGTGAGTTTTCCAACTCTTGCTATGAGGCAACAACGTCGTAGAACTGTTGGTAGAGATCAATATAGTACCGAGTAGGGCTTGCTATTAGGCGAGCAGGCAATTAATGTCATGAGAATACGTCGATGCACTCTCATTGTTGCTTGCGGCTGGCCTCCTTTATATATGTCCCGAACTTTGCTGTCCGTAGACAGGTTGGTAATTCTACTAGGCAGGACTAGTAGCCCCCTACCTCGGTGTCCGACCGTATCTAATAGACGTCTGTTTGTACATGGAAGAAGAACGTAATGAAATTTCCGTACCAGCAGGCTGACGTTTACTTTAACGGGGGCTGTATCTGTTTGGAGGGCGGCAGACGGAGAGCTCGAGCTCTCGGAGCATTACAGTACGAAGAAGGGTGCGGTGACTTCTGCGCACAGACGCAAATATGATTTCAAGATTGAATTGTGAATCCTGGCATGTATACAACTATCTGGTCAAAGCGAGATTTACATTTGTGGTAAGAGTAATAATCCAGCCAGTGTCGTCGCAACACACTTGAGGGCCATTGGGTGGTTCCACCAATCAAGAATCAGGCAATTGAAGTACCCAGGGTGCTAGAGAGAATTATAAATTGACTCATTGATGTTCTGACCACCTAGTATAAGAAATATTGTTGGCTACCTACGTCTCCGCTGCCTTGGAACATATTTATACCCAACTCTCACCTCTTTACTTATTCAAATTGGTATCTATGCATCTTTGGAATTCTTCGAAGTTAAACTGTTATACTAAAGTATGGCTCTTGTATCTAGGTACTCTTTGAGTACTAGTGAACGGTTACCCTTTTCCCTACTGTCAACTAGTACGAAGTATATACTACCAATACCAACGGTTCGACCTCTGGTTGGCTAGTGGTGAGCGCTCTCGCACCCTTGGGTCCGTGGTGCAACCGTAGGCAACCTGCCCGGCCTAACAAAATATTTAATTCCACTAATATCATATCAGACCTCTCCCAGCTAGAGTTGCCTATCTAGTAAGAAAAGCCAGTGGTAAGTTTAGAAGCTAGTAGAAACGAATCTTCTTTAAATTAATTCAGTATTACTCTATAATATTCCTTAATCTCACCAGATTATTGCTAGCAGAGCAGCGAATCTCTGTATAGATATACATCTTAGAGATTCTCCGAGGATCGTGGACTTGTTTTCTTCACTTGAATGACTATGGTACCATGGAGAAATTCTATTACTTAACCGTATTAATGGTACTTAAATTCCTTTTAATTGTATAGCTCTCAATTTGTAAATTTTATGTGAAGTTGAAGATTCTAAGCAAGCTCAGAAGTCAAAAGGTTGATGTTGATAGGTTGATAGAGATATTTTATTAGAATAGAAAGATCTTCCTGATTGAATACGAATGGAAAGGTGTCGGCCTATGTGTGTAGGTAACGCCCCGCTTTGTTGACCCTCTATCATCTAACCCGTCAAGAAATCCTTCCCTAGGAGATTCATACTTCATCAACCGAATTTATCTATCTTTGACTAGATCTCATCAGATCTATCGGATTTGATCTTTTTCGATCTGGCTGACCTATCCAGGCAGGAGGCTACATAGCACTCCGAAGACCTTTGATTTCCTCATATAACTGTTTATCCTGTTCATTCTATTATAAATTCTATATTATTTCCTAGAAGTTTGATAAGTTTTTCAAGATTCAATTAAGTGTTACGACATCTTGCTATGAGGCTATTCACAGAGAGGTGCCTTCGGCCCAGGAGAGCCCGAGGATTCTGCCGAGTCGGTGACCCTTCAGCAGTTATTTATAGTGGCACCGCTAAGGAGATATCCTGCACGTAGGCTACGCTAACAAGTTACACTGCTTTTAGCTTAGGCGCCTAATCTCTCTATTAATCCTTCTTGTAATTTTTTGTTCTATGTAAGAAGACTATATATAAAGGATCCAGTTAACGGCACGACAAGAACGTTCACGGCACGACATACTAAACCACTTTCGGGTTAGCGCGGACCCACCACCAAAAGGTACACTCGACCTCTGCATAAACATGCCAAGCTATTTATGTATACATATCTCAATACATAAGAAATTTGGAATGTTCCATATAGTGTCACCTCGACTTTAGCAATGTGCCTACGTAAGGGTCAGTAAATATCATATCCCTTGCTGCCACAACAATCACTACTCCATGGCAACGCCCTTTCACCCCTACCAGCCCTTTATAATAACCTCGAATTTCCCCATCCACCTCCTCATTTCACCATCCTTTCTTCTATCCAAATCGCTCAAATCCGCAGAGATTTTAGAACAGCGTTGATTTCCTAATTAGGAAGCTGGGATACTATAATACTAATCGATTTTACCGCGCCTTTCGCCCACGCTTTACACCCTTTTCCACCCAATCCTTCTTCGCAGCGCCCTTCTCCTTCGCCGAAGCCTTCGCAGCACCTTTCTTCGCCGAATCCTTTGCAGCAGCGCCCTTCTCCTTCGCCGAAGCCTTCGCAGCACCTTTCTTCGCCGAATCCTTTGCAGCAGCGCCCTTCTCCTTCGCCGAAGCCTTCGCAGCACCTTTCTTCACTGAATCCTTTGCAGCCGCGCGCGCAATTCGATCCGTACGCTTCCTCACAGTCTCAAATGCCGAGGCATCCCGCTTGGTGGACCGGGATAACCGAGTGGATCTGCGGGGGGTTGCTTGCCGGGCAGTAGCATTAGCAGCCTCCTTCGCAGCCACTATATTGGGATCCTTTCGAGCATGATTCGCTCCTCCGCGGGGGCGCCCAGCAGCAGTAGCGTTGATAGGGTCATTGATCCGAAGCACTTCCTCTAGGCAAAGTGGCTGGTAATCATCTTTTTGAGATATTAGTAGCCACTATTGCCGATGGAACTGACTCCTTGCGAGAGGTGCGTCAGCTTCAACTACCGCCAGAATCTCGTGGATACATAGTAATCCAAGTGCCTGCCGATGGTAGTGAGTGCAATCTGCTAGCTTAGTCTCCCCCTTTGGTATACAGCTAGTTGCTGTGCAACCAGCTATAAGGTATACGGAGCTACCCAACCCAATACTAACCGAAATAAGGGCCTAAGCAGGTTATCTAGAAGCTTCTGACGATCCTCTCCGATAGCTTAGTTGATTGCAATGTGACGAGTGGATACACTAGTTCGAATTGCTAGTATAACACTTAGCAAATCCCTGATTGAAACCCTGGTAAATCGCTTAATATAGGCGTAGGCCCCTTCTACCCGCGAGGAAGAGGTTTCAGCGAAGTGGAGGGCCTAGTTAGTGTAGCAGCGAAGGAAACGCTGCCGCATTCTATCCTATATCTATTGATAAGTGATATAGCGAATTGCCTCTGCAAAAACCTTGTGTTTGAATTCCTCTCTGAAGTTCTCCTAAGCAGTCTCTATCTTAGCTATTGTAGGTGCGAAGATAACTTAATTGAAGAGCTGCTTTACGGCCTTCCACTTCGCGTTAATTTCCTTCCTAATATCTCCCTCTATCTTAAGATAGACAAGGAGATACTATATAATTATAAGCCTTAATCTCTTCTTAATATTCTTCTGGATATGCCAAATACAAAGCAAAGCTCTCGTCTCAGGAAGCTCTGCAGCTAATACAGCCAGCAGGCTATCCGCGTTATTAGAAAAAATAGTGGTAGGAAGGGGTATCGAACAGGAATATAGGATACTACGGAGTTCCCCTAACACCCAGCGGTATGAATCCTCCTTCTCATCCGACACGAACGCACAGCCAACGTAAAATGTGCTACTATTAGTAGCCCTGCCGACGATATTAACTATAGGTATCTTAAAACGGTTAGTCTTAGGCTGCGGCAGCATCCGCGAAAATCCAAATCCGCTCCACATCCGCTCCGCAGATTGCGGATATGGATGCGATTCTGATATCCAACTATCCGCGCGGATTGGATGCGGATTTCAACTTCAAAAAGTTGGATATCCGCGGATATCCAGTGGATTTGAAAACAGTATAAACATGCCAAGCCTCGTGATCACATTCAGCATGCATAACTTGTGCAAATTTCGAGGTAATGTTTTGTAATGAGTCTCTTAATCACTGTTGAATAAATTACTCCACTATAATACAGAAGTTCATACTAATAATATATTAAATAAATTTGACATTCTTTAATATATAGTACTATAGCTTGCCAATCTCAAATCTATCTGGAAGCCGCGGTTTCTTCCGAATCCTCCTACTGCTAGTCCGTGCCTGTGTACTATCGAATACTATTTCTCCTTGCAGGATACTATTATCTAGATCTGAAATATCTACAGGCCGCTTTAAGGAGTGAGAGATAACTAACTTATCTCTATTATTGTCCGATTCCTCCTCTTGTAACTCTTCCTGGTATCCTTCGATTCCTTCCTCCTCATCGTCACTAATCGGCTCCAGGAATTCAAGCGATAGCGTAGATTAACGGCTCTGATCAAGCATAGCAGCTTCGCTAGGTAAGAGATACTCCTTTATTATCTCAATCTCTGTCTGCTTCAGCTTAAATTTGGATAAGAAATAATAAAGTATCAGACCCCTAATTGTATCTAGCTTCAGCTACCCACAGCGATAATAACAGATATCGCGAGCACAATTGAATAAGCGCTTAACTCCTGCTCTACTAGCAGGGATCGATAGAATATCTCGTACTATTTTAGCAAGCACTAGAAACTCCTGTTTATGTTCCTTCTAGTAAACACATAGATTTCCCTTACTTAACCCTTTATTTTTATTAGTTATAATAGACTATTAGATTAAGTAAACTAGAGACTTACCCGTTAAGAGATATCGTATAACTTTATCTTATTAGCTATTAAACGTAATAGTAGGGAGTTTAGTTTATTGCGAATCGTAAAGCAATATAAGCTCTTTATCCTCTGTATTATTAATAGTCTCTAAGACGTTAGGTTGCTAAGCTTCGATCTAAGCCTGTTTCTAATATATTGCAAACTCATTTCGAAATACTTCTTGATATTACTTTATAAAATCAATATCCCTACCCCTCTAATCTTTATTATCAAAGTACTATAGCTTCTTTGATAGGTAAAGGATTATTGTAAGCGTATAGGTTGTACTATATAGGCTGTTGTCGGTTACACTGTAATACTTAGAGAGCTTTTTCTGTGCTAGCTAAAGTGCTTAAAGCATACTTTTCTTCTAGCGCACACGCTTATATCTTAGCTTCTTCTTAGCCTCTTTAAGGTAGGTAAAGAGTCTATTGTAGATACTAAAGATATAGTGTACTGTGCAGTCCCTAGTCTTTGATAAGATATTTGTAAAGTTAAAGAAAGGCTTAGTGACTAATAGAAGGTACTTAACCTAGCGCTACTTCTCCTTGTTGAGCTTAAAATAAGTATATTGATTTGTAGTACAATACTTATCAAAGTAGGATTAAAGCTTTTGTGCGCAGGTGAGTATCAAGAAGGTTAAGTTCCAGCGTGTACGGATATCCTGAATTAGAACTATTTTCGGCTCCTTTTTTTAGAGTCCTAGGAATACCTCGCAGCGCTATAGGCTTATATTAATAAATACCGCAAACCCTCGGACCTATAGTAGTATTTAGTACTATTTATTAAAGAAGGAAGAGGTTTAGAGGAAGGATACTTTACCTTTTTAAGAGTATTCACAAGTGAATTAGCAGAGGACTTTGCCTAGAGTTCCAGAGTTTGCTTATTTAACTACTCTGATTTAGCTTTATTATTCTTAGGTACTGCCCTTAGCTTCCTAAGGAGCTCCTATAGACTAAGCTAGATAATATAAGTAATACAGGGGACTCGAAAGATCGAGGTACTAGATTAAAGAAGGGACTAGACTGTCTCGTGGATACCAGTCATTATAGTGTTGTTGTTCGTAGTATTATTAGTAGTGATTAATAGAACTCGGTTAGCAATCTTGTGGTGTTGTAGAATCTGAATAACAGTGTTATTTAGATTACTACTAGTATAAGATCTATAGAGATACTCGAACCTAAGTAGTACTTTATAATAGTTCTAATCTTAATTAATAAAGTAACTAGTAAGTACTATAAATACTTAGTTAAATAGAGATATCTAGCAATCTAGTGCAATTAAGATCCGGTATCTATCCGGGAGCTTATCGAGTATCTTTTGCTATTAGTCTTATACTGATATATCTAGCAGTCGTCGGATAGTCCGGGCAGAGGGAATATTCAGCTTTGAGTCTGCAGTTCGAGCATAGTCTAGAAGACTTATAAAACTAGTATGCTCGATAATCCGAAATAGGAGCCGCGACGTTGTTATAAACTCAAGAATCTTTTGTTAAAAGATAGACTAATCGAAAGGAGATATCTGAGTATACAGCTAAAGAGAGTTAAAATATAAATAAGGCTTCTTGATTATCAGGGAAAGACTAACTATATCCCGTAGTAGTTGATTAATACCCTGCTTCTTTAGGACAGGAGGCTTCGTATATATAATACTTTTTATATGTATCTTTATTGGAGACGTCCCGGCCCGACGATAACTTAGATAGATAAGAATAGCCTAGCAGCGCCTATATATAACCTTAGGCTCACTAGTCTTCTTATATACAACTTAATTAAAGCAGTCCTAAACATCGGAAGTCTTTTACTTACTTTCCTATTGAATTGACTTCTGTAAGTCCTTTTTCTTACCAAATTCTGTCTTTAACTACTACTCGATAAACTTCTTCCGGGAACTCTCTATATCAGGGTCGGTCGGGTTGTTGTTAAAAAGGATATAATGCTTTTGAAGATACTTTCCAACCTGACGAAGGGATTCCGGTGCGCAAACAGTACGGTGTTATATAGGGGGCAGAGAATAATCGGAAAGAGGAGTTGAAGTGCTACCTTCTTAGCTTAGGAAGTTAAGAAAGTCGTCTAGTTATAGGATATCTAGATCAATAAAGGACTTAGTATATTAGGATACTAGGTATTGACTATTAGAATATTAGGATTAAGATATAGTCGTGAGATAAGGAAGTAAGTAAGGTGTATAGCATAACTAATAAAACGAGAAAGAAGAATTTAAGTACTTACTAAAGTAACCTAGCAAGGGAGATCAGGGGGCTATTTATAGTATAGCTTGCGCGACCGTAACTTAGAAGCGACTAGAAGATAAAGAAGCGATATATCACATTCCCTACATTATTCTAGCAAAGGCCTAATAGGATAAAACAGTTTAGCACCCTGTTAAAATCTCTAATTAGCTCAGGAGATTTATACGGATATTCATTGGATAGTTATTAGATATTCAATAGATATCCAAGAAATAACTAATTACTATCCAACAAATATCCGTATAAGCGCAAGTTCAAAATCTTAAAGTCCGACAATTCCAGCTAACGTAAGGCTTTTTCTTGACATTTTTATAAGATAACCTACTAATTAAATTATATTTTCTGATTCCTTAGTCTATAAGTATTATATAATAAACACAAAGAAGTAGGAATACTATAGATTTATAGTTTTCGTCTTTTCAACACCGTTTTCTATAGAAAATAGACCACCTCCCGGTACCCGAGTTATATATTTTCACCAACCACCAAAATAACAAGAACCACTACTTTAATAAATAAAAATTACCAACAGTCACAATAGGCTATAGGAATTAAGCCGCTACAGGCAGGATTAGAAAATAGGATACTTAGTTAGATTCAGTATTATTTCATATTATTTCAGTAAGTAAATCATACTAAAACAGCATTTGTGTCGCCAATAACAATAACATACTAATACATCTGTAATATAGAGAAAAAAGGAGTGCGTAGTCAGCTGCATAAGAGTCACATAGGATACTGAAACAGGTTAAGTTAGCGAATTTTATGCTAGTGCGGATTTCTAATGGATTTTGCGGACATCCAACGGATATCCGTGGATGTCCAACAGTTAGATGCGGATACCAAGGTGATATCCAACATCCGCAATTTGCGGATGCGGATATCAATTTGACA